GAACACATCCAGGATGGTCGCGGCGGCGCTACGGCGGGACAAATCGAGAAGGGAATGCTTGAGACGGGTAGTGAAGAAAAGAAAATGAGAAACGTCAACGTCCGAGAGGTTGGACTTGGAAATGAAGCAGCAGAAGAACACGAGCCAGAGTTGGCATCATCCTCAGAGGAAGAGCAAGAGAAGATGGATGAAAAGGCTGAGAAAGCTGCGGCATTGATGTCGCAACAGCAGCAGGTCGCGCAAGGAGCCGCTGCCGAAGGTTTTGCTTCGGAAAACAACAAAACAGCATCGCTAACTTCTGCAACACAAACTTTCGACAACGAGGACGAGCAGCGAAACACGACACCAAGTGTTGCACGTGACGAAAATGAGGACCCGTTTCAAGAAGACAAATTTCATTCCATGACAGCAGATCCCTCCTCATCATCGACATCTTCCGCATCATCTCCTTGCGCCGCTTTCCTGGCCTCATCGCTCTCAACCATCATCATCACCATCATCGCTGTTTGTCTCCTCGCGGGCGCTACTGGCTTGGCAGTTCATATGGGCAACGTGAGCGAGGGGAGCAAACAGAAAGCAGAGCTGGGATCTTCAGGAGACGGTGATGCTTATCCGTTTGGCGGCTTCGGCGGCGGGCACAAGCCGAACATTTTAGTCCCGACGAGAATCTTCAACGGGGATGGAGGCGGTGGTGGTGGTGGCGGCGGTTCACCTAAAGGGACCTCCAGCGGTCGTCCACCAACAGGTCGAGGAAATGATGGTCAGGGCGGGAACGCTGGAACAACAGCTCCTTTGCAGCAACCAGATCCTCCTGCGAGTTCTTCATCGGGCTTGTTGAGCCTCTTCCCCCCGGGACCTGTTTCCCGACCAGAGTTTCTAGCACCGGCGAAACCAAAACCAAAACCTGCAGCACCGACGGGTGGTGCGGCAGCGCCAAAACCGGCACCGGTCGCTTCCGCTTCTGCTACACCGGTTGCAGCTTCTGCTGCACAGGTTGCAGCTGCTGCTTCCGCCAGCCCACCAACAGTGCTTCCCGCTGCGACGGTGCCGGCTCAACCGGCAGTTGCTGTTCAACCGAATGCGGCAATTCCATCAACTGCAACTTTTGACCCGGAGGCGCAAGAAGGTCAAGCAGAAGCTCATGCAGATTCAGTATCGGCCGCCCCGTCTCCGTCATCATCTCCTCTGGATGAAAGTGATCGTGCAGATGAAGTCGCAAGTGCTCCAGCAGCACAAGAAACGACGATCAGTGAAGATGAAAACCAGTCGGCGCAGGAACAGGCACACCAAGAAAGCCAAGAAGGAATACAGACTGGAACTAATGATCGTCAGGCGCAAGAAGTAGAAGAAGCACAAGCAGCCCAACAGGAGGAACAGCAAGGCGAAGGACCGCGAAGTGGAACGCAAGCAGACGGTGGTAATAGTACTGACCACTCGTCTTCCTCCACTGGAGATATCGGTTTGGGAACAAGTGCTGCAGCTTCAGCGGGGAATACCGGCAACAGCGATCCTGATCATGCAACGTCGAATCCGAGTCACGACAGCGGTGTGGGACGTCAGCAACCAGCTGCTTCAGGCACAGGAGACGTCGAGCGAGAACGGACGCCGGAACCAAACGGCGACGGTATTGAAACTCGTGGATCTTCCACTTCCGGTGTCGCCTCAGATCTAAATTCACCAGGAAGAAGTTCTGGGACAGAACCGACTGGCGAAAACCAGCAACCGCAGCATTTTACAACAAGTACGGGAACGGCAGACACCGATCGGACAAATAAGACGACATTTGCGCAGGGCCACAGCACTCCAACTTCCGGAAGTACTGCTTCCGGTGGAGGCAGCGCCTCTTCAACTTTCTTTTCCACCGAAGCCGACGGCACAAATCATGATTTACGGCGTGCGGACGCACTGTCCGCAGGCGAAACTCTGCCTATGGGTGCTGCCGCTGGAAGCGGATCATTAGATACTGGCGAATCTCATGCTCCCCCGGTGGCTGTGGGAGATGCAGCCAGCGGCTGTCCCCCGGGAGGGCGAGAAGATGCAGAGGCTTTGCGGACGTCTGCTGATCCAAGTTGCCCGCTCCGCCCGAGCTCGCGCTCGCCGCCCGGAAGTGTCCGTCGTGGGGGTAGTTCGGACGCTGGATCGAGCGGTCGGTCCGCTCGCGGAAGGGGACGGAGGGGGCGATCTAGCTCGGTTGGTTCTACTAGTTCGAAATCATCTGACAGCGATTCAGACTCAGAATCCGATTCCGACAGCACGGAAAGGCGACCAACAGGCCCAGGAGGTGGCTCGCCGCCGCCGACTCCGAGGCCCGGCGGGAGTTCGTCCAGCACTGCAGTATGGCGGCCGAGAGGCAAAGCAGCTGCAGCAGAGCCACTTGTCCCGGAGGTGGCCCCAGAACCAGTTTCGGAGGCAGACCTCGCAGCGCTGAAAACCAGGCAGGAGGAGGGGCAAAGCTGCGAAAGCCTGTTTTTGAAGGTTTTGGCTGAATTTTTGGCTGAACTACAGATGGGCGACAAGAAGCCAAAGGATTTCTGGAACCCAGAAATAGATGACGGCAGGGACTACCTGCAAGAAGCAAGAGATCAATTCGCAGCAGCCGGCGGACACCTAGGGCAGACAACTGCACTTGATCCGGACATTTGGACGGTACTTATTCTTGGTCTCTTATTCTTTTATTCGCAAATTTGTAATTTTTGTTCATTTTGTTTTGTCACCGGTTTACAAAAAAAAGGACAATGCAGTGAAAGTCGACAAAGCAAGCAAGACGGCTCGTATTGATCCCCAGCTATGTTTCTTTGTAGTCGATGCTCCATCAACTTCGGAGCGGGCATTTTTTGGTGTCATAGTACTTGGAGATCATGTTTATTTCGCTTTGCTTCCTAGACACACTTCCTTTCCTTTGCACTTCCAGGTTGCAACGATTATGACCATGATGCCACACTGTTATGGAAATTTTCGTGCCTTCGATTTGCGAGCCATGAATAGTTGGCCATGGTTGGAGATTGATGTTTACGAAACAAACCGGTTGCAGACGACCCAGTGCCTGCCTGCAGAAGACGAGCCCTTTTTCAAACACGTGTTAAACTTTTTTCACGAACGAATTCCAAGCACCACGAACTCTGCGTCCACATCTCTCGTAGTCTGGGAACACCCTTTGATTTTGGTTCCGGAGCGTCTTGAACCGGACGGGCGAAGCGGGTGGACTCCCATTTCTGCCAACGTCTCCGAGTCTGGTCGTGTGATTCATGAGGAGCGATGCCGCATCGGAATGGCTACGGAATATCTTTTCCAAGCTCAAAATTGCGTTCACGAATTTGGACCCACGAATTTTGACGACCTACCATATGGTACTTGTGATCATCTCGCATTTCACTCAAACATGGTTCTGTTTCACATTCATTGATGATATGGCGTATATCTAGCGAGGAAAAGTTACGTGGCATTTAACATCCTCAGGTTATTGCCTTGATACGGGTCCTCGAGAGAAACTGAATCTAGATGAGAAGCCTGAACACTGGCCAGAGAAGGCGATTGCCGAAGAGCAGACGCGGCACAGCAAAGGCAGCACTGAACCATTGGTGCACCCGAAGTGGCACGAAACGTTTCGCGCAGAGTTTTATCGGCGGGCATCCTTTTGGAGACGTGGATCGACAGGATCAGGGGCAAAGTGGAGCTACATACATTTTCGGTGGAATTGGATCAAGGCTCGATTAAAGTCTCACCGGGATCAAAATAACAACAGAATAGATTGGAAATTTGCTACCGATTCGTTTGTCTACAAGACGGACTCCTTCTGTCCAACAGATGAATCAGTGCGGGCGGAGTTTGCATCCCTTCAACAAAAGATTCCCTTCGCCTAGGGGTTTATACACTGTGCGCAGACCATCGCAATCGATGAGCAGACCACTGATTCGAGATAAGAACTTGAAGATAGGTCTCGTGGCGCAGCCCACAACTTAGTCGCCCGTTTTGCCATCGAGTTCCTTTTTTGATTGCATGGCGATTCGGAGCTAAAAATGATGCAGCGATGTGCATTTTCGATACGCGGATCTACATCTAGTTCTAGAAAGAACCAGCAAGAAGAAAGATTTAGTTTCATTTTCGACTTGAGATGGATCCATTAATTTGTACCAGAGCATCGAGTCAGCTGTCCGGTTAAGTACCGTAACCAAGGAAAGAGCGCTGGTTTTTTGCGGTTGATCATTTTCTGCTGTGTTAGCGAGAATATTGATTTGAAGATGATGAAATTGGGTTTCTGGCTGGATTGGCTTCTCTGCTCCCCCACCGGCTACTATTCTGGGTTCGACTATCTATTCATTAAAGCCAGTATCTTCTAGTCATTATCATTTTGATGTATTTGTTGTTTTGCTCCTTTGCTTATGTTTATGACGGCCAGCTACAACGCAAACACTTTACTTCAATTTTTACAGGCAGGCATGGGCTAACCGTTGGTGTAATTTTTTTGTTCACTTGGTTACTGTTGTAAGCTTTTTGATATGTAGTTTTGGAATTTGAAATGTGTCAACTATTTCATTGCCCCGTAGCAAATCCCCTCATTTGTAGAATTTGTAGGATACGGATATTTTGATTTTCATTCTCTTCCTGTCATATGACTGCGGATTGACGGCATTGTGAAATCCAAATCATGTTGTGCATCACGAAAGCAAAATTGTATTTCGGTATTAAATTTTTTATTGGAAGGACGACGTTTCTTCTTGTGTCATTCATGATCTTTCGTGAGTGTAGAGCCTATTAGTGGCAGAGAATCAAAGCAGGATGGTGCTAAGGCGACTGCGAAGGTCGGGCATTGTGCTTCGCTTTCTTTTCGCGAACAGCTTCTTCGATGTCGGCTGGACGGTGAACAGCATTGTTGGTCATGGAAAAGTGCAGGATCACCGTGATCTCGTCGGAAAAGTACAGGCACAAGAGCAGCAGGCAGGCACCGGAGAACAAGATAGTATTAGTGGCAAGAAACATAAACATTCCAAGGAAAAGGACGACTGGCATTGCGGCAGCAATAATTCTCAACAGACTTGCGATGGAGCCATCCCAGCTGCAGCGGTAGGTGAATGCGAAGCTGTGATGTCAAGCCAAAGATGCCAGAGCGCTGTGAAAAGCAAAACTGTACCTGAAAGTCGCCTATGTACAGGAGGTATATCTACTTTAAGTACGGTACGATTTTTGGGTTCTAGATCCCGAGCTCGAGCGCGACTCTACACGTGACAATCATAGACAATCGAATCACGCGAGTGCATCATGAAAGTGCCGCACGTGAGAAAAGTTGTAGGACTTCCTCTCAATGAAAATAATTCAGGTTCGTGTTTTCCGTTCTTCGCGGCAGCGCTACGGGATTGGCGTACTGGAACGGAGCGGCAGGTTAGGTTGGATAAAACCCAATCCTCTGTTGATGGGGCCATGCGTGACTTCACGACTGCCGAAAAGAATCCGACAGGGCGCAAGGCCGCTGGTAGCCAGACAAGTCCGGACGCGAGATCAGGGCGGAGTACCCGAGCTCCACCAGCGGGAAGACAAAATTTGCCGCGAGAACAATTAGCGCCAGCTCCTCAAGAAGCCATTGCTCCAGCTCTGCCGGTCGGTGACCAAGCAGACGAAGACTTGCTCAGCAAAATCATGGGCGCGGAAGCGGGCCTCATGTTCTCCGGTGAGAAAAAACTGCTCAACGAAAACCAAGGGGTTTTGAGTTTCCTTTCCGCCCAAGACGTCGGAAAGCTGTTGCAGTCCACTAAGGCCGGCTTCGGTGGAAAAGTTGCTGTTGCAGCCCATGCGCAGCACCGCAGTGACACTGCCATGGAGAGCCGTACAGAAAGCTGTGAGGATCTCTTTCTTGAGGTCTTGCGCGAACGGATTGGAGCGAAGCGACCCGAGGATTATTGGAATAGGCAGATAGACATGGGGGTCGATTACCTTGAACATTTCCTCTCCCAGATGCATCGCGACCGAAATGCATGGAAACTTCATCCACCGCAGAGAATCACATCGCCAGGGGAAAAACCGAAGCATGATTGGACCGTACTTTATAATATATACTTCATAAATTCATCATAAAAGCCTTTTTTTGTCAGCATTTAATCGCATTTGATTTGCCGTGTGGCTGTGTTTTCGTTCTTGGCAACGCCAGCGGTATCTTACTGGAAAAGTCTTGCCCGATGACTAGCTACTGGTTAGAAGATTTGACAAACTCTGATGTTGAAAAAGATCAGTCATTTTTTCGCACTAATAGGTTTACCTGTTGATGACGATGGCGTCAGAAACATGTGGGCCCGCAGCACCACATCGGCGCGCGGATAGCACCAACAAGTGGCTCCTGTACAACTCAAAAGCTCTGGCCACGGGTTGTCACAGAAACGATCGAGCTTTCTTCCGCGAAGTCCTAGATTTTTTTCACGAGGATGTGCCGGAGCAGAGAAGGTCTTTTATGACGAGGCTTCTCAAACGAGACACGCAGTCAAAGGTAGTGATCTGGAATCCGCCTAAAACCAATTCTTTTTCTCGGCAGCGTGCCGGCGGCGGTCCACCTGTACGGCTAGTGGACATGTCTCTGAACCCGAATCAAAAGGCCTTGGATGAGAGGTGTCGGCTCGGGATGGCGACCGAATTTCTTTTCCAAAAACCCAGCCAAGTATACGGACGCTATTTCCCGGTTCGATTGGGTTATTGCTTGAACACATCCGCGGATCTGTCAGATGACAATGGTGCGAGGCCATGGATAAACTTTTTTCATCGTGATCCTTTACCGCTTGACGCGCAATATTACACTGCGTTTCGGAAGATGTTCCGGAAGATAGCGCAGAAGTGGCGGACCGATTCTGATGGCTCGGACCTTCGCTGGTCGTACGATCAGCTGCAGTGGGACTGGCGGAGCTTACATGGGAAACGGTTGAAACACACGCGTGAGTATCGGGGAAAGCATCCAAGCCTGCCCGTGCCGGTGATGTTAGCCGACAGGCCTTCAGAGTTTCTCGTCCAGGTTCCAACAAAAATCCAGGATGCCGTGTAGCGGATTATGTATGTATAGTCTTGTCCTGAAGACCTTTTGCGGAAAAAGTAGCGGACTGATTTAATCATCAGACCACATGAAGCACACTTTATATTATAAGGTTGTACGGAATTGAGATGATTCTCATACCATTATCACGTTGTCGAGCACGTAATTCGTTAGGCTTATCGTTCTGATGTGCCCGAGCCAAGTGTCGAACAACTGGAATCAAGTATTTTCCGCAATCCTTTTTCTGTACGTGCACGTCGTCGTGGATGTGCCTCTAAGCAAAGAAAGTGCTTCTAATAAACATGTCTTCGTCATCCACTTAGCTGCAACTTTGAGTACGAATGTGCTGTATGTATGATGGCTACTTGCCCTTTAAGCAGAAATACACTTTGTATGACGTGTTGTTTTGTTGTTGATATATTTTTATGATTTTCAGACGTATGCTATATTTCTATTTGTAAAATGAAAATGCAGAGACAAAATATTCATTCTATAATTTGATTGTATGATCGTAATATCTGGATCTGGCGGTAGCAAGCTCATGCTTGTGGTTGTGGGCAACAGCCGCAGCAGGTCCGGCGAAGACGTCGAAGGCAGACCTATCTGATCTTTTTATGTTATTGTAGTGTGTTGCTACAAAAAAGGAGGATGAGAAATTACGACCAGGGGCACGAAAATTGCCAAGAGAACATTACTTCAGCATTACTGTGTACTATTGCGGACCGTGGACGACATATTCAGCTCTATTCCCGATTCAAAAAAAAAAAATTGGAGACGCGTTCATCTGTTGAATACGCGTCGAGTTTCCATGAAGCCGGCCAGCAGAGTTGCGCAGCGGAGCCAAAGAGGCAGCCCGTAAATGAAATATCGCGGCTGACGGCCCACGATAAAGATCAGTGAGCGTTAGAAGAAAAACTACTTTTCGAGAGAGCTTGTCTGTCTAAGTTTCTTTTGCTTGCTCATGAAAAAATGCGACAAAGGCAAAGCTTATTGGGAAGAGATAAATAAGAAAAAGAATCATCTACTTGATCTGAATCTAGTGCAAACCGCGAAAAAGTGCGCCTCAAGATGATAATCAGAAAATGTGGATCAAGAACAAGATCAACAACTGAAAATCGTGCCCGTCGTGTTGCCATTGTGAGCTCAAATTTGTTTGCCTCTCTGCTCGATTCCGCGGTATTTTCGTTCTCGGTAAGAAAATGGTTGGTCCACTCTTCTGGCAAAAATGAAAATGGAACATCACATAAGAATATAGAATCTTATAATGTGAATTTTCATCGAACTCAATGTATGAAAATTGTTGTTGAAACGCGTAGTATTCGCAAGATTTTTTGGCTTTGGTATAGGCTTGCATTGAAAATGAAGCGGCACGCGATCAATAAAGATAACTTCTTGTTTGGCATTTAATTGACATGCAATGAATGAGCCAGGATTTTCGATGTAGCTCTTGTCGTTTTTTGTCTTGGCAGACGCAGCTACGACAAGTCGGCATTCTTCCATGGTTTTCACTTCCCACTTTGTTATTGATACATAGTTTTATTTTTCAGCTGAAAACGAACCAACTTGAACTTACGTGTTGCTCGTAAAGCCCTCCTTTTCATTTATTATTGCTTTTCACGATTTGTCGAATATCAATCGGTCGGGGAAACGGTTTCCTGTATAACGAACCAAGACCACGTCGCATCCGCATAATGCCTGCTTTCAACTTTGGGTGGCACGTACGGGGTACGTTTGGAGACGTGCGCCGTATGCTTGTCATCACATTGGCCGCGTTGGTGGCGCAGCCTGTCTATGGTGCGTCAGGGTCCAGTTTCAGTGGCGCTGGGGTTTGTTTCGGTAACCAATCAACATGGCAAAACCTTCTCGCGGGCAAGCGGAAGTGTGGCTGCGCAGACTGTGAGGCTTTTTTGGAAATCTTGGATTCCGTGAAGAGCGACTCGCTGAGTTCGCTTGTGGGTCAACGAGTTGCGGAGGAAATTATGTACGACGCATCACAGCTCGTGGGAGACCAGTTGGCAGCGCTAAGAGTCGAAAATAGCAAATTACGTCAGTGGAAAAATTCGCTCGATCTGGATCCACTGAATGTGGTGACGTCTATCCTCGATAGCTCAATTTCGATACACAGCGACGGCACGTACGGCCGGAATATGCAGTGGCGGGGTGTACTTCAGAAGTGCCATCAAATGATATTTTCGGATTACGATCCCAAGGACGGAGTATACGTCGAACATCAACAGCTGCTACTGGTGGAAGACTGCCTGCGTAAGTCAATATTTATTCTATTTGCAATGCAATTAAGTCTTCTTTTCCTTTTGATTTTTCTTATTTTTTTTGGCGAGCTTCAAAAGCCGAAGTTTCGAGGCCCCCTGGATTTTTCAGTCGATAAGAACATAATTATCGAGAGTCGCACTTTTTCTCTTTGAGGCGATCAACGTATAGTTCTTCGAACCCATCGCGGCATTCCCATCACCTCATCTCAGATCGTGGCTTGAAAAGTTCAAGTGGTGACTTCGCGGAGTGGAAGACGGAGGCGTTGCTCGAAATATTGCCTGGTGATAACGAAGACAAGGTGTACGAGAAGAAACGGGAGCGGTACTGTCGCTCAATGCATGTCATGTACGTCAGCACTCGTGGTTCTACCTCAAATGAAGATTTTGATGGGCGGCGGGATGAACTTGGCCAGAGGGATCGTGGAAGAGATTTCCGCGATAGAGATGCCATTAAGGAGCACTATTCCCTTGCACAACGCGCCTGTCGTCCTCCCAGCAGCAAACCCACAAGAGGTATTTCTAAGAATGTAGTGATGTGTCGACGACTTATGGTGTATCATTATCTACAAACATTAACAAAAGCGATATCTTCGATAGTTTGACGAAATGAGAAGAACGATCGCTTCGGAAGCAAATGCTCCTGCTGGTCAAAAGAAGAATCGCAGTGGCAACTGCTGCTGACAGTGTGCTTCTTGCTGCTGCTCCGGATGCCGTTGTCGACGACCACGACACTGCCGTCCTTCGCGTTCGAATATTGGATTTTGGCCATGCTGAACAAACATCACTACAGGAGAGCAACGGGACCTGGAGGCGAAGGTTGTTTACATTGAACTTGCGGCGACACTACCTGATGCTGGGCCTCGGCAAAACCCGTATGTGTTCGCCAAGGACTTTCCGGCTCACCCGGATGTCCTATACCGCGACCTTCGAACACCAGTTCAAGCTGCAATGAGCGCGTACATGGAGCAACGCGATAGGGTCGGTGGTAGGGCGCTTCCGGCTGGGCAGTTGACAGGACTGGAGTTCGAATTGCGCCAGAGGCAGGGCGGGTCCGATTCACTGCATGTTACGCCGCCTGTGTCGCATTTCTTTCAGCCGCGCAAGGCAGCTGATGGAAGAATGAGACTCGCGGCTACCATTTGCAGCGGCGCGACCAGCCTTGCGCGCGTTGTGCATGAACACCTTGGCGGACTGCTGAGAGGTTTGCTACCTCCATCTCGGGCTACAGCAGTCGTACCTCCGGCAGCCGCTGGCGCTGATGCATATTTCATGCGAGCGGGTGTACTTTTGGACGACGGTGCAACTACTCGGAGGCGATTCAGAGGTGCGATTTTGTCGTGCTACAGAATATACCTCTCTGAGTCTATTTTTTATTATATAAATATACGTGCGGAAACAACGGAAAAATGAAAATCTTTGAGTTTGAAGTCTTGATCCTGTTCGATGTTGAATTTTTTGCAACACTGGGTAAGTGACCAGAGAAAATTTTTGATGTGTGCGTTCACAGGTAGTGGAGCTGGAGGCAACGATGGGCCTGGGGACGGAGATGACAATGACGATCCCCGAAAGAAGCGGGACGACAAGGAAGCCGAAGACAAAAATGCGGACAAGAAGGACAAGAAAGAAAAGAAGGAGAAGAAAGATAGAGATCGGGACTCAGGTAAATCCAAGGACACGACCCGCGGCAAGCGCGAAAGTCGTGAGAGTGTGGCGTCGCTCAATTTTCTCGGGGTAGTCGTAATTAGTTCCGATGATGCGGACAGGAGTGGCCAAACCCTGTCATGGTGGAACAATCGCAGGTTTGCTGGCGATGCTGAGCGCGCAGGGTTCAAGAAACACTTGGAAAGGAAAATCAAAGTGGCACTTGACGTCGGACAGCTGGCAGGCGCGACAAAAGTTTTGCAGATAAACCGCATGGAGTGGGCAGCAGCGGATACTACGTCGCCTGGTCTGTTAGGTCTTCTTGGCACGAAGCGGGAGAAAAAGGAGCGGGAAGACGTAATTATTCTTCATGTTACGTTGCTGCCAAATATTAAACAAATCGCCGAATTTTTTTCTTCTTCGACAAGAAAGCCGCAACAATCAAGATAGAGCGGATGATTTTTCCAATAATAGCTGGCGGGTAGAGGAACGTAGCATTGCATGCGGATGATTTGCCAACAAAATTACCACTCTACACAGGTCGTGCTAGTCGCACGGAGTGACACCAGCCGGCGGCAGCAGGAGAGCCCTACCGGCGACGTCGTTCTTTCAGTCGCGTCGTGGAACATCGGGCATGGGGCACACGAGGTTTCGAAGCAACGATTGTTCCTGGCAGGGGCCTTGCTTCAGGTTCTTGCGACTGAAGTTGCAAGTCGTGACCCGAGTTCTGAACCGTATACCCCGGACGCGTTAGATTATATTGCCACCTCGCTCAAGGGGGTCCTGACTTGGGAGCCATCGCCACCGGGCGCCGACGACGATGTCATAGAGGATGGTAACGAACCTTGGGACTTCTTGCAGGAAATCTTGCGCAAAGACACGGCGGTTAGTGCGCTTAGAACCCAGCCTGGTTCCGACGCTCCGGAGCCAACGAGGCCGATGCTGGATGTACCTGCATCGAAACAAAAACTCGTCGGTCTTCGGTCTGAATTGGCACTGTCCCGTGCGGATGCGGAGTTCCGTTCAGTCTTCGGCCTTAAGGATTTTGTGAAACCGACGGCTGCCGTCGCGAACGACGAGAACGCAGCAACCAGTGCAAACTTGATCCGGGCTGCATGCAGTACTAATGTTCGCTCTTCGAGTGGGAGTGCGCGAAAGCGTCGCTCGGCAGTTTCAGGTCGAAGCGGAAGCCGAGGTTCCCAAGTTCGCGCCCAGTCTTTGCGCGGTTCAGAGCGGTATCGAAGTAAGGATTTGGAGATATGGACCGACAGTCCCGTTGCCCCCACTCCCACAAGTCCCGCAGTACCGCAGCAAGGATGCCATCTTCACTTGGAGCTCAGCCTTGCACAGGAAGAAGACGCTCCGCCGGTACTTGCAATTGGCGACAGGGCGCGGCGGGCTGTCGGCGCTCTTGGAACGCCTTTGCCCGCGGCCCTCCGCAGACTATGGCAAAGCGCGGACTCGCTACGCTGGTGGGAGAGCACTCGGGACAGAACCGACGAACACTTTCCGGAAGTGCAGGATCGAGCGCAACGACTTGGCATCGCGCTCCGGGCGTACGCAATGATACTCTCCAGGGTTGCCCTTGTGCTCTTCGGGGTATGGGTGGTCTTCGTTTCTCCGGACCAGAACGGTTCCTCCACCCCGGGACTGCTGGACCAGCCCCTGGTGGCGATCTGTTTTGAGAAAGTTCCGTGCGCGAACACCTGCTGCACGCTGTCCGCTCGGGAGATGAAAACTTTTGCCGTGGAAGGAGTCCCACCCTTGTTCAGCGACATGAAGCTTCTATCCTGGGAGGCCCGGGAGTTGGAAGCGATTGAGGATGGTGAGGCGCCTCCGTGCGATGAGGGGCGACGAGAAAAAATGGTTGACAGCTACAAGCAAGCACAAACCGCAATTCTGGCCGAGTTTGAACGATATCCGGCAGAAGCAAAGGAGCTCTTGAGGGGGGACTTCAAGAAATGGATAAGGGGGGCGCTTGCCTCGGTCGCTGTGGAAGAGGTAAACTTGCGGAAGGGACGCTTGGACAACCAAACACGCGAGGTGGCCGCTCAGAGGGATGTTCTCCGACAGAAAGAGGGCGAGCTCCAGCAGAAAACGAGCGAGCTCCGACAGAAAACGAGCGAGCTTCAGCAGAAAGCGGGCGTGCTCCAGCAGAAAGAGACGCAGCTGCAGCGGGAACAGACGCAGCTGCTGCGGGAGCAGACGCAGCTGCAGAAGAGGGAGGCGCAACACCAGCGGAAAGAGCGCGAGTGGACAAAGGAAGTAGCAGAGCGGGACGGGCAGCTGAGGTCTTTCAGAGCACAGGCGACGGACCTCCAAGAAAAAGTCACGGGGCTCGAAGCTTTGCACGAAGAAAAGAAACAGCTCCTCGGTGCGGAAGGCACGTACGACGGCGTCGCGCCGATGATGAATCCCGCTGCGCCCTGCGCAGCAGTGCAGAATGGGGCCGGGGAAAAGTATGTGTACCGGGCGGGGGAGTTCTGCGTCGGGTCCGGCGCCAATGGACGCCGCCTGGCCCTGTGCCCCAAGCCCGGAGACGAGGGTATCGCCTGCGTCTTGGAGCTGGAGTGCACCGACGACGGGAACGACCAAGGCGTGTGTTGGGACGGAATTTGGAAAATGGATACGCGCTTGTCAAACGGCTGCACGGAGATGTATGACCAGGCAGTGTATCAAAATGAAATCCCACGACCCCCCTTACTCAACCGCAAGAGATCTGAGCCTAAGTTTATTTCTGAGCACGCAGACTGTGGCTTTTCATATTTCTCTTTGACTTTGTCATGCTTGGCCTTACTTTTCGCTGAGTTCGAACGGGGCAGTGGAGGTGCGTCGATCAGGCCCCGCATGATCATACTTTCGAACTCGCGAGACAGAATAGTGCAAGTTTTTTCCGTATCGTACAGACGATGATGATGATAGATGATGATGCTGCATCTGCTAGTGTTAAGTAGTAATTCTTTCTGCGGATTTTTGAGATGGGGGTCCGTTTCACTTTCACACGCGGGGACAGATGTTTGCCGACTTCCACGCGAAAGAGGGCAATACGCCCACGGCGTGTTCGAGGGGGCTCGGGCCCGCACGGCAGCTCGACAGAAACAGCAAGCCGATGGCGAACAGTGTCGGTGTCCTCAAGTTCTTTGAACCCGAGGAGAGGTTACGCCGCGACTTGACCCGGAAGTTCCAGGCGGTGGTTTCCGACGTGTGGGACTGGGTCTCGCCCCGGATGGCGACCCTGAAGGCACAGTTCGCAGGGGTGGAGCTGCACCAGTCGGAAAGCGAGGGTCTTCTTGCCGACGAGGAAGGCGACGCGGCTGTTTGCGAGGTTTCCGCTGAAGACGCAGCGGCAGCCTCCGTTCGCGGAAAACCGTACTTCAAGTTGCACTCACGCGCCGGGAAGAAGACCGGTGGCAGGACCTGCAAGGTGAAGAAGCATCATGGGAAAAGTAAGAGCAAAAAACAGAAGAAGAAGCCGAAAAAACAAGAATTCCACCAGCAAGGAGCTGCACCACTTGAGAATAAAGCAGCTGACGCAAAACCAGCAGCGTCGAAACCGGCAAGAAGGACAAGCGCGAAAAGTAGTAAACCTGCCTCAGCGCCAGTTCAGAAGCCACATCAAGAACACAAATTTCGGAAGTAAACAAAACCACCTATCACTGAAGGGGGGATGGAAGCAGGTCCGGAAGGAAATTCACAAGGCTGGCTGGGAAAAGGATTGTTTCTAAAAGATACTCAGGCTTTGAAGTGCGAGATGAAAATGAAGGCGAGCCTCGCTTTTGAGAAGATAATTGAGTAATTCCTTACTCGCCCCTAGCGCCGTGCTGAACCAATTTAGACAGTACTCAAAGGTCTCGTCCTTAGATTGGGACATTCGGCTTGAGTTGTTTAGAGTGGTTTGGACAAGTTAGTGGAGTACTGCCTTCATATTCCTTCATAGCCTAGATCACATAATGTCGAATTTTTTATACTTTCTCCACGGAAGACCAAGCAGAAGACGAGAGGGGCATCTGCAACTTGGAAGATTTGTCACGATTGCATTTGCAAGTGATTCATGATTGTTTATTGAAATTTCCAAGGAGCGAGTATGCTACATCGTTTCCGAAGCACGAAAATAAAAGACCGGAACCAGTCCTGTGTCAGCTTTTGTGAGGCTGAGCAGAAAGACCTGAGACCGGAAGTTTTTTCTTTTACAGGCTGCAATGACCTTATATCTTTGTTGTGGTGTAGCGCTAGTAATAGTATTGGATTGCGGCGCAACAACTTTTAGACACCCACTCACAACCGCATCAAACACGAATTTGCGCATATCGAGTTTTAGCAGTTTATTCCGAGGCCTGTGTTAAGATCAAGAAATCCACACTAGATGTTTTGTAAGATAATTGCGTTACCATAAGAGTACGGTTTGAGCAACCTGGTGATGAAGTCATAAAGAGTTTCTTTTTGGAAAAGTAAAAGTTGAGTAGGATGCAGGGAAGAGTATGTGCTGGGTAGAAGTACAACCAGGATGACTATTAGTTACAGCACGTCGAGTAAAGTAACATGAACGTCAAGGACACCAGTAACATTCACCAGTTTCAGTTTGGGACACCAAATAGCATTTGCCTCTTTGAAATGTCAACGTAGGCCACAAGTTCAAAGGTTTGTATGATTTTGAAGGAAAACGAACATACAATAGCACGGGCCGCCATGGCGGAAAAAAAATCAAAGTACTCACATCTAACAAAAGACAAATCGCTGGCTGACCACGTACGTTGGTCTAGCTTCGATCGGAAACGCGAGAAATGTTTCGTTTGTGTGTTCAGCCCTGCAGCGGCATCCGTGCCTTGGTCGTAAAGTAAAAGTAGAAGCTCAACTAGGTGAATCCGTCATGGAAGCTTCTTTCGTTCTCGTTGTCGTCCAAAAGCACTGTGCTACCGCCACAAGATGTCATGATCCGGAGCGAAATAGTGATCCGTGAGGAACAAGAAAGGTGGATATCACCGTGGCGGATCAGGGTCTGAGTCAACAGATTCCGATTGGAGCACGGGGCTTAATGAGATTAGTAGATGCAGCGAAAGCAATGCCAAGCTACCAAAACTGGATGTAGAAGCGGACTCCATCGGAGTTCGAGCTAATGTGGTATCTAGATGGACCTTGGACTCGTTTACACTCAAATAGGATCAAAGGGAAACGATAGACTAAAATTTTTGATACGGCGACGGAGAGAGATGGAAATGCAAAAAGCGCAACTTACTTTCGAATTCATTAGGGTCATCTACAAACTAGACCAAAGTTTTTCTGACGAGAAGAAAAAGGACGGGTACGAAGATGGAAATGCAACTAGCGCTATTATCGTTATATCATTTCATCGTCCTTGCAAAGCTAAAGCTAATACGATACCCCGCAAGTGTTGGTGGATTTCATTCGCAACTTGATACTTCGATAATGGGGAGTCCAGCTTGTCGTGCTATCCTGGTATCTCATAGACACTCTTGTACTTTCTGCAGCGGCACCCGTGTATTTATGTTTCGCTATACAAATATGCTTATTGATGTATGATGAAGATCTTCTGCTCTTACTCTTTTCAGTTTGTAAAGCCTAATTTGGATTCTTGTTTTACATTGTAATGGCAACGAGTCAAGTAGACGGAAGAAGTTTCTGACTTCAACACACAGGAAATTGAAAATGCGTTTTCGTCCACAATTTGCGTTGTCGTTTTTGATTTGTCTTGCCTGGGATGCTAAAATTACGGCAGCAAGAGCGGCAGCTGCGGGTTCTGAACAAGTGGCAGGGACAGGCGAAGTCCTTCCGCCGTCATCTACTGCTGCGGCAAATGCAGGTGCTGCAGGCAGCCGTTTTTTTGCCACCGCTCGAGATGCGCTGAGCAAAATGTGTGCGAAACGGCTGTGCCTCCAGAACCTCCAGAAAAATGGAGTTCCTAGTACTGCACATCTCCCTGCGGGACGCGACGGGAAGGAATGGCGAAGTGAACTCCGACAAAGAAACTTGGGTCTGGAGCGAAGCAGGACAGAGGTCAGCACGGAACAACGAGAGAGCCAGCTGGTTGTCGTTGAGGATCTTGGCAAGGCCGCCAGGTCCAGTCGTTCGGGGAGAATCCGCGGGGCTGGTGGCGTTGTTCCGATGATGCCAGGTCCACTGACCTCCGAAATTTTTTGGCGAACAGCGAAAAGGGATTCTGAATCTGATTCTGTCTTGGGCGGCTTTGCAAGAACTGATGAAGCGGTGGGCAAAAGCGTGGCCACAGACGTAGTACGGAGCTTGGCGTTCGGAGCCCAAAATGGGACACGCAACAGCAAAAACGATCCCCTAACCACAACTGCAAAACAAGATGAGGGAGGACGAGACGGGCATCGGGAACGGGATCGACGCAGACCTCCTGCCGCTGATGCCAGGAACGGATCTCTGAGTATGGAGGATGGCCTACTGTTTTTGGGCCACGAGAAAGATGATCTGTTGAATCGAGGGAGCGGGATTCTCAGCTTCTTGTCTCCGAAGCAGACCACTGCAGTGTTGGGGTTGAGCAAGGAGTTCGCCCCAAGCGGAAATCTGGGATCCCGGGTCACGACAGCGGCCAAGGCACAGCACAAGAACGACGTCGCGTTGGCGAGTCGCACAGAAAGTTGTGCCGATCTGTTCCTCCAAGCTCTGCGTGAAAAGGTCGCGGACAGGAAGCCGCGCGATTTCTGGAATACCGGTATTGATGGGGCGGGGCTCGACTATCTGCAAGGCTTTGTGGCTTCAGACACGAAGCCGGAGGAGGGACAGCCATTGATTGGCTCAGATATTGACTGGAGCGTATAATCTTAATGCTGCTTCTGTTTGTTGATGCAAAGTACTTACAGGTTCTTCATCGTAGCAGTAAGTAAAAGTGTTACTGTGGAAACCGACTCAACACATTGTTGCAGCTACGAGGACAAAGAAACAACGCAAATTGGGCACAGCTTCGCCGCATGTATGAGCTGTCCCGAATATGTCTAACCTGCAGGTGAAACTTTTGATGGTCATGGCGGGACAAACTTGTAATCCGCTAGCAGCGTATCGACGGGTGGAAGACGCTGAAGCGAGAGCCGGTCTTTACCACCGAAGAAACCTGGAGACGGGCTGTCATGTGACTGACATTGACTTCTTTCGGGAAGTTCTGAGCTTCTTTTATCCTGAGTAATAACGTCCCCACACCAGAAACAGAATCAAGATGGGAAATCTGCTAGACAAATTAGCCAGCTTCGGCTGTTTCGCATAACAAGTTTGATGTCCTCGTAGTGTAATCCTGTTTAGCTAGTTCAGTGGCGTCAAAGATCTAGCGAATCATGCTGGTTATAGCAATACAAATTCCAAGATACGACGAGAAAATGCTTCTCATGTGGCTCCGCGTGAGAGACTTTTTTGGCATGTGTTTTTTGCATGACAACTCTGAAGTGAGGACGTTTTTACACCCGATATCTTTCACGAGGATGTTGCGGACTCCGTTGCCTTGAAAAACCCGGGCGGTGTCGAGGGGGAGAATCCAACAAGGAAGGTGGTGGTTTGGTCTCCGGCATTAACGAACTCGTTCGGCGCGCGAGAGAACATGGCACTGAACCCGAACCAAACCGAATTAGACGGCCGGTGTCGGTTGGCAATGGCGACAGAACTACTATTCCAAAGGCAGATGGAAGTTTACGAAGTGATGGACTTCATTGTGAAGCATGGTATAGCATTTTGCTTTCATTTTCACACGACGAGGTACAATTCTTGTCTACCTGATAGTTTATTTGGTTTCAGTTTGAAGAAGTCACTGTGAGTGGTCTTTGTGATGCTTCTCCTTAAGTATGTCTGTGAGGTTGTGCACAGAAATCGTAGTACGCCAAATATTATATATGCGTACACTTACTTTTTCCTTAATCCATATCCTTTGCGGGATGCATCGGACAAAACGCCTCAACTCCTCTATACTCAGGTTACTGCCTGAACCCAGACTCCAATTCAGAAATCGAGCGGCAATACCGGCGATCAGATCCTCTCAACGACAACTGGCATATTTTCTTCCGCAAGTTGTTTCGGCAATTTGCCCAGAAGTGGCGCCGCGGATCAGATGGCAGGGACCCGCGCTGGTCCTATGACCAGTTTCTGTGGGACTGGCGAACAACACACGCGAAACGGTTTTCAACTAGGTCAGCCCGGCGCGAATTGTGTCCTAGCAGGCCGAGCGAATGCCCGTTGCCCAAGGTGCTCGCAAAGCACCACGAAAAGTACGGCGTCACGCTTCCGACAGAAATAGAGTATGACGGGAGGTGGACAAGAAGCGTGTAGAACATCAGGCAGGTGAAGACGTTGTGGAAGCGAGAGCGATTCTCGAAATTGGGAAAATTTTGCACACACGCCATTTTTTGCCTCAGATGACGAGGTGCGACATTAAAACAGAATGTCTTTCAGCAGCGACGTGGCTCGGTGTAGCGCACAAGTTGAAGACCTGCACTGCTGCTACCCAAAGACGTCAAAGGGTTGTATGATTTCGGTTTTTTTAAATGAATAAGTTACAACTGTATAATAATACGACAGAAGAAAAGTGCACGACCTGCTGAGGCGAGGTTAGGGTGAAAAAGCTGCCAGCCGGACAAAGAGTGCTCTCTCCCAGATTCAACTTCCAGATGGTTGGACCAGTAATGGGGAAGGCGGTGTCACTAGTGAAAAGAAAGATCGCCTGCTCCTGGCTAATAACTCGAATCTGAGTACGCTACAGCACGCTAAAGATTTCTGTTTAGGACGCGCATACATAGACATATTAGACCAAAATGTAAATCCTACTGGAAACTAGAACGACGAAGATGGAAATCGAAAAGAAGCTATTCGTGCTTCTCAGTAATAGTCGCGGCAGAAGTAATGGACTTTAGTCCTACATTGATTTCGAAACGAAAAGTCCAGTATACGCCCCGGTCTCTAAACATACGCATACCCTCCTTCTTTCTTTTGCAGCGGCACCCATGTACTTGAGAGAGTTTTTGCTTGACGTTAGGGCTTGGGAGTAGGTCAACAGGGGGGAGTTCTTGCACGCTAGATTAAGAAGCGCAAGCGAGATTAAATCATAATTCCAGCTGGCAAAAGAAAAATGTGGCTTCCTCAGCACCTGCTAAAGCTGTTGCTTTTCTTTTTGTTTTCTCTTTCCTACGACAGCGCAACGGCAGCTCCGGTTGCGGCTGAAGATTTTGACACGGAGAACACAGCTCTTCCAGCGTCAGCCGCTGCCGTGGAAAACGAAGTTCCTGCAAGGACCACGACAAGTCTTCTTTCCGCCCTGCGAATCACGCTGAAAAAAACTTGTGCACACCGGTTTAGACCGCAGCAGGGTTCGGTGGACGGGGCTCGAGATCTCCTTGCGGTAAACGAGGAGCGACAGCAGAACGAGGCGAGAGACAGAAAGTCGGGCTCCAATGATGATAAAAGCGCTGTCGCGGATGGCCGAAACCCGTTGCACATCCAGGTGGAGGCGAAGCTTTCAACCAGCAGTCGACCAAAAAAGAATCACTCCTCCGGAGCTGATAGTTTCATCACGATGATGCGAGGACCGCTGACTCCTGAAGTGCTTACTTCACTTGAAAAAGAAGACTCTGTCCCAAGTCCGGCTGGCACCGACACCGCCTCCCAGATGGACGAGGGGCTGCAGAGCGCGCCAACTGCAAGATTTTCAGGCAGAGCGCAAATACCATCTTCGGCCCTTTCGCTTTCCTATTGCGACGGGAGAGCAGATTCTGGAGCACAAAGCGCTCCAGATTGCGACGCAGGTACTTAAGTACGTCGACCAAGTTTGAAATAGTTACACGAAACAAGTAGTTAAAATTGACGTGTGCGCTGTGAGTGAGATATTCATATTCATTCTTTCTCGCACACGATGTTGAAGAACAACGTATTTTGTGAACTCGAGAACTGTAAAACCTTGCTATTACACAATGTGTAATAGCAATGTTTTAGAGTTTTACTTTTTGTGTCCAATATGCATGTGCTCACGACTTCGAACAACAACAACGCCAGGGCGCTGCTTTCCTTTCCTGCCTTCGTTTTCCACTTCTTGGCTCGGGCCAGCACTGCCTACGCTTTTTGGAGGACCGCAGGCTCGACAGGCCCGAACGAAAAATCCCCTGGGTGAAGGTACCATTAAGAGGGGTGGGCCAGCAGCAGTAGGCGGCGCCGCCGAACCAACGCAAGGTCGCTCGTCACGTCGACTGGAGAATGTTGCAGCTGCAAATATAAGGGTTCCGACGCACCACACCGTGAAACGAGACGAGGATCTACGAAGCAGTCTCGCCAGAGTGGAAGCTGGTCTCATGCTGTCTGGAAGACCAGGAGGACTCCTCAATGAGCAACAGGGTGCTTTAAGTTTTCTCTCGGCCCAGGACGTAGGATCATTTTTGCAGGCAAGCAAGCGGTACTCGCAGCAAGATATGTTCGGACCCGGTGTTGCAGCCGCTGCAATCGCGCAGCATACTCACGACAGGTCCATCGAAAATCGCACGGAGAGCTGTGAGGACCTCTTTCTGGAAGTTCTCCGCGAGAACGTAGGCACGAAAATGCCGCGGGACTTCTGGAACACCGACGTCGATCGGGGGCTTGACTACTTGAAATACTTTCAGTTAGAAACTCAGAGAGAATCTGGTGCTGCCGTCCACGCACCCGATAGGCCGGCGGCAGATACAGAGTGGAGCGTAACATATTTTTTTCATTTGCTTTTTATTTGAAAGAATGTTTTTTGTGATTGTGCCTGCTGCATTCCTTCTCCCCGAGAGATATTTTCGCTGCATAGCAAAAGCAGCACGAGGAGCATCCGAGAGCACCGCTTTTCAGTAGAAAGTTTGAGGAAAACCGGCAATACCAATTCTTTTCTTTGGTCTGCTGCTTCTTTCGCAACTTCTTGGAAGTAGTAGTAGCAGTTTTAGTACTTCTAGAACACAAAATACTAAATACAGGTTTGGCTGCTGATGAAGATGGCGATGGAAACCTGCAACCCAGGAAACGCGTACAAGCGAGGCGGAACAACATCGTGGTGGATGTACACCTCGAAGGTCCTTTCGAAAGGATGTCACAAAAGCGACAGAAATTTTTTTCGCGAGGTTTTAGAATTTTTCCAGGAGGATGCGCCGATGGAAAACAAGTCTGGGACGCAGAGGCTCCGAGAACGTTGGGCAGGAACATCGAAGTTGGTTCTTTGGAATCCACCGAAGCTATCATCGGAAAACTGCATTTTTGTCATACTTGTTGAAATTTCGCTGATAGCTACGCAAGTAGTTATTTGCACTTCGTGATATTTGTCTTCAGGAGTAAAGCTCCAACTACACCTGCAAGGTTGCAAATCATACCATCTGCATTTCATACAATGTGCCTCCAGCAAAACTACTTCCAGATTAAGGGTGCACTTTCACGATGATTGCGCACACGTTCCTTCCCCGGGCAGCGCTCAACACCTTGGGCAGATGAGCCGCCTCAGCCTGTTGACATGTCGCTGAACCAGAACCGAAGTCCAGTCGTCGACCGCAGGTGTCGTCTTGCCATGGCGACGGAAGTGCTCTTTCAGAATCCCTCAAGCGTTTATGGATTGCAATTTCCTGTGAAACTCGGTATACTTGTCCGATGTTTTGTAAACCGTCCTTTGTAAGTGCATCGTGTGAATGAAAGGCGTTTTTATTTCTTTCACTGGATGATGAAAGAATAAGAAGCTGAAGCTCCAAGTCCAATTCCAAAATGATAGTTCCACTGTGGCACTAGAGAAATCGCGCATATAAATCCAAACACAACACAGGTTATTGTCTCAATCCGTGGAATCTAGACGCAGCGCCACGCCGGCCCCACTCAGGCTTTTTCTTAACTGACCCAATGAAAATGGACTCGGAGTGGCATCCGTATTTTCGTAGGATGTTTCGAAGATTTGCCGACAGGTGGCGTAGTCGTTCCAATGGTGTAAGCAAGCGGTGGTCTTACGACCAGTTTCAATGGGATTGGCGAAGTTTTCATGGAAAACGCTTGAAGTACACGTGGTGGTACAAACATCTATTCAAAGAGGGACGCGACCCGCAAATATTGAACGAGAACCCGGCCGACTACCTTGTAGAAGTTCCCACAAAAGTGGCCACTGAAACTTGAGGTGAAGAGTAGCGGGTCTCATGTATAATTCCAACACGAAGGACAACGAACATCAAAGAGCACGGCCCGCCATGGCGGAAACACAAATAAAACATAGTACATCTACTAGAGAAAAGAAAAAACGCCGGCCGAGCAGGTCCAGATTCGATTTCCGGATCGGAACCTCGAGAAGTGTTTTCTTGTTGTGTTGAGTCGCTCATCCTCATCCCAGTATTGTCGTGCACATCGTTTGTTCTGTTCTTCTTGCTTTCGTCTTACTTGTCGTGCTGATATAGGTGTCGTCCAAACTCGTCTTGAAGAATTCCTTTCGTACTTTGTGTCGTTCCACGTGCTTGCTGCATCGTCCTGACAGCATCGTCGTTTGCTGTGATCGTCCACCATCGTGTTGAACCGCAGAAGTGCCAATTCACGACGCAGCGACGGTCTGCGTGAGTAAATAACTGTAGATGAAAAGTATACTTGAGGTAGGTTTGACACGATCTTCAGATCTATTGGCAGTGTCAACATATCAGATCCTCCCGTGATAAAGTATTTGATCATTGCTGTTTGTGTTTACGTCAGCGTATTTCAACCCTTGGTCGTGATTCTAAACTGACTCCTAGAAGTAGCAACCAGCAAATTTTTAATAGTCAAACAGCAAAAAATGTCAGCCGCCACGACCAAGGAGCCCAATGGGGCCTTGCAACTGCTTGTTGCCACTGCTTCCGCCTACGGGGTGTACAAAATCTACGCCTACTACGTCAATAAACAGAGCCATAGAGCAGGAAAAACGCTTTACCTCGACCCCGATGAAACTTCTTACCGGTTTGCTGGAAGGAGGAAGCACAGCAAAGAGAAGGACCAGCAGCAGGGTAGAAGTAGCCCCACGACGAGGACGAGAGGAATGAATAAGAAATCTTCCAGGTCGAGGGAGAAACAATCTGGGTCTTTTTCCTCTGATACAAACCCCACTACTACAAGCAGTCCAGAGGACGCAACAACCCCTGCTGCTGACGAAGATCTAACCACCACGAACCAGGAAATCGACGACAACGGGGACCCGATCAACGAAAACCAAGTGGATTTGATATAGCAAGAAAAAAGTGTTACAGTTACACATTGTGTTGCAAGACCGGCAACACAGACAACCTTTCTCATGCAGGAAATGCTTGGGAGCCTCGTTTCCTTCCTGTTTTCCCTTATGATCTTCGCATTACAAGTCTTCTCTGCCACACAGAGAAAATTTGTGATGCAGAAACTCCAACAAATGTGTAACTGTAACACTTTTTTCTCACGATATTTGATCGGCCAGTTTTATTGGGACAAGCTTTCTGAGAAAGCCCGGCTCTTACTCGAACAGCAGATGTTGATCCAGGAAAGTTTCATCCCCGGGTTTATCCAGGATGCGAAGGATAGGCTACTATCAAATGTAAAAATGTCTGGGTCTGGAGGAGTCTAAACTTGTCATGCAGGTTTTCCATGACCCACTAGGTCTGGAATGCGGGACCTAGCATGGGAGACTTTGTGAGGTCTTTGTCATGCCCATCCAGCATGAGAAACTCCCTGTCCCTCCCAACTTGGTCGGCAGTGGACAGCTTTTGGCACTCATGCAACACAGATTTTTGCATGATTCGGATTTAGCATGACAAGTTGGCACTCTTCCAGACCCAGACATTTTTGCATTTGATAGCTGCGGGTCCAAGACTACCAGAACGCGAAAAAGGCCGTGTTGGAGAAGAAAAAGTTGGAGAAGATGCTGAAAAAATTGGAGTTCCGATATCATTTAGTCTTAACCTGTTTGACCGACTTGGATATCGCGTATTGCAAGCGAAAACTCGCTTTGGACGTGTCCAAGTCGACCTTGCTCCGGTTGGAACTGGACGAACTCGTGGAGTCGAAAATCGCGGATTGCAGGAGGAAATACTTCGGTGGAAACAATAGAGTCGGAAGCGGGTTTCTTGTTGGAGGGATGGCTGGATCTTCCGGCTTTTCCAGTCCGAGTTCCAGTAAAGCGAGTACTAGAAATAATTATCAGCTCGCTGCTACGGCTTCCTCTCTCTACCCCTCTCTGGAGGAACCGCGAAAGCACAATGGGAATCATGTGTTTCAGCAGCAAAGCCCACAGTTTCCGCTTCGTAGTTCCCCGGAGGGCGAAAATTTCCATTCTGGGCGCTTTCAACAACAGCAACAGCAGCAGCATCACCAGCAGTGGAGTAGCAACTCAACGCGCAATAACATGAGTTTAGTGCTCTCTGCCGATGACATTCCGAACGAATTTGATGATTTTTTTGTGGATGAAGATGGGTCGTTTTTGCTGGAGCAACCCCGCGCGAAACCCCCGACTCCGGTGAACATTGCGTACTATCCGGAAGGAGCAGGAGGTCCTCGTACTTCTAGAGGAGGGCCACTGCGTGGTTCTTTTTTCCGGAGGACAAGAGAAACAACTCCAGCATCCTTCACTCCAGGAATAAATAACATAAGTGCAGCTGGAAGGCCTTCACCAGGTGCGGGGACGATGTTGACGTCGTCTGTTCATCATGCTGGAACATCAGACACGAAATCTTCGAAGCCAGATGTTTTATTTCATCAACCTCTCGTTGATTTCGACCTTTGCCTTTCCGAATCCGACTCCACTGCTTTGGAAACCACGGAAATCTCCACCTCGCTTTACCCGGAACTGGAGCCGCCGAGGTTGTTTTCCTCAAACGGTTTTCTGTTCGGACTGACAGCAACTCGTAGTTCTACTTCATCGGCGACCACTTGGAACAGATCAAATTCCAGGCCCACCCCAGCACCGGTGAAAAAGGTTCTCTTCGCGGCCCCCGGAGTGACGTATCGGGAAGTGGTTCGGCGGCCGCGAGAGGCAGAGGACGGGGTAGAGGGGGCCGGAGAAGTAGAAGAGGAGAATAGAAATCCTCCGCTTCCTTTAGGGAAAAAGGCCACAGTGGTGTCGAAAGCGAAAAGTGTTTTGAAGAAGTCGAGCTCTATCATATCCCACGAAAAAACAGTTTCACTTTGGTGATTTTGCACAATCTGCATCACAAGTTCCTTACTCATGACACAGAAAATTTGCCATGCGCGCTTCCCGATGGAAAACACGCTTGAAAATGCAATGTGTTGCAGGTGTAGCAAGACAAATATTTCTGTGGTCCATTTTCTGCATCACAAGTTCGCAGTGAAGCAGTTTTTTCTTGCGATATATCACGTCGCTGTCCGAAGGGCCTGAATCCTCCGGACGGAGTCAGTCGCCTTTTGTCGGAAGGAATAGTTGTGGAAGCAGTGGGAGGTGGGGGCAGCAGCGGGGGCGTTGTGCGTCATCTAGTACTTCTTCCCGGGTAGAAGATTGCTCGCCGGCCGCGATGTTGAACAGCCGCCGAAGCGGGTCCTCTTCGGCGGTAGAAAGAACTACACCGTCTAGAAGTGCACGAGGACGACGAGGAGCGAGTGTGGACGGGAAAACTGCACCTAATTCCGCCCCATCTTCACCTGCGCAAGAAGACCACGGCCGCGGGAGGAGATCTTCTGTAACTGCGATGAGAGAGCGATTTACTAGCGGTCGCAGAGTGTCATCTGCTATCCGTTCATCTCTACCAAAGAACAATGCCCCCGTCACTCCTCCTCTGTCTACTTCCCAGAGGTCGAGTTCCACTAGGACTAGTAAAGATGGTGTTTGGAAGAGTTAAGTAGTTTGTTAGCATTTGGAAAGTAGCTGTTGCAGTTCAGTTTCTGCGGGACAAAGAAGGCTTTACCTGTACAGATCCTACCCCCAACATCAAAAATTGCCTACCCCTGTTTCTCAGAATATTTTGCTTCCCAAAAGATTATTATTTTGGTCCCCGTGATGACAAGAATGTGAATGAATTTTCCTCATACATCTCAAGCTCAAGGGAGTTCTGCCCTTGACAAGGAACGCAAGACATTACAGCATGCGTGTTTTGATGTTTGACGCTGTGCGCGCAGCTTTAACTTTTTCCAGTGAAATCACCGGAATAAACCAGATTGATAAACTAAATGTAGATTGTGAATGTTCTGGATGCTTGCAAATGTTCACCTCAGGTCCTCACAAAGCGAATAGTATCTGTACATCCAAAATTCATCACATAGTAGTTCTGGTTCTTTCCCTGCCTCCTATCAGGTACGGTACGTCCCAATGCGGACGCGCGCGTGGTAGATGATCTAGAATGACGCGCAAATTCATTTCAGGTGTCAATCTCAATTTGTTTCGTTCTTTGGCGCGCAAGTAGTTCGAAATGGACATGGAGTGGACACGGTAGAGCGTATCAACAGAAGATGTTGTTCTACCGAAAGATCCTCTTTTGTGAAAAAGTTTCTTTTGAAGATAACCAAACCGCCGCGTGGTCGCGTTCCTTTTTTTCTTTCGATCTGCCATGTACAACTTCTCGCAGGGCAAATACCTGTACTTGAATGAGTATAGCAAGCGAACATTGAAGATCTAGCGGTCTTCAGATTATTATAGCCACACTCAACGCGCGGCAAGAATTTGTTGTGTTTACTATGTGGTCTACCTAAACTTAGAAATTTCAATTTCCTCGTTATTTTTCCAATAGAACAACTCTTCTAGTAGAGCGATATACCATTTCATCTCTTCCCGCGGCCGAGAACAACAACGAACTCGTCCATCTTTTTTCTCAGATTTCTCCTCCCCACTCCGAACAATTATGAATCCCGTTTCCACGGTATGACAGTGCACAACTCCCCCTCCCCCTCATTTGTCATGCAAAAACCCAAGTCCAGTTGCTACCTTGTGGCACCGCGTGCATGACAAATTCCGGGAATCCGAACCGTACTACACTCGGCGCATGAACTTGTCATGCACAGGGTCCACCTGTAGTGGAGTTTGTAATGCTGTTGATACCATACAAATTATGAGGGGGAGTGGGGGTTGTGCACTGTCATACACGGCCCCCCTTGATGACGATCTCCGAGGAAAGTTGGCAGCAGCATTGGCATATCAAGTGCAAAAGTATCGTCCTAGTATGAATTGCATTACAAATTGCCTTAGCATTACAAATTAATTTTGTAATGCGGATTTGCCTTGAGAAACAAAAAGATTTGTAAGGCATAAATGCAATTGTACGAGTGCGATACTTTTGCTGTGGATATGGCAAAACACGTTTTCTAATGCGCAACTGCTGGCACAACAAGGGCTTACGAACACGACGACGACGACGAACAACAGCAGTACGAACCAGAACCTGACCCACCAGCAGTTTAACCAATATAACACCCAAGACCAACAAAACCTCGCAGCGGTACAGCAGTTCCAAAACTATTACGACCAAGCGGCGCAGCAGCAGTACAACCAGCTGGCACAACAGCAGTACTTGTATAACCAACTCGCTTGGTACAATACCAATACCAGCAATACGAATACAAATCCTGCCAATACAACGAATAGTACCATGGGCTACTACGACCGCAGTTCCCGTAATGCCGACATAGGGGATATGGGAGTGTTAGGATCGAAATCGACAAAATCGAAAAACTTGTAATGCACAAAATCGATGCCAGTTAGACCCACAGTTTGTAGTCGGCGCATGACAAACTTACCACGTCCTGGAAGCGAATCTGTCATGCGGTTTAGGGCAAAATAGCTCCCCTCCGTCATGCGAGCCACCAGCGCAATATGTGACACTTAGCAGGACTACAATCTGCCTCCTTTGCGTCCTCTGCAATAGAGGCACTTTTGCTGTCGCATTTTCTGCATGACAGATTATTTCGACCTTGTCGATTTCGATCCTGACGCTTCCATAGGAGACAGCCGGCGGTGCATGGGTTTGTTCCTCTCGCTATCCCATGTAAAAACGTCCCCACCCCATAGTCAAGATGGGGAATCGACTAGACAAGTCCACGAGTTTTGGCTGTTTTGCATGACAAATTTGGAGTCGCCTTGTAGTGCTGTTTGAGGTCGTTCAGCAGCATCACAGATCTAGCACATCGCGCTGATTGGCGCATTACAAACTCCAAAACGCGAATAACAAATGCTTCTCATGGGGCTCCGCATGACAAACATTTTGAGCATGCAGATTTGCATGACAACTCTGGGGTGGGGACGTTTTTACACAGGATACTCGCGGGGGCGTCCCGGGGAGAAAGATGTGTACACGGGGAAATCGCAGGGCATGAACGGGAGCTGGGATGACGTTGGGATCTCCCGGCTCGTGGGCGAGTGGCGGAAGGAATTCAAGAAAGTGACGGATAAGTACAGCCACAAGCCCGCGCACCAAAGACCCACGTTTCTGATCACCGATTTTCTTTTCGAACAAAACAAAATTGGGGACGAAGGGGCCAAGACGATCTTCGAGTTCCTGTTGGAGTATAAAGTGAAATGCAACGTTATCAAGCTGTACAAAAACGACATCGGGGACACCGGGGCGTACTACATCGCGAAATATTTACGGGGCATGGAGGACTACGCGGTCCGCGAGTTGCACTTGTCGGACAACTACATGGGGGCGAAGGGAATGGAGGACCTTTTTCAGGCGGTGGTCGGAAACAAAATGTATCCGAAAGAGGAGAGGCGAGGACCGTCGGTGTCGCTCTGTCCACTGTGGCTGCGCATCGAGAATAACTGTATTCGCATATAAGCATTTTTTTTTGTCATGCGTGCCGCCATGTCCATGTGTTTACATTTGTTGTTTTGAATTTGATTCGAAGCCTTACTTTGAGACGACCGCATGTTGACCAGAGACAACTGCATCGTCGATTTTTGATTCGTCCAATGATCACTGAAATCACAGGCATCACCAACTTTATGGAGAATTTCGCGAAGATGGTACAGGAGGCCACCGACATCCGGACCCGCTTCATCCAGCCCGGCTACTGCAGCGAAACGGGAGCGGTGAAACTCTACAAGGACAAGGCCGGGAAGGATGACGACAACTGGAAGGGGTACGTGATCCGGGGTCAGACCGGCCCCGCGTTCGCCCCCTACACGTGCGCGGAGATCAACGGCAACTTCCCCGCCCTGTATTGCAATGAGAAATGCTCCCACCCCACACTTGGCACCAGAATTTGTATTGCAAACCTTTCCAATAGAAACATTTTCCGTCTTGCATATCTCAGCATCACAAATTTTCCATTCTGAATAGCTCGAATTTATTGTGTTGCGAAGGGGCCCAACAGCAGCGGGATCTGTTATGCACAAAGCACCTTGCGCATCTAGATTCTGCATCAGAAAGGCTCGCAATCCTTTCACGCAACACAAAAAGGTTTCATTTGGAAACTTTGCATGACAAACTTTTGCAAATACGGGGGTGGAGGCATTCTTCATTGTAATACCCTGCACGTCATCTTTGGGCAGAAGCAGCACCTGCATAAGGTCCAGTACACCCCCAGGCACGCGAAAATGCCCCGGCCGGTAGACGCGTTGTATCAAAATGAAAAATCCCCCCTCCCCATATCAAAGGGGGGATTTGTGTAGCATGATTTGCGACCACAAATCATATTGCCATGCTAGAAGGCAAAAGGTGCGGACTGTAGAGCTGGCTGGCGTGGGAAGGCCTTGCAACCTCAGCATGACAGGAGGCAGCTGGCATAGGGAAACAGCATGACAAATTTCCTGCAATTCAGGCAGCAACTGCTTCTCTTGGCCTTCTAGCAATACAAGTCGATTTGTGTACACAAATCCCGCATGACAGATTTCCAATTCGATATGGGGTGGGGGGATTTTTCCTTACGATACGTTGCTGGATTTGTTTCCCGCCGGCGTGGCTTCCCCTAACTTCAAACCCACGGTTCCATATGAAATGCAAATATGTCTGGGTCTGGAAGAATCCAAACTTGTCATGCAGAATTTCCATGCCCCGTGAGGTCTGGAATGCAGGACCTAGCATGACAGAATCTGCGAGGTCTCTATCGTGCCTCTTCTGCATGAGAAACTTCCTCTCCTGGTGGTCAGAAAAGGGCATCTTTTGTTGCTCACGCAAGATGACAGATTTTTGTGTGAGGCGCAGGATGCATCACAGGCTCCATCCTTCCAGACATCCAGGGATATTTGCAATGCATATCCCATCCTCGGTGACAAATCCGGCCAGTCTGACCCAGAACCAGCTGACCAATGGCGGTGGGAAATCCGGACCGCCGCAGGGCGCGGCTGTTCTGGGGGGGAAAAACGTGCAAAATTTGCGCCAATTGAACAAAAACAACCTCCCGAACCCCGCAGCTTTGATGTCAACCAACGGTAATAAGCCCGTTGCTGGTAACTCCGCAGCTCCTGCCCCGTTACTCCCCCTCCGGGTGCCTCCAGCGAAAAACTCCTCCGCAGCGGCGTCAGGTGGCGGGGGCAAGAACAGTGGAAACAACAGCAATGTGAAAGGTAATGGGGCAAATCAACAGCAGAGAGAACGGTCGCCCCGCCGTGGAGGTCAAAGTTCTAAGGACCACCAGCAGCAACAAGCGGCTGTCCCGAAACCGCCACCAACGCTGGAGCAAATTATCGAAAATGGGGGTACGCCGGACCTGCTCGGTGGCGTGAATTCGGAAGAGGAATTCAACTTTGACAGCTTCAACGGCGGCTTCAACCCTTTTGCGGCGGAAATGAACGACGATGGAACGGGGAATCAGGATGGCATGTTGGATGACAACGGCGACAATTTTGGCGAGATGAATGCCGGTGACGATAACTACGACGAAACTACTGGGGACAATTTGCAGACCAGCGCCGATTCGGACAGCTTTTTCGTGAACGACATTGACCGGGAGTTCGGGCCGCAGAACGAACTGATCGAGCGGCACAACGGATACATTGCGACCATGGGCCTGGAAGAGCTTCCGAACGATTGGATCTACGCGAAGGGGATGGGTAACAAATCGAAAATCTACTACTTCAACATGTCAACCCGGCACGCGACCACCAACCGGGGGGAAGTGTTTTTGGCCGGGGAGTGAAGAATGAAAGAGGAGGATGATAAAGTCTCGGTATTTCATTCAAAATACTTTATTTCCTTGTTTGGTTCTTTCTGGCAATAAAAATAGATGCTTGTTAATAATATCTTTCCACGTGGCGTTGGTGCGGTAGAAGGGCCACCGAGGGTCATCAAGATCCACTCTGAGTGCAGTTTACAAGGGATGAATTTGGTCCGACAGAAATCGAAATGTATGTTGACTGCACGACGGCATAGAAAACATTGCTTTGCAGGTACAACTACTCACCAGCGAAGATGAAACTACACCTGTAACGAAACGTCGACGGAACTTCAAAAAACGCGAAAAGTGCCGAGCTCCGCTGAAGAATTATCTCCAGTCAATTGGGAGAAGCGGGTGCGAGTTGCTTCCAAACAACAGATTTAACGTACACGGTCTAAAAATAATTTTTGCGGTATTTTATTATTCCGTGTGTCGACCACAGTGCAGCAAAAGACTTTTAGCAAAAGAGAAGGAACAGTACACAAAACTTTTTTGAGTAGTATTTCTTGAAAACACAATGTGCTGTCCTAATTGATGTCCAGCGACTTCTACTGGTCGCACCATAACAAGGTGATTGATGTCCCCTGGCAGTCGGGAAACTGCAGGAATCCGATAGGATGAATTCAATCCTATCTGCCGAAGATGCGAACAAACTCATTTTTTTGACCGATAACTTTTTCTTTTTGCGCCGAGGAAAAATGAATAACGGTAAACAAGGCCGTGCGTATTTTCTTTCGCCAGATGCAGATGCTGGCTAGGCTTGGAACTGAGTCTGTTCAAGCGATAATTCCACTGTCACGAGCAAAGATCAACTGCTTTACGAACATGTTCACATTAATATAGTGTCTGTGCTGCTGCTGCTTTTTCTCAAGGAAGACACCGTAATTGTGTTGATCCTGCGTTTAGCAACAGAAAGCGTATGGTATCTCGGAGGCTCGCGCTCTGAACTTCAGTGGAGATGAAGAAGCGCGTGATGCGTTATTCTGATTCTTGTTCAAGTACTGACATGCACCAGTAGCGTGTGATCGGAAGACAAGGCTTAATTATGGACACATGTTTTTATAAAGGAACATGAACCAACCAATTCGAGACATGATTTCGTCGATAGAAGAGTCACATTATTTCGCGGAAAAAACGAAAAAGTACGTAAATTTTGGTAGTACAACACCAGTATCAGTATCAACACCCGTCTTCTAATTATTGATTTGTCGCATTTTTTATCGCCTTTTTTTTCAATTCGTTTTCGTCCAATACGAACATCACACCAACACCAGAATGATGCCGACCGGCGCCAGCAACAAGATCAGTTTCACTTTCGGTCGATTGACCAGCGCCGGCGCGGCAAAGGTCTGGGCGCCGGGAAAGGCCACCGCCCCCGCGCCGAACCGAAATGGGTCCACGACGACTCCCAACAATGCTGGAACGGTTGTTCCTGTGGTGCAGCAAGAAGTTGTGGCTGAAAACCAAATTCTTGCGCTGGAACATCAAGCAGGAGGGGATGCTGGTCGTACTACTGCCACTGGTAATGTAGCAACTGCTACATCCTCTACAGGCGGAGATAAAAATGTCAACAATCACGTCCCACCAGAGCTGCAAGAACATCAGGCCACAACAACGTCATCTTTAAACACCCCCCGTGAAAAGAACCTCGCCGTGGTCCCCGCTACTTTGAAGATCCCTCCACCCGCCCGCCCGCCGCCCAGAGTGCGGACGAAGCGGAGTGGGTTTGACGTGGGGCCGGGCGGGGAGAAAGTAGTTGTCAACACGGAGAACAAGCAACAAGCGCAAAAGAACAACGGAGGCGGGACTCCTGACGAGGCGACGATGAGCTCCGAGAAGGTATCAAACCACGAGAACAAGAGGCAAAATCGTGTCACAACGGTGCAAACGCCTGCTCCTCCACCACCTGCCGCCACGGGCAATGCGGGACCGCGGGCGAATGTTTCGTCTAGCAAAAATAACGTGGCGCCAACAAACTCGGTTCGTGAGGACGGGAAAATATTAACTCAGACCGCTGGGAACAACGAGTCTGCAAAGACGTCATCTTTGTCCTTACAAAAGAACACGTCGGTTGTTGTACCTGCTCCGCCCCCACCTCCTCCGCCCCCACCTCCTCCGCCAGCCGCTAAACCGCCTACTTCTACGCCCGTCGCAACGACCTACGATCCGGTGAAAACTGCGGAGCTGATCGCACACCTTGAGCAGGACATCGGGCCCAAGTGGAACTGGATGAAGGAATTACTCTGGAACCGCAACCGATGCATCCCGAACTCTGCCCCGACGCCGGACAACTTGCCCCGATCTCCGAACGAACTTTTGGATTACGTTTTCCACATGATTTTCGACATTCACGAGCGGATCAAGCAGGAGTACTCGCTGGAGGAGTTACCGGGGTATCAAATGTAAAAATGTCTGGGTCTGGAAGAATCCGAACTTGTGATGCGTGTTGCGGATCATACAAAAGTCTGTGTTGCATGACTTGCAAAAGGTCCCACTTCTATCCATGTTGAGAAGGCATTTCTCATGCAGAATAGGCCGCACCAAGGGGCTGCAGAACCTGTGATGCTAGGCCCTGCATTCCAGACCTGGCGGAGCTTGAAAAACTGCATGACAAATCTCGGAATCTTCCAGACCCAGACATTTTTGCATTTGATACGGGGGAATGGATGTACATTTCGGGCATCAAAACCAACCCGAAAATTGACCCGAAAAAGATGTACTACTACAACCTCGTGCGGCAATTTGTCACGTTGGAGCGGAAGGCGGTTTTTCTCGATCCGTCGAATTACAATAACCTTCCCCACGCGGTGAAGCGGATCCCCTTGGGGATTTTCGAGGCGTTCAAGGCACAGGCGAACCACTTGGCGCTGAATATGAACGTCAATAGGAGGTGGGCCCCCTCGTTCTCCTCATTGGATGTGGGCGGCTGCATTGAGCAGCAAGAACACAAGCAACCGCACGACATCCTGACACGAAAAAGAACTGCTGTAGTGTGTCATGCCAATTAGGTGTGGGAGGCACCGAGAGCACACTGAACACTTTTGCATGGCGAATTCTGTTGGGGAACGGAAAGAAAATTGCGGCGCACTTCACTTGTGTTTAGCATGACAAAGGACAGGGATGAGGGGGAATTGTGCACTGTGATACTCCGTCCGAGGAATGCTGAGGGAAGCAGTAGTAGCAGTTGTTCTTCAACCATTGGAGGTTGTAGCACTGCTTCCGCGGCGTTGGCGAAAGTAAACGGAGAGCATGCAGGTACCGGAGATGTTGGTGGCGGACGAGAAATATTAGACGGAACAAGTACAACCAGAAAGAACATCAAGCAACAAGCCGAAGTAAAGAAGACGAAGCCGTCACCGACGCTGCTGCAAATCCACCCGGGAGAGTTTGATGACGAAGATGGTAATAACGGTGAAAAGGAGTCCGAGTCTAATGTGGTCAAGAAGCAAATGCAATTGCAAAGCCAAACTACGCCAAAATCAAGCGCCGCTCTGACCCCACTTCCGAAAAGTGTAGGAACCACGTCGAGAAATGCAGCTGCGCCGGCTCCGCGGCCGCGTCCACCTTCTTCCGCTTTCAACGTTTTGGAGGACATCCGAAATAAAATCCTCGCGGGCAAGAGAGCAGAACTGGAAAACCGCATTCGCAACAACGTTTTAGCGGGTCGGAATCGCCGGGTGTGGGGGCCGCAAGGTGGGGAGAATAGTAGTTCATCCACCGGGAATAGTATTAACGCAGACAATGGAGGAGGGGATGGGGATGCTAGTGCTGCGGGTGGTGGGCAATCTGTCATGCCGGAGGCAAAACGCCTGAAGAGAGGCGAATAGAGGAAAGGCGCACTTCTTACCTGCTTCAAGCGGTCATTCATGATTAGCCAAGGGGCTGTGTCGTGTGCAGTCCTACTGAGAAGAGAATTTTTCAGACACCTATTTGATTTTCCACAATTTTGAGACGTTGCTGCTGTTAGGTTTCGGACAGAAGGTTCCGAAGTTCTGTTGTGTTGCAGCAAACACCTATTCCGATTTCAAAGACACGAAGAAAAGAAGGATATATCTCCGAACTCATGTCGATGTCCACGACCAATCGGATTTGGAATTGCAGACGCTGCCGCTGCAGTTGTTCTGCGTGTTCGTCTGTTTTTCAAACCTTATAATAGGATGAAGCAAGGAGCGCACATTCTCAGGGGCGGAATTTTGGAAAGTGCTTAGCGGGTTGGCGAGTGCTTGCAAGTGGGCGCCGCCGATAGGGATAACGGGCAAGCAGCTGCGCCAGCACTTGGCGAGGATGAACGCGGAAGCCGCAGGGATGGACGGCGTCCGGTTGAAGGTTTTCAAGGCGCTAACAGCCGACCAGTGCGATAGCCTGGCGCGCGGGCGCGTGCGCTTCCTCGCACAGGTAAGCCGGGAGGCTGCCCGACCTTCAGAAGCGGAAGACGAAGCGCATCCTGGCGGCCTTGCGCCAATTTCATCAACTACCGCGGCGCCTCCGCGTGCCCCCCCCGCGAATTCGTCACGGGATTGCTGCTCTGCGAAGAGTGGAGGACGCTGGGCCCGGGGTGGGGAAACAAAACGGAAGCCCCGGCGCACGCGGCGCGGGGCGCCGCCGCACCACCGACCGGCCGCGGCACGAGCGAAGGCGCCCGGCGAGGCGGTGCCCCGCGTTGACAGCTGGCAGTGGGCCGCCGGGCTGCTTGGTACGTAGCTGAGTCCGACGCGTGGCCACCAAGCAGGCGCCCGGTGGCGGCCTGCTATAATCTGCGCGCCCCCCTCTTCGCGGCGGCAGTGTCTGGCGCCTTGGCCGTTGCGAGGCTCGGGAGGGCGGGCCTGCACACGCGCCGCGCCTTTTGCCCCTGACAGACTGTTGTGGCGGCAACATCTCCCCGGCGAAGGACGGGCGGGCCGGTCGCTGCCCAAGTCTACGATGGGGCGCATTGGTTCGCCTCCAAGCACGGAAGGAAGCAGTGCAGCAACGGATGCGGGGCCGCGGCGAGATACAACGGGCCGGCCAAGGGCTCTGCGGGCGGCCGGTAGCGTATTACCCCCGCGCACCCCCATAGCGTGGAACTTAATCAGGTTCGGGCCCTGCCGCTCGCTGGTCAAGTTCAGGCCCAAGGAGGAGCGGCAGTGGCATCCCGGCCCGGTGCGCCCTTTGGCAGTCTTCTCCCTGCCCCGCACCCGTTTCCGACCGGAGCTGGTGGAGGCGCCGCGCCTGCGCTGCCTAACCGGGGCGGGCCTTTCCGGGCGCCCGCGAAGCTTTTCGGGCGCCTGCTTTGCCCCGCTATTGTGGCCACCCGGGGGCGGTCTGTTATGATCTGCGCGCGCGCCCCGCGGTGGGAGTTCGTGGCGCGCTGGGTTTTTTGGCCCTTGGCGAGTTCGAGGCAGGCCACGCTTCCCGCCACCTTGCAGGGGGCCGCGTGTGAAGCCTCAGCCCTGCCTCTCCGGCGTGACGCAGTTTTCTTCTTATCGTGTGAAGCGATGGCACAGCCCCCAATCGGTCTGCCATTATCGTAGAGTAGCGAGGCGGTTTCTTGCACAGGGCAAGGGCGGAGGTGTTGTTCGATATCTCGTGCGAATGTGTCGAATATGAAAAGCAAATCTTAAGATTGCAAAACAAAAAACAGCAAGGCTCTCATCGGTCTATGATTTTTTGTGTTAGTCCACTCAAACTAGTAGATAAGCTGGCTATACTAGCATGCGTGCCATGTTTACCTCTTCTGCGTCCAAATTTCCTCAAGTCTTGATTTTCAGAGCCTTTGCTCAGTTTACTTAGCCGAGAGGAAAAGACCAGCAGAGGCTCTTACTGCACAAGGTGGAGAGAGGAGTGCGCACTGGATGCTAGCATGCAAGTTTGAACAGCCAATGCCAAAGAGAGTGTCTGTGTCTGTCGTTTCTACAAATTTATCACATTTGGCTCGAAGTGGCATTTCCATTTTTTTAATTTTGATGTCACTAACAACGTCAAAACAGTGAAACCTTTTTTTTTTCGTTTTGTGCGCAAGAGCTACCCACTGAAAGTATTGATCGACACCAGTCGAATCCATAGCAGTAGTATTTCTACATCTACACCCACGTAGGCGTAGTTTTGAAATCCAGTGTCGAATAGCGTACATAGGCCTGAGCGCCTTGACTTTTTTTCGCGTAGACACCAGGCAGAGTCCCATTCCATTCATGATTTTGTGTAAAAACGAAAACACCACATCCACTACGAGTAGTATAAGTTTACGTTTTTTGCAATAGAGAACTACCCACTGACAAATTGCAATTCTTCCTCGCGGCCGTGCTTTTCGCCCCCAGCGCCGCAGCCTAGCATCATGAACGTTCTGCAGAATTACAACACGCGGTCGAATCCCTACCCCGCAACCTCCTCCTCTTCCTCCACCGCAACGCAAAGAAACGTCGCCTTTCCCGAGCCCTTCATCTGTCCTTTAGGTGGGAGCCTCCTTTGCGATCCGGTGATCGCCATGGACGGCTATTCGTACGAAAGAAACAACATTCTCCGCTATTTCCAACAGGAACGGCAATACGGTGCTGGTGCAGCAACTTCTTCCTCATCAACTACCCAGCAGGTGTGTTACCGCAGTCCGAAAACTGGTCAGGAACTCCCGTCAAATTTTCTGATCGCCAACCTGAACCTGCGAAAAGCGATTGACTACTGGCTGGCGACCAATCACAACATGTACACCGGGGGAGGTGGGGCTGGGCCCGCGGGGATGAATCCGCGCAATCCACCGCCAATAAACAACAACTTTGACTTCGCCGCGATGCCCCCGAACTGTACTCCTGTGCACCTGCAAGAGATCAACGCTTATGTGGTTGGTGTGCCGACGGATGAAGCGGGGGTGGTGTTGGATGAGTCGAAAAAGTTTTCCGAGCAGGTGCTACTAGGGCATATCATTGACGAAAAACACACGTGGCGGTACGCCTGGGATACAGTGAAGTCCGGGGCGGGGAAACACAAACTGCAGTTTGAATGCAACAACTGGGTATACTTTTTCTTGTTACTAGTACGTGCCAGATAGTACATAGATAGCAGACGAGTTTTCGAAGACTCGGCTCTTTGTTAGGCAAAGAACACTCTACCTGAGCGGCCTGAAGATGATGACCATGACGTCATCAGATGAAAATCTTCTCACCACAGATCGCCCGTCGCGGATCTCCTTCCGGCGCAGCAGCAGCAGCCTCTTCCACCACCACCGCCCCCTCCTCTGAATTTTCCCAAGACCAGCAGTCCCTAGACGGTCTTACCCTGCTCTCCAGCCGGCCGATCCGCGTTCGTTTCGGGGAGACGATGGAATGCCACGTGAAAATCCTGGAGATTTCGAAACAGACCACCTGGGGCGGCATGAAAATTGGCTTAGTGCCGGAAACCTCCACGTCGTTACTAACCTCCGAAAACTTGTTTCAGGCGATTGACGACCGCGGGTTTTATTTCGACGACCAGAGATGGTTTAAAGTGCCGGACGGGGGCAATCAATTGACCAGCTTCAACTCCGCTGCTTTGAAGGAGAACGACGTCTTGTCGCTTTTTCTCACCAACGACGGGAAAACTATCCATTTGTTCGTGACGCCCGGAGGAGTTGTAGCAGGGGGCGCATCAGCAGGACCTGCACAAGGTGCGTACGCGACGCCGAGGCCTCAACAGATCACGGTGGAAGACGTGAATATTCCGCTGTTTTTGGAGAAGCAGTTCTACACGTCGAGTAGCAGTTCGAATAACCCGCGACTCAGCCCCTCGGCGGGCGGTACCAACTTGTATCCGTTCGTGATACTGAGCGGGAACTGCGAGGGCGTGGAAATTGGGGTCGGGAGACCAAATGATCTGGTGCTGCCCGAAGGGTGCGGACTGAACTATTGACTCAATCAGTGCAAGAACGCGGTTCATTCGCATTCCTGATGAAAAGTATAGCATCTATTCACAGGAGTGACAGTGAGTGGTGAAAGACAAAACAAAGTGGAATGCCCCATTTCGCAGCAGTTTCTATTTCTTGGCGGTGCCGCGAATAGGAGAGCAGAAGAAGAAAACAGAGATTGTTCCACTTACCTTGTTCCGACAAAGAAAAGGATCACAATGGCTTTGCACAGTTCATCAAAGCTCAGTTGAAAATTCTTGCGAAAAATTGTTTTGGATCATCTTTTACCTAGGACACTGTATATAAAGACGCGCTGCTGCGGAATTGAGCTGGTATTTTGATCTACCATGCAGTACAGGTTCGAAATAAATAAAATGAAGATCATTCGTCCTGCGCTCGCAATGCGGACCAGATCTTCAAAAGTTGAGAATTTGTGGCTCCAGAGTAAGTTCTTGACAGTGATCTGGTTTCTGGCACGACAATTGGAAAAGCGCGACTACAGTGGATCCGCACAGTTGTTTTCTTTCAGAAATTCCGCTACTTTAATCTTATTCACCAACAGGCTGGGATGAAGAGGCAGTTCAGGTTTTCGCAGCCCATACTGTAATTTTTTCGTATGTGCTTAAGCGAATCACGACTTCTATTTTTTAGGCTTAGGCATGCTTATTTTCTTTAGTTGAAGTGAAGGGCTAGTTCATCCCTTGTACGTATCAAAGCACATCAGCGAAATTATTTCCTAGAGCGACAGAGAGTAGAAATGTTAACAACTTTCCATACCTACAAGTCAGTTGCTTGAAGAGAAGTAGATCAAGATGGAACACAAAGAGAATAAACCCACCGCAAGAAGCTGCTCCAGCAGTAGCAGCAGTACCCTGGCAGAGCCCACAGTACCCGCAAAGGCTTCTTCCTCTTCCTCCTCTAGCTTCCTTCTTCCCGACGCTGGTGCGTCTGCCTCGTCTAGCTCTACACGTCGAGATCACGACGCTAACGCCAGCAGTGTGAAAAAGACAAAAAAGAGCAAGAAGAAAGATAAACACCGAAGCAAGACGTCAGATTCAAAGCGAGTCAGCAGTACCGAAAAAGCAGAATTCCGGAACACCGGATTAGGCGGAATTGCAGCGAGCGCTAGCGTTCTTTCTAGAAACCTAAACCGCGACGAAAAAGTCGATAGTGAAGACGACGAGGACGACGACGATATCGTCGACTTACAAAACATCTCTGACGAGGAGGAAGAGCCCGATTCCGAAGAGCTTTTCCAGGATTTCTCCGAAGCCGAGTCCATTTCCGAGAACGACAGCGATTTAATACGCGAGTGCGAGGAGGCGGATAGATTGAACCGAGAGGAGGAAGAGGCGGCGATTGCCGCCGGGGAGGTGGACGATATTGAGGGAAATGATGAGGAGAATGATAATTCTTCCGAGGATGACAAGCAAACGGTGCCTAGTTCGGAAGATCGGGAAGACGAAGACCGCGATTTGAGCGATTTGGTCGTGGACGACGACGATGCAGACAGCGAGGAAGAGGAAGACAGTTCTTCCGAAGAGGTACCAAGCGAGTTCCTAGAAGAAGACGAGCACCCATTGTCCCGCAACATGAAAGAAATTGTCAGGAGGGGGTTGCAAGAATCTCAAGATACAGCAGCCCGCGCGACTACCATGACAACTGGGGATAATGTTAAAGCGACGGTGGAAAATAAAAGAACAGAAGGTGGTTTCCAACAAGAACCACCTGGGAACAATTCTACTACTACTACTACTGCTGGAACTACTTCGTCCTCTTCCGGAAAGACGAGCTGTGCCTTCAGCGCAGGGGTTTTCCCTACTGCGAACAAGGAGATTAAGGGGAGTCGGCGGCAATCTGCCGCGCGCCCTCCGAGGACTACTGTCTCCACGAAGGAGAGCTTCCGGATTTTTCAACCGGAAATTGAAGTGGAGGATTCGGACGAGGAGGAAGAGGAAGAGGACTGCGACGAAGAGGAGGAAATAAGCTACGTAGGTGCTATGTCTATACCTTCTGACAGTCTGTGCTCGAATTACGATAGTGGGGAAGGGGATAGTGCGCTGGAGCAACTGAGCTTGAGCAACGGAGAGGAGAATACTAAATCGGGAAGAAATAAAGGCTCGTCTTCATCTGCTGGGGAGAAAAAGAAGAGAAACAACGACGACGAAAATAAAGCGTATGCGAAGATGAAAAAACACGACGAAAAAACATTGGCCATGATAAAGCGGAGAGGCGAAAAAACGGTCGATAAGATCGAAGCGGCCGTCGACAGGCTCTATGAGATGTTGCCAGGTATGGAGTTAGTACTGAGGTCCACCACGTCCACCTGCAGTTTTGGGAATAATTATGTGAAAAATAAGATGAAACTCAAACTCTGAAAGCGAAAGGATGTTGCTTGAGTCAATGTTGTACGATATTTCTAAGCCCTGGTTGTTGTTGTAAAAAATTCTTCAGAGCCTCCCGAGCCACGCGTGGTCGCAAAAAGCGCCGCAAATCGTATAAAACGAACATAACCATCAATACAGGTCCTCCCTCTGCTCCAACTGGTTCTTCGAGGAAAGTAGACGAGAAGCCAGCACCGGTGTTGACCTATCCAAGTCAAAGTAGTAAGCAGTCGGATGTTGTTGAAAAGGAGTCGCAGTCGGATAATTTCCAAGCGCCGAAGCGGAGAAAAAAGCTGATCAGCCGGAGCAGCGACGAAGAGGACGAGGAGCCTGTGAAAATAAAATCTTCCTCTTCTACTACGAAAAATATTAAAACCGGCGACGCAACCACTGCGAGCAGTCCTGCTTGTTCAACATCCAAAGAAGCTGCCGGAGAACAGAAGAATACCAAGAGGAAGAACAAGTTGATCAGCCGTAGTGACGATGAGGAGTCGGACCACAACAACCGTGGCTGCAACGACGTTGAAAACATCAAGACTACAAGAACACTCGTAGAGGGACAGCACACCGCCTGTCCGGAAATTGAAGCGGAGATTTCAGACGAGGAGGAAGAGGAGGATTCAGACGAGGATGCTCCTTCTAGCAGTTGTCCTAGCGAAGAAGAACACTACGATTGTTCAGGGAACAGTTGCGCGGGCGGGTCAATCACAAATTACTCGAATGATCCGAGTTCCTCTCCGGTCGGGGGGGCCGCGGAGGGAAAAACCACGAGGGGTAGTTCATCTTCGTGTAGTTTTCACGAAGGCCAGCATCTGAATGTGATGAACGACAACGAGAGGCGGGGACGTAGTAGCGGTTCTTCTAGTGAAGAAAAAAGGAGCAAAAATAAGCTCCAAGAACATCAACAACAGCAGCAGAAGTCTTCTACTACAACTACCTCCATGGTAACTACGTCCTGTTCCGAATATGAGGAGGAAGAGGAGGAGGACGACAGCCAGTTAAGCCGGCTGGAGTTTTCGTCTCTGGAAGAGGAAGATGAGGACGAAGAAATGGAAGAGGAAGACGACAATATCATGAACAGCAACAGGAGCGCTTTTGGTGGTGGTAGTGCTGCTGCTGCTGCATCAACTTCTGCGGGTATTAACTCAACCCTGAAGATGAAATCCAGAACAAAATCCGCTGCGAACAAGATGCTTTCAAAGAAAAGCGCTGCCGAGGAGCAAAACAGTTTTTGGGAGGATGAAGAAGAGGAGGACGATATTATCGACAGCTGTGACGAGAGAGAACAAAACGCCGAGCTTGATGGCAAAATTATGCTGAGCGACGATGCCAAAATCAGAGCCCCGCGACCGTCTGTAGCCTCTTCTGCGGACGAACAAGGGGAGGAAGATAAGAGCGACGTGCGTCGTGTTAATACCAAGAAGAAAAAGCTTTCCCTGGAGTCGCAGCTGGCGTCGCTGAAGCTTGACAATAACAGCAGCGTCGGGAGTTGTGAGGACAGTTCTTGTGATAAGAATCTGAGCGACGGAAAGAAAATGCAGCAGTCCGATACAAAATTGCTCTTAACCGATGAAACCGACCATGATGAGGTTCTTGAGGACTACGATCCGGACAATGCTCTCATCGACGAGAAACCCCGGGGCGTTTGCTACCTGGAACGTCTCCCGCCGTACATGCGGCCGGACAAGATGCGGCACTTACTGGACCAAGCGCTATCGACGAAAAACAGCGGGAATAAATCTGGCACTTCTTCGGATAACAAATTTTTCGTGTCCCGCATCTACCTCAAGCCGGAGACGGAACAGGAGGCGAAACACCGGAAGAAGGTCTTCAAGGGAAACCGGAAGGTGAAATACACGGAGGGCTGGGTCGAGTTTTATGACAAAAGGAAAGCGAAGAAAGCGGCGGATTGCCTCAACGCGACGCCGATTGGCGGGAAGAAACGACACAACTATTATCGGGACGACATGTGGAATATCAGGTATAGTGCGATACTGTACTTGCATAGTCAGATTTGTGTGACAGATAAAGGTGTCACTGTGTGGACGGCACGACAAATGTTTGCTCTCGAAGTTATTCCTGTTTTCATCAACCCATGTTAAAAATCCCAGGTACCTGCACAAGTTTAAGTGGTCGCAGATTAAGCAAGAGGAGCGGTACAACCGGGAAGTCCGGAAGCAGAAATTGCAGCGCGAAACCGTGAAGGCGAAGAAGGAAAATGAATTTCTACTCGAGCAGGTGTTCAAGGAAAAAGTTGGAAAGAAAATCGCGGAGAAACGGGCGGGGAAGGTTGGTGGAGCAACGGTCGTGAAGACGAGCAATGACAAATCTGCTGCAGGAGAAGCTGTGAATCTGAATGATAAAACTGCCCCAGCCAGCGCCGGCACCAGCACTGGTGCCAAAAGCAAAAAAGCGAGCAACAAACGTCGCATGAGTTCTTTGAATGCTGCTCGTGGTGGTGCAGCCGCGATGGCCGCTTCGTCGAATTGGGCAGCCTCCTCTTCGACTTCCGCGCCAGCTCTGAAAAAACCGAAAACCTTGTCCAGCTCGGTGCTTTCCGGGTTCCTGTGAAGGGATTGAAGAAGCAACAACGGGAGGACGATCTGCAAAGTGTAACTTCAGAAAAATTTCACTCTGTATCTTCCCCTGAAAAAAACCTCGACAGCTGCATCCGACATTTTGCGTATGATATGGAAAAAGCGATAATGTACTTGCGATTATTATGTTTCCTACCGCCCGGGCCGATTGTTATTTTCGCGGCAAGCCGGCATATTGCGATTTCTTTTGCGCGTCCCATCACCTGCCGGTTATTTTTGTGTTCAGTTTATACTACTCGTTGTCGTACTCTTAGCAGCTATTCAAAAAAGCCAAGGGATGAAAGGCTACTAGGTCACTGTGTTTTTTCCTTGTCTATAGCAGGCTGTAGTTCGCTCGTAACAAGAAGTAGGGAAAGATCCCAGGTGGAGATGGATCTCCCTGCTCGAACGGAAGATGATCCAAGCCCAGAAGATCTGGCCAGGTTTATTCGAGCGTGGCTTTGTCCGATCTTCTCCACAGCGAGAAGAGGTACTACAGAGTGGCTGCAACAAACGAAGAAGAGAGCGGCTGGGAAGTCAGAGAGCGGCTCCGAAGGCTGAGGTTTTGTTGAGGGATCGTGCAATGTAATTAAGAAACTAGAACTACAGTTAGCCCTTTTTCATCGTGAAAACACGAGCAGAGTGGTTGATCAGTTGAAAGTAAGTAAAGTAGAGCATGATTTTCCGATTTTTGCGCTGTCGCCAACTACATCGTATGTAGTTCTTCTCAACACCCGCCGAGAAGAAAAACAAGATGTTAGCCCGCAGCTCTTCTTCCGCGGTCGCACGGCGGTCGATATCGCGTTCCGCCGCGCGGCGAGCCCAGGTGCGCCGTGTTGAAGATCATGCGCAACATGTAGTTGCAGCACCGTCGGTGCTTTATTTCGGGCCTGGACGAATTTCCGCTTATGGCTACGGGTCAACATCGTCCACAGCGCTGTCCTTGCCCGGTCACGACAGGCACACGACCACTACTTCTACACATGGTCCGACGTCGCAGGTACGACCCTCATCAAGGGGCTTCGCAACCTCGAGTCCACCGGGGACGAAAGACCACGATGAAACGCGACCGAGTACTAAAACGACAACCTCCTCCAGCACCGAGGCTGGAGATGAGCAAGCAGTGACCACGTCGAGCAGTGTGAGTTCTAATGGTAGTGCGAGTAGTACCTCCTCTTCAAGTTCAAGTTCCAAAGACGAGAAAATTCTGGAGAAGGCGATTCTGGTAGACGCTGAGAAGGAGGTGCTGACTTCTGTGGAAACGAGTTTTCACGGAGCTGCGGTAACAAGCGGATCTGGTTCCACTGCAAGTTCTTCACGAAAGAACGGGTCTTCGTCCTCTGGAGGTGGATCTTCGTCTTCCAGCTCCAAACAGAATAAAAATGCATCTACTTCACACTCGACAGTGGAACACACCCTCAACCAACTCCCTGAGGAGGAAATTTCCGGGCACCTCTGGTTTTCTAACATCTACCCCAATCAGCGCCATTTCCTTGATTTTCGCTGGTTTTTCACGACGCAGAACCACCGAACGCTCATCCCGCAGCTGCTTCCCCCCAGCAGCATCAAGATTGCGCGGTACTTGCCGCGGAAACGGGAGGGGGGCGTGTTTGTGGACTTCATCGCGCACCCGAGGTTCCAGAGGTCGATCTTGTCGAAGATGGGCAAGTCGATAAAACTGCGAAAAGAGGAGAAAACGAACGCCGAAATCCATTCGTTTGTGTCCATGGGTGTGCAGAAATTTTTGAAAAAAAACGACTACAAAGCGCCCCTGACCAACTACTACGTGCGGGCGCACGAGGTTTTAGGAAAACCCTTCATCGACGAGTTTATCGGGCGGTATCCAAGTAACGTGCTCAAAGTCAAATTGGGCGAGGAAGTGAATATTGCAGCAGCTGGTCCCGTTGGAAGTTCTACTTCAGGTGCAACCACTTCTACGGTCACTCCGACCAGTTCGTCAGCAAGTGGTTCTACTGGCGACCAAACTACAACTGGCCATTTACTAGAAGAAGTAGCTGTGCCACCAGCCGCGGGAACAAGTGCAAAGAGCTCGAGCAAAATGAAGATGAAGACCAAACAGGCAAAGATGGCGAGCCTGAAGCAGAACAAAACCACGAAAATGATGTCAAAGCAGGATCCTGTGGTGGAGAATCAAGACCACAAGCTCGTGGACATCGCATCGCCTGGGTTAAATTTGGTGATCCGGGGGGAGAAAAGCTCTACAGGAGCAGGGGAAAACAAAAGCGACGCCAAGGAGAAAATGCAGCAGAAGTATCAAAAGGCGTTGGAAAACGCGACCTTTTTCAAGGAAGAGAACCTGCATGCGGTGATGCGCTCCTTTGGACAGTTGGTTGACATGAAGTACGACAGTGCCAGCCAGGAGTGGCGCGTGCAGTTCCTCCGCGCACACTCGGCCGTTGCCGCCCGGAACTGCCTGCATCGGGCGCCCTTGCACAAAATCTACTCCAGCATCGTCTATCGGGAATTACGGGAGCTGTACGATGCGCGAAGTACGACCCCGCTGGAGGGCGGGAATGCCGCGGACGGGCATGGTGCGCTGGATGTTGCTGGAGGGACGATTTATTTTGGGGAGGAGGTATTACGGACTAAGGATTGATGTGAAACAGAAACTCACAGGAGATTTGTACGTCGATACATTTTGTCTTCTTGCATGAGGTTTTCAAATAAGCAGCAAGATGACCTGACGATGGTGCATCGGAGTCAGTGTAGTCTTCATGTTGCGAGCATCACCAACTTCAAATCAAGGATGATAAAAGCGATCTAAAAAAACAGGACGACGCCCCGGCCCGCGTGCCCGGGATGCAAAGAATTCGGCACTACGGACAAAAATTCGCGGAGCGGCTGACGAGCATGTATGTGCACGGGAGGTTTGGAAGGAATACTGAAAGTACAACTCGAGTCATCGGTGCGGGAAGTAGTACGACTGGCGATCAGCAACTCGGTTCATCTTCTGAGCATGCACACAGCAACTACACGCTTACCTCCTCCTCGACAAGCAGCAGCACCACCAGCGCAAAAATCCCCTCCACAGTGTCCCTCCCGTTGCCAAAAACTCTGCCGGACGAAGTGATCGCCAAAACACAGTCCACGGTTTTCGAAATCAAGTACGAGCAGAGCCAAGCGCTCCGAACACTCCGCGAGCAGCTGGTGCAGAATTGGCGGATGGCGATTTTGGCCCTCCTGGGGTTAGTAGGTTTCAGCACGACGTTATCCAGGAAAAAAACTGTGTAAGTGTAACTTTCTGTGGCTAACAGCATCACAAATTTGCTCTACATGACAGGGAAAACCTGTCATGCGTGGCTTGTAAGGGAAAACACATATGAAGAGAGGACTTCATGGCTGTCTGGCATGACAAGTGTAACTGTTTTGCATTTTCTGCATCACAGATTTACACTTACACATTTTTTTTCTTGCATAGACGTTTCTCTTTGACCCCTTGCGATTGTTTTTCGTGAAGCGGAAAATCGAGGCGGCCTACGATCTATCAACTGCAAATATGTCTGGGTCTGGAAGAATGCCAGACTTGTCATGCAGGTTTTCCATGACCCATGAGGTCTGGTATGTAGGACATAGCATGACAGATCCTGTGAGAGTTCTATCATGCCAATCCTGCATGAGACACCGCCTCTCGGTTAGGTCAAAAGTGGACATCAGCTTTTGGTAGTCATGCAACGCAAATTTTTACGTGAGTCAGATTTAGCATGACAAGTTGCTTTGTTCCAGCCCCAGACACTTTTGCATTTGATACGATCGGAACTCCTACGCGTATGGGTACGGAAAGAGCGGCGAGACGGGTGGGTTGCTGTGGTTCCTGCCGACGCGGCTGTTGGGGATGGGAGATTGGCTTGGTATGATAGAAGAAGCTTTTGCATTTTTTTTTCTTTTCATCTGATTCGGGGTCTGTTGCTGCTGCTGGTATTGTTCTTTTCTTGTGCCTGGAAGATGATGAAAACACATTCTGTATACTTGAACAGAAGCAATACAAAAAACCAGGCCTCGGCGCCCTGTACCGCGCTTTGCGGATGTCGACGAGTAGTGCGTCGCGCACGGGACGCGGGCGCATGAATTTGGAAGAGCAGTTTTCGCAGGCGCGGAAGGAAGATTTGGAAAAAATCAAGCACTGGCTGCGCACCGACCCCCCGGAGCGCGTGATGCTTCTCACCGGGCCGCGGGGCGATGGCAAGCTCGAGGTGATTCAGGAAATTTTCCGCGACAACTATATCACGAAGAGTAGTGGTACTGGTACGACGGTGGGGCAAGAACATCAAGTGGGAAGTAGAACTACAATCGGGGCAACATTATCTGCACCACGCGAGGTGGACCATCAGCCAGTGACACACAGCTCCACGACGGCGTTGCAACCGGTCGTCGAGTATGAATTGCAAAACGTCTGGGTCGGGAAGGTTGGAACTTGTGATGCTAACTCTGGACTCTAAAAAAATCTGTATTGCATGACCAGCAAGAGGACTCTAGTTTGTGCTACGCGGGGATGGCATTTGTCATGCGGATTAGGTATCAGGAAGGGTTCTGAAAATCTGTGATGGTAGGGCATACATCACAAACAATCCTGGGTCATGCAGAACATGCATGACAAGTCTCAGAATCTTCCAGACCCAGACATTTTTGCATTTGATATCGAGCTGGATTTTTCCCCGTTACTAGCCCGGAACAAGGATGAAAGGTTCCTCCTAAACGCGCTGTGTCGCATGTTCAACTACTACCCGGCGATGCTGATTTGGGACCAGTCCGCGGCCCTGCTCGACACCGTCGTGCCCGGCGCGAGTCGGATCGCCGGCGGGTCGGGCGGGGGAATGAACGAACAGGTGAACACGCAACTCTCGCGGATCTTGTCTTTCACGACCGTCGCACTGGCACAGCATAAGGAGGAACGGCGGAAACGGGAGGAGAAGGGCTTGACGGGTTTGAGTGGAGGTGGTACAACAGCTAGAACATCTGCTGGTGATATTGATCAAGCAAAATCTTCGTCGAACAGCGGTGATGCCGTTCCCGCCTCCCTGACGCAGAACACGAAGGAAAAGTACCCGCTCTTCGTGATCGAGGGCTTCACGCAGGAGAATTTGGACTCCATACCGAATCTCCTGGAACTTCTCATCAAGTGGGCCGCGCTCGTTTCCGAGCGAAAATTAGCCAAAGTCGTTTTTCTCATCGACGGGTCCTGGGGCCACTCGTTTTTCCAGAAGGTCTTGAAGCACCGCCCGGACTTGCTGGAAGAGAAAGTCTGGGGCGACGTGCCGATGGAAATGGTCCGGGAGTGGCTCGGGGAGAGGTTTTTGGTCGATCTAGCGGAGTTGGAAGGACTGAAAACAGCAAATAATGCTGACGAAGTTGATCATAAAACTAGCGACGCACTGGTGTCCTGGGCGACGAAGAGAAGTACTACTACAACTAGCGCTGCTACCGGTGATGTTGCAGCCGGCTCAACACCAACATCTTCGGAAGTTCCAACGACCACTAGTACGACAGCCCAGGAGCTTATACTCGGTGAGAAAAATCGACTGAAGACGCAAGAAGTTTTCCCGCCAGCCGTGTCTACGGGTGAGGCAGCGACTGACTATGGAGGAATAAACCTTCTGGAAGTTGTAGCCGGTGGATCGTCAACAACATCCTCTTCCTCTAAAGTACAAACACTTGATGTGGCTGGAGAAAAATCAGGACAACAAGTCCTTTCCCCGCCGCCGTCCCTTCTCCACGTGTGTTCCCCGCAGGAGAAGGTGTTTATGATCAACCGCATCTTGAAGACCCTCGGGGGCCGCTTGTCAGACTTGGAGATTCTCCAGTCGAAAATTGAGAACGACAACATGATATGAAATGCAAATATGTCCGGGTCTGGACGGTTAGAACTTGTCATGCCAGATCTTGATCACTGAAAAATCTGTGTTGCATGAACTCCAAATAAAGCTGCCCACTTCTTGGTAGGCAGAAGGCGGATTTCTCATGCGGCATAGGCATGAGGAAGGTCTTGCAAAACCTGTCATGCTTCTGTGTGCATTCCAGACCATGCACGTGGTCCGCGAGATGCATGACAAACCTTGCACTCTTCCAGAGGACCCAGACATATTTGCATTTGATACATGACGCCGTCGGAAGCTCTGGCGGAAATGATCGAGACCACGACCACAACGGTCCGCTCTCTCCTGGTCCGCGACGAGAAAGAGGCGCTGTCCGTATCCTGAGCAAAAACGTCTCCACCCCAGAGTTGTCATGCAGATTTGCAATGACAGGAACATTTGCAATGCGCATCTACATGAGAAGCATTTCCAATCGTGTTTTGGAATTTGTAATGCTGTAAACAGGATGAGGAGATGGGTTTGTGATGCGACTGCCCTTGCTAACCTACACTACACTACAACGACGAACTTGTCATGCATGGCTTCCAAAACTCTTGGATTTCTCTTGCAGAGTTCGCAACTTGACTATGGGGTAGGGACGTTTTTACTCAGGATAGTCCGCGAACCAGCTTTGGTCCCGGAACCAGTTGTGGAAAGCGATTGAGATCTTGGCGCTCGGGGAGGCGAAAGCGGAAAGAGCAACTGGTAGTGCTGTGAAAGGTGGACAAGCCGCGGCGCACAAAAATACCTCCTACGTCACCTACGATGCGTTTCTCGATTACGTGCTACGTGGGGACGAGCGCATCATGCGGCACATGCTCGCGTCGCAATTGATAACCACGAAAATGGTCGAAGTCCTTGGGGAAGAAGAAGTAGACCACTCTGGAAGTGCAGCAGCAGCAGTAGGTCCACTGCGAGTTGATCATGAAGCGGGTTCCTTCTACTTCCGTCGCTTCGGGCAGCGAAAGATGCAGCAAATCGTGCTGCCCGGGTCGCCTTTATTCGGCGAAGTTTACAATCGGTTGTATTTGGGGGAGGAGAGTACAATTTCAAGTTCGAGTTCAAGCGAGGGGACCAAAAAAGACCCTTCCACCAGAACGTCCAGCATCTCCACTTCCTGCCGCAACATTTTTGGCCTCTCCGCTGTGAAGGAAGACATCGGGAAAGTGGAAAAGGACCTGCAACACTACGAAGCCGAATTATCTTGATTAAAAACGTCCCCACACCAGAGTCAAGATGGGAAATTTGCTAGACAAATCAGCCAGCTTTGGTGGTTTCGCATGACAACTTTGTCCTCGTAGTGTAGTCCTTTTTTGCTAGTTCAGCAGCATCACAGATATAGCATTATCGCGCTGATTCTAGCATCACAAATTTCAAAACACGAATAGAGAATGCCTCTCATAGGGCTCCGCATGAGAAACTTTTATTTTTGGCATGCAGATTTGCATTACAACTCTGGGGCGGGGACGTTTTTACAAACAATAGGAATTGCAGAAGGTTTACACGGCGGAAAAAGATTTGCGGAAACTCGAGCGCGACGCGCACGCCGTGGTACACCACCACATGCTGTTGGCGGAACGCGCAGGTGGCGGGACTTCAACATCGAGTTTTGGGTCTTTTTTGAATTCTTTCGTGACCAATTTGGTCTTCTTTCCGGTGAACGTGATTCTGTACCCCTTCAACAGGAGTGTCACCTTCGCAAACATTGTGGACGACATATGGGGTTCTCAAAGAACGTTACATTCTCAAGTGTTGCGTGATTTGTCATGCAAAATGACCATGAACCACCAGACGACCAAGCTGCTTCGCATGACAAATTCTCGGGCGGCTAAACAGCACTAGTAGAGTTATCCGTGCCAACAAATCTGTAATGCAAGCCGCGCAACGCTCTCCCCCTCACCTGTGGTGCTATTCTTGCATTACAAATTCATGCAACAGTTGAGAATGTAACCTTTGGGAACGCCATACGACACGACCTTCGAGCGGCAGAAGGCGGTGATTGAGGAGAAGAGGGAGGAGATGGAGTTCAAGGTCTTCGAGTCGCTATCAAATGTAAAAATGTCTGGGTCTGGAAGAATTCACGTTTGTCATGCTTGTCTGGCATGACTTTTAAATCTGTCATGCACGTTACCCAAGAGCTCCGTTGTCCTGTGATGCAGAAGTGCAGTTTGTCATGCGGAATAGGCAACACCTAGGAGCTCCGAAACTTGTCATGCTGAGCCAGCATTTGTAGCCTCATCATGAAACGCCACCCAGCATCACAAGTTTCCAGACCCAGACATTTTTGCATTTGATAGTCGCGAAAGCTGTATTTGCTCGGGCGAATCCACAAGGAGCAGGAGAAGCTGAAATATCCTGTGTAAAAACGTCCCCACCCCATAGCCAAGTTGGTAAGTCTGCAACACAAATCTCCAAGTTTTGGGAGTTTTGCGTGACAAGTTTCCATCTGTAGCGTAGTGCAGGTTAGGAAGGGCAGCCGCAGGATGAAAGCCAGCTTGTCATCCTGTTTACAGCATTACAAAGTCGAAAACACGATTGGAATTGTCTCTCATGGGGAAGCGCATCACAAATGCCCCCGTCATTGCGCATTTGCATGACAACTCTGGGGTGGGGGCGTTTTTTCTGAGGATATGAAAATTCTGATCGCGCGCAAGGACGAATACTCGGCCGAGAACAAAAAACGGAAACGGGAAATCGTGCCGTTTGCGGTGTGATGTTGAACGACGGAAGGCGATACATAGAAGAGATGCCGGGGGGTCGTGTGGAGATGCACTTAATCTTAAGTAATGATGTGCACACGCTGCATATTATTTAAGTACATGTACAGCAGAAGGGAAAGAACGTTTGAATTCATCGACGGTCGTGCTGTAGTACAGTGGTTCGAGGACACTTGTAGTACAGCCGTCCACGACCCGATTTGTGATCATGTTGCTGATAAACGCGAACGAATATGAGGAACTCTCGAGTGGTCCCAAGGACAAGACGGTCGAAAGACCGGATCAATACTGCGGAGGACGGAGAGCTGGGCCGGCAAAGTGATGATGGCCCAGACGAGGACTTGGTCGTCGTTGTTCTTTTCCGCTGTATTTTTGGTGCGTCTGTTGTAGTCAGCACCTATCGCTGCCATTGTTTCTACTTACATCTTCCTGCGATCTCGCTTTCCTGATGTAGTACTCGCAAAAGTGGCAGGACGTGTCCCGCACTCTCTGTTGTTTTTCGATTTCGCGGTAGAGTTTGTCTTTGTACCGATTTTAGTATCAACTTCGGCGCTTCTATGCGATCGGTTTCGGTACAGAGTGTCATGATACGATTCGTTCGGTGAATTTTGCGAGCCCTTCGCTTTTCGTAGCGAAATCCATTTATAGCTAAGCAGTTTCATCATCAGCCTAAAGCAGTGGAGGGGAGGCGCACTGTAGAGCTTTTTGTTTGATCCACGATCGTAAGTTCGCTCGCTCGTTCGCTTCGTTGTCCGCTTCTTGACTACGAATGAATAGATTAAGATTTGATTACGAACTGCGCCTGATTCCGAGACCTATAATTTATCGAGGGAACTTTAAAAGCGAGGAGAGGTAAATTCTTTGTAAACGTAAAAAAGCAAGTAGAGCCAGAAAAATAAAGTCTAATTCCGAATAAATCATGCCCGATATTGTTCCCAGCGCGTCCTCCTCCTCGAAGGCTGTGAAGCCGAAGGAGCAGTTCATAGGGACGACATCATCCGCAAGTGCTGGCTCGGCCTCGAAGCAGAAGAAAGGGCTGAAACCCGCTGCCAGCAAGTCCGTTCAATCACGAGATGACAAGAAGGCTCGACGTCACCAGCAGGAGGATGACAAAGGGAAGAAGAGCACGAAAAATTATAGACCCCCGCCGGCGCCGCGGCTGGACGAAACAAAATCAAAAGTAAAGGTCCAGCCTTCTTCGCAACCAAACAAGAACTCTCCCGCCCCTCGACTGCCGACGACCAAGCCGCTCCTCCCACCTTGTCTCGAGGAGTTGCGCACCACAAAAAACCACTTGCAACCGGTGGACGCCGATCGAATCGACGATCCAAATCTGAAGCTCGACGCGGCCGGGGTGCCGGTGGTGCTGAAAAGCTTGAGGGAGACGAGGAGCAACGACAAAAATCACAATCAGGGTAGGTCATCTAATATTTGCGGTACTAGTTCTGCGGATAATTCATCTACTGCGAACAAATTTTTATCCGCTAAGCAACGGCGGCACCTCACCGTCTTGAGCAAAAATCTAGGGCCGTTGGACCACGATCGAAGGCGGCTGATCAAGCAGTGGACCGCGGTTCTGTTCCCGCTGGTAGAGGTGGACGAAGGGAACATAAAGAAGCAGAATGATTCGCATGCACAACAAGCCACGTCCACCTTGTTAACAACTGCGTCGTCCGACGTGAAGAATGCAGCGGGTGGGGGACAGCGACAGCCGTCTGATGCTCCTCTACTTCCGGATGAGTGTAGTTCTTCCACGAGAGGAAAAGAAGTTGGTGGCAAGAAACCAGAGGTAGGAACGACGTCTTCATCTAGCGGAATAAATGGAAAAGTAAATGAAGTTCTGTTACAAGAGCCAGTAGATTGTGCATCGCTTGAAACCAAGAAGAACAAGGACGACCTGCCTAGCACAATAAAAAATCGCGCGAAACACGAACTAATATCGCGGTGCCTGCAGTTGCACCCCGACGACTTTGGCGTGGAGGAAATCGAAGCGCTCGAAGAGTTACGGAAAGCCATGCTCAAGAAAAGAAAAGCCCGCGCGCAGGTGTTGCAGAGCTTATTGCACGACGGGCGGGGGTTGGGGATGGGGTTGCACTTGCAGAACGAGAACCAGAAACAGGATGAAAAACCTCCGCAGAAGGTGATGAACGACACTGGGGCATCAAATAAAACTACTACATCGAGTCGCACACCAGAAGAGTCCTGTGCAACGCCCGCAAACCTGTTTTCCCAAACGCAGCATTTCTTTGCGGACGGATCGCAGACGCAGACCGGGGACGAGATCATGGAAGGCCCACGACCTGGTGTGGAAAAAATGACTGCTACTTCGGGTCAAAAAACAGTGGCGGGAGATGAAAAGCAAGGACAGGTGGGTGAAGTAGATGGCTGCGGGAACAACATTACGCCCGGATTTTTTGCGTTTCCGTTTTCATCTTCAACACCTTCACAAACACCCGCGTTTAATAATACTCTTACGCCAGGTTACAACTACGGCACGAGCCGCTTGCTGCCGTTTCAAAACAAGAGGCGGGAGGAGATATTGGCGGAGGAAGAGAGAAATAAACGGTTGAAGAGGAAATACCTGATATCGAAAGGAAAAATCCCCCCTCCCCATATCAAAACGGAACTTCTGATGCTGGAGTTGTGTACACAAATCAGCTTTGTATTGCAGCAAGGCATAATTGCGGCTAGACCCCCAGTCTGCGTTTGGGTGTAGTTGTTCAGCATTGCAAACGGCTGCCCTTTAGGCGCAACAGCGTGGCAAATCGTTTCCTTAACGGGGCAAAGGCTTGTGCCCTTGTTTTCTTGCAAGACAAATGTGATTTGTGGCCACAAATCAGCAACGCAAATCTTCGGAAACATACAGCGTCAATATGGGCAGGGGGAGTTTTTCCGTTCAATACGTGAAGCAGCTGAAAGTGATTTACGAAAACGAAATCCTGAAAAAAACGTCAGAGCTCCGGAAGGCGCAGGTGCTTTTCAGCAAGCAGGAGGGAAAGTTGCGGGAAATCCAAGCAGAGAAATTGGAGTTGGAGATGGGGACGAACTACTGCAGTGGAGCGACCTGCGGAGCTAATGTGTTAGAAAAGCAACTGTTCAAGAGCCATCCGACCGATTTCACCCACCTCTCCGGCGCCCGACAAGTTGCCGACTACCTTGAGTTTCTTGTTTCCGAGCGCCGGTTCTGGCTGGGAATTTCGGAAAACTTGGAAAAAGTGGAGAAGATGTTGAAGGAAGAGACAAGAAGAAGAAGTTGTGGGACGGCCACTTCTACGCTGGATAAACAGAGTTCATCCCTGGTGGAGAAGAAATCCGTGGATTCAGCAGCAAACGAAGACAGACTCGTGGCGCGAAACGATAGCGAAACGAGGAAAAATCAGTCGTCGCTTGCAGTACCAAATGAAGAAGCAAGTGACGACGAAGTAGAGAACGCTGACAACTACAATAGGACCACGAGCACGGCGACTTCCAGCAGACAGCTTGTGGCTGCAGAGAGGTTTTTTCACGAGGAGATCCAGGAAAAGATTCTTTCTCGTCGGCGCGAGCAACAAGCCAGTCTTTTTCCTAATAGTAAAAGCAACAAACGGAAGCGGAAAACAAACTTGTCCCTCGTGAAATCCGGCGAAGAACCTGGAGGTGCAAGCTCTTCGAAGAAAAGGAAGATAAAAGAAGACCAGAACCACGACTCTAAGAACTCAGGCGGACGGGCGGAAACGACGGATCACTGTGAAGATATGGCAATGGGAAATACTTTTTTCAGAAAACTTTTTTTTTTCGCCGCATATGATCTCACGGCACTCCATAGGCATACAAGCGGGCACGCGCAGAATAGATCTGTCTAAGCGAGTAGACGGCTCTTGGTACTTAGCTAGCTACCTGTGACGCAAAAGAGATGCGGCCTCCGGAGTAGCCGCGGCCATGGATTCGGTCCTTGGCGCTCTGGCCTCAAGGTACTTGACACACAATGCCCCCACCGCGGCCTTTGTGTATGGGGCGGAGGCTCAGGGTAAGTCAGCGAAATTCTGAATGGCTCGCTTAGACGCGGCTGTCTGAAACGCGCGTGGCCTCTAGGCGTCGCTCGCCCCAGCTTTCGAAGTTCCCCAATAGAAAAATACAGATCAGGCTTAGAGCTTCGGCGTCTTTGGGTTTGTTCCGGGCCAGGCTGTACAGCTCCCCGTCTTGGCCGAATTCGCGCTGTCATTGTTCCAGACGCATTCTTGCAAAAGCCGCAAACTTGCGGAAACACAAAGCGCGGCCGGGCCCCCCCTTGAGGGGGGGGTTTGGGGGACCCCCCTTCGTGGAGATATCAATGGGGAGTAGCTCTCGGCAAAGGCCCCGAAAGGGGGGGGTTTGGGGGACCCCTTGGGGGGACCCCCGAGGACTTCGACTTGCAGCCGAGGAGGGAACTCTGCTAGCCTCCTGGCAAAACAGGCTGGGGCGAAGAACCGCACCCCGAGACCCAGGCCCGGAGGAGCGCCGCGGCCCTGGCATCACTGTCGTCAGCGCTGCCGCGTATGGATTTGAATTATTTTGAAGCTGCGCGCGGGCGCCTGTTTCTCCTGCTGGGGCGTGGGCCTGCTGTTGGCCCCAACCCGCAGCACGTCCGGCCTTGGGCTGCCCGCGTATTGCTTTCATTAAAGCGAAAGCACTGCAGGGGCTGGCCTTCCGACATCTACGCCGGCCACGCCGGACCCAAAGCCATGACGCAGTGAGCCCCGAGTGCGGTAATCTTCTTGCCGTCAGGCAAGCGAGCTCAGGATACCACTGCAGGCGCTGTTGCCACGCAGTCGATTTTTGCCGGCAAAAAGCCATCTACTTACCGCGACGGGTAAGTTATATGTGGCAAAAAAAAAGAGTTTTCAGCAAAAAGTATTTCCCATTGCCATAGAAGATATAGGCGGACGGGCGGAAACGACGGATCACTGTGAAGATTATCCTCCTGTAGTAGAAGAGCCAGGAGAAGGAGACCTCCAAGCGGATAGTACTGGTCCAGTGAAAAATCAAGGAGATGATCATGAGGATCCCAATTGCAGCAAAGGTAAAAACACGTCGCCAGCAGGAGTTTCTTCCGCCCAAGCCGACCTCCTCGCCCAGCCGACCCCCGCGCCGGTGTTTTTTTCAGAAGAAGCCGCCGCTTGGCTGCAGAAGAATTTCGCCGTGGACGATAGTTTGTGGGTGTACGCGAGAACGTACATTTTGCTTGAGTCGGAACATAGAAATAGCAAGGAGGACAGCGATTTGACAACATCACCGAAGGACTTTCTTGCCGAAAAAGCGTTTCTCTACCTGAAGTGCGCGGTTTTTAAGCAGCTGGTCTTACTGCAGAGAGAGATTGAAACGAGTTACGATCAGGTTTTCGCGATTGCGACTGGAACATGTGAGGAAAAAGGGGAGAAGCATGTTGAACTGGTAGCTCAACATGGGGACAGGACGAGCAAGATCAGTACATGTACATCAACTGCAGTTCCGGGTGGAACTTCTACAACTGTCCCGGACCACCCCAAGAACACGAACACGAGCAGTGGCCGCGGGCACTCAATCTCGTTCACTCAGCTGGTCAACAAGAAGAAAATCAACATCATTTCCCAGCTGGAGACCTACAATGAACGAATCGCCCGGGCGCACACCGAGCTGCAATCCATAGAAGCGGAGATAGTCGAGAAAACCGCGGCCATCGGGGATTGCAAGGAGGAATTCGATATCCTGTGCAAAAGTATCGTATTTTTATTGCAATCATGCATTACAAATTTATTTTTTTCTTATGGTAAAGCCTACCGCATTGCAAATTCAATTTCTCATGCTGATGAAATTTGTAATGCATTTATACGAGTGCGATATTTTAATTTTTGCAATGCATATTCGAGGTCGCAGTTTGCGAGGTTTTCGGCGCGGATCAGATAGCCGCCGGCGCCGAACCCGGGAGCGCGTCCGCCGTTTCTGTGCGCAGCGCGGCCGCGGCGTCGGTGCTGTCGGCGGCGCAGGCAACGCTTTTTGTTCCAAACGGTTTTTACAGCGGTCGTGGTGGTCGTATTGGAGGCGGTGGTGCAGCAGCGGGGCGGGGGTCTTCTGCACAGACCCCGGCACAAGTTGTGCAACATCCACACGTGGCCGCGCTGTGGACAAAAGCAGACTCGACTCTGGAACAGGCTTGGGTGGCGGTTATGTCCCTATCAACTGCAAAAATGTCTGGGTCTGGAAGGTTGACACTTGTGATGCGCATTTCAGAGCACAGAAAAATCTCTCATGCATAGGCAGCAAAAGTTGCCCATTTTCTGTCACCAAAGTCAGGGATTTGTCATGCGGATTCGGAACTACTGCCCAATCGTGACCATGCCCGTAGGAACTACTTTAATACTGTCTCTACGACTTTTGACTTCATTCATAACCTTCAATTGTATTCCTACCTAACTTGTATTTTTTGTTTTTTCTCTGTACGATTGGCCAAAGCGCCACCGGGACAGCCTGCCCGTAGACCACCGATGTCATGCGGATTCGGCATTGCGAACGCTTCTCGAAACCTGTGATGCTAGAGCTTGCATGCCAGACCTTCTGTGTCATGCAAAAGCAGCATGAGTCTTCCAGACCCAGACACTTTTTCATTTGATAGTCCCTGTGCGAACGGAGTCCAGCTTGGCGGATGGCCTTCAAGGAGCAACAGAATATCGCAAGAAAGAAACTGTGTAAGTGTAAATCTGTGATGCAGAACACGCAGCAGAGTTACACCTGTCATGCCAGACAGCCATGAAGTCCTCTTTTCATGTGTGTTTTCCCTTACCAACCATGCATGACAGGTTTTCTCTGTCATGTACGGCAAATTTGTGATGCTGTTTCCCAAAGAAAGTTACACTTACACACTTTTTTTCCTGGATACAGAAGGGAGAATGAACAAAGCGAGATCATAAGTACTTCGCTTAGCACGATGCGCAATTATATCATATCTTTCTCTGTGACTGTGTCGTGCAGCTACACAATTTCTGACTATCTTGCGAAGATTCGCTCGTGGTGAGCGTCTGGAATGGATATCAACATCGATGAAAGTCAAAAGGAAAAGTCATTCTGTTTCGACTGCTAGAATGTAAATTCGTTATCGATGTTAATGTTTCCAAAAAAAGCAATCGAACCATGTGTGTGGTGCCAGTGAACCATGTGTATGGTCCAGCGAGAAGGCAAAGCCAGAAACGAATGTCAGCTCTGCTAGTATCTCCTTTCGGTCGATTTTGAACGAAGATTTCGCTATCGTGCTTCACTGGTCCTCCAAGAACAGTCTTGAGTCTTGCCAATACGAATAGCAATCAATCTTGTCGTTCTACTGCAGGAGCGTCGTCGTAGCTTCGGAAAAACATCAGAGACTTCGTGACTCGGTTTCTTTGATACCCGTGAACACAAACACTATCGGTGGATATCTTTGCGTGCGTGATGAATAAACACGAAATGCCTGCTTGATTCGGAAAGTGACAAATTCTAAAGTAGACTTCAACCCTCGGTGGGCACTGACACAACAAGAGGTTTCGGTCTTCACTCGGATTAAGTGCCCGTGATGAGCGTGCCTCTCGTTCTCAAGTTCGTATACAACGAAATAACTTGTAACTTGGTTGCTTTTATTTCCTACTTACCAGGATGGATCGAGCGTGTTTTGGCCCATCCCCACAGTTTTCAAGACCGAATCGTTCGGTCTGCAACTTCACATACAAAATAGTATTTCAAGTATTGCAATTCCAACTCTAATACCAATCTACCACGGCATCGAAGTAACTAAGTTGTAATTAAGAAAGCAATTGAATATTTATAAATTTCCTATCAAATTCACAACGACTATAATTTTTCTTGTAACAAGAGTCGACGGTTTCGGTCCGAGGGACGACATCGGAAAAATCCAAAATAAGTAGTCGGCTTCGAGGATAAAAACGCAAGAACGTTGGACAGCGACGTGTGGAGGTGTTTTTTGACGAAGGAAACAGGTTGGCCTTCGCCGCGACTGCTCTTGACGAAAACAATCTATCAACCGAGGCGTGCAGCAGACTGACTTACAAGCGCTGGAGGGCACCAAAAATACGCTCGCAATCGTCCCGAAGCAAGCACATCAAAAGCGTTGCGCGGCACAGCATCACCGGGAAGGGAAAATGGCGCTCCGGTCTTGCAAAAAAATTTTCTGGGCCGCGGGTCCTCTGCTCAGCAACCCGGGGGGCAGCAACGTTCTGGTTGGAACCGTCGCTTTGAAATTCAAGTTGAAGAAGAAAGTCGCGGAGGCTGCAGGAGGAAACAGCGAGTTGCCTGGTGAGGCCGCCTCGCACGACGGTCCTTCGAAGGCTCGGAAAAAAATCTCGCGGTTTTCGGAAACTTGGCGCGGTGCGCGGTGGTACGATCATGCCCCGCGCTTACGAGACGACGTCGCGCATTATAGGGAACACGAAAAGTGGGCGCGAAAGTCCAAGTATGAGGAAATGGCTGCCGAATCGAAGTGGAATCATGGATCACAGGATAAGATGTTGGTGAAACAGGTTTTAGACAGCAAAGACGGGCGGGCGGGTTGGCACACAGGGGCGGAACTGCACAAATTCCGAAAGTTGTCTCGGGAAGCGGGTTTCACTGATTTGACGAAGGAGGAAAGGAAAAACCTAGCAGCGAACTTCCTAATTGTCGGGGACAAGAACGATAGATCGGGAGTAGACGCGGGGATCGCCTATATTATGGAACTCACACGTAAGAAGAGAGAGGAGAAGAAAGCCGCGGAACGAGAGAAAAGTCGCGCGGCTGCTGGTGATGTTCTAAACCCGAAGCAAGTTACTTTTCAATCGGCTCCGTATGACAAATGCAACCTGTCGTGCTACTACTGTCATAGTCATACCCAATCCAATCCGCCGCTGTGCAAATTTTGATGTTCCCTCTCGGTCTGGTTATGATACCGTGCCTATCACTACTGTATTTGCAGACGTAATTAAAATTATATGCGTTGCATCCGGCTTCTGAAAAGAAAAGATCGAGCAATTAGTTTCATAGAATAAGAATTAGCGTTGTAGCTTGTGCTCCGGGGCAAGGGTGCATGCGTCTTTTCCTGCTTGTTCTGCGTCTGAAGAGCCATGTACGAATTCATTAAACACTGCAAAAGAGACTGCACCTCCGCAAGCGGGGCAAACGACGGGTACTGAGTATCGCACGACAGTGTTTTTCATCTGCAGCATTGGACTCCGCTGACGCCGGTGCAGCATGCCGGTGTCGCCGGACCCTCGCTACCACTGCTCTCGGTGCCTCCACCTACGCCACCACCAGTGGCTTCAGCGGTACGAAGTAAAACGCGGCTAAGTAATTTCTCCAAGATCTGACACCTCAATATTTCTTGTGGAGGGCGCCCGGCTGCCTCGGCCTCGGCCATGCCAACGTCGTAACTCCACCAAGATAAAGACAAGCCGGCGACTTGCTCTGCTTGTCTGTCAGGCCATGCACTTCGATTTCTTTCAATTTCCGAAAGATGAAAGGCCCATCAACTTTACTTCCGCAAGAACTGCAAAACTTTTAGACCTGCTGGCCTTAGTATCAGCTTCGACGTACTAGTTCTCCGGCACGATAGCTGAGTACTGGCACGTTTTGTTTGCTCCAGTTCTACATGTTGGCGGAGAAGTACTTGCGCCTCATGGCCTATTAGAAGAACTTTCCTCACCAGGTGCCCTCTACTGTTGGTCCTCTTCCTCCACAGTTGCTGGATTAGTGCAGCGACCACTTCTTGGAGGTGGATTTCTCCCTGACAAATGACATTTGTCAGGCAGAAATCTACATTCAATGTATCAACATCAAGTAGGCATACCTGCTCCTGCAGTTGTACTCAGTGTCGTAGGAGCTCGTGTAGAGATCATGGCCTGTTGAGGAATTTCATGCAAGGTAACGCACCATGACCATGTAAAAGGTGTCGCCTAGTGTAAAAATTCTACGGGCATCTACTACTACCTGAACATGCGCCCGTTCGCGAAGCGTTAGCCAGGGCAGACCTATAGCCTCGGATGTGCAATAATTGCGGACAAGTAGAACTAGAAGCTAGCTCCACACACATGATCGCGACCCAAGCGCGGCCGCGCCGCGTCACTGAAACTGCATGAAATTGAACCAAAATCATGCCAAATCTTGGAGAGCAGGGGCGCAAGTTTCATTGTCACAGAACGCTCCGATTTGGCCTCAGCAGCAGTTCCACCAGCAGCAGCAGCAGCCCCAGCAGCAGCAGCAGCTCCAGCAGCAGATGCAGCTCCAGCAGCAGCAGCTCCAGCGGCAGCTCCAGCGGCAGCTCCAGCGGCAGCTCCAGCGGCAGCAGCAGCCGCAACGGTGGCCGCGTGACTCACACGTCCAGCACACGGTACAAATAAGTACATGTATATATATATTGCACGCGCACGCATTTTTCGCATGGATATTGAAGCGAAATATTTATTTTGAGTGGGCCAAGGCCATCGCATGGAAAATCGTATCTATCATCATGGCATTCGCATGCCAAGAAATCTTCTTGGAAGTCGCGGGATTCACGGCGGCGTGACTATTAACTGAAATGTGGCATACCAAAAACAGCAACGGCAGCAGCACAACCAGCGACCGTTTCTGCGGAAGCAACACCAGCAGCAGCAGCAGCAGATCACGCATCAGCAACCGTTGCTGCACCAGCAGCAGCGCTATCATCATCCCCCGCTATGCATTGCAATGATGTCAGCTGGTTCCGGGAATCGCAGTGCTCGTTGTGGTGCAGGATTATTGAATTTGAAGCTGTTATTGGCATTGAGGAATCTGCGGCACTTGTATTTGCTCTACTGCAGTTTGCATTGAGCAAGTCCTAATGTATTGCACCCCTGTGCTTCTATCCACGAAGGTGGTCCGGGACTTTCACTGTCTCCTGTGGGACAGGGCTCCGAGGCTGCGCGGCAGCGCCTGGAGTGAGTTTCCGAGACAGTTTTCCTGTTGTTCATGTTCTTCTATCTGTTCTGATGTGCGGAAGATCCGCGCGCGCGCAATCACTTTGACACATGTCACCCATTACCATTCAGCTGGATTCCCTGGCAGCCCTGACATATGGTTTGCAACGCATTCTCTACTGTCAGTCATGCCAATTTTCATTATATGTGGAATGACCGAGGCGGTGGCCAAGGAGTTTGGGAGCCGCGCGTTGGGCAGCGGGCTCCGCAGGGACAGGGTGTCTGGGTGCAGGAGCCAGATGGCCTCTGCACTTGGTACAGCCACCTCCCGTACCCCCCCGCTGGGGCGCAGTGGTACCAGTGGCGCACGCGCAACAACATTCAAGTGTACAGGCGGAGTAATGGTCGCTACCAGGCAACTCACCCCCAGTGCGTGTTCAACTTCTCAAGTAAGCACTGCAAGCATGTCGTAGCCTCACACATCAAACCGCATGTAGACGATTAGAAATATTGAGCGTCTTCCCGTTACCAGTGTTTGCTACTGGGTATGTGATGAAACGTGCCCTGAGAGACACGCAGCCGCAAGGAACTTTTTATTTTCACTAGCCCCGTGCGCTTTGTCTTTGTGTTTGTATACCTACGTGTACCTACGACACTCTTGCACAGGATATTATACGGGTGGCAGGGGCAGTACCGGGAGGGCTAAGAAGTACAACCATTGAGGGGGATCAGGACAAAGGCCGTGTTTCGGTACGGTCTTCAACAGAAAAAGCTACAATGTAGTATCAGCCTCTAGCACTTTCATGCGGTTTGAAATCCAGTTATGTTTAAGTTCTCCAATTGTACAGCACAACTTTACAAACAGACGCTCCTAGGGGACATCAAGAAGCCGGGGCAGGAACCACTGCAAATTTGCAAGTACCTCCCCGGTCCGAACATGATCAACATCTGCATAATAAATAATGATTAGATACGGATCATTCGCGTTCCACCGTTGCTGTTTACTACTTTACATTATTTTATGGTACAGAAACACGAGCATGACCTTGACCATGAGCAACCAAAATCGATATCAAACACACCGAGCTAGCATAGGAGATGCTCGAATCAATATTCATAAGCACTGTAACATTTCATCACCACTATTCTGTAACATTTCATCTTTTTCGTAGCGTTTTAATCTGACATTTAATCTCATCTTTCCTAGAGCTAGAGCTTTTGTCTGCCATCCACTTCGTTGATGTGCGCCTTCATGTTGCTCGGACGAAAAACAAGAGCGCAACTATTTCAGTTTCTTACGCGATGAAGTTAACTTTTAGTCTTGCTCATCCGTAGTGGTGCTAGCAGTGTTTTCCGCACTGTTATTCCACTATGAAGGAAGACCCGGGCGGTACAGAAGTTTGTCCGCCGCTCTGTATAGGTAGGGATATGAAAAGAAGAACCACCTACCAAAAATTTTGTCATCTGATGCCTCGACGCCGACGCGGTGCATTGTATCTGCGTTTACTCGTCGCATCTTAGCCTTGTCCTAGCTTTACGACTTCACATAGTACTATCCATTTATCTCGAGAGACCCAACGAGACCGACTGTATTTACTGCTGACCTTTGAACAGCGACAACAAACACAACGACGAGAGAGATCGCGATTTATGTCTTAATTTTACTAGCAGAGAAATTTATCTTTCAGTTTTTCTTGGCCGTATTTTCATCCAGGAAGAAAAGTGTTACAGTTGAGAAGTACTTTTGTTGCGTATTGACTTCAGCAACACAAACTTGCAATGCAATGTTGACGGAGAAAACTTGCAATGCAGGAATCGAAAGGGAAAGCGCGACGGATGAACAACCGCGGCTGCGAAGAGTAATCGCACTGATCAGAGCCGCAGAAGAAGTACTTCCTTCACTGTGCAAACCAATTTTGTCAACTCCTGGAAATGAAAGAGAAAAAAAGCATCAGAGAACAAGTGCCACCACTGCTTCAGCAGCGGCGTTTTGCTTGGTGGTCCTGCTACAAAGTGCCTATAGCTTGTGCAGCTCTTTTTATGCGCTTTATTCCGATGTTCTACTTCTAGTCGCGTCACCAGGACGTCGAGATGTTGTCTTCTAATATGATCTACTGCCCCCGACCGCAGAAGTGGTCGTGGAGAGCGAAAGATCATCAGCTGGTCGACGGTCGTTCATGATGATACCTGGCAAAATGTACCACCTGACCCGCCGCTGAGTCGTCGCCAACGCCGATTCGCGGGAATATAAATGGGAAGCCAGCACTGAGCCCCATGTCAACCGCTCCAAACCCTTCGAACGAAGAGAAGCCCGCACTATTAAAGTTAAAGCAGGAATACTGTGGCACTTTGAACTACCTTGCCACTAGCACGCGCCTTGACATCGTAGTAGCATTAAAATTCTGTGCAAAAGCAAAAGTGAACGAAGAAACGCTGACCGCGTTGAAGCGTATCTTTCGTTACTTGCGTACGCGCCGCGTTCTTGTCTACAGGAACAAGCAAGAAATCTTGAAAGGCAAGCTCACTCTTAGCGTGTGGACCGATAGCGACTTTGGTGCGCAGCCTGGTCGTCAGTCAATTTCGGGCACTGTCGTAAATGTCTGTGGTTGTCCGATCTATTGGCGCGCGCTCACGCAGTCCACGATCGCGACAAGTGTGACCGAAGCAGAAATTTGCTCTATGACCGATGGGGCTAAGACTGTGCTTAGATTCTATTACGTGATGAACACATTGCGCGGCTGGCTTGAGAATTATTTTGCTATATCCACCATTCTATTGGACTAGGAGCCGGGGAGGTTATTGCGCGGTAATCGTCTAGTGCTCCAAGATCCAATGTGAATGATCCAAGTATACGATGACACAGGATGGAAATCAGATGAGTGATCATGTGCATAAGATTACACCTAATCGTATGATGCACACAGAGACAGTATAAGAAACTGTATGAGAAGCTAAGTGGTTTGTAATGCATGTGATGCAACACAACCCTACAGAGACCAGCCTTAATGGCTAAAGAATAAGAAAAGAAATTTCCGTGACACACAAGCAAAGCTACCCACGCAAGGTACCAAATAGGCATTACAGATTGTTCTACTTGGATCGTTTCTTGTTTGGGTCTTGGTCTTCGCACGTTCACATGGAGAGCGAAAGATCATCAGCTGGTCGACGGTCGTTTCTTTTCGTTCTGGCTTCGACAAACAGGAACAGAGATGCTGGATTTGTGTACACAAATCAAGTCTGTCTTGCAGTAGAGGACTGCAAGCCCATACTAAGCCTAAGTAGAAGGGTTTTGCCATAGGCGCGGAGCATGGCAAATGTATACTCTGCAGGCCCCATAGCATCAGAAACCGCCTGCATAATGCGGCGGAGTCGCTGGATTGGCCTTCTTGCAATACAGAGACGATTTGTGTCCACAAATCAGCATCACAAATTTTCAGAAGTGTCCCTTTTTGGTATGGGGAGGGGGGATTTTTCCTTTCGATATTCCAAGCTCCCCATCGAACCCCGCATGGCCTACGCGGTGCTCCTCTCTTCCCTCCTCGGCGTCGCGCAGCCCATGTGTCTGATCGCCGCTGCCTCCTGTTACCAGGACCCGGTGCGGTCCGACTCCCCGTTGAAGCAACAATACGTCCAGAACCCGTGCTACTCCGACCAGATTTTGATGCTGAAAATCCTCTACCAGTTGTTCGACACCCAGAAGCATTTAAACCCATCCTACTGTCGTGACAACGGCGTGAATATGCAATGCAAATATCGATCTGGGTCTGGAAAGGTTGAACTACCTGTATTGCGTGTTTCGCACCATATCTGAAAAATCTGTATTGCATAAGCAGCAAGGAATAAAGCGCCACACCTTCGTCACGCAAAAGCGCAGTTTGTAATGTGTTCTGCGTACTATGAAAAAGCGTTTGAAAAATTTGTCATGCTGCACTGCACTGAAAGGCACAGTCAATCAGGACAATTCAGCATTACAAGTTCTTTCCAGACCCAGACATATTTTCGATGCATAGTGAACGGAGAGCGAAAGATCATCAGCTGGTCGACGGTCGTTTCTTTTCGTTCTGGCTTCAACAAACAAGAACAGAGCAGCAATTTCGTGAACCATTACCTACAACTTTGCCACATGGATTCGTTTTCAACGGTTTGTCGTTTGTCGTCATCCCATTTAAAATTCGCCGTGTTCATCTTCTTGTCCTCGAGTCTGAAAAAGAGCGAGAAGTTGCATGTAGTCGTACTGGAGCGCAACATGAGATTACACTGTAGTTGTATTTGAATAAAAATTGAAAAATGAAACAAGCAAAGTGATAGTTTGTTGATGTGGCGTGGAGAGATGAGTCTGCTACTGTTTCATCATCTACAGTTATCTGTAGCACTGCTCGTCCCTGCTGCACAAGTTGTGCACGGCTCTTTTCCGTATCGTTTTCCTCGTGATCGTGATGGTGATTTATGGAAAATTTGAAAAGATGCTCCTTTAGCATCTTTTCAAATTTTGAAAACCACAGACGAGTAAGCGGACCCCGTCTTCTGCGGCTTCAAAAATTGAAAAGATGCTCCTTCAGCATCTTTTCAAATTTTGAAAAGCCCAGAAGAGCAGGCGACCCTCCTCTTTTGCGCCTTTTGAAATTCGAAAAGATGTTCCTTCAGCATCTTTTCAAATCCTGGAAACCACAGAAGAGTAAATTGCTCGGGTCTCTTGTGGCTTCGTTATGGAAAAGATGCTCCTTCAGCATCTTTTCAAATTTTGCAGGCCAAAGGCCACGCGCTTCAGATTTGAAAAGATGCTGAGAGGGCATCTTTTCAAATCTCAAGAACCACAGGAGAGCACAGCAGCTTTTTCGCCTGTTGGTTTTCAGATTTGAAAAGATGCGCCCCGAGGTATATTTCCCCGTTTCAGCCGTGTCCACATCTGAAAATGTTGCGCCATGAAGCACGGGCCACCTCGTCAGGGGTTGCTCGCTCTTCAGGTCTCCCGGATCTCTCGACCCCTTTGGCTTCTCGGACAGCTGTGGTCTGTGCGCGCCTCCCTATTCTACCTAGACCTCCCCTTCCAGTTGGCTTTTCCGGGTTTCCCAGCATACGCCGTCTGTCCTCATTTTACTGGGTGCGCGCCAAGTCCTGAACCGCTAGGGGTTTGGGAAGCTGCGCAGAAGATGCGGTGGGCGCTGTTTCCGAATCAGGCCCAAGCCAGGCCGGGGCTGATAAGAGGGGGGGCGCAGCCTTTCGCTTGGCTACGCCTTGTGGAGGGTAAATTCGCCGGGGGCATTTTCCGCGTTTGTCGCTATTGCCGGGCGCCTTGCCTTACCTGCGCAAGCAGTCAGAGGCGCGCTCAGGGTCCATGGCCTCATATGATTGGGAGGCTCGTTTGGGTGGCTTTTCTCTTTGGGGTCTTTGGCTTGCGTTTCTGCCCCGGACCTCGGGGCAGAAATAGAACAGCCCGGCTTGGCGCGTTTGCAAAGGCGGACGCGCAGCCGCCATCGAAGAGGCGCTACGCGATAATCGGCGAGGGCGCCGCGCAATCAACTGGCCAAAATTTGAAAAGATGGGCGAAAAGGTGGATATTTTAGGGCCTTCCTTGTGCGGGGCTCGAGCAGGCCTTTTCGTAGTCGTTTTCCTCGTGATCGTGCCGTTTGCGGTGTTATCAACTGTAAAAGTGCCTGGGTCTGGAAGATTTGAACTTGTCATGCTAAATCTGAATGATGCAAAAATCTGTGCCGCGTGAGTACCACAAGCTCTCCGCTTTTGACCAAGTCGGGAGGGAGTTTCTCATGCAGGATAGGCCTGCGAGAGATCGCACAGAATCTGTCATGCCAGGTCCTGCATTCCAGACCTCATGGGTCATGGAAAAGCTGCATGACAAGTCGCGCATCCTTCCAGGCCCAGACACTTTTGCATTTGATAGGTGTGATGTTGAAGGACCACCACGGAAGGTCGCAGACAGGGACAAGGTGGGGGCTTTGAAGACAATGCGCACTGTATGTTTCGACGACATGTTGCGCACGCATACTGGCAAGCTCAGATTAATCGACAGTCGTGCTGTACGGCGACGTGACAGACGGCGATTTGTCCTCATGTTGGATGAAAAACGCGAAGCAGGAATGAGGTCTTCAACAGTAGTCCCAAGGACAACAGGGTCGATTATACATCGGATAGCATTCAATAAAGACAAAACTTGACGGCCCAGCAGGATGACCCAGGAGACGAGGAACTGGTCAGTCATTTCGTGGGAATTTCAGGCACGGTTCGTTTCACCAATCGCTGCCACTGATGCCACTCACAACTACAACTTTCTGCGCCCCTCTGTGTGTCTGATGTCCTTCCAAATAAACTCGTGGCTCCCTAGTACTGTTTTTCGAAGATTTCGTGGTAAGTGGAATGTATTGACTTCGGTGCAGCTTTTACTTGATTTGTTGATGCAATTCGTTCGGTGGATTTGGATTTTGCAAGCCCGTCGTTTATTTTCGTGCCGAAGTCTATAAGTAAACTAAGAACAGCTTCATCATCAAAGAATCATCTCGAAGCGCGGGTAGAGGCGAGGCACACTCAGAGAACTTTTTGTTTCCCCGATCGCTCGCTCGCTCGTTCGCTCTGCTGTCCGCTTGTCGACTAAGAATGAATGGAGTACGAATTGCACCTGGACCTGATATCAAGAACTGTTTATCGAGCCACTTATTAAGAAATTCAAAGCGAGGTACTTCTACTTTCTTTACTAATTCAACAGCGGCGGCACCTCACGGTCTTGAGCAAAAATCTGGGGCCGTTGGACCACGATCGAAGGCGGTTGATCAAGCAGTGGACCGCGGTTCTCTTCCCGCTGGTGGACGAGAACGCGGGAGGACAGCGACAGCCGTCTGGTGCTTCTCTACTTCCGGAAAAATGTAGTTCATCCACGAGTGGAAAAGAAGTTGGTGGCAAGAAACCAGAGGTAGGAACGACGTCTTCATCTAGCGGAATAAATGGAAAAGTAAATGAAGTTCTGTTACAAGAGCCAGTAGATTGTGCATCGCTTGAAACCAAGAAGAACAAGGACGACCTGCCTAGCACAATAAAAAATCGCGCGAAACACGAACTAATATCGCGGTGCCTGCAGTTGCACCCCGACGACTTTGGCGTGGAGGAAATCGAAGCGCTCGAAGAGTTACGGAAAGCCATGCTCAAGAAAAGAAAAGCCCGCGCGCAGGTGTTGCAGAGCTTCTTGCACGACGGGCGGGGGTTGGGGTTGCATTTATTGCAGAACGGGAACCAGAAACAGGATGGAAAGCCTCCGCAGATGATGAACGACACGGGGGCATCAAATAAAACTACTACATCGAGAAGTCGCACACCAGAAGAGTCCTCGTGTGCAACGCCCGCAAACCTGTTTTCCCAAACGCAGCATTTCTTTGCGGACGGATCGCACGACACGCAGACCGGGAACGAGAAGATCATGGAAGGCCCACGACCTGGTGTGGAAAAAATGACTGCTACTTCGGGTCAACAAACAGTGGCGGGAGATGAAAAGCAAGGACAGGGTGAAGTACTAGATGGCAGCTGCGGGAAGAACATGACGCCCGGATTTTTTGCGTTTCCGTTTTCATCTTCAACATCTTCGCAAACCCCCGCGTTTAATAATACTCTTACGCCAGGTTACAACTACGGCACGAGCCGCTTGCTGCCGTTTCAAAACAAGAGGCGGAGAGGAGATATTGGCGAGAGGAGATATTGGCAGGCCTTTTCGTAGTCGTTTTCCTCGTGATCGTGATGGTCAAGGGAAAAGTTGGAAAGAAAATCGCGGAGAAACGGGCGGGGAAGGTTGGTGGAGCAACGGTCGTGAAGACGAGCAATGACAAATCTGCTGCAGGAGAAGCTGTGAATCTGAATGATAAAACTGCCCCAGCCAGCGCCGGCACCAGCACTGGTGCCAAAAGCAAAAAAGCGAGCAACAAACGTCGCATGAGTTCTTTGAATGCTGCTCGTGGTGGTGCAGCCGCGATGGCCGCTTCGTCGAATTGGGCAGCCTCCTCTTCGACTTCCGCGCCAGCTCTGAAAAAACCGAAAACCTTGTCCAGCTCGGTGCTTTCCGGGTTCCTGTGAAGGGATTGAAGAAGCAACAACGGGAGGACGATCTGCAAAGTGTAACTTCAGAAAAATTTCACTCTGTATCTTCCCCTGAAAAAAACCTCGACAGCTGCATCCGACATTTTGCGTATGATATGGAAAAAGCGATAATGTACTTGCGATTATTATGTTTCCTACCGCCCGGGCCGATTGTTATTTTCGCGGCAAGCCGGCATATTGCGATTTCTTTTGCGCGTCCCATCACCTGCCGGTTATTTTTGTGTTCAGTTTATACTACTCGTTGTCGTACTCTTAGCAGCTATTCAAAAAAGCCAAGGGATGAAAGGCTACTAGGTCACTGTGTTTTTTCCTTGTCTATAGCAGGCTGTAGTTCGCTCGTAACAAGAAGTAGGGAAAGATCCCAGGTGGAGATGGATCTCCCTGCTCGAACGGAAGATGATCCAAGCCCAGAAGATCTGGCCAGGTTTATTCGAGCGTGGCTTTGTCCGATCTTCTCCACAGCGAGAAGAGGTACTACAGAGTGGCTGCAACAAACGAAGAAGAGAGCGGCTGGGAAGTCAGAGAGCGGCTCCGAAGGCTGAGGTTTTGTTGAGGGATCGTGCAATGTAATTAAGAAACTAGAACTACAGTTAGCCCTTTTTCATCGTGAAAACACGAGCAGAGTGGTTGATCAGTTGAAAGTAAGTAAAGTAGAGCATGATTTTCCGATTTTTGCGCTGTCGCCAACTACATCGTATGTAGTTCTTCTCAGCAGGCCTTTTCGTAGTCGTTTTCCTCGTGATCGTGATGGTGATTTATGGAGGTGTTGTCTAAACAAGCTTAATTTTCGCCTGTTTCAAAATTTTTCGTTGCGGTACAAAGCGTGCATTGAGGCGTAGCTGCGCCAAAATCGATATAATTGCGTTTGTCCCTGTTGACCACGCTTCATTGCATGCTAAAGAACTTCTTGAAAAATAAACATGTTGGTCCACTTACTACGCCTTCTTCTCCGCCGAACCGCGCTTCATCTTCAAATCCTGCTCTACCTTTCCGCGCTTCTCTCCAACCCTGTGCCTTCGACCCAGAATGATGCCACACCTACCCTTTTTCTCGTCGCCGCCGAGCGGAGGCGCATGTTGCGCCGAGAACCCGTGCAGCTCCGGGACATCTTCGAGCCGGCGGAAGATGACGACGAGAGCCTTTTCGTGGGAAAAAATAAAGCCAGTCCACCTTCATTGTCCGCGAACCATGATGAGTCTGGTGAACAAAGAGCAGGTGGCCTCGCGGGACCAGAAAACTACCACGATGAAAGGGCAAGAGAAACAAGTGGAGCTAGTAGGAAGACGAGCGCCACAGTGGTAAATCGCATCGAGCCCGATCATCATGTCGACCGCGACACCAGGACGGCACCGTTCGCGGTCACAAGTGACGCAGAGTACTACAACCCCTCCGCGGCGCTGGCGGTCGGGGAAAAAAAGGAAACGGTCGCGACCAGCACGAGGGAGCAGGTAGAAGAACAAGAATCTTTGCAGCGCACGAAGCGGATTAGGATCAAGGAAACAAGACGGGATGACGAGAAGCAGCAAGGCGAAGACGGCGAAAATAAAGAGAAGGCAACTCCTTCTACCGGGAAAACTACTTCCGCGACCTTCGAGCTCGTGAAAGAGTCCAGTCCCTTCGAGATGTCGAAGGCCGACGGCAGCGTGGTGCCATACGTTCTCCGGGCCGAACTGTATGAGAACACGAAGACCGGGGAGGGAAGCCGCTACCCCTGCGTGCTCACGGATTCCTTTCGTCTGATCGGCTACAAAATCGACGCGGAACAGTGCAAGAACGCCAAGATGTATCCGTGAAAAAAACTGTGTGAGCGTAACTTTGTAGCTAGGGCAGCATAAGAAATTCGTTTTGCATTACAGAAACACCCTGTAATGCGCAGCTAGTACGTGAAAACAGTATGCAGCACGGCTATGACGCACTTCCAGCATGACAAGTGTAACTGTGTTGCATTTTCTGCATCAGTACATAGTTTTTTTCCTGCATAAGATGCAAACGAGGTTTCAGGAGGGCCGGTTCGCGTCGGACTACTACAAAGCGTGCTACATCGCAGTGCCGGAGTGGAATACTTTCGCTATCGACGAGGACGAAATGGTCCGGGTGAAGTTGGCGTATTGCGTTTTTTCCCTATACCGATCACGAATGTTTTTTTCTCGTCGTCCGTACAAAAAATTGGAATAGACTTCATTCACATGATCATGATGAAACAATTTGTCATGCGAGAAAGACCACGCAAGTTTTATTTTTAGTTTGTGTTTGTAATGCCGCGTTTCGCGCGGCGCTCGCGCTGGCGGTTTTGGTTTTCGCGTTCAACAACTACTTGTGGCAAGTACATTTGTGCAAACTTTGTACTTATCAAATTTTCACTATGACAGGGAGCCCCAAGTTATGGATGTGTCAGGATTGAAATCGACAAAGTTGAAAGAACTTGTAATGCATGAAATCGATACCAGTTGAAAGCCCAGTTTCCAAGTGGCGCATGACAAATTTCGGCACCGTCTAAATCCAGTTTGTCATGCTGTTTAGGGACAGAAGGCGTCTTTTGTCATGCACTTCAGCAGCTCTATCTCAGACCCCAAACTGGCTGACAGTCGGCCTCACTTGCCATCCCTGCAAGAGAGGCACTTCATGCCTTGCAATTTATGCATGAGAAATTATTTCAACTTTGACGATTTCGATCCTGACACTCCCATACAAGTGTTCGAAGCCGCGGCGGGGGCGATCGTGAAGATCGAGCCGGAAGAGGTTTCGGACCTATATCATTTGTAAAAACGTCCCCACCCCAGAGTCAAGACGGGGATTTTGCAACACAAACCTTAAAGTTTTGGGAGCCACGCATGACAAGTTGCAGGCTGTAGTGTAATGCAGTTTTTCAAGGGAAGCCGCATAACAAATCCATCTCCTTATCCTGTTCACAGCATTACAAGTTCCAAAACACGACGGGGAATGCCTCTCATGGGGATGCGCATTACAAATGCTCTTGTGCTTACAGATCTGCATGACGACTCTGTGGTGGCGGGGATGTTTTTGCACAGGATAACATACCCGAGTCCGACAGCATGATACCGGAGCCGAGCACCGGCCTCGCCTTGGTCATTTTTCTGCTGTTCGTCTGCTGTTGGTGTGGCATGATTGTGTGCTCCATGATGATATCAACTGCTAATGTGTCTGGGTCTTCTACAAGGTCACAACTACAACTTGTGATGCTGTCTTAGGATTCTAAAAACATTTGCATTTTTGCATGACCAGTAAGTAGAGGAGGTCCGACGTGGAGAGGGCATTTATGCTCATGCGGAATAGGCAACATGAAGCTTTAGCTTTCCAGAAATCCGTGAGGCTTCTAGTAGGCCATGCATTACAGGTTTCGCGGTTCATGGAAAATATGCATGACAAACCTGGCAATCTAAATCTTCCAGACCTAGACATGTTTGCAGTGCATAGATGATGCTCAAGTGCGTGTTGGAAATGTTCGGAGTGAATACCTATCAAAAGTAAAAATGTCTGGGTCTGGAAACTTGTGATGCTGGGTGGCGTCTCATGATGAGGCTACAGATGCTGGCTTAACATGACAATTTTCTGAGCTCCTAGGTGTTGCCTACTCTGCATGACAAACTGCGCTTCTGCATCACAGAAAAACGCAGCTCTTGGGTAACGTGCATGACAGATTTAAGAGTCATGCCAGACAAGCATGACAAACATGAATTCTTCCAGACCCAGACATTTTTACAGTTGATAATACCAGCGTCGTCTTATCAAAAGAACAAATCCCCCTTTCATATCGAAAATGCACCACAGGGAAATTTGTTTTGCTGATTTGTGTACGCAAATGCCTCTGTATTTTTGCATACTTGGGAAGCAAGAGCGAAGCGACGCACTGGACAGGCCATCTGTTGTAATGCGTTTCAGCCTGGCTACAGCAGCAAGAACATCTATCATACTATTCGGTTAGACATCTGGAAACCTAAACAGGCCTAGCATGCGCCTCTGTTTCGGTTCTACTGCAAAACACAGCTGATTTGTCGTGGCCACAAATCAATCTGCAGCACGGATTTATTATCGTTTTGATATGTGGCGGGGGGATTTATTTTCTTCTTCATACGTGTGGAAGGTGCTAGGCCAACTGAAAGCCGCGGCCTTGTCTCTCAAGGACACGCTCACTGCCATGTTCCGTGGGAAAAATAAACCAGGCCCAGCGGAGGACGGACGGGAGGTAGAAGAAGGAGACATTGGGGCTGAAGACGGTGACAAGCCGAGTGAAGACGGGGAAGCGGAAAAGAACTCCGATGACGAAGGGCAGGACGGTGCTGACGCAGGAGCTCTGAAGGAGGACCACGCTGACGAAGCAGGGGCCGCGGGCGAAGCGCCCGTGCAGCCGGGAGGACCTGCTATCATCAAGGGCGGGAAAAAAGGACTTGCACCAGGACAGCAGAAGTCACCACCGCAGCTCGGCGCGATGCATAAAGGGGAAAAGACCAGCGGAACTATCCATTCCGGGAAAGAAAGTATCTTTTAGTACTGAAGCGACATGCATCCGCATCGCGAACGCGATCACAAATTTTTGATCTGCTTGTTCAGAGTTGAGAAAATAGATTTGCAAGGCTGAAAAAGGTAAAAACGCTTGCCATGCAGTGTATGTTGCTGCAACCCGCCGTCGCACGCAAGAACAGCAAAGGATAAGTACTTTTCCCTCGGATAGCCAAAACCGTGCAGAAAGGCGTGGTCGCAGGGGCCGCCGGCGGTTTGAAAGAAAGTGGAAAGGTGGTAAAGGGAGCAAAAGATGCGAAAAGCACAACGAAGCCGGACGGCACGCAGCCGCTGCAACAACCTGCCGCCCATCCCGGAGCTCCACCGGGAAAGCAGATGAAAATCCCAGCAGGAGCAGGCAAAGACGGTGATCATCCGGGAAAAATGAAAGGCGCGTCCTCCTCCGGACAGCTGCACAAAGAGGCAGGAGGAAAACCCGCACTGCAACAGCCAGCGGGTAGCAAACCCGCCGGTGTTCTCGCGGGGAAGGACCAACAGCAGCCGTCGCTGCCCAAGGGGCCGAAGGGCACGGGAATTACGCAATCGCCGGCGGGCAAGAGTCCGTCCGGGGGACAATCGCCGGCGGCGGGCAGGAGTACGAGTAGCAAGTCACCACCTGGAGGAGGAGGAGGTGGAGGCCCTCCTGCTGGAAGTGACCACAAGGGAGGCAAGAAGTCGCCGGAGAGCGCAAATATCAAGGGAACATCAAAATCTCCACCGCAGATGATGAAGTCCGGAGTTGGACCAACAAAACAGCCCGAAGCTCTTCTAGCGGCGAACAAGGGAACCACGGCAGGACCAGGGAAGGACGCCCTCGTCGGGAGTAGTGGTTTAGCACCAAAAGGAAAAAATAGTGCCAAGTCTCCACCACAAAACACGGCGCAGCCCCTATCGCAAGGAAAAATCCCCCCTCCCCATATTGAAGAGGTAGGTTTTCGAAAATTTGTGTTGCTGATTTGAGGTCACAAATCACGTTTGTGTTGCAAGAAGACAAGGGCAGCAGCTTCCGTCCCATTATGGAGGCGGTTTGTCATGCTGTTGAGCCAACATCACGGACGCTTTTCATGCTAAGCGCCTAAGTCAAAGCCTCTCTACTCAGGCTTGATATGGGTCTGCAGTCCTCTCCAGCAAGACAAATGCGATTTGTGTACTCAAATACAGCAACACAAATTTCGCTTTCGATATGGGGAGGGGGGATTTTTCCTCACAATAGCCCCCGTCTAGTAGTCCGCCGGGTCGTCCGGGAAGTTTGGTGGGCAGCAAGCAAGACGGGAGTAAGAAAGGCATGAATAGCAACAGCAACAATAAAGGAGCACCAGCTGGGCCAGGGGTCGGTATTGTAGTACCGTCGCAGGAGCAGCCGCCTTCTGAACGGCAGTCTGCGACGAGCGCGCCACGAGGACCCCAAGCAGGATCGCCTTCGCTTCCAACACGCGGTTCTTCGGCGGGCGAAATGAAAGGGAAACAACAACAAATAACACCATCTTCTTCCAAGCCGGGAAGCAAAAGTGCAGCCGGTGCTGGATCACCACCAGGGGGAGCACAACAACCAAAAGGAAGTAGTACAACTAAAATGACCTCCGACAAAGACAAGAACATGATGATGAACAAAGGCGGCGACAAGATGAAAGGAGTAAAAACGGGTAATATTCAACCAGATCTAGCCCCACCGCAAGAGGAAAGCGAGGTGGTGGTCAGGACCAAGCGGGCGAGTCACGATCGGGTAGACATGAATCAAAAAGGTGTAGGACTCCTGAATAAAGGAAAAGGATTTCCACCGCCTCCGGAACCGGAAAGCGAAGTTGTGGTCGTAACGAGAAGAGCGAGTCACGGCCACTCCGGGGAGGGCGGTCCGATGAATCACCCACTGCCGACGCCGGGTAATTTGGGCAAGGGAATGAAAAAGAAGTGAGAAGACGCGAGCTTCGTCTTTTGCCAGGATTTGCGTTTTGAGTTTGACTTTGAATTTGATGCAGAATAGAAGATGACAAGCTGATTTTATGGATGTTTTGAATTTGATCATGTAGGATTTGAGGAGCTTCTGCGAGGCATTGCTGATGCCAAAAATGTTGCAAAGCTAAAGACTGCCTTCAGGCGATTTTTGGCGAAGATGATGAAATGTAAGATGAAAACCCTTCAACTGTAACCACTTTTCCTATTCGAAGTACTCACCCCAATGTACCAAGATGAACTCAAAGAAACTATTCCAAGAAGAATGGCGGTCTTCAGCTGATTTATTTCAGGAATCATTCGTCGGCAACGTCACGTTTATTGAGACGGCGCAGTTCGTCTTCGTAAGTAACTGGAAATTTTTGGCGGGTTCGCGATGGATGGTACGTACTTGCTGTTCGACGAGAACATTGAAATATTGTATGCAGGAGCAATGCGCATGCCCTGCTCTAGTACCTGCAACTTTTACTTTCATAATTCTGTGAGTGAGAGTTTTTGTGCTGTGCTGTTTTGGGTGGGACAGCTTCCTTCTTTCACATGCTGAATCGTTTTCATACTGACAATTATGATTATCGGGTAGTTGCGACGAGAAATTTTTATGCTGTAGTGATTGTTTCTGCTTTTGTGATTTTCATTGCAGCGGTCGTGGTTGGTCCAGCCGTCAAAGAGCTTAAGTAGAAGATGCCGTTCGAGGAACCCAGGTTGAGGACACCATAGGTGAGTAGGTTGAAGCACAATCTTGTAAAAACATTGTCCCCGTCGAGAAAACGAGTCGTCGTCGTGAGCATCATTTTACAACCATATACAAACAAGATGCTCTTCGAACCGGCCCAGCACTCGCTGCGCCGTTCTAGCTCGTCGAGCTCCCGCCCTGCAACCGGAGCAGCATGTCGTCCAAGAAGTACGACCGGTTTGGGTTCGAACCCTGCTGGCGCCCCCAATAGAACAAAGTCCAAAAACACTAGTACAGCCTGCACTTCCTCCTCCTCCCGCTGCAAGAGGGCTACAGTAAGCAGTACGCACAGGAGCAGCGGCAGCAGCTTCCCCAGCATGAACAAGGCCTACTTTGCGGCGCTCACAGCCTCGCAAATTCTCCTGCTCGCCGACGCGAGAACCTTACTAGTCCACGGGCCGGTGGATCCGAATAAGGACGGCGGAAAACGGTTCTACGCTGAAATATCAACAACTAATAGTGTATTTTCGGTGGACGTCGTGAAGCAACAGTTCGCGGAGGAGCACCTGAAACAGGACACTGGGGGTATTGCGAGGAAAAATCTCCCCTCCCCATTTCGAAAAGGAAATTTGTGATGCTGATTTGTGACCACCACCACACTCAAATCAGCTCTGTCTTGCGTACAAGGCAAACGGCACCCATGTGGCGCATTGTGCAGCGAGTCTGTCATGCGTTTTCGCCTATGTCAGGCTTGTTTCTCATGCTCAGCTGCTAGCCGGATGCGTACCCAAATGGGCTTAGAATATGCCAACAAGCTCTCGCTGCAATACAAAGTTCATTTGTGTACACAAATGCAGCAACGCAAGTTGTCTTCTGAATATGGGGTGGGGGCTTTTTTCACTCTGATAGTAGGGGAGGCCCGGCGCTACTACCGGGACCTCACCGGATTTTCTCTAGTGTACGACGGGCGGAAAATTGTCGGTATTTATTTTCATCATGTTGGACTGATCGATGTTTGTCATGCAGGATATGCTTGCAAATGCAAAAGATAAGATTTTGTCATCTGGCATTTTACACACGGACGACCATCACAAGAGCCTGTTTTGCTGCTACCTGGATCCATTCAATCAAGAATTTCTACTAGCTCTCATCATCCTTTTCGCAGTGTCTACTCTCTATAATAAGTACAAAAACCAGAAACTTAAACCACACATCAACAGACGGCCCTGCTTCCGATTCCGCGCGCAAACACCAAGCGGACGACATCGATACGATATCCCTCGAAGACATCCCGGACCGCGCAGAGATCCAGCTTCAGCGAGCTCGGGGCTCCGTGGGCGAGATGCACCGGTGGTCCCACAGCATCACCGGGATTTCGAGTTTGTACGGGGGCAGCTCCAGCGACGATGCTGCATCCGACGCGGACAGTTCATCATCCACCTCCTCAGCGGATTTGTTCACCTTTGCCTGGCAGCGAGATCTGTACCTGGCGACTGGAGTGGTACTGGATCTCACCGATGTGAAGGTGATCGGGGTGATGCTTTTACTCCTGGCGGTACTGCTCATTCTGGTCACGAAACTCTGCTCCGCCTTGCTCGGAACGAGTACCGCCAGCTCGAAGAATCTGATCAGTTCGCCACCTCCGAGAGGGAAATCCGCAATGTCGTCAAGGTCAGCCTCGACAGCGGCGAACCGCGGGTTTTCCCGCACACCCGGAGGGACAACGGCTGGTAGTGCGATGAAAAAAGGTTCAAAGAAAGACGATTCTCCCTCTCTACTCTACCAAGACGACGAAGAGGAGCTTTCTGTCGGGCAGAAACTGGTCCGCCGCGTGACGACGGCGATGAAGGTAAGCCCCGTGTCTGCCATGAAGGGAGGCAGTGGGAGTAGCAAGCCTTTGACAGAGAAGGGAAAAGTGAAAATATCCGGGTTCGAAGTGAAGAATTGGAACGGGGTTTACTACAATAGCATTTCAACTAGTACATCCTCTAGAAGTGGTGCTAGCAGCAGTAATTCTAGCTACAAGCTGCTGTCAAGTTCTTCGAAAAAGCACCAAGCGGTGCAATTCGTCCGGAAAATATGCATTGCAAATATGTCGGGGTCTGGAAAAGGACCAAGTTTGTCATGCATATTTTCCATGAATCATGAAGTCTGTGATGCATGCCCGAGCATCACACATTCTGCGAGAGCTTTCTGATGCTCATACCGCTTGAGAAATGCCCCCTTCGCGTGGCAAAAACTGGGTCTCTTTTGCTGTTCATGCAATACAGGTTTTATGTAGAGTCCCAAGGTAGCATGACAAGTTGCATCCTCCCAGACCCAGACATATTTGCAATGGATAGAAAAAACCGCGGAGCAAAACGGAGCAATACGTGTTGGAAGCGAATTATGGAAGTGTCAGAATCGAAATCGACAAAATCGAAATGATTTGTCATGCATATAATGGATTCCAGTTCTTGTTCGAACCCAGTTTCTTAGCGGTGCATGACAAATTCTGGCGTTGCCGTATTCCAGTTTGTAATGCTGTTTAGGCAAAGAAGACTGATTCTCTCATGCTGCTTTAGCAGCTCGAGCTATAACCCCAAACAGGCTTACAATCGGCTTCACTTGCCTGCTCTGCAACACACGTATTGCGCGTCATGCATTTTATGCATCACAAATCTTTCGACTTTGTCAATTTCGATCCTGACAGTTCCATACAAATCTGTCAGCGACGAAATGGAGTTTGTTTCTAGAGAATGAGCAAACGGACGAGAAAAAGCTCCTAGCCGAGACAACGTCCATGCTATGAATTGCAAAAATGTCTGGGTCTGGAAGATAATTGCAACTTGTCATGGTAAATCTGAAGCATGCAAAAATCTGTGTTGCATGAGTGCCAAAAGCTGTCCACTTTTGACCAAGTTGGACCGGAGTTTCTCATGCAGAATAGGCATGATAGGGATCTCACAGAATGTCTGTCATGCTAAGTCCCGCATAGCAGACCGCATGGGTCATGGAAAATCTGCATGACAGGTCTACACTCTTCCAGACCCAGACACGTTTGCACTTGATACATGCTGGGTGGCGGCAACAGCAGCGGCGTTGCAGACTGGAATTGTGTGGCGTCCGAGGGAGACGCGGGTACATTTCTGTCCGAGATTGTAGAAGATGTGAGGATAGAATGAAGTATTTTACGTAGTAGAGGAGCAGCAGGCGTTGATCATTTCTCGTGCTGTCTTCACGCGTGACGCATGTTTGTATAGTTACAGCTGCTACATCGTAAGCGTAGCGGAAAAGAAAGAAACGAAAGAAGCATCCATCTCAATATTTTACGGGAAAAGCACCAGAGTTGTGCAACAAGACGCTTTCCCCAAGAAGTTCCCGTGTTCGTAGCAAAGGGCCGTAAATTATGCTGCTTTATAAAGGGCCGTAATTTTTCTTGAAGATCTGCATTCAATATTACGCATTGCATTTTCTTTGCTTGTGCAGATCGATACTTGTTGACACGACGAAAAATCAAGAAACCGCACAAGAACATGACCGAACGCAGTAGAACATCATCGTGATCCACCTCTTTGTAACATTTGGAAGGGAGAAATCATGATGATCATTTTTGCCTCTCCGCTTTGACTCATGTGATCCTGTCCTCGCGGCATTTTTTCGCAACGCAACGACAAGCAACTTTGATGCCAAGGAGTTGTCAAAAGTTCATTTTTTCGCAACGCAACGACAAGCATCTTTGATGCCAAGGAGTTGTCAAAAGTATCCGAACCAAAGCCCCACAAGTTCCTCCTTTGCAAGCCGATCTCTTTTGCGAATAAATATGTTTTTGAGTTGGAACAAAAAACGATAGAGCATAATGGACACTAAAAGAAGATGCAAAGTTGGGACGCAGGAATTGTTTTCTCTGCTACGACCTATGAATGTGCATGACGAAACTGCTCCCCCATCGATGAACCGATATCGAAATCTGCAGAAAGAAAAGAAAACCAGAACACAGATCCCGGAAACTGACTTTACATCAAAATTGCAATCCCCGGCTAGTTCACGCACAACCCATTTAGTTCTTTTATTTCTTCCTATCGAAAAATTACTACGAATTACTTCCCCCTGCAGCGCGAAAAAAAAGATTGTTTCCCCGAGGTTGTTTTGATGAATGTGTAAAAACAAAGTAGAGAATTTCTGAATTAAAAAGTTTCATTTCTAAATATTGTGGCGACACAAGAAAAACGTCATGATGAGGTCTTTTTCCAAAACGCCTAGCATCGCGTCTTGATGAGCACCCTTTGTAAAAAAAAGTAGCGACATCGGCACATCAATGTAGTTTCTGCTTGTACTTTTTTCTTTTGGCGACTCACTCGGTAGTACTACACAACGAGCATTTATCAAAGTACAACTTCCTTGATGTTGTACTTCTTGTAGGGATAGCGATTTTTGTTTGTCTCTGCTTCTTGACAACAGCATTCATATTCTTGCATCTTCTGTAGACACCACGACCACGACTAAACAGAAACGACAATATGTCGTGGCATAACAACCGCGGTTGGGGGTACAACAAGGGGGGTGGTAAGCACCACCCCGGCTACAAGCAACCCCTAATCGAGTACTTCATGGACTTTTGCCGGGACAGCGACAAGTCCGGGGTTCTGACCACCCCGACCTTTGCCTTCAACCAGCTGCCTATCGAGATCGGCGATCCGGCGGGAAAATGGTACTGCGAGCTGACGGTTTTCGACAAGGAAAAGCGGTGCCAACTGACGTATACCAACATGGAGCCGCAATTGGTGAAGAAAACCGCGCAGGAACAGTCCATCGTGCAGTTTATCAACTGCAAAAATGTCTGGGTCTGTAAGAGTGCAAGACTTGTGATGCTGCATCAGGATGTGAAAAAAATCTGTGTTGCATGAGCAGCAGAAGGAGCCTAATTTTTGTTACGCAGAGAGGGCATCTGTCATGCGGAATAGGCATGAAGAATCCCTCAAAAAACCTGTGAAGATGCTAGAGCATGCATCACAGACATCACGGCCCATGCAAAACGTGCATGACAAGTCTCAGAATCATCTGCCAGACCCAGACATTTTTGCATTTGATACAATTCTTCGAGCAACGGTTCATCCCCCTCGACGTGAACCAGTTTTACTCCACTTTAGGGGAGGCCGAGCGGCAGAAGTCGCATGTGGAGCGGCTCCGACAGCAAAAAATCATCGGGCTGACCAAAAAACAGATCGCGGAGCGGAAGGCCCAGGGTGTGGGGTTCGAGTACCTGGCCCAAGCGCAGGGCGATGGAAACCTCATGAATGCGGCAGTGGATACGCTGACCGACGAACAGCTGTTGGCGCTGTCGCAACAAAACGTGGACTTCGGGAAAGAAGTGAAGTTGCTAACCGAAGACGAAGAGAGACGATTGCTAATCGAGGGGGGAGCGGATTTGGCCCCGGCGATTGGTGGAGGAAGTATGTCGGAAGAGGAAAGCGCAGGGAAGATGGCGTATTTATTACTAAATTCTTTTGATGTACAACTTTACAATAAATGGCACTTCGCATGACAAGTTACTCATTCAAAAATTTTGGTCTGTGATGCATTGCCAGTGTATAGAGATTAGAGTTTGTGATGCGCATGTCACAATACAAACAGCGCCGACGACGAGTACCTGAAATACCTGCTTCCGATATCAGCTGCAAAAATGTTTGGGTCTGGAAGATTGCAACTTGTGATGCTGTTTTTGGACTCTAAGAAAATTTGTATTGCATGACCAGCAAGAGGGGTGCGCTTTGTGCTACACGGACAGGGCATTTCTCATGCGCAAGGTGCACCAGGAAGGGTTCTAAAAATCTGTAATGCTAGGTCATACATTACAGACTATCATGGGTCATGAGAAATATGCATGACAAGTCTTGCATTCTTCCAGACCCAGACATTTTTGCATTTGATATCCGAACGAGGACGACGACGACGAGGACATGGACCCGGATCTGAAGCTATGCAATGCAAATTTTTCATCTCGGTCTGAATTTGTGATGCGAGATGTGCATGCGAGAAGGATCTGTCGTGCAGGAAGAGAACCGGCGTTTATTTTTTTGTCATGCGGGCTGCCACGTCGAAGTCGACCGCCAGTTTGTCATGCAAGTCACAATTGGAAAATGAAAAATGAAAATCCGGAAGTGGAACAAGCCTTTATTGAACTGCTCACTCGTACGCGTAGTTTTTGATGCCGTATCAAAGGCACCAGACCTACGTAGGTTTGGTCATGCAAGACTCAACAGCATGATATAAAAAACCAAAAATCTTCAAAAATTCTCTTGCTTTGTTCATCTCAGACCCAGATTAGGATTTTTTCCATTGCATACGAACAATCCCTCGGCCTGCCCCCAAACGCGAAAAAACAACGGACGGATAAAGGTTCTGCTTTCAAGGGCGCGGCCGTATCCCACAGAAAAAAGCAAGCAGGTCATATTTGTCATGCAAAAGTAAATAGACAAAAAAATCTGTATTGCGTTTGCGTGTCCTAAGCAGCTGCACCATGCTATGGGCTCGCCGATGACAGATTTTTTCGTGTATTTATTTTTGCATTACAAATCTGACCTGCCTGTCTTTTTCTGTGGCATAGGCGGGTACGGGCGCGAACAACACCGGGCTCGGGCAGAAGGTCGAGTACCCGAACATGATGCCGACGAAGGGGGGCAAGTGGGGGAAGTTTGGGAAGCTGCCGCAACAGGGCTGGGGAAACTGGAAGGGATATCCTATGTAAAAACGTCCTCACCCCAGAGTCAAAATCGGAAATCTGCAACACAAATCTCCAAGCTTTGGGAGTTCTGCATGACAAGTTTCCATCTGCAGGGTAGTGCTAGTTAGCAAGGGCAGCCGCAGGAGAAACCCAGCTTCTCATCCTGTTTACAGCATTACAAAGTCCAAAACACGATTGGAAATGCCTCTCATGCAGATACGCATCACAAATGGTTCTGTCATTGCGCATTTGCATGACAACTCTGGTGTCGTGGGGACGGTTTTGCCGAGGATAAGGGAAAAGGCGGGGGCAAGCACGACATCCCGGACTGGCTGAAGAACAGCAACCAGGCGGAGATGCTGCTCCGCGGCCAGAGCGGCCGGCTCGGGAAAAAGCACAACCCGAACGAGATTGCGCTGCCCGGCGAGCTATGCATGGCAAATATGTCTGGGTCTGGAAGATTGTGAGATTTCTCATGCTAGTTTGGCATGACTCTGAACTCTGTATTGCGTAGGGCCATCGGAAGACCTCCTCTTGTCTGTCATGCAAAAACGATGTTTCTCATGCGGAATACGCAACACAGAGCCACGGGAAAATCTGTCATGCTTGACGGTGCATTACAGTGCGCTTCCTGTTCACTAACATGCATCACAAGTTTCCAGACCCAGACATTTTTACGCTTGATACGAGCAGTTCAAACGCGCGGTCGAAGCCGTCAGCAAGGAAGAGGAGGTATGACAGTGCACAACTCCCCCTCCCCCTCATTTGTATTGCGTGAACAGCAATACAAACACCGCCACACGTGGAGCCTGTGCATGACAAATTCATGCGCCTACTGTAGTGCTGTTTGGGCTTCCGGAATCTGTCATGCAAACAGTGCGACAGAAGAGCACTTGGATTTGGTATTTTGCATGACAAATGAGGGGGAGGGGGAGTTGTGCACTTTCATAGGAGGACGAGGAGTTTGCGCGCATGCAGCCGCCGGAACCGTTACCGGCCGGGGCGATTCCGCTGTTACCTTTAGGTGGATCCTATCAATTGCAAATATGTCTGGGTCTGGAAATTTGTGATGCTAAAATGTGCATGATGAAAACACCTCCTCATGTAGGAAAGCATGACAAGTCTGCGCAACGCTTTATCATACGAGCTCCGCATGAGAAACTGCGTTTTTGTATGACGTGAGAGGCTGCCACTTTTGTTGGTCATGCAATACAGATTTCACAGGAATGCAAGACCAGCATTACAAGTTCCAACTTTCCAGACCCAGACATTTTTACATTTGATAGATCCGCGGGGGAGATCCGGGAGGCGGTCGCGCGAAACGCGATTGCTATGCATTGCAAATATGTCTGGGTCTGGAAGAATGCAAACTTGTGATGCGCATTGTGCAATCTCTCATGCGCAGGCAGCAAAAGCTGCCCCCTTTTTGTCTCCAAAGTGGGGCATTTGTCATGCGGATTCGGCATTGCGGGAGCTTGTCGAAACCTGTCATGCTAGAGCTTCCATGCCAGACCTTCTGTGTCATGCAAAAGTAGCATGATTTTTCTTCCAGACCCAGATATATTTGCATTTGATAATTGCGCCCGAGCCGACGAATCCGAAGTTCAAGGAGGAAAAAGCTCTGCCCATGGCGGGGACCTTGATGCCCTTGCCGAAAGGGGATATGTCGATCACCTCCGCAATCATCAAGTATGGAATGGAAATATGTCTGAGTCGGCAAGGTTGCAACTTGTGATGCTGTCTTTGGAGGCTAAAAAAAAATAAAATTTGTATTGCATGACCAGCAAGAGGAGTTCAGTTTGTCTTTGTGCCACGCGGAGTGGGCATTTCTAATGCGGAATACGCATCAGAAGGCCCTTTTTGAAAATCTGTGATGCTAGGTCATGTATTACAAGGTTCATGGGTTATAATGCAGAATATGCAAGACATCAAACCTGGCAAAAATCTTCCAGACCCAGACATATTTGCAATCCATATCAAGCAGGCCGTGACGAAAGCGCCGGAGGCGAAGGACGACCCGATATTGTAATGAAAAATCCCCCCTTCCCATATCGAACTGAAAATTTGTGATGCTGATTTGTGGCCACAAATCAGCTTTGTCTTGCGTACAAGGCAAACGGCACCCATGTGGCGCATTTTACAGCGAGTCTGTCATGCGTTTTCGCCTAAGTCAGACTTGTTTCTGATGCTCAGCTGCTAGCCGTATGCGTACCCACATGGGCGTAGAATAAGCCGACAAGCTCTTGCTGCAATACAAAGCTCATTCGTGTACTCAAATCCAGCAACACAAATTGCTTCTTTGATATGGGGTGGGGGCTTTTTTCAGTTTGATACCCGAAACTCCGCGCCGCGATGAAGAGGGAGAAAATCGTGCAGGAGGCGGCCAAACGGTTCGAGATGGCGCAATCCCGCGGGCAGTTTTTGGACCCGAAGCCCGGGTTCGCGTACCGGACCTTCATATGCAATGCAAAAATGTCTGGGTCTGGACGATTCTTACATTTGTCATGTGCATGTCTGACATGACTCGAGAATCTGTGATGCATAGGGGCATTGGAATAAAAGGCTCTCCTATCTGTCATGTAAAACGTTGTTTGTCATGCGGAATACACATAGCAGCTCAAAAGTTTGTCATGCCTGGCTGCGTATTGCAGTCCGGCCATCATCCACTTTTAGCATTACAAGTTTCCAGACATCCAGGGATTTTTGCAGTTGATACTTCAAATTGGTCACAGGCGTGGAAATCCCCGAGCCAGTGTTGAACATCCAGGGACTGTTATGCAAGAAAAAAACTATGTCTGTGTAAGTCAAAGTCTATGATGCAGGAAATGCAAAACTGTTACACTTGTCATGCTGGATCTGCGTAATAGGCTAGCTTCATACGTGTTTCCACTGATACTAGCTGCGCATGACAGGTTTTCCCTGTAATGCAAAACGAATCTGTGATGCTGCTATTCCTAGAAAGTTAATACACCTACACAGTTTTTTTCCTGGATAACTGTGGTCCGTCGTGGACCCGCAGGCCCGGCCGGCCGGGTCCGCAGTCGCGGAAGCGCGCGGGGTCGGCATCGGGGCGCCGGCGTTTCAGCCGCAGGAGGGGCGGGGCGGCGAAACCGCGGGGGACAACGATTCGGAGGGGGAGGACGGCCTGGGTCCGGGCAAGGACGCGGGGCAGTATCAAATGCAAATATGTCTGGGTCTGGAAACTTGTGATGCAAGGAAGGGAATAGTGCGCACACTGTAATGCGCTGCCAAGCATGACAAGTTTTTCCGTGGTTCTGAGTTGCGTACTCCGCATGAGAAGCTGCGTTTTTGCATGACAGGCCAGAGGAGCTCTCTGTGGTGACGCAACACAGAGTTCACAGTCATGCCAGACTAGCATGACAAATCTCGCAACTTCTACTTCCCAGACCTTGACTCGTATTTGCGTTTGATAGCCAGTCCGCGCTGATGAAGGCGGGCGTGGATGCGGAGATGGAGCACGAAACCGGGTATCCAAGAAAAAAAGGTTGTTCGTGTAAATTTGTGATGCGCAACATGCATTAATTGATTGAGCCTGTCATGCTGTGCCTGCATTGTAGGGTCCATTCAGTGGCGTTTTCCCCTACTATCTGCGCATGACAGGTTTTTGCTGTCATGCGAAAGATATTTGTCATGCTGATCCTCCAAGAGAGTTACATCTACAATCTTTTCTTCCTGGATACCGGGGAGCTGAACACGATTATTATCGAAGAGAATTATTTCCGCAGCAGTAAAGACCCCTTCCGGAAAAGGAACCTGCACATGAGTACCGACGGGCTGAGTTTTCTGTACTTGGACGACCGGTATCAAATGTAAAAATGTCTGGGTCTGGAAGATTCTGACACTTGTCATGCACGTTTTGCATGAGCCCTGATGTCTGTGATGCATGCCCTAGCATCACAGATCTTTTGAGAGCTTCTTGATGCCTATTCCGCATGACAAATGCCCTCTCCGCGTAGCAAAAATTACATTCCCTTTGGTACTCATGCAATACAAATTTTTTTGGAATCCAAATGCAGCATCACAAGTTGCATTCTTCCAGACCCAGACATTTTTACATTTGATAACCGGGACATTTCGCAGGTCAAAGGGTACATGTCCCACGACAAAATATGCATTGCAAAAGCATCGTACTAGTACAAATTGCAATACAAATCGCTCAGCATGACAAATTAAATTTGTAATGCGGATCTACCTACAGCCACTAGATTTGTAATGCATAACTGCAATTAATAGTACGAGTCCGATGCTTTTGCACTGGATACAAAAGGACGAATAACAAAATGATCCGGTGGAACACGCAGGAGGAGTGGGAGCCCGCGGTGACCCCGGAGTTGCCCGAGGAGGAGGAAGACGCCGGGGAAACGTACGGCTTCGATATGCAGAACTCGAAACAACATTTAAATCAATTCCTCCAGAAGCGGAAACTCCCGACCGATGCCATGAAGGTGGAAAACCTCACCGTCGTCCCCGGGTTCCGTGCGACGATCGACATGATGATCACCCCGAAAGAGCGCCTGCGCTGCTCCGTCGTCGCGGGTAGCAAGAAGGGTGCGGGCGCGGAGTTAGCGATGCGGGTGTGCAAAATGTTGACCCGAAGGCGGTTGATCGCGAAGGCGAGCGACTTGTTGAATCCAGAGAACGCAATCCACGATCAGATCGAACCGGGGGAATTCGGTCTGTCCGCGCACATGCGGGGCGTGATTCGGAAGTTCATCACGCAAACGTGTAACTTTGAACCGGTGGAGTTCGACCCGAATGCGCCCGTGATTGACGTGGGGTTGAAGATCGACGCGGCACCCTGGTCCATGTCGGCAAATTACGAGTCGGAGGGGGCGATCTCCTGGTCCGAGCCGCGGGCCTGCGCGGACCCCTGGGGCGCGACGACCAAGGAGCGCAGTGGAAACCACATTTACACCGGGGATGCGGTTAACCAACAGTTGTTACGGGAATTGCGGCAGATATCAAATGCAAAAATGTCTGGGTCTGGAAGATTCCGAGATTTGTCATGCAGTTTTTCCAAGCAGCCCCAAGTCTGGAATGCAGGGTTTAGCATCACAGGTTGCGCAGCCCCTTGGTGATGCCCATTCTTCATGAGAAATGCCCTCCCAGCATGGCCAGAAGTGGGCATCTTTTGCATGTCATGCATCACAGATCTTTGTATGATCCGCAACACGCATCACAAGTTCGGATCCTTCCAGACCCAGACATTTTTACATTTGATAACAGAAACAGTCGAACAATTTGTATCAGATGATGCAGCGCGACCGGATTGCGTTGCCGATCTGGAACATGCAGCACGAGATTGTGTCCGAAATCGAGGGTTCGCAGGTGGTCTTAGTGCAGGGGGCCACGGGTTGCGGTAAGACGACGCAGATCCCGTATCAGAACGAAAAATCCCCCCTCCCCATATCGAAAACGGAGTTTGTGTTGCTGTATTTGAGTACACAAATGCAGTAAAGGACTGCACGCAGATCGTAAGCCTAAGGGGGGGCCTCTTGGTCTAGGGGACTAGCATGACAGACGTCTGCCCTACAGGCCTTGCAGCATTACAAATCGCCTGCATATCGTGGCGGAGTCTCTGAGTTTGCCCTCTTGCAAGAGAGACAGGACTTGTGGCCACAAATCAGCATTGCAAATTTTTCGAAACATACCTTTTCAGTATGGGGAGGGGGGGTTTTTCCTTTTGATATCCCGCAGTTTTTGTTGGACTACTACATCGGGAAGTCCGCGGGTGTGGATTGTAACATTATCGTGACGCAGCCGCGTCGTGTGGCCGCGATGAGTGTGGCGGAGCGGGTGTGTCAAGAGTATCCCACGAAAAAACTGTTTCACTGTGATGATCTTGCAAGATCTGCATCACAAGTTTGTTACACACGACACAGAAAAAAATTTGCCATGCGCGCATTTCCCATAGGGAAAAACACGGTTGAAACTCCAATGCTCTATGCAGGTGTAGCAAGACAAATCGTTCTGTGCTCCATTCTCTGCATCACAAGTTCACAGTGAAACAGTTTTTTCCTGCGATAAAGAGCGGGGGGAAAGTATTGGACAGAGTTGCGGGTACATGGTCAGGTTCGATCAGGTATAAAAGAACAGATATAAGTTTTGTTGATCACCTTCGATATGCAAATGTGCATGACAGGCTGTGATTTCGATCTTGTTTGTGCAATACAGCTTTCAACTAATCATGCCCGATGTTTCATTTAGGAGAGAATGCATGACAAAAATAAATTCACGGAACTATTAAAACTTGTATCAGATGCCTCCCCGCGCCTCTGGTTCTATCTGCTACATGACGGTGGGTGTGCTACTCAAGCGTTTGGCCGCCGGTCTGCACGGGGTGTCCCACGTGATCGTGGATGAGGTGCACGAACGGGATGTCAACACCGACTTCCTCCTCATCGTCCTCCGCCGCTTGGTCGCCGCCAACCCCAAACTATGCATTGCAAAAGTACTATCTTCGTACTCGTATAAATGCATTACAAATTTCCTCAGCATGAGAAATAAAATTTGTACTGCTAATTTGCCTTAAGAACTGGATTTGTAATGCATGATTACAATACGAGTGCGATACTTTTGCACAGGATACAAACTCCGCGTGATTCTCATGTCCGCGACCATGGATTTGGCGAAACTGCAGGAGTATTTCAGTCAGAAATCCCGGCGCCAGTGCCGCATCATCGACGTGCCGGGCCGGGCGTATCCGGTGACGGCGTATTATCTCGAGGATTTGGTCGAGCTATGGATTGCAAAAATGTCTGGGTCTGGAAGATTGCAACTTGTCATGCTAAATCTGGATCATGCAAAAATCTGTGTTGCGTGAGTGCCAAAAGCTGCCCACTTTCGGCCAAGTTGGGAGGGGATTTCTCATGCAGGATAGGCATTAGAAAGGCCTCGCAGAATCTGTCATGCTAAGTCCTACATACCAGACCTCATGGCTCATAGAAAACCTGCATGACAAATCTGGCAATCTTCCAGACCCAGACATTTTTGCAATCCATAGGAGCTGTTGAACTACAAACCCCCACCGGCGAAGAAGGACAAAGCTTACTGGAACGGGGACATTGAGTTCAACGACAGCATGACGTACAGCGAAACGACCATGAATACCGTGCGGATGCTGAACGAGAACGACATGAACGTCGATTTGATTGAGAAAACGCTTTGTTACATTATGTCGCAGGAACTGCGCGGCGGGGTGTTGATTTTCCTGGCGGGTTGGGACGAGATCACGAAGTGCTTGAAACACATGAGGAAATCGTACAAGTTGCAGGACTGCTACTTTCTCCCCTTACACTCTCAAGTCCCGAAATCGGAACAGCACTTGGTGTTCCAGCAATCCGGTCACGGGAAAACGAAGGTGGTGTTAGCGACCAACATCGCGGAAACCTCCGTGACGATCCCGGACATATCCTACGTGATCGACACGTGTAAATGCAAGATGAAGTACTACCGACCGGTCAACGACGGGCTGAATTTAGCGACTGCGACGAACCGGGCACAGCCGTTGATGTCGAGAATGGATATTCACTGGGCAGCGAAACACAACTTGACGCAGCGGATGGGTCGTGCGGGTCGTACCCATAGTGGGGTTTGCTTCCGGTTGTGCACGAAGTGGCGGTTTGACCAACTGCCGGATATGACGTCACCGGAAATTACCCGATCACCCTTGCACCAGAACGCTTTGTATGGATTGCAAAAGTGTCTGGGTCTGGAAGATTGCAACTTGTCATGCTAAATCTGAATTATGCAGAAATCTGTGTTGCATGAGTGCCAAAAGCTGTCCACTTTCGACCAAGTTTGGAGGGAGTTTCTCATGCAGGATAGGCATGGCAGAGACCTCACCGACTCTATCATGCTAGGTCCCGCATTCTAGACCTCGCGAGTCATGGAAAACCTGCATGACAAGTAAGTTTACACTCTTCCAGACCCAGACATTTTTGCATTTGATACTTTGATGGTCAAGTGGCTGCGGTTGGGAGAGATCATGCAATTCTTGACGGAAGCGTTAGACCCACCAAGCCACGAGAATATCAACCGGGCGATCGCGGTATAATATCGAAGAAAAAACATTGTTAGTGTAACTTTGTGATGCGCAACATGCAAAGTGATTGCGGCTCTCATGCTGGGGAATGCATTGCAAGGTCCATTCAAGGTGGTTTTCACGTACCATCTGCGCATGACAGGTTTTTGCTCTCATGCCAGACAGATTTGTAATGCTGTTTCTCCAAAAAGTTACACCTACAATCTTTTTTTCGTGGATATATAAACTTGGTGGTTAGATGAAGTAGATGTGCAGCAAAAATTTTTGCGTGGAATAGAGCAAATGATCGCAAAACCAAAGCAAGATGTTCCAAAAAAAAATCCAAAACAGGTCCTCCAAGAACTGTACGCCATCGACCAATTTCAGCGTCTGACGCCGCTGGGCGTGCAGATTTCCAAGCTCCCCATCGAACCCCGCATGGCCTACGCGGTGCTCCTCTCTTCCCTCCTCGGCGTGGCACAGCCCATGTGTCTGATCGCCGCTGCCTCCTGTTACCAGGACCCGGTGCGGTCCGACTCCCCGTTGAAGCAACAATACGTCCAGAACCCGTGCTATTCCGACCAGATTTATCCACAGTAAATTTCCCGTACACGTACAAATGCGGTCTCTGCATGACAAAACTTGGCTTCGATCCTAGTTTAGCATGACAAATTTTACGCTCCAAATTGGTGAAATTTGTGATGCATCTTGTACATGTACGGGAAATGTGTATTGCATAAGCTTTTGATGCTGAAAATCCTCTACCAGTTGTTCGACACCCAAAAGCATTTAAACCCATCCTACTGTCGTGACAACGGGGTGAATATGCAATGCAAATATCAATCCGGGTCTGGAAAGGCTGAACTACCTGTATTGTGTGTTTCGCATATCTGAAAAATCTGTATTGCATAAGCAGCAAGGAATAAAGCGCCACACTTTCGTCACGCAAAAGCGCAGTTTGTAATGCGTTCTGCGTACTATGAAAAAGCGTTTGAAAGATTTGTAATGCTGCACTGCACTGAAAGGCACAGTCAATCATGACCATGCAGCATTACAAGTTCTTTCCAGACCCAGACATATTTGCAATGCATAGTGAACGGAAACGTCGTCCGGATCGTGTTCGATTCGGCCCGGCAGCTATGCAAGAAAAAAACTGTGTGTGTGTACGACTCTGTGATGCAGAAGGTGCAAAACTAGATTCACTTGTCATGCTGGATCTGCGTGATAGGCTACTCTCATACGAGTTTCCACATAGTAGCTGCGCATGACAGGTTTTCCCTGTAAAAATGCAAAGCGAATTTGTGATGCTGTTCTTCCTTACAAAGTTACACTGACACAGTTTTTTTCCTGGATAGCAGCTGGAACTGATGCTGACGCAGATGGGCTTCGAAACGCCCGTTCGGGTCGCGTGGTCCAAGCAGCGATGGGACATGCTGCAACTCCTCCTCTCCGTCGCGAACGACCACTTCGCGCAGCACGCGGGCAGACGGAGATTGTGGATCGGGCCCATGGAAACCGGGAATATTCAGCAGGTTTCCTGTTGTTCGGATGAAGTTGCTGTTTATCGCAAGAAAAAACTGTTTCACTGTAAACTTGTAATGCAGAAAATGTATCTGAGAAGTGTCTGTCTTGCTACACATGCAAGACAATAGATTTTCAGCTGTGTTTTCCCTTAGGAATCGCGCATGGCAAATTTTTGCTCTGATGTAGATCAAACTTGTGATGCAAAACTTGCAAAATCCTTACAGTGAAACACTTTTTTCGTACGATACTGTTCCCCCGCAGAAATACTTCGTTTTCGAAGAACAGTCCGCGAATTCCGGTGCCGGGTTCAGGAAAGCGGGCAAGGTGATCGAGGCGGACAGCACGGATCCGGTGCACGGGAACGTCCAGTGCCGGAACATGACGAATGTTTCCGTGATCGCGGTCATGCTCGGATTATGAGAGTGCACAAGAACTCCCCCTCGTTCTCATTTCTATCGCATGAACAGCAACACAAGCAGCACCAGAAAAGGGGCTTTCGCATGACAAATCTGGATGCGGATTGTAATACCATCTTAGTGCTTCCAAAATTTGTCATGCTAACAGTGCTTACGAGCAAGGTTCAAACTTGGTATTTTGCATCAGAAATGAGAACGAGGGGGAGTTGTGCACTCTCATACGGATCCGCGATGGCGTTGACCTATTCCCAAGGCCATCTCTACATCGACGGCTGGATGCCGGTGCGGTATGCAACGAAAAAAGTGTAGTTACAGTTACACATTGTATTGCAGAACGTGCTAGACAGACAGGCGCTCTCATTCTGGAAAGGCATGTGAGCCTCGTCTCATACGTGTTTTCCCTTAGGTTTTCTCTGCATTACAGGTTTTCTCTGCAATGCAGAGTAAGTTTGTGTTGCTAAAGTTGCAAGAGCAAACGTGTAAGTGTAACACTTTTTTCTTTGCATATGCGGATGACATACGACACTGCGAGTTTGATCGGCGCTTTGAAAGCCTGTCTGGAATCTTTGGTGTTACGATTAGCCCACACCCCGAAACTCATCAGTCAGAACGACGCCCCGTTGATGGAGTTGAAGCAGATCCTGCAGCAGGTCTGCGACGCCAACATCGTCATCCAGCCGGAGGAGGAAGCGGAGGAGGAGGAGGTGATGGGTATCGTATTTGAAAACGTGCCCACCCCATAGTTGTCATGCAAGTCTGCATGCTGAAAACGTTTCTCATGCGGAGCCCCATGAGAAGCACTTTCTAGTCGTGTTTTGCAATTTATTACGCTCCAATCAGCATGATAAACTAGATCTGTGATGCTGCTGAGCTAGCTCAAACAGCACAACACTACGACTCCAAATTTGTCATGCAAGACAGCCAAAGCTTGTGGATTTGTCTAGCCAATTCCCCAGCTTGACCATGGGGTGGGGACGTTTTTACATAGGATAATGGGGGGCCAGATGGAACAGGAACAACTGGACATGATGGAGCAAATGGAACACTATAACCGCATATCAAATGTAAAAATGTCTGGGTCTGGAAGGATCCGAACTTGTGATGCGTGTTTCGGATCCCACAGAGATCTGTGATGCATAACGTGCAAAAGGTCCCTACTTCTGGCCATGCTGAGAGGGCATTTCTCATGCAGAATACGCATCACCAAGGAGCTGCAGAACCTGTGATGCTAGGCCCTGCATTCCAGACGTGGGGGAGCTTGGAAAAACTGCATGACAAATCTCGGAATCTTCCAGACCCAGACACTTTTGCATTTGATACCGCATGGTCGCGGCACTGCAGGCACCTAGTGGGTGAGTCGTGTGGTTGGAGAAATGTAGTAGTTCTTTTTTTGGGCGAAAATCATGTTGAACCACCGGTAATAAGCGAACGATTTGATGAAAATGAAAAAACTCCTTTTATTTTACAGCCTCTATATTTACACCTTGATGAAAATGAAGACTCGGTCGGGTCTTCATATTCATTTTGACAGAAAATATCAACTGTAGCAATTTGAATTTAAGTATTTCTGTTGTTACGAGTAGAAATTCGAAATTTGTTTCATTTTTTGAAATGACGACGGAATGCTGATGAAGTGTAGTCTCGTGTTTTTCGGGAATACAGGCCGCAAACAGTGTACAAGAAGAGTAAATTGGTATAAACCGAGAAAGCCAAGCCAAAACCTGTACGCAACTACTCCAAAAGACTTGCAGAAAGGATACAACTACGAACCCAGAACACGATTTATTCGAGTTGCAAGTCTTTGTTTTTGGTTAAGATGTTCAAAAAGTAATTCGTACTCCCAGTGCCATTGCGATTGCAGGAGCAGGCGAGGATGTATTCGACTCCTCTCCATCGGGAGTTGTCGTGAAAAATAGCTTGTTCATCGCCGTTCTGCTCGACGTCAAGAAAGAACACCTGCGACCGAGTTGATTTTCGAGAGAAGTGGTCTCGAGATGCAAAATCATGCCTTCGTGTGACATCTTCGGATCGTAATATCAACAACTAGTAGAAGCCGTAGATGCTTTATCTTTTCTTCGTTGAGGTAGTGGTTTGTCTGTTCTCTCACTCTCTGCGAAGATCCAAGTTGAAAGGAAGTCCCAGCATCAGCATGGGGTTGTGGTGTTCGTTCGCTTGCAGATTTTTTGCTTTTCATTCCTATCTATCAGTCTTTGGTACGGTGACTGGTCGTTTCGGGCATCGAATGATCCAGTTGTGTAGTTGAAGGAGAGACCATCATGATCCTCTTTTGCAATTTGGAAGATCGAGAGGTATTCACTAACTTTTTCAGGGTCGTCTACGTTTACTACTTCGAGATAATAATTTTCCCCTGTTTGGCGCCGAGCTGTGAAACATTAAAGGCAAAAATTTTATCATATAGAAATTGTTCGAGTTCGCATGTAAATGCATCTCTTTCGCTCTCTATACACCGGCATTATGTGACGGATCTGTTTTAAGAACGCCATCAAAATCACCCACGCCTGGCTTTGACAGCACGAGTGCTGCATTTCCAGCAAAAGAAAAATGGTTCTCGACTACGAGATTCTCCTTCCCCAGCTCGCTCTGATCCTCGCTCCCTTCGTCGTTTTCACGGTCTGGAGGTGGGACAGCGCAACAGCCTGGACAGATCAGAGGTTGCTTGATGCACAGGAGTCTTTGCCAAAAAATAAGGACGGGACGCCAGTACCATTGGCCACGGTTGAGGTACTTGTTTTTCCAGAATATATTGCTTGTTTTAGTTTTGCATGACAAATAGCGTGTGTTATGTTGAATATGAAATGTGTTTGTGCCGCTCTTGCACGAGACTACAAAAATCTTCACAACTCTGACCCATATACAGCGCGACCACGCTCCCATCCTGTCCGAGCCGTTATCACAGAAATGCACGGCCATCGTATTGGCGTTGGTCTGCCTCTACATATGTGTCTGCTACGCAGTAGTGCAGTACGAAAGAAACCGGGCAGAAAAAAGACAGATTGAAAGACATCAGATGAGTAAGAAAAATGAATAGAACTGAAATATAATGTCGTGATCACTTATCATGGCCGCTAGGTGGTTTTCTCAAAGGCGCGGGCACCCCTGCCTTTATTGAGGTAGTGCCTCCACCACGTGCGGCAGCTGTAGCACCGAACAGTTTTTAAGCTGTTCTCCGATAGTACAGTTTGACCGCGTCTTTTCAGGTACAACGTTGATTTCGGTGTTGTAGAAATTCTTTCCTCGCTCTTGCGATCGGTTTTCAGTCTTCTGGAGGCTCTATTTTTGCTGACTCGGTCACTGCGCATCAGCATCTCCATCTAGAAATTTTGATTGCACTTGCACCGTTTTCATTCCCTCGGTCAACTTGCATGCGCCTCTCCTTCAATTTAGAAACGTCGACGAAGAGGTGCTCGGTTTTGTCGGCAAAGGCACTGGTTTATTTTCGATTTCGGTCTGCCACTATCTTCGCAAAAAAAAAAAAACACTCGGTTTGTAGCGTTTTATGTCTATAGGCCCACCACTACGTGATTCTGTGTAGTTCAGCGCAGGAGGTTGGTTTCCATCCCGCTGCGGTCGCTCTTGCGGTAAAAGCCGGCCTATTCTCTACGACTCCAGGACTCCATTCTCATTCTCGTTACAACATCAAGTGCTATTGTTACCATGTCATCAGTTCACGTTGAGTTTGTGTTCCCTTTTCGCGAAAAAGGATAGGTTTTGCTCAGCACGACACTTATATATAATTTCTCCGATTTAATAATATTCAAGAACTTTAACTTTATCAAGAAGTTCGTCGTTCTTCGTGTACCATGTTGGGCACCAAAGGCATCAAGGAGAAGAAGCGCCACAAGGAGCAGCGCGCGGAGGGTTCCGCCAGCTCCCCCCGCGCGGAGGGATCCTCCGGCGGCGGACCACCCCGGGGCGAGGGGTCTTCCGGTCCCTTATCACAGGAAAAAAGTGTTACAATTACACACTTGTTGGAGTGTCTGCATCACAGACAAAGTTGCTCAACATGGTAAAGAAATAAACCTGTGATGCGCAGACTACAAGGGAAAACACGTATGAACTGTCGTTGGCAAGCATTTTCTGCATGACAGAGGTTGTCTGTCTTGCTTGTCTCACAGCAGAGTGTGTCACTGTAACAGTTTTTTCTCACGATATCCCTACGCGCAGCACTATGCCGGGATCAACCGCATTGGCATTGACGTCACGGGCACGAAATTTCCCAAACACGACACCTCACACGACAATGCGGGGACATCCGTTGGGTACGGAACCAGAAAAATGAACGACGACCGCTATATGGAGTATCACGGACTCGCGAGTCCGGGCAGCCCAATGTCGGGGAAAAAGATGTCCGAACGGCAGAAAGTGCAGCGGCAGAAGCTGGACATGGGCTCGTGCCTCCTCTTCGACGACGGCAAGGCGCTCAAACGATTGGAGAAGATTCTCGGGCGGGGGCATATCGTATTTAAAAGCGTCCCCACCCCAGCTTTGTCATGCAGATTTGCACTCACAGGAAGATTTGTAATGCGCATCCCCATGAGAGGCATTTCCTATCGTGTTTTGGACTCTGAAATGCTATAAGGAGGATGAGTAGATGGCTTTGTGATGCGGCTGCACTTGCTAAACTGCACTACAATACAGAGCGGAACTTGTCATGCGTGACTCCCAAAACTTCTCGACTTGTGTTGCGAGATCCCCGTCTTGACTCTGGTATGGGGATGTTTTTACAAATGATAGGGCAGGACGGGGCGTTACTAGCGCCGGAGAAGGTGCTGAAACACTCGGACTGGCGAAAGAACTACATGCTGCGGCTGGACAAGGCCACGGCAAACGCGCCGAATCCAAAAACCACGAAGCAACAGCAAAGCCGGATGGAGTTCGTCGAGGGCCACCCGGTGGTGGTGTACGGGGAACATGCCGGCTTTGCGTCCGCGAGGTACAAGCTAAAGCCCGCTTCTGGTGCGGTGGTCCAAAGCATCGCCGGCACCATTGACGACAAAGATCAGAAGTTTGGAGGGGAAAATTTGCGGCAGTCACAGGTTCATAGAGCTTTGATGCCTCTGGTTAGGATGCTCATAAGATTCCGTTAATGTATTTTTTTCCGGCGTGCGCCCTGCATTAGCATTGTATTATAGAAAGTTGCTCTTGTTTGATTGAGATGAATTTATTTCACTACTTACTGAAACCGTATCCAAAACCAAACCAACCACAGGTTACGCCCGATCCGTGTCTCGACGGGGTAGAGATTAAGCGGCGGATAGGGGTTCTGAACAAAACCACGGGCGTGTATACGCAGGGCGGGATACATATCAAATGTAAAAATGTCTGGGTCTGGAAGAATGCGACTTGTGATGCTGCATTTGGATTCCAAAAAAATCTGTATTGCATGAGTACCACAGGGAATGTAATTTTTGCTACGCGGAGAGGGCATTTGTCATGCGGAATAGGCATCAAGAAGCTCTCAAAAAATCTGTGATGCTAGATGCGTCACAGACATCAGGGCTCATGCAAAACGTGCATGACAAGTGTCAGAATCTTCCAGACCCAGACATTTTTACACTTGATAATACAAAAAGGCCAAGTTTACATTCGACAAGAAGACGGTAAGTGGGTCAAAGGCGACCTGCCGCCCAATGCTGGCGACCCGAGTCCGCCGGCGCACATCGGCCAGGGAGTCCCGCAGGACGACGACGCTGCTGCGCCCGAAGACGTCAGAAATTCCGCCGCCAACGCTTCCGCGAATGCTTCTATGAACAACGCGCCGCAGTCGAGCGGCGGTGCGAATAACTCTTCCGGCGCGGCTCCTGCCATGTCGAGCTACAAAGCCCCGGACACAGAGCCGGACCCGCCGCGCGCACCGACCCCAGAGCCGGAACCTCCGCGCGCGCCGACCCCAGAGCCGGAACCTGCTAAGCGGTATGCATTGCAAATATCGATCTGGGTCTGGAAGGATGCAACTTGTGATGCTTGATTTGCATTCTACAATAAATCTGTATTGCTTGAATGGCAAAAGAGGTCCAGTTTTTGCCATAAGCGAGAGGGCATTTCTTTTCCGGTAAAAGCATCAGGAAGCCCTGCTCATAAAATCTGTGATCCTAACGCACGCATCGCAGACAGCAGGAGTCATGCAAAATGTGCACGACAACGACAAGCCTTGCATCCTACCAGATCCAAAGATATTTGCAATGGATAGGCTGCAGAGTACCATTCCTCCGCCGGAGTCGAGTCAGTCCAATGCGAGTCCTCCGCCAAGATCAAGTCCGCCGGCGGTGCCGAAATATGCAATGCAAATACGTCTGGATCTTCTGGAAGGATGCAAGGTTTGTCATGCTTGTCTGGCGTGACTGAGGAGTTTGTGATGCGTGTGCAACAAGAAGAGACGCTTTTGCGTGTCATGCCAAAACGCAGTCTGTCATGCGGAAAGCGCCACACGAAGCCGCGCAAATACTTATTTCTCATGCTTGGCTGTGCATGACGGAGCACTCACTATTCACAACCCAGCATTACAAGTTTCCAGACTCTCCAGACATATTTGCAATCCATACAACATCCGACCCTCCAAAATCCGACCCGCCGAAATCCGACCCGCCGAAATCCGAACCGCCAAAGTCCGATATCCTGAGTAAAAATGTCCCCACCCCAGAGTTGTCATGCAGATTTGCGATTACAGGAAGATTTGTGATGCGCATCTCCTTGAGAGGCGTTTCCAATCGTGTTTTGGAATTTGTAATGCTGTAAGCAGGATAAGGAGATGGATTTGTGATGCGGTTGTCGTTGCTAACATGCACTACGCTACGGACTGCAACTTGTCATGCGTGGTTCCCAAAACTTCTGCGCTTGTGTTGCTAAGTTCCCATCTTGACTCTGGTGATGTGGGGACGTTTTTACATATGATATCCGATCCGCCAAAATCAGAAGAGCCAGAGTCTGCGGAATCGGAAGCGCCCAAGTCCAGTGCCTCGTCAGCACCCGGGTCTGGAGAACCGTCCTCCGCAGCGAATGCGTCCGCGGCCAATGCGTCCGCAAATGCCCCGGGAAGTTCATACAATTTGTCGGGGAAAAAATCCAGCAGTGCCGATATGGAATGGAAATTGATAGATTATTTGCCGCTCGCTGCACGGTAGTTGTCAAAAGATAGTATGGCATCTTTTTTGAACGATCTCGGCAAGGAATCATAATTTTCAAGTTTACATTTATTTCAAAACCTAACAGCAAGCCGAAATGTTGACTGGTAAGAGCACCGATTCTTCATAGACTGAAGTTGTTGATGTGACACTAATGACGCACAACTTTTGACGTCGTGCGCAACCGGCAAGAATAAATTTTCCTTCGCATATCCGACGACCCGAACTCGCAAGAAAACATACCGTCTATCACGAGGAAAAATCCCCCCTCCCCATATCAAAACGGAATTTCTGATGCTGGATTTGCGTATACAAATCAGGTTTGTCTTGCAGTAGAGGACAGCAGGCTCCTGCCAAGCCTGAGTAGAGAGCTTTTGGCCTAGGCACTTAGCATGAGAAACGTCTATGCTGTAGGCCCAACAGCATCACAAACCGCCTGCATAATGCGGCAGAGCCTGTGGAGTTGTCTTCTTGCAAGACAGACGTGATTTGTGGTCTCAAATCAGCAAGACAAATTTTCGGAAGCATACCTTTTCGATATGGGTAGGGGGGATTTTTCCTCTCAATACCGTCGTCCACTTCTTCGGGCCCCATGAACCCGGACCCGCGGTTGTTGCGGGATAGTAACTATCAAATGCAAATATGTCTGGGCCTGGAAGAATGCAGGAGTTTGTCATGCAGATTTTGCATGATCCTCCATGAGGTCTGTGATGCATGCCCTCACATCAGAGATTCTGCGAGGACTTTCTAATGCTCAAGCCGCATGAGAAATGCCCTCCACGCGTAGCACAAATTGCACCTCTTTTGCTGATGTTCATGCAATACAGATTTTGTGTAGAATCCAAAGGTAGCATGACAAGTTGCCATCTTCCAGACATCCAGGGATATTTGCAATGCATAGTAACCTAATACCGGATCCGAAAAAGGAGGAGGAGGAGGAAAAACCCCCGGAATCAGCGCTGAGTAGTCAATATGGATTGTAAAAATGTCTGGGTCCTCTGGAAGAATGGAAGGTCTGTCATGCTCTGCCAGCATGACCCCAACGTCTGTCATGCACGTTACCCAAGAGCTGCCCCGTTTTTTTTGTTATGCAGAAACGCAGTTTGTCATGCAGAAAAATAGGCAACACCTCAATGCTCAGAAACTTGCCATGCTGAGCCAGCACTTGTGGCCGCCTCATGATACGCCAACCAGCATCACAAGTTTCCAGACCCAGACATTTTTACAGTTGATAGTCAAGGAACCGGGAGTTACATGGGCGCAGCTGACGATAGCGATGACGATGATGATGATATGACAAGAACATTTCTGGAAAAAACTTCTTCTTCTACGCGACCTTCTGACTTCATTTTATTACATTGTCCTGGCGAACAAAATTGGTCGTGATGCCATCATGAAGTGCATCAAAGAGAAAGAACAAAGCGAGATCCGATTTTCGTTTGTTTTGTCATGATGATGTTGCGCCATGCAGCTGAGCTGGAGCCCGAATCCGAAAACAGTGTAGTTTTTGCATGAACTCATAACCCGGCAAAAATCGCAATTAGATATGATCATGCTGCTGAACGAAGAAGCAGGATGCTGTATGATTCAAGAAGTTTGAATTTCCTCCGGTGATACCCAACGACGCCCCGAACTCCTCCGCAAATAAGTCTAGCAGTTATCCAAGGAGAAAAACTGTGTATAGTGTAAATTTGTGTTGCAGAAAATGCAAAACTGTTACACTTGTCGTGCTGGACATGCAGATGCACCATCAGAGGCAATTTTGGTGCGTGTTTTCACGTAGTAGCTACGCATGACAGGTTTTCAGTGTCATGCAGAGCAAACCTGTGATGCTATTTCTCCAAGAAACTTACACTTCCGCAGTTTTTTTCCTGGATAGCAGTGGCAATAAAAATAACTCTGGATCACAAGGTATCCTGAGTAAAAACGTACCCACACCAGAGTCAAGATGGAAAATCTGCTAGACAAATCGGCCAACTTTGCTTGTTTCGCATGACAACTTTGGACGCGTAGTGTAGTGCTGCTTGAGCTAGTTTAGCAGCATTACAGATCTAGTCTCTCATGCTGATTGGAGCATGACAAATTTCCAAACGCCATTAGAAAATGCTTCTCATGGGGCTCCGCATGACAAACATTTTAAGCATGCAGATTTGCATAACAACTATGGTGTGGGGACGTTTTTACACAGGATACAAGGAGCGCCAGTCCCTTCGGGAGCCAATGACAGCGGCGGTCAACACAAGGCGTCGAAGCATTCGTATCAACAGGAAAAATCCCCCCTCCCCATATCAAAACGAAGTTTCTGATGCAGGATTTGCGTACACAAATAAGATCTGTCTTGCTAGAGAGGAATGCAGCCCCATACTAAGCCTAAGTAGAGAGGCTCTGGCCTAGGCGTCTAGCATGAGAAACGTCCATACTGTAGGCCCATCAGCATCACAAACCGCCTGCGCAATGCTGCGTAGCTTGTCGGATTGCCTTCTTGCAAGACAGACGTGATTTGAGGTCGCAAATCAGCAACACAAATTTCCGGAAGCATACCTTATCGATATGGGGAGGGGGGATTTTTCCTCTTAATAATTCGGGCTCTTTATCCGGGGCGGCTCAGTTACGGGAGTGTCAGGATCGAAGTCGTCAAAGTTGAAATAGTTTGCCATGCATAAAATGCAACGCAAAAAGTGCTTCTAATGCAGAGGACGCAAGGGAGGCAGATTGTAGTGCTGGTAAGGGTCGAGAATGGGGCTGCTGATTAGCATCACAGAGGGGAGTCCCCTTGCCCTAAACAGCATAACAAACTGGCTTCCGGTACGGACAAAATTTGTCATGCACCGACTAGAAACTGTGGGTCCAATTGGTATCGATTTTATGCATGACAAATCATTTCAACTTTGACGATTTCAATCCTGACACTCCCATATCAGTCGCAGTCCGGTTTCAGCAACCAGTCGGGGGCAGGAAACTCCAGCGGGAACCAGGCTTCCGGGGCGAATTCTAGTGGAAAGAAGTATCCAATTTGCATTTTTTCGTGGTGAGATTCAAGTCGAGGCCAATGTGGATGTATTGAAATCAGTAAAACATACAAGCGACATGCTGGATGAACAAGAAGGCTGTTGGTGTTGTAGCTATCTGTAGTAGAAGATTTGTCGCGATCTATTTTTGCTACTCAGTAGCAGCCTCGTAGTCAATCGTTGCGTAGCACCGCAAGTGTATGTGAAGTCTGTTTCCTGCAAACAGGCGCTTTTCCTGAAGTTTTCTGTTCGTATACAAAAATATAAAATAGAAATTGACGAAGATAAAAAATACCACTGGTCTGACTTGCGCTAAGAAATCTTTCCCACCCCATAATCCAAGCGCGGACAATGATGACGACGACGACGACGACGGCGATGATGACGACGAGGAGGAGGGTAGCGGGGACCCAAATGCTTCCGCAAATAAATCTGCGAACGCAAGTGGGAACCAAAAGAGTGGCAGTGGGGGTGGCGATGATGACGACGATGAAGATGACGAGGGCAGTGGTGGAGGGGATGATGACGGTAGCGATGGTGGGGATGATGATGATGACGACGAGGATTGAGAGGGAAAAAAACCACTTGCCAAATATGAATATTCTGTTTTTCGTTCTTTTCAAACTGGTATAAGCATTTTTGTTTAGTGTTTTCCAAGCTTCTATCATTTGACTTGATTTATTTTTCAAAACATATTCTGGTACTACGATAATGCAATGCGCTTTTTTTCTGCATCTGGTAGAAGTATAGCAGGCCATGGCAGTTTATTAGTCTCGCAGGGAAAAATCTCGTCTGAGGTAAGCCAGTAGCAGTTTCGAACCCGGGTGAGGGCTAGGATTCTGCGCAACTGCTGGCATACTTTGAATGAGTTGCGAGCGCAGCAGGTTGAGCCTGCTAAGTGATTCTGATTGCTTTATGATTACACCCACGCTGGTACTCACACTGTAGTTGTGTGGATCCTAACATGACCGAAACTTCGCCTGTCGGCAATTATCGTTACTTTTAGCTGTTGATGTAAAAAATAAGGGCCAAGGCCGTGGTGTCTGTGGCGGTTGCGTCTGCTCTCGGTGTTGCCTCTGCCGGTTTGTTTTAGACCGACAATGCTGTTGGTTTTCGAGTTGATCTCATCCCTTTCGGTATAGACAGATGGTTCCTCACCATCTCAGCTTTCGGCAATGATGCCGTCTCCTGCTCTTGTAAAATGAAAATAAATGTGCTGTGGTGGTCAGTCTCTGCAAAGTGGAAGTTCTTGCGGTAGTCCTATCGGTGCAGTGCACAAGTTTCTATTCGCGCTCTATATTCGGTAGCTTTTTCCAGGTCGGTCGATCGTATCTACTGCGGTTGTTCGAACTAGTAAAAATGATCGGTTGCAGCTGGTCAATTTATGAAATTCTGAATGTAAAAACTTTCTCAAACTGATTTGAGATTCGTTTTCATCTGCATAGTCCCGTTTGAACTAGCGTTGAAACCACCAAAGAAATCCATTGCGCTGTCAGTACTTACTTTCCCGCTGGTCGTAGTCACAAAAACTATGTGTTATGGCTAGCTTCGATTTGTTCTACCTTACCTGTAGAAGCTCGCCTAGTAAAACTACTGATACATCCTCGACATCTACCTCGAGGCACGACTAGCGGTATTTACGCAGTTGCATATAACGATCGAAAAATTTTATGTTCTCCACACACGACATCATGGTCATTTAAAACATCTTACTGAAAAAACCCGACCTCGTTTTTCTCTTTGTCCAACACGCAGCACGACGAAATCATGATGAACCCCACGACTAGCATATCCTGAGTAAAAACGTACCCACACCAGAGTCAGGGTGAGGATTTTGCAACACAAGCCTAGGAGTTTTGTGAGTCACGCATGACAAGTTGCACTATGCAGTGTAGTGCAGGTTAGCAAGTGCAGCCGCATCAAAGATTCATCTGCTCATACTGTTCACAGCATCACAAATTCCAAAACACGCTTGGAAATGGCTCTCATGGGGATGCGCATTACAAGTCTTCCTGTCTTTGCAAATCTGCAGTACAACTCTGGTGTGGGTACGTTTTTACTCAGGATATACGAGCAGCACGACGTCAACGGCCGACTACCAGCACCTGGACATCCGGACAATCCACGGGGAACGACTTATCCTGAGAAAAACGTGTTACAGTTACACATTGTGTTGCAGGCCAAGCAAGACAGACATGCTCTGTCATGCAGAAAATGCTTGCCAGCCTCATTTCGTGCGTGTTTTCCCTTACAGTGTGCGCATCACACGTTTTCTTTGCCATGTCGAGCAACTTTGTGATGCAGAAACTCCAACAAATGTGTAACTGGAACACTTCTTTCTCGCGATACGGCTGGAACCAAGAGTAGTAAAACGCGAGGTCTTCGACAGTTTAACCGTGAAAGAGCTGCTTGATTTCGTCGACAGACTGAATGGGAAGGAGGAAACCAGAGGGCTGTGCCGGAATGGGAACAGGAAGAAGCTGGCGTTATTGGAGGTGGACGATGAGGGGGAAACGACGGCTAGCACAAAAGTTCTTGTCGAGAAGAAGGAACGGACAGTAAAGACCACCACCCTGGACGCAAATATTTTCACCGATGAATCTGGTTTGATTTTTTCCGGAAATAAGGGTAAAAACGAGAGTCCGCAGCCTGGTCGTGGTCCCCGCAGTGGCCCCGGCGACTGGGAGATCCTGACTCATGCTGACAAAACTGGCGCACAACATCAAGCGTCGTCCGTTCGACACCAGCGCGACACGCCCACTGTCACAAGAGATGCCGAGTTGGGGCTTCCCTACTTAACGCCAAGAGATGGAATAAATCATACAATTTCATGTAGCGACACGGAGACCTCGGATGTGGTGGATAGTGCAACTACGGAGGCAGCGCGGGACAAAGTTCAGAGAGAACTACATCAAAGCAACCCGGAGACAAAGAAATCGCAGGAAAGCGGTCCTCCTCCCGTCGACAAAGAGAACTTCTACAAAAAGAGCGAGCGACTAGAGAAAGACAATGCCGATGACGAGGAACAACACCCCTTCAGCCCCTCGCCTCTGCACGAAGACACGCTGGTAGGGGAGATTTTTGGCATCCCAACGGCTCAGGAGATCGAATTCAATTCAAGAATTACGCTGTCGAACAAATCCAACAATTCCTTCACTTCCGCATTGAAAACAACTTCTCCGGTCGAAAAAGATACTACAGCGAATCGCATTTCAACCTTCCTCCTGAAAGCAAAACAACCGATCGAGTTCCTGTGTATTCTATCCTACGGCGGCCCAAAACGACAGCCCTACTCGATTGAAATCATCAAGAACGAAGCGATTCTTCTCCGCCCCCACCACTGGCTCGGATGGAGAGATGTGGAAAACTTTCCATACAGATACAAGTGGACGCGGGTCAGTTTCTGGGTGAAGTGGCTAGCGGGGGGAGACATGAGGAATTCTGTGCCTCTATCAAAATGAAAAATCCCTTCTCCCCATATCAAAATGGAAGTCTGTGATGCGGGATTTCTGTACACAAATCATTTTGTCATGCTAGAAGGGAAGAGATGCGGTCTGTAGTGCTGGGTGGCGTGGGAAAGCCTTGCGTCTTCAGCATAACAGGAGGCAGCTGGAAGCGGGAAACAGCACGACAAATTGCCTGCAAACGAGGCCAAGACTGCATCTCTTGAGCCTCTAGCAATACAAGTCGACTTGTGTACACAAATACAGCATCACAAATTTCGTTTTCGACATCGGGAGGGGAGATTTTTCCTCATCATAACCTCCCTCCGATAATTACGTTTTTGACGATTTTTCCGATGCGGGGTTGGAGATTTACGGCACGGTATCCCACGAAAAAACTGTTTCACTGTGATGGCTTTGCAAGATCTGCATCACAAGTTTGTTTACACATGACACAGAAATAAATTTGCCATGCGTGCTTCCAAAGCGAAAACACGCCTAAAAATTAATCCAATGTCTTGCAGGTGTAGGAGCAAGACAAATCGTTCTGTGCTCCATTCTATGCATCACAAGTTTATCACAGTGAAGCAGTTTTTTCTTGCGATAAACGAGATTCACCGACTGGCTTTTCGATGTGAAACCGAACGAGTGGGTATCCTGAGTAAAAACGTACCCACACCAGAGTTGTAGTGCAGATTTGCAAAGACAGGAAGACTTGTAATGCGCATCCTGATGAGAGCCATTTCCAATCGTGTTTTGGAATTTGTGATGCTGTGAACAGGATGAGCAGATGAATCTGTGACGCGGCTGCACTTGCTAACCTGCACTACACTGCCGAGTGCAACTTGTCATGCGTGACTCACAAAGCTCCTACCTTTGTGTTGCAAAATCCCCATCCTGACTCTGGTGTGGGTACGTTTTTACTCAGGATAGTGGGTCTTCTGCGAGGAGCACCACAGTATCCTGAGTAAAAACGTCCGCACCCCATAGTCAAGATGGAAAACCTGCTAGACAAATCTACAAGCTTAGGCTGTTGCGCATGACAAGCTTGGCCTCGTAGTGTAATCCTGTTTACTTTAGCTCGTTCAGAAGCATCACAGATCTACCCTACCATGCTGACTGGAGCGCTACAGATTCCAAAACACGACTAGGAGTCGCTTCTCATGGGGCTCCGCATGAGAAGCATGCTGAGCATGCGTTTTTGCATGACAACTATGGGGTGGGGATGTTTTTACATAGGATACACCGGGTAGCTGATTTTAAGCAAACCAGCAACTGTATCCGGTTGTGTTTCATTTCCATGAAAACCAAACCAAGGCTATTGTTGAACGATTTCCGGGTGGAGATTTTCGACGACGAAAACTTCGCGCTGGCCACTTCCCGGCGACTGTTGCTTCCCGGCACCGCGTATCAAATGCAAAAATGTCTGGGTCTGGAAGAATGCAAGATTTGTCATGCATATTTCTCATGACCCATGATAGTCTGTGATGTATGCCCTAGCGTCACAGGTTTTTAGAACCCTTCCTGATGCACCTTCCGCATGAGAAATGCCCTGTCCGTGTAGCACAAACTGTATCCCTCTTGCTGGTCATGCAATACAAATTTTTGTAGAGTCCAAAAACAGCATGACAAGTCTGGCACTCTTCCAGACATCCAGGGACTTTTGCAGTTGATACCGCGATGGAAGCAGAAGCGGTTGTCGCGAAACCGATAATATCAAATGCAAAAATGTCTGGGTCTGGAAGGTTGCAACTTGTGATGCTGTTTTTGGAACGTAAAAAAAATCTGTATTGCATGACCAGCAAGAGGAGTTCAGTTTGTGCTACGCGGAGTGGGCGCGTCTCATGCGGAATGCGCATCAGAAGGCCCTTCAAAAATCTGTGATGCTAGGTCATGCATTACAAGCATCACGGGTTATGCAAAATACGCATGACAAACCTGGCAATCTTCCAGACCCAGACATTTTTCCAGTTCATAGATGAGAGTACTGCAAGCTTTGCACCCGCGGTTGGTGAATGAAAATTTTTCCCAGTTGCCCTGGAAAGCGGACGAGGAGTTGTTGGCGATGGGGGACTTTTTGAGAAATCTCCCAGGCGCGACGCGGGGCATGGGGATGAATATTGTGGAGACGCCGGAATAAGGATCTACTTCGGTGGAGGGCCTGATCGATAGAAATGTCAGATTATGTTGATCTAGAACTTCAATACACGACGACTGGCACTTCTTCAAACTATACTCCATTTTTTCTCTTGCGCTTGAACTACAACCCGAGCGTGTGACCACATGCTAGTACATATGCTTACGGCCGGGACGAGCCGGGAACACGTTCGTTGTACAACCAGTTTTCCGATGCGGTTTCCGCAATTGACTTGCTTTCATGGAGTCGTCGTTTGTTTGGTCTCTCCGACCCGGACGAAAACGAGAACGTTTATATCACATCAGAATGAATTTCGGCGGAGTCGTTCGCGCTAGACCGATGTGTTGTATTTCTACATCTTTCTACCAAAAGGCTTTTTGGGAGCAGAATCCATGTGTTCTGACCGACACAACCAGAGGCAAGAAATCGTTCAACCGAAAAACAATCGTCCTTCCTTCGTTAGTTTTTGCAACCGTTCCAGCACCACTTCTCCCTAACGGCCGCGCATTCACTTCTACTCCGTATTGGTTTCTGTCTTCTCACTACGGTAGACTTCTATTTCGTCACGTTCTTTTACGCGTCACTCTTTTGCTGACCATGAAAAGTACAGTGGAAATGAAAATTTTTGAAGGTTTTCCCCAATTTCGCAGGACAGGAAAATCACTTCCCATTGCACGAAGATGTGATTCGGAGTCGAAATAGTAAGCTGCTTCACTTGGAGGTTTTAGCACCTCAGACGATAGTTCTTTCGATTCTGATGTTTCACCACCAGAAGTAGATAAAAAAATGTCCAAACCCAGCAAAGCCGATTTGTAGACGAGACCGCGGCGCTCCGGCTCCTCCTGCTGGACCGGCTGGCGCCGGCTGACAAAACCGGCACCATGGGAACATCCAGTAGATCCTCGAGCAGGAGTCAAAGCGGCCGCCGGCCGAAAAAGAATACAATCGGACGGGAACTGATCAATCTTTTAGTCCTCTTCACGATCTTCAGCCTCATCATGTGGTTCTCGCCCCTACCGCATCTGCACCAGACGCACACGCAATGCTTGGAGACGGGCGTGGCACTGGCCATTGGGTTTTTGGTGGTCAGTTTTAGCTTCGCATTGTCGATATGACAACAAGCCACTGAAAAGATAAACCCATTTAGCAATACATTGATTGTTTCCCCCGGGTAATAAATTAGGCGGGGATCATGTTTTGCCAAAAATCAAGAAACTATCTTCAGAGAAGATCTTGACTTTCTCTTGCCAATGCTGCACGAGCCAGGCTCTTGTGAGGCGCATGACTTTCTGAAATTTCTTTCAGCTTGTTTGTTCGACGTCCACAAAGTAGAAAAAGCATGCAAGTACTTTTACTTGTAAAAATCGTCGTGCCTTGGTGCTGTGAGACAAGAACGTCGTAACGGCCGAGCGCGAGCGTCCTCCCATTTGTATTTCTAAATCGGAGATATGGTGAACAAGAGCGATCTATTTTGCTTGATCTCTATTGAGAGCGAGAGATCGGCTGGAAACTAACTTTTGAGAGGAGTCGTTAATTCCGCCAGCAGAGTGAAGAGATGAGCGATGATTGTGCTATACTAGATTGCCCGCTGCAGTTGCCTCGTCGATTCTTTTTCGTTGCAGCCCATGATAGTACGTGACTTCGCTCTACTTACTACTTATGATCGCAGGACCTCATTCATATTCATTCTACCAAAATGCAGCGTGAATTCGAAGATCTGGTTTGTTTTTTGAAAAAGAAAGCTACATCCACGATTGCGTCTGCGACTGGTTTCAAAAAGGGGGAGTAGAGCAATTCGCAAACGACTACTTTCTCGAGGCGAAGAGGGGCGAGATTGTGGCCCACCTCTGCGAAAGGTCAGGGGTCTCGGAAGTAGCAGTTCGTACAGGTCAGGGGCTTTGGGGGGAGTACGCTAAGAAGTCCGGGTGTAATCTCGTCGGGGAAACAGACACTTCGGACTTTGTCGAAGCAGGGCGGCTGCATGAACTAGGCATCGCAGCCGGGCGCCTCGTTGCGCAAAACAAACTTCGACTACAGGAGCGGATCTTGTACGCCGACGGCGGGAAGACTATCCAGCACCTGGCCGGCGATGACTACCGCTGTGTTCTGTGTGGCGTCAACTTCACCGCCGCGCCGGATGTGATGCAAGATCACATCCAAACGCATGAAGATCTTGGCTTCTGCCGGTGGGTACAGGACCCATCAACAAGTAGATGGAGGCCAGCAGAACAGTTCATCTACCCGGGTTCCGCCGGCGTCATCCTCCCGAAGGGGAAAAAGAAGTATATTCCCCCACCGGCGCGCGCACTAGTAACAACCAAGGCATTAGAATGTCGAAAATGTGGGGAGGAGGTTTGCAAATGGAATACCAGGATGAACCCCCACAAGCGGGGCGGAGCAATGAGAAGGTTCAACAACCACTACAAATCCTGCAAGGGGCGGGGCGAACCGACAGTGAGGAAGAAAGGAGGCAAGAGACAGTGAGGAGGAAAAGAAAGCGCGTGTTTGTGTCTGCGAAACAAGTATTAGAAATTCAAAACGTTCCGCTTTAGTCTTTGTTTTTGTTTTTGTTTCGCTCTACAACTGAACCATTTTTGAAATGCCGTCTTGATAGCTCAAACACTGCTTTTCAAGTGGGTTGTAGCGAGTTTCCGAGGATTTTTGGCGAAAGTCCTCTAGGAGTTCGCTCCCACCGACGAAGAAAGCCTTTTTCTTAAACCGTAAGAAACTCATCTTCTGTTACTTTTCCCACTCGCCTTGTCCCCATCTAAGAATGATTATTTGCAAAAAGTAAAAAGATTGAGAGTTATTTGGTCTCGAAGGGCGGTGCTGTGAAGAGAGCCAGTCCGAGCGACCAACCATGCTCTCTTTGCAGTAGTTACGTTTTTCATGTTTTTTGTCTAGACCTGTGTAGTGAGTCAACGCGAGAGAGTTCTACTTGCTGTCCTAGTTCCGCCGAGCTAAATCGGAAGTTCTGACGTTTTTGTATGGGCGGCGAGGTTAAAAACGCGTAGTCAGGTCGGCGGGTTTAGGACTCTATTTTTCGAAGACAGAACTTTTACTCAAAAACAGCCCACCAAACGCCGAAGCTGTTGTCATTTTTCTGTATCTTTGTAAGTCCAAACAGCGCGCCTTGTCCCCATGATACGGTGGACATTCCGTGCGAAATGAGACGAAGACTGTAAGGAAATTATCTTCAAAAATCTGGAACTTTACCAAACCACGCTCCAAGTTTTAATCCAGTGCAGCGATTCCCAAGCTAGACTAAACAAAAGAAAACAAGAAATAACGCAGCGACTAATAGCAGGAAGGAGGAAGTACGAGTATTAATAGCTATACCTTACCCAAGTAGTTTTACCCAGACAGTTCTCTATCTTTCTTCTTTATTTTAGCTCACTTTTTACTTTTATTGTTTGCTAAACGAAAATAGCACGCGAAGCCCGCGCGTCCCCATGCACATTGATTGATTGATTGATTCATTCTACCAAAATGCAGCTTGAATTCGAAGATCTGGTTTGTTTTTTGAAAAAGAAAGCTTCTCCGTTGGGAGCTTGAGCTTGAATTTTCTTCAAAAATGCGTTTAATGTTCTACTCCGCCTGGCATCAGCATTGAGATTGGCGACGGTGCGCAACGACGACCCAGGGAGAGGTTTCTGTTGAATTGTGGACCAGGCCGCGTTCTTTTGTCAAAATTGTGGCAACAGGCTCTGCAGCATATGTCCAAGATGTTGAAGTTGGACTTGTATACCGGAACTAGTTCTTCATCTTCCGCTTACCCGTCGCCCCGATGTACAAGCAACTACGCTTCTTTTCCCGATGAAACACGGGCCCGAGAGCAACAGCGACTGCTACGGGGGGCGGAAGTAGTAGACGCAAATACTCCAGCACCAGTAGCAGATGATCCTGCGGGTGGCAGTGCTGCGGTCGCGTTCCTGCACGACCTGCACGACTACATGAAAGCCACGCTGGTGCGGATAAAAACAACACCACTGAAGGTTACATCGAGCTTTTTTTCAAAATCAAAATGCAGTAGTAGAGCTAACAGAACCAGAAGGAAGCGAAAGCGACCCAAAGAACCACCTGGACAGAAATACCCTTGTACTCCGATGGCGATTTCAGCGTCGAGGCTGCCAACCGCTTCATCTTTCTTCCACAGAGACCGGAGAAAAAGGAATAAGCACGACAAGAACTCCATACCCGGGTTCTCTTCAGCTCAAGAAATAAGAAAAACGAAAACCGCAGCGGCATTAGCTCTTCTCCTCTCCCTCTTCTTCTCCAACCTGTACCAAATTCTCCATTTTGTCCAAGCAAAAATCCCCGATGTCGCCGTTGACCAACTCCGCAGTTCCCTCCCGAACGGGAATTACATGGTGAACATGTTTGAACAGTGCGACAAGGTTCTCCTTTCCACCCCGGGAAGGCCGGACGGGTGTCAAATTGACACGTATTCCGCGGAGTACGCTTTTGAAGTTTTCAACCTGAAACGCTTGTTCGAAACCGAGAAGACGTTCTTATTAACCACCTGTGACGGATACAGAAGGGTCCAGTCGAACATGATGCTTGCGGAAACGAGCTGCAAAACCGCTTCTACCCCGAACTTGGACTACTGGCTATCAAAAGGAAAAATCCCCCCTCCCCATATCGAAAACGAAAATTGTGATGCTGTATTTGAGTACACAAATTGTAACGCTAGAAGGCCAAGAGACGCAGGCAATTTGTCATGCTGTTTCCCACTTTCAGCTGCCCCCTGTCATGCTGAAGATGCAAGGCTTCCCCACGCCAACCAGCACTACAGTCCGCATCTTTTCCCTTCTAGCATGACAAAGCTGATTTGTGGCCACAAATCTGCATCGCAATTTTCTAGTTTGAGTATGGGGTGGGGGGATTTTTCACTTTGATACTGGCCTTTGGAGTGCATGATACTGCAGGCGGAATTGGACCGGCTCTACTTGAACAAAACACTGGAGCAAAACATCGTCTGCAACATGCTGATATGCATTGCAAATATTTCTGGGTCATCTGGGAAAGTTGTGCAACCTGTCATGCTAAGTCTGGATCGTGCAAGAAAAGTCTGTGTTGCAGGATTTCCAAAAGATGTCTACTTTATTTGACCAAGAAGTCGAGAGGTAGTTTCTCATGCGGAAAAGCCATGATAAAGATCGCACAGAATGATCTGTGATGCCAGGGCATGCATCGCAGATCTCACGCGTCATGCAAAATGTGCATGACAAACCTTCTTGCACCCTTCCTGGACCAGACATTTTTACATTTGATAGCTAACGCAGGGAAGACGCGACGCCATGGCGGTGGAGGACGCAAGTCGGATCAATGTATCAAGTGCAAATATTTCTCTCTCTCTGGAAAGTTGTGATGCTAGTTTGCGAACCATTTAGCAACCTACAATATGCGGACGCGCATGGCAAGTTTTTGAGCGACGAGGTCGTCTTGCGTAAACTGCATGAGAAACTTCGTTTTCGCTTTACAGAAGAATAGCGCGATAGCGCAACATGCATAACAGGTCTTTCTCTCCAGCCAGCAGAGCATTACAATTTCCAGAGCCAGACATATTCGCAACGCATAGACCGTCGTGAACTGCAACCAGCTCGCGCACTCCATGATCACAAAATACCACCCGTTTTTGTACCGGCCTCGCGTCGAGGGGATCGACCACCTGTTCCCGCAGAAGTGCCGGGAGAGACTGTGCACCACGCAGAAGTTTTTCTACTCCAGGATAAGGCCGAGGGCGGTGCAGAACTACACGTTGAATGCGAGTGCGAACTTAGTGTACACGACGACCCCAGTGCCGGTGGTGGTCGTATCAAATGCGAAAATGTCTGGGTCTGGGAGATTCCGAGATTTGTCATGCAATTTTTTCAAGCTCACCCACGTCTGGAATGCAAGGCCTAGTATCACAGGTTCTGCGGCTCCTCGGTGATGCGTATTCTGCATGAGAAATGCCCTCTCAGCACGGCCAGAAGTGGGCACCTTTTGCACGTTCTGCATCACAGATCTTTGTAGAATCCGAAACACGCATCACAAGTTCGGATCCTTCCAGACCCAGACATATTTGCATTTGATAGGTCGTGAATACGAGCAACGGGTCGAATGGGACGACGCTGTTACTGCGGGAGCTGTATCAAATGTAAAAATGTCTGGGTCTGGAAGAATCCAACTTGTCATGCTGATTTTGGATTCTAAAAAAATCTGTATTGCATGAGCAGTAAAGAGGGTCCAAATTTTGCAGCACGGAAAGAGCATTTGTCATGCGGAATAGGCATCAGGAAGCCCTCTCGAAATCTGTGATGCTAGGGCATGCGTCACAGACTTGAGGAGTCATGCGAAATGTGCATGACAAACCCGGCAATCTTCCAGACCCAGACATTTTTACATTTGATAAGCTACTGGGGGAAAGTGAAAGAACAAAAGGGTATTCTTCATCATCTCTTGTCGAGCAATACAGCCTGCAGCTGAGCGAGAATGTGGAGCAGACATTTTGGAAAGCGCGGAAGTCTTTGAACAACCAGGATTATAATGGGCAGCTTGAGGAGCTTCTACACGGGGGGAATAATAATAAACCAGCTGGAAATTCAGGGTCAGGACTGCATCCTGCCAACTCTGACGACGTCTTCCTTACGACCAATACACAGATGAGCAAGGAAAGTTGGAAACCGCGAGGGGAGCAGACAAGTGAAGCATCAAGACGGCTCGTCGCCCACAGAGCTGTGGACGCGAAGAGCAGCAGCCCAATAAGGGGAGACAAGGAATCACGACATGCAGCGAAGACGTCGAAACCAAAAGAAGCCAGGTCGTACAACCACGACCGCCCTCCTCTGCAAGACCACGCTTTGGTGAAAAACATCAACGAAAATTTCCTTCTGGATTTTGACGGCGAGGTTAAGTTCGGAACACCAGCAGGTGATAGCAAAAATTATCCGCATGAAGACAAACACTTCGAGGAAGACTTCCAAAGGTACGACTCTCCCGTGCACTTCGAGTTCTACAGCGCGCTGATCGAAACGCATCGGGAATTGCGGAGTCTTATGGGAGTGTCAGGATCGAAATTGACAAAATCGAAAAATTTGTAATGCATAAAATGTAGGGCGCGTATGGCCTGTATTGGGGAGCAGGCAAATGAGACCGATTGCAAGCCTGTTTAGGGAAGGCGATGCGCTGCCGGAGTAGCATGACAGGAGCAGTCTTCTTTGCCAAAACAGCATGACAGGCTGGATTTTGTTGCTCCCGAAATTTATCATGCACCACTTGGAAACTGAGGCTCCAACTGGTGTCGAATTTATGCATCACAAATTATTTCGATTTTGTTGATTTCGATTCTGACGCTTCCATAAGTCTGGGGGAGAGGCGCGACAAGGATGAAGAGAACAAATTCCTGAGAAATAATAAAGCGGAAGGTCATACTATCAGCAGTAAATGGGCACCGAAACTGGAGGAAAAGACTACAAAGCGACTGCTTGAGGAGGCGGAGGAGAAGGTGGAAAGTGAAAAATTGGAGAGAAATAATCGGAGAAATCAACTCTTCGAAAAGTTCACACCCATTCTCCACCTCAAACTGCGAAGTAGGACGCGAACAAAGACGAGAAGGTTGAAAAAAGAGAGCGGAAGTAGAATAAGTGGCTCTTCGAAACAAGCACAAGCAGTTGCAGGGAAAAACATCAAGAACCTCGAGCAGTACGTCAATAGCCTGACCATGGTCTTTGACCCGATCAGTGAGCAACAGAAGCAGCTGCAGGCTGAAGCAGGAGGATCCGCGTCGGTGAAGAGAAGATTGGACAATGAGAATGAGCTGTATAGAAGTGATACCACCGAGGCAGCAGGCGGGCATCAAAATGAGCGAGCAATAGTACCAACTAGGACAGCTGGCACAACATCACACGACCCACTCCAAGCAGCACAAGCAATTCCTCCTCCCGGTCTCCTACAGCTTCGCGCTCTCGACCAGCACATCGGGACCACCCCGGCGTACACGCTCTGGCCCGAGAATTTCTATCTCGACGGTTGCGAGAAGATTTCCTACATGCCGTTTGACGAATTCCAGTGCGCCGAATACTTGGAGAACCGCGCGTTTTGCGAGTGCGTCATCCCCCAACTGCAGAACGTAGACTTGCAGTTAGACGGCAACTGCTACGCGGAATACGAACGGTACTTTCTCTTCGGCAGACGCGGATTAGCCGAAGCGGTTCTGTCCGACGTGTGCGCGAACAGCCTCCGGTCGTTCATCGTGCAGATCCGGGATTTCCCGCAATGTTCCGTTGCGGACTTACCGAACGACCAGGAGATGCCGTATACGCCCTTCGCAATCGAAATGGCCGCCACGAAGGGGATCGAGGATGCAAACGTGGTGGGGAACATTCAGTACAATCAAATGCTGGAACTGGCGAAGCAACTGCGAACGGAGAGGCCATATGCATTGCAAATATGTCTGGGTCTGGAAACTTGTAATGCTAGTTTGCGAACGATGGGTGTACTGCAATACGCAGCCACGCATGACAAGTTTCTGGGCTCCTTTGTGTTTCGCTTTCCGCATGGCAAGCTGCACTTTTGCATGACAGGCAACAGGCTTTTTTCCTGCTCACGCATGGCAGATTCAACTGCCATGTGAGACAAGCATGACAAACCTGCACTCTTCCCGACCCAGACATTTTTGCAATGCATAGGCCAAGTTGTCCCTGGCTACAAGATAGTGGGGAGTCCTTGATTATGGAGTGCATGGACCGGTTCCGCTGCCACGTGCAGTACGACGGCTGGGGCTGCTGTATCAAGTCCTACCGCTTCGCCATCGCCCAGCCGTGGCACTACGTGGAGGCCTACCACAGCGACCCGAATTTGTGTTGCGTTATCGCAAGAAAAAAGTGCTACAGTTACACATTGTGTTGCAGGCCAAGCAAGACAGACAAGCTCTGTCATGCCGGATATGCATAGGAGCTTCGTTTCCTAGGTGTTTTCCCGTAGGATTTCTGCATTATCTCATGCAGAGAAATTTGTGTTGCTGAATTGACTACAAATGTGTCACTGTAACACTTTTTTCGTGGGATATGCGTCCACAACGAAACGGTGAATGCGCAGGGGGAAATCGTGACGATCTTCGAGCGCCCGATTCCCAGTACGAGACCGGTTGGGAACCGCAGGTGTCCGCCCGAAGCGCCGCAGATGTGCAACGAGTTGTCCTCCGGGGGTGCGGGGGACTTCATCTGCCGAGCCGAGTGTCCTATCAAAGGCAAATATGTCTGGGTCTGGAAATTTGTGATGCTGGGTGGCGTATCATGATGAGGCCACAAGTGCTGGCCCGGCATGACATGTTTTGGAGTCTCTAGGTGTTGCCTATTCTGCATGACAGACTGCGTTTCTGCATGACAGAAAAGCGAGGCTCTTGGGCAACGTGCATGACAGATTTAAGAGTCATGCCAGACAAGCATGACAAACATGCATTCTTCCAGACCCAGACACTTTTGCATTTGATATGTCCGAAAAAGCGTTCTTGCTCGCCGATCTTATTCCCGGAGCCTCTGTTGATGACGGCGACGAATGACACGAAACCTTACCCGCTGATGGAGTACCAGGGGAACGGCTGTTGCGTGTACGATGACATTATGCAATACAAATTTCTATTTCCCGTACATGATTTACAAGATGCATCTTCACAAAGTTCACCAACTTGGAACGTAAAACTTGTCATGCTAAACTAGGATCGAGGCCAAGTTTTGTCATGCGGACACCGCATTTGTACGTGTACGGGAAATTATTTACTGTGGATAGACATGTACGAAATCGCGATCAGTACCACGTCCAAAGTCGCCTGTCTCTTCCTCTGCGACATTGACCCCGATTGCCTCGGGGCGACGGTCTCCGCGGGGAATAACGCAAACCTATCAAATGTAAAAATGTCTGGGTCTGGAAACTTGTGATGTTAAAATGTGACTGGTGGACGGACTGCAATACGCAGCCAAGCATGACAAATTTTTCAATTACTGCTGTGCTTCGTTTTCCGCATGGCAAGCTGCGTTTTTGCATGACAGGCAAGAGGCCATTTTCCTGCTCATGCATTACAGATTTATGAGTCATGCCAGACAAGCATGACAAACTTGCATTCTTCCAGACCCAGACATATTTGCAATCAATAAAACCCTTGCCGGCACCACTTACTCGACCCTTTGCGACGGAAGAAGTTGACCGGTTTTCGGCTCGGTTGTCAACCAAGTTATGCATGGCAAAAGTATCATATACTCGTAGTGCTGCATTACAAATTTTCTCAGCATTACAAACCCAAGGAAGTTGTAGTGCTGATTTAAGTCGAGAAAAACATTGCAATTGCTAGCCACTTACGAAGATACTTTTGCAATTCATACGAGTCTGTCCGCAGCGAGCTTAGAGCGGTCGGACCAGGATTGCTGGCTGAAGAAGATCATTTTAACTGTATTACAATGAAAAATGCCCCAACCCCCGAACTTGGGAGCATTTGTATTGCAAACCTTTCCAAGTGAAACGCTCGCCCTCTTGCATCTATCAACATCACAGATTTCCAATCATGATGAATAGCGAAAATTTGTATTGCAAAAGATCCCAGCAAGCGCGGCGCTTGTGATGCAAGCAATGCTATATACGCCTAGACTTTGCATCACAAAGATTCATATTCCTTTCATGCATGCATTACAAAAACCTTTCATTTGGAAACTTCGCATCACAACTTAGTGCAACTTTGGGGGTGGGGGCGCTTTTCACTGTAATAAACTGAGTCACCAACAGAGGACCGGGAGGAGACCGACGTGATTCTGTATTTGATGATCGCCTTGGGCATCGTCGTTGGGGTAGCCGCCGCCGCGGGGCTGGCGGTGGTCGTTCGGTTTGGATTGTTGGAGTTGGAGAGGCGGAAACGGTATGCATTGCAAATATGTCTGGGTCTGGAAGGATGGAACTCGTCATGCTGCGTCTCGAGGACAAAGAAATCTGTGTTGCAGGAACGCCAAAAGCTGCCTAATTCTTGCTAGGCAGAAGGCTGGCTCTCATGCGGAATAGGCACGAGGAAGGTTTGACGCAGAATTTGTCATGCTTTTGTGTGCCTGCCAGGAGACCATGCGTGTGGTCCGCGAGATGCATGACAAATCTCACACTCCTCCAGACCCAGACATATTCGCATTTGATAAACGGGAAAAGAGGAAGAGAAAAGTCGACCCGACGAAGTACGAAATGGAATTCGCGGCGGAAGGCGACGATCGGATATCGTGTGCAAAAGTATCGTACTCGTATTGCAATCATGCATTACAAATCTTTTTCTTAAGGTAAATCCGCATTACAAATTTTCTTTCTCATGCAGAGGAAATTTGTAATGCATTAATACGAGTACGATACTTGTGCAGTTCATATCGGAAGATCTTGGAAAACCTGAAACAGCCGAAGACGGAGGAGGAAAAGTTGATGGTATCCTTTGCAAAACGGTGCCCACCCCATAGTCAAGCTGGTAATTCTGCAACACAAATCTCCAAGTTTTGGGAGTTGTGCACGACAAGTTTCCCTCTGCAATGTAGTTCTGGTAGCAAGAGAAGCCGCATGAGAAAGCCGTTGCGTCATCCTGTTTACAGCATTACAAATTCCAAAACACGACTGGAAATGCCTTTGTTTCATGGAGCTGCGCATTACAAATGTTCCTGTCGTTGCGCATTTGCGTGACAACATTGGGGTGGGGAAGTTTTTACATAGGATAGATGGCGTTGGCAAAGATTGGGAAAGTGGTCCGCGCCGGGCAGAAGCTGGATTTCGCAAAGGATTTCGACCGCATTGAGAAGAAAGCGACAATTGACGCACCGAAACTGGAGAAGAAGATTGACCCCTTGTTAGACGACGACGACGACGCGATCTCCGATATGCAGATCGGCGAGGTGCAGGCGGCGGACGCGAAAAACTGGCGGGAACAGGACGACTTCAGGAAGATGCGGAGGTTGAAAAAGCGCGCGAGGAAAGCGGGGCTGAAACTCGATCGGTATCTATCTTTACGGCAGCTGCAAGCGAGTAAGGGTTTGCGAGACCCGCGGACCATTAGATCCTTAACCATGCATATCAACTGCAAAAATGTCTAGGTCTGAAAACTTGTAATGCTGCGTTGGGAATAGTGAATGCTCTGTAATGCGCAGGCAAGCATGAGAAATGTCTGCGCTTCTTTGTGTTGCGTCTTTCGCATGACAAACTGCGTTTTTGCATGACAGGCAAAAAGGGTCTCTTCTTGGACACGCATCACAAACTTTTTGGCCATGCCAGACAAGCATGACAAGTCTCGCAATCGTCCAGACCCAGATATTTTTGCATTTGATAATGCAGGAAAACGGGGAATTCACCATGAATGACGCGGACCGACCGTGGAAGGAGTCCAACGACGGGGCGCGCTACATGGCGACGGATCGGAATAAGATGATCAAGGTGGGAGATGACGAGCACGGCGATTTCGATCTGAGCAAAATGGGCGTGGACACCAGCAAATTGGTGGGGACGGGCCGGATCTCCTTCCTGGAAGACACGGAAACTGTGCCGGCTTACGCGCTAGAAGGAGGGCAAGGGCAAGATATCAAATGCAAATATGTCTGGGTCTGGAAGAGTCGGGGCTTGTCATGCACATTTTGCATCACCGGTGAGGTCTGCGATGCTGGTGCTAGCATCACAGATTTTTTGAGAGCTTCTTGATGCTAATCACGCATGAGAAATGCCCTCTCCGCGTGCCAAGAACTGACTCCTCTTGCTGCTCCTGCAACATAGATACTTTTAGAATTCACAGACAGCATTACAAGTTGCATTCTTCCAGACCCAGACATATTTGCATTTGATACAAGACTCCTTGACGCAACTCGACGCGGACTCGACCATGGACTTGCAAAAGAAATTGCACTACGCATTGCAAAAGTACCGTACTCGTACTAATCACAGTCACGCAAGACAAATCTTTTCTGTAAGCCAAAACCCCATGACAAATTCCTTCTGTCATGTTGTGCTAGTTTGTATTGCAGGCACTACTAGAACAAGTACTATGCTTTTGCAATGCATAGGCAGCAGCCGGGGGCGAGCGTTACCGCCGAGGAGCGGGCACGACAGCTGTTGTCCGGCGATGTTACCGCGGGCGACTTTGTCGATCTGGAAGATTCCATGATGGACGACAGCTTCATAGAAGAGAGGAAAAAAGTCATGATCGACAAGTTCGCGCCGGTCAGCGACAAGAAGGGGGAGGTATAGTCGAGACTTTTGAATTCCGATGTTTTTTTGCGTTATTTTTCATCAAGCACTGCAAAGCCAAAGATAAAGAAACAGAGGATCATGTAGGTTTTCGTTTTGCATGAAAAAAACCTCCCTCGTCGTCTCGATGCATATGTTAGTTTACATTTCAACCCAATTCACCTTGTCAGCTCCTGATGCGGCAGATCCAGCCGAAGAAAGGCCCGGCAAAGGAAACCATTCCGCAATCCCCGAAGCGCGAGAAGAAGTTTCCGGCGGTATCACAAGGAAAAATCCCCCCTCCCCATATCGAAAGGAAGTTTCTGATGCTGGAATTGCGTATACAAATCAGGTTTGTCTTGCAGTAGAGGACTGCAGGCTCCTGCCAAGCCTGAGTAGAGTGCTTTGGCCTAGGCGCTTAGCATGAGAAACGACTATGCTGTAGGAGCAACAGCATCACAAACCGCCTGCATAATGCGGCAGAGCCTGTGGAGTTGTGTTCTTGCAAGACAGACATGATTCGTGGTCTCAAATCAGCAAGATTTGGGGTTGAGAGTTCGGCGTGTTGGGGGTGAGGGACCCCCGACGGCTGGCCTACGGATATTAGGTGGAACTAAGGCTCAAATCAGCAAGACAAATTTTCGGATACATACCTTTTCGATATGGGGAGGGGGGATTTTTCCTCTCAATAGGCGGGGACAGATTTAACCACGCAGCCGACGGAATTCAACCCGATGTCCCTCGAAGCGACGGATCCAAAACGGTCAATGGCAAGCTTTTCGGTCGAGCCAAAATCACCCCAGTCGCAGCGGATAAAATACAAAGAAGAATTCGAAAAAGAAGCAGCGGAGGAGGATTACTACGACCCGATAGAAAAATACCCGTCTTTAATATGAAATGCAAAAGCATCGTACTAGTATAAATCGCATCACAAATTTCCTCAGCATGAAAAATAAAATTTGTAATGCGGATTTCGCTTGAGCAAGAAACTTTTAATGCATGTTTGCAATTACTACGAGTACGATATTTTTGCACAGGATATTTAATCATCTCCGTGGATTTGTTCAAGGGGCACGGGGGAAGTTTAGGGTTGAAATTCGAAGTATCAAATGCAAAAATGTCTGGGTCTGGAAGAATGCAAGTTTGTCATGCTTGTCTGGCATGACTCGAGAATCTATGTTGCATAGGCACGAACGAGCCCTCTTAACTGTCAAGCGAAAAGGCAGTTTGCCATGCGAAATACGTAAGACATGGCAGCCACTAGATTTGTCATGCATAGCTGCGTATTGCGGCGCGTCTACGATTCACTTTTAGCATTACTAGTCTCCAGACCCAGACATATTTGCAATCCATACGAAGACACGGATGTGAACCCAAATTCCACCAGAGTAATCGGCTTTCACGACCCGGTGCAGAAGCGTTGGGGTTGGCGAATCGGGGACGAGATCGTCGCGATTTTGCAGAGTAGAAGAGCGGGGGATAAAGCGTGGTTCCCGATCGAGAATTTCGACCAGCTTTACAAAAGGTATAGAAAAGTAGTTTACGATGGTTTGTGGCTTTTACTTTTTGTGATCGATGCATTGCTCCTCACAACATGCAGTGTTCCATTTGGGATGCGTGACTACTTCCTAATCAAGAAAGATGCTCATACCACTCACCGACATCAAAAATACTTCTATCAGGTTCACGACTATTATGGAGAGAAAAAAGTGTGTCACAGTCACTAAGTTGCAGGTTTTGCATCACAAATTTTTTTAGCATCGCAACTTCTCCTTGTATTGCAGAAACACTAGGGAAATCCCTTATGAAGTGTGGCTGTGATGCATTTTTACGCATGACAGACAATTTTGTGTTGCAAAAATGCCCATGAGTGATCGTGACGAACTTTTTTCTTTTGATAACCATCAAGGAGACGTGGCAGGAGTTCCAGGAAAACAAGCGGATTTACTTCGGTTATCAAAAGGAAAAATCTCCCCTCCCCATATCGAAAAGGAAATTTGTGATGCTGGATTTGCGTACGCAAATCGGATTTGCCTTGCAGTAATGGACTGCAGGCATATGCCAACCCTGGGCAGCGAGGTTTTGACATAGGCGCCTAGCATTACAAACATCCACGGCGTAGGCCCAACAGCATCGCAAACCGCCTGCATAATGTGGCGGAGCCTGTGGCGTTGCCTTCTTGCAACACAGAGACGATTTGTGGTCACAATTCAGCATTGCAGCTTTTCTATGGTTTCCTTTTCGATATGGGGAGGGGGGATTTTTCCTTACGATATCGGTGTCTACCGCCCCAACATCCCGAAGGGGGAAAAATACCCGCCCCTGCCGATGAAACTCCATATGATCACGGCACGGTATTTGGACGACCGCGGGTCCGATTTCGACGACAGCTCAGAGGATGAGTACTGGCAGTTGACGGACGATATCAACGTGAAGAAGAAGCGAAAAACTTTGCCACGTGCGGACTGGCTGCGATACTGCGCGTGGAAATTCAACATCGAGAAAGAGAACCAAGCGGTGGTGGAGTACCAGCGCAGAATGCAGAAGAGATTGGATATCGAGGCTGGGGAGGGGAAATTCTTCCAGGACCCAGCGAATTTGGCGGACTTTCAAGAGGTATTTGATACGGGTTTAGACTTCAAGGGTGTGTAATTCTCATTCGGATGTTCGCATGACAAGTCGTGCTTCTGAGTGTACTTACGCAATGCAAACTACGACTTTATCATTTGTTATCTATCAGGTCGTCAACGTACTCGACGAATATGGTCGTTCCACCTACCACACCATCCCCCGGGGAATTGACGTGCACTTGGAGAAGCAGCGGAAGATTGACAAGGAGAAAAATGCGGAAAAGCAGAAGAAATTGAAACAACGGGTAAAGAACAAGGACCAGATTCTACCGAGCAACGAGTCCGCGGACTTCCGGACGTGGCCAAATCCGGAGGCGGGAAAGGATATCACGCTGAAGTACGATTGGCCGGGAGAAACGACGGGGTATTTGATGGTGTCGGAAGGGTACGACGTGGGCACGCATCCGATTGGCATGTACGACGACTTTCACGCCGGGTCGCCGTAGGTGGTTGTTCGTTGTGGGGTAAGTCATCTTGAAGTTGAATTTTACTATTACGTTTTGAAGATCCCTTGCAGCAGGACTTAGCGATTGCGATTTTACGATTAAAGTTATACAGCAGAACTGAATTTGTGAACGAAGCGAATTTGACGCCGATTCTGATTGTGATTGCGATTTTATGACAGAACTGACCCAACGTGGTGGGCACTTGTTACGCTGGAAAAAAATCACGATTCTATGAGGTAGAAGCAAAGCATTAACACTCAGTTTCGTTCAAATTGACTGTTAGTTGATTGTCCGTCCGGACACAGGTGTTGTTCGTTAGAAGTGCGAGTAGAACAAGAAAGATTTCTTGGCGTTGAGAGCAGATGACTTCGACGTTGGCTACTGTGAATCTAATCACAAGATAGAACAAGAAGTAAACGAAAAATGTCGGTCAGCGCAATACAGAAAAGAACCCTCATCTGTTTTCCAACTCGACACGTAACTTCGGTTTTCGTCCACTCTTTGCTCGTTTGCAGCATGTCTCGTACAAAACGAAAACCCTGCCACCACCTCGCATGACGTCGATGCGAGGTGGCGACAGGCCGGCGGCGGTGGTCTCACTGGGAGGTGCTGGCTTCGGATAATATCCTGTACTACTTTCCGTTTGCGTTTCCCTGCCGCTCCTACTGGGGGACAACGATGATGATGTTCAACTTGATTCATCCCAGGCGATCCCAGTTCTACATTTCCGTATCCCGGGTCGTCCATCTTGTTTACTTTCTACGTATCGAATTTCTTCTCCAAGTATTTCAATTTCTATTTCAGTCCAACCTCTACACCTTCCTAAGGAAGTGGTTCTCTCTGGTGCTAGGTTTTGGTACTTGGTACTACGAACGTATAGTACTTATGTCCGCGTAAGCAACTACTTGCGCAACACTAAGAGCGATAGCATAAGAAGCAATCTTTCAATGTCAATTTGAGCACACCATCACCAACGTAGGTCGACGCAGAGCACGACTGAAAGACCCTTAAAAAAGAGTAAACAGTATTTTTTGGAAATCTTCTTTTCAACATCATCGATGTTAAAATTTCATCTCGTCTTTTTGTCAACATACAATTTGTATTGCTAGAGTCGCTATTACGTACTCTAGCACCTCCAGAACAAAAATAAATAAAATGTTCGCAAAATCCTCTTCCACGCGATGCTTAGCCATCATCCCCGTGGTGGTGGTGTCGGTCCTGATAGTCTACGCAACGCTGACCTACAACTACTACTTTCTCTACGTCCTCCACCCCGAGCCCACCTTCGCGATTCCAGTAGGGCTTCTGTACAACTTCTTCATCTCTTTAGCGGTGTGGAGCTACTTCAAAACTTTATTGACCGAGCCGGGGTTTGTCACGGAGGAATGGAGTATAAAAGCCATGGAGGAGGTATCACAAGAAAAAGTGTTAACGTTAACGGAATTTGTGAAGCAGTTATGCTTCAGAAAATGTGCGCAAATTTGTATTGCATAGTATGCATGGAAGGCAAAATTTGTAGTGCATGACTGCCATCTGTGAAAACGAAAACCGTTAATGTTAACACTTTTTTGTTTGATAGGAGGATTTGGGCACGTTGTGCAGAAAATGCCACATAAAACGACCGATACGAGCGCACCACTGCGGGACGACGAACAGGTATGATTTAAAGGTTTTTAATTCTGACATTGACACTGACTCGAAAAGCAAAAGATGATCCCGGCTCTCATGCGTAGGAGCAAGCTGCAATCAACATAGAGCTTCATAATTTTCTCATGCGCATTGTCCATTTAGAAAATCGAACTCCTGAATCATATCAGATGCGTCCGCCGCATGGACCACTACTGTCCGTGGACAGGGAACACGATCGGGTTTGAGAACCACCGGCTTTTCATTATCAAATGCAAATATGTCTGGGTCTGGAAGGATCCGAACGTGTGATGCTGCATTCGGATTCCAAAAAAGTCTGTATTGCATGACGAGCAAGAGGAGTCGACTCTGTGCTACGCGGAGAGGGCATTTTTTGTCATGCAGTAAACGCATCGGGAAGCCCTCACAAGTCTGTGGTGCTAGGGCATGCATCACAAACATCATGGGTCATGCAAAATGTGCATGACAAACCTGGCAGTCTTCCAACCCCAGACATATTCGCAATGCATATTCATCCTGTTCCTCCAATACACCTTTTTCGCCTCTTATCCAGGAAAATAACTGTGTAAGTGTAACTTTCTTGGAGGAATAGCATCACAAGTTGGGAAGATATGACAAGTTGGAAGCGCTTCAATCATGCGCAATTCAGCATCACAAGTCTTTCAGATTTTTGCATGCAGCTTCAGACTTACCATGACAAGTTGAAAAAGAAAGCACTTCGTTTTTCGTTTTTTGAAAGAAAGCACTTCGTTTTTTGAAGCAAAGCACTTCGTATTTCTGAAAGAAAGAACTTCGACGTGAATAAAAATAGTGCATGTGAAGATAAGCAGCAGATACTTCAACACCTGCGCAGCTTGCGGGGGGGTGACTCCTGTGGTCCCCCCCCACCAGCTGTGCCATTTCTCAAATCTCATAGGCGTGCGCTTCTTTTTTTTTCCAGCAGAGGCTGGCGGGGAACATAGCCAAGGGGGCCGTAGGTAGATCTATCTCTGGGCGTGTAGGTAGTAGAAATCAGTCTGTGTGCCTCCGTCGCTTCTTGTGACTTACCATATTCTGAAAGTTCAAGTTGTGCGCTGTTTGTCCGACAATAGTGAAGAGAAAGAATGAATTGCTACTGGCCGGAGGACTCTCTACGGGCCGCAGCCAAAGTCGAGCAGGATACAAAGGTCGAGCAGGATACAAGGTCGGAGTTGGGCGAGGACCGGGATGCGGTCGGAGCTTGCGGATCTTATCAAAAAGGTACGGCCTAAGGCCTCGGGAACGCCGAACAAAGCCGCGCTCTTCTTCGTGAAACGCCCACCGCTTTTTGCGCAATGGATAAGAAAAAAAATCAAAAGAAAAGAAAATGAAAAGAAAAAAAAAATCATAAGAAGAAAGCAAAAAAAAAAAAATCAAGAAAAAAAAATCAAAAGAAAGCAGCGAAAAGAAAAGGAAAAGAAACAATTGCAAATCCATGCGCAGAGAGTTTAGAAAAAAAAAAAAAAAGAATAGCATCACAAGTTTCCTCTGCAAGCATGACACAGAAAACCTGTCATGCGTAGCTAGTACGTGAAAACACGCACGAAAATTGCCTCTGATGCATGTCCAGCATGACAAGTGTAACAGTTTTGCATTTTCTGCAACACAAATTTACACTTACACAGTTTTTTTCTTGGATACCTCTATCACCCTGTTCGGCTCCGCGCTGCCCGACATCATCCAGCTGTTCAACGGGCGGCAGAGTTGGGACAAAAACACCCGTATCCTGTGCAAAAGTACCGTACTGGTATTGCAATCATGCATTACAAATTTTTTTCTCAAGGTAAATCCGCATTACAAATTTTATTTCTCTTGCTGAGGGAATTTGTCATGCATTTATACGAGTGCGATACTTTTGCAGTTCATAACCCGGTGGACCACGTTTTTTGATAGCAGTTACGAGGCGTCGAACATTCACTTAATCATGTTCGCGGTGACGTTATTTATCGCCGTGACCTTCGGTCTCTCCGTCGGCGGCTTGTACGGCACACATCTTTACTTGCTTTTCACCAACAACACGACGCTAGAGATGGGGGGTTTGTTCTCCAATTCCGAGCAGTTTAACCTGGGGCTTTGCAACAACATCGAGCAGTTGTACGGGAAATTTGGGATCCAGTGGTTTTTGCCGATAAGGTTGTCGGAGGGGAAAAGGGTTTGCGACGGGTACGAGTTTCCGACGAGAGAGGACATGTTACTCGCGTCCGACAGCGACTTCGCAAACGACCTAAATGACGAGGTCGGGAAGGACACAAAGTTGGTCAAGAGGGGAGCGCCGGGGCAGGCGAGGTATAATTGCATTTCTGCATTACAAATTTATTTCTCAAGTTAAATGCGCATTACAAATTTTATTTCTCATGCTGAAGAAATTTGCAATGCAATTTATACTAGTACGATACTTTTGCAGTTCATAGAGCGCCGGGGCAGGTTAGGTATAATCGTGAGTTGCTTCCTCAGTTTTCTGCAGTAGTAACCTAGTTTACGCGGTGGAACATTTTTACCTATATGAAATTCGGTTTCAAGTAGATGTAGAACTTCAATCTGTGATGTTGCTTATTTTCCGACCGTATAATTCGAAGAAACATAGTAATAGTTTCTCACGTAAAAAAAACTTCTACATCATCAACCACTACAGCAACCAAAACAAGAACCGGATGGGGCTTGTGCCGCACAAGCAAGTCTCCGCGACGCCAATTGGGGTATCCGCGCCAGCAGAGCATGATGATTTGGAGTCCTTGTCGGGCAGTGAGCAACGCTTGATGAACAAGTAAGTAGGCTGCAGTTTCTCATGGGCAATGATCCGGCGACGTAACAACAAGTCTCTTCTCTCATGCTCTGAAGATCCCCTCGTGCTCGTACTTGCAAGTAATTGTTGTTTGCGACGAACACACGATCCAAAATAAATCCGAAAAGTGAATGTATCCATGCTGCTGTTCTTGCTGTCACCTACTTCCCGGCTTCTCAAGAATCAGCTTCGTGGCTGCATTCATATCGAAAGATGAAAGAGGACGAAAAATACTGTACTTCTATTGTGCGAAATTAATACAGTGAAAGTGATTCATCTTCACTTTTTATTTTGTACAAAGAAATAAATGGCGAAAAGTATCAAACTGGTACTATTCTATCCGAAAGTGCTTTTTGTTGTCGATAGCAGCTATTTTTCTTCGTTTACCCGAAGGAATTTGATACTGGCTGAACTGAAATTGAAAATTTGAGAAAAATTCGTCGAAGGTAAGATGATCTTTGTGTGCTAGCTGGTAGTAGTACAAAAAAGTGATGCGGCCTACAGTCGTACTTTTTGGAAGACTTGTCATGACTGGTAGCTAGCATCATCTAGGAGTGCAATTACCGGTTCAGGCTTAGATCACATAACTCGAGAAGATCTTTTATTTTCACCTCCCTACAAGAACAAGAGCCACGACGTAAATTTCCGTATTTTTGTCGATCACGTTTGAAATTCGAATGTACATTCAGTTCATCAACAACTTTCATTTTTTTGCTTCTAGAATTAAATTTGCTATGCACGTTTTTTGAGCTCCAACTGGGCCTAATGGCGTGAAACACGTCGCTACAACACGATCCGTACGACAAGAACGGCGCACAAAATTTTGTAGCATGGCAGAGTAATACAAATATCAAAAAGCTTGTTTTGAGGCACCAAAGCGATCTTCAGCAACTGTCCGCGATTTTTCTCTGGACACGACTTGCCCGTCCTGCGGCGGCATTGTGCCCTATCAGCGTGTTGTTCTATTGTGCTCTCGCACGATTATTTGTTCATAACTAGGCTTCCAGAAAGCGGGTTACATCAACCGGCCCTATTCGTACAACTCTGGAGGCTACTTCTACTGACGGTAACAAACTGCAAGAACTGTATTACAGCTGTTGATACGCTGTTCCAAGTTTTATTCGACGAACAAGATCAAGCATAGGTCTCTTTCTCTACTCAAGTATGCACCGGAAGAAGCCACCTAAAAGATCCACTTGTTCCATCGTTCCTCCCGATTTTCTTGATTCCTAACCAGGTCCAGCGACATAATGAAAGTTTCGTAGGATGTTAGAACGACCATACAACTTACACAACGCGAAGTTTATTTCTTGCCTGTTCTCAAAACAGAGTAGAAATTTAGTTTTAGTTTCACCCAGCAGATGAAGTTTTAGGTATTTAGAGGTAAGTACCACTAGCGCATAGAAAGCAATATTCTTTATCTTTTCAAGAAAGTGAGTAGATGATCACGATCTGTTTCAACAAACACGCGCTCTCTGTATGTGACGTTGACGATATGATTGGTCTATTGCTCGAGAAAAAGCTCGTCAAGCAGTGTGTTACCTTCTAATGAAATGTGAGTCGCAGCCGCAGCGAACAATCCATCTGGAGATTTATTGAGTTTTCTGGAGATTCCAGCCTCAACCGGTAATATTCTCCGACGACAATAAGTACGACCCGGACGTGACTCTCTATCCGACCCCAGAAAAAAACGACCATGTTTGGCGGCGGTGGCGGCGGCCTTTTTGGCAACACGAACAACCAGCAACCCAGTGGCGGTTTGTTCGGTGCGGCGCAGACACCCGCACCCAACACCAATTCCGGTCTATTCGGGCAAACCCCAGCGCCCAATGCCGGGGGTGGAGGTAGAGATCATTGCTTGATTTATTTGCTGGCCATCCACTCATTTGATAGTGTCTGCACGATGTGGTTGGTAGTCTGGGTGTTTTTGACTACTTACATTTGGTTGTCGTGCTAAAAGTCATGATAATTCAGCCTGCATTTATTGTGACTTCATCTCACTCTAGGTACTTTAGTACACACAATTTCACTTTCCCAAATAACTAGGTCTTTTCGGCAGCACGCCGACGCCCAACACGGGTGGCGGGCTGTTCGGCAACACGCAGCAACCGCAGCAAAATCAAGGCGGCGGGCTGTTCGGCAATACGCAGCAACCCCAGCAGCAAAATCAGGGTGGCGGGCTATTCGGCAATACGCAGCAGCCGCAGCAAAATCAGGGGGGCGGGTTATTCGGCAATACGCAACAACCCCAGCAGAATCAGGGCGGAGGATTGTTTGGCAATACCGGGGCGGGAAATACAGGTAAGTAGAAGATTCAGTACGTCAGTTCTTTTTGATCTTCATAGCGAAAGAACATTTCCTAGAAACGACGAATAGGCTAGCGATAGGATCATAGTATGCAAATATTTCTTCAACTTCGTAGAGGGAGTTGAGATAGGAACGAAAGCAAAAAAAAGACCTTGCATGATCTTCAACCGATCTGAAATTACTTATTCAGGCGGCGGTTTATTCGGCAACACGGCGGGTCAGCCGCAGCAAGCCCTGAACAACCTCCAGCAAATGGGCCAAATCCAGGGGTCCACGGTTCCCTACCAGCTCACCGTGCGACAGGAGAACGCTCAGGGAAAACTGTCGACGGAAAAATACGTGTCGATTTCCATGATGGATGCCTACAAAAGTATTTACCTCTTACTTTGATTTTACATTTTACCAGCGTAGCATAATTTCATCGAATTGCGTTGGTTGCTCTCTGACGGTGCTTTTCTGATGCATGTATGTCAATCTGAGTCTGACATATTTGTTGTGCAAAAAATGAAATTTGATGCCCATGGCAGATTTTGAATCTACCCGGTTGTAGTACGCGGAAAAAATTATCAGATAAGTCCTTCGAAGAGATTCGGTTTGAAGATTACGCTGCAAATCGAAAGGGCGGCGGACAGCAGGTGCAGGGAGCAGCTGCCGGCGGCGGTCTCTTTGGCAACCAGCAGCAGCCACAACAGGCGGGAGGCTTATTTGGCAGTCAGCCGCAACAGAATCAAGGCGGGGGTCTATTCGGAAATCAACAACCACAACAAAGCACCGGTGGGGGTTTATTTGGAAATCAACAACCGCAACAAAACACCGGTGGCGGTTTATTTGGAAATCAGCAACCGCAGCAAAATACCGGTGGCGGTTTATTTGGAAATCAGCAACCGCAGCAAAACACCGGTGGCGGATTGTTCGGCAACACAAATAACCAACAGCCATCTGGCGGGCTGTTCGGCAACACGACTAGTCAGCCGCAGCAGAACCAAGGTGGCGGTCTCTTCGGAAACCAGCCGCAGCAGAACCAAGGTGGTGGGCTCTTCGGAAACCAGCCTCAGCAAAACCAAGGGGGCGGGTTGTTTGGCAACACCCAGCAACCGCAGCAAAACCAGGGCGGCGGGCTGTTTGGCAACACCCAGCAGCCGCAGCAAAACCAAGGGGGCGGGTTGTTCGGCAACACCCAGCAGCCGCAGCAAAACGCCGGTGGCGGGCTCTTCGGCAACACCCAGCAGCCACAGCAGAACACGGGTGGCGGGCTTTTCGGTAACACCCAGCAGCCACAACAGAGCACGGGTGGCGGACTGTTCGGGAATAGTACCCAGCAACCCCAGCAGAACACGGGCGGAGGGTTGTTCGGGAACACTCAACCGCAGCAAAGCCAAGGCGGAGGACTGTTTGGCAACACAACGAATAACCAGCCGCAAGGCTCAAGCTTGTTTGGCAACACAAACCAGCAGCCAGCTGGCTCCTCTCTTTTCGGGAACACAAACACAAACACGGGAGCAGGCGGTTTATTTGGTAACACAGCAAACACCAACACCGGCGGAGGGTTATTTGGCAACACGGGAGGTACTGCAAACACTGGTGGAGGGCTCTTTGGCAACACAGCGCAGCCACAGCAGAACAATCAAGCCGGTGGGCTGTTTGGCAACAACAGCTTAGTACCGAATAACAACCCGTCCTCTGTCCTTCCGAACAACAATTTGAATCAGATCCAGAACAGCAACTACCAAAACACACTGCAGCAGCAGAACCAACTGCTGCAAATCTTGAACCTGCCGGACAAAATTTCCCAGATGATCGCGGAGGAGCGCGCACGGCAAATGCCAGTGAACAGTAATCAGAACGGAACATCCGGAAACACCGCCAATTACGAAACCGCGGTCGACGCCCCGCCCCGGCCGCTTGGCCTCGTCACGCCCAAAACCCCGCCAAAAATCGCCAATCTGTGGAAACACGCGCAGCCCGAGCCGATCGCGCCCAACGGGATGGTGGAAAGGCACCGGGTTGTTTCCGGGCACTACAGCTCCGCTGCAAGCTCGGTTTCCGGCACCAGCCGGGGAAGGTACGGAAGAGACTATCTCGGGTCGATTGACAATTTGATTTCGAGGTCACCGTCGCTATCACCGAAGAGCCAGATTGGGGAGGACAGGGGTGGGACCGATCCAGGGTTTGAGGGCAACGATTACAAGCCGTATCACAATCTGCCACTAAGGCAGCCCAGAGGGAGTCAGCCGTCGACGCCTGGTAGGGTTTTTTTTTGTGGTGCAATTGATTCTATGCATAATTGCAAGGTTCAGCTGTCAGCATAATGTTTGAAACTACAGCAAGAAGTGTTACTTGCAGGAAAAAAGCATGATAGAAATGCCTAATGCAAGAGTCTTTCATCTAAGTACGAAATACCACCAAAAAACAAAAACAGTTCACACATCCGGAACTCCGCCGCTTCACCCAGCCTCTGCGGGTTCCAATATGCCGTCTTTCACGCTCGCGTCCGGGCACCAGCACCAGGAGTCCTACTCCACACACCCACCTCCGGTGGTCGAGCACGTGTCCTCGGGTTTGCCCGAGGTGGAGTGGGCCATTAAGCCGCAGATCGTTCGGCACGGGGGTCACGGCGGGGTAACACACGTCGGCCACATCCAGTCGCACGCGCCGCAACAACATCATCATCCCGAGCAACATTACGATGGGATGGCGCAACAAGCCGGGTACTACGACGTCTACAATATGTTGATAGATAAGTACGTTGGTAGCCGCAGTTGCTGTAAAAAAGTTTGATTTATTATTTCTACCCCTACGATCTTCATCTTTGCGGTTCGGTTTCTTGACGCTTCCCACGTTTGGAAGCAGCAGACGAACTTTTTGTAGAACCATTTTGCATGCGTGAGATTAGGGGTAAAAAAAGGTTTCAAATGTAGTTCATCATCCTCGAATTCGCGTCCTCGTCAGCCAGAAAAATGGCAATTCCAAAATCTTCCTGTACAGGTCCCCTCCCTGTGGCAGCCGATCCCCCGGAGCAACCAATCCCATGCAACCCCAACCCATTTACACCAACCACCGCGGCGAGCACTTCTACGCGAAGCAGGAGAGTAAAAACAGCAACGCAGGGGGGCTGTATCCGAAACTTTCCTCGCCTTCGCAGATGATGGAACCTGCAGGAGCGCACATGATGATGCACCAACATCCCAACGCTTACAACAAGCAGAGTACATCAACTAGAGTCCGGCGGGAGCTGTTGCCTTTCATTAACCGTCCGGCGTATTATTGCGAGCCGCCCATCGAAAAGCTGGCGGAGCTGTCGGAATTTGAGCTGGCGACCTTTCGGAATTTCAAGTACGGGAAGCACGGGATGGGGCACGTGCAGTTTCCCATGGAGCTAGATTTGAGAGAAATGGACCTTGATTCTCTCGTCGACTTCGGCACGATGACAATCACGGTATAGATTTTTACGAAGTTTTAGTTTTGTTTTTGACAATTGGATTATATGCATGACAGATCATCGTCACGGTGCACTGTACGCATGACAAAAAATGACAGAACAAAAAATCGATGGCTCTATCCAGGTCCACCAGGAAGTGTGGCGGCCGATGATTGACCGGGCAAAAGCCGTGCTATCAGATGTAAAAATGTGTGGGTCTGGAAGGTTGGAACTTGTGATGCTAACTTTGGACTCTAAAAAAATCTGTATTGCATGACCAGCAAGAGGACTCGAGTTTGTGCTACGCGGGGAGGGCATTTGTCATGCGGAGTAGGCATCAGGAAGCCCTCTGGAAATCTATGATGCTAGGTCGTGCATTACAGACATCCTGGGTCATGCAAAATATGCATGACAATCTCAGAATCTTCCAGACCCAGACACTTTTGCATTTGATACGTGCTCGAGCGACACAACATGCGACCCCGGTCGCACCCGAGTAGCCCCTTCGACAAAACCGAGGATTTGAATCACATGCGGGTGACTCTGATTCTCGATTTTGAGAAAATGGCCCCCGGCCGGGGGTTCGACGATCCGGCGCAGCGACGGGGCATTGCGCAGAAGTTGGAGAGTATGACGAAGCAAACGGGGTACAAATTTGTCAGCTTCGACGGTCACGACTGGGTTTTCAAGGTGCCGCTAGAATAGGCGGAGATGATAGAAGATGATGTTGCAAGGGTACCCGCAAGTAAGTACTTACTACTTACAACTCGCACTCCTGCTCGTGGTCCTTACAACACGACATCAAATAAAGCTACATGGAAGTAGCGAGGTGAAGTGGCGCTCCACACTGCTGAGAAGTGCTCTTTTCAGAGACCACAGGCGAACTAGTTGTGACGAGGTGGAACCACGTTTTTGACGAGGCAACTACGGACTATATTTGTATTTTCACGCGATCATCATCATACAGACGATAACTACGACAAAACTGACCAATTTCAATTTCAATTCGACGAGAATTTTTACAGGAGAGTAACTTCCTAGAAGGATTGCAGCACCAGCAGGTGTCATTTGTGTCGTAGATGCCTCACTCGTGTTCCTCGAAACTCGTCGGGTCGTCTGGGCAGGAATGTAAATAGCAGCTGAGGACATGTTGATCAAGAGAGCTGCACCGGCAGTACTTCTACGTTGAGCGAATGAGCGAAATTTGGTGCGAAAGACGCACGACAAGGGCATGAACAAAGTACTGACCCCCAGCATGGTGAAGTACGTGAACTCCTTTAAAAATCTTGGACTTCTTCACCAAATGCACTAGCTTGGGTTCTTTTTTTCTCTGCACAATATTACAACGAAAACGCACGATACGTGATAAAAAGGTGATGTTAGACGATGAAAGAATAGGAATACAGGGCGCTTGGAGGGTCCTCGCGTGTTGATTTTGACCCTTCCATACATGATATGTTGTAGTTCGGTGGAAATAAAACACCGCGATCCTGAAGCTGATAATCGTCCCGGCCTGGAGGTGAATCCACGACGACTGATGAGCGACGTCCGACTTTGAGGACGCAGTGAACGTATTTTGCGTTTTTGCAGTCCGTCGCCAGCACCATCGTCGAGTGGTTCAGTCCATATTTGTTTCACATGAATAAGTAAGCTCCTACCCCTCCTGCTTCCTGTGAATCATCATTTCATCGTCGGGACGAAATCTACTTTTCGAACCATGAAGATGCGGACCACGCGGCTACTTACGACCCGCATTTTCTTCACCGGCACCTGTTTATTTACTGATTCGAGCCGCGCTCGTGTGGGCAAGAAGCCGCGCTCGTGTGGTCATGCTGGCGAGCAGCTGGCATCAACATCTTCCCTAGATGAAGTTGTTGTACCCGGCGAACAAGACTTCTCCTACACCAGTCGTGCAGCAGCTGAACTACAACAGGGGCAGACTTTTGCAGAGGATGCTGCGATGAAGCCTGGAGGACGAGGGCAGATCCTCGTCGACGTGGACGCGCTCGCACAGACGAGTGCAACGCAGGGCTCTGTCGCGAAGCTCGACTCGTGGGCCGTGCCGGATGAAAAATCTGGGGTCGACGTCGACGCGGGGGAAAGGAGCGCGGCCAGTTTCACGCAGAAGCATGTCGACTTGCGGTCATGGCTCCCTACTTATTGGGGCTCCATTCGCAAGTTGCAGGTGACCCTCAAGGTTGGGCAGTATCTCGCTTGCAAGTGCTCGATAGCCTCGGCCGATGAGTCAGCAACCAGTTGGATTTACTATCAACTGCAAACATCGATCTGGGTCTCTCTGGAAACTTGTGATGCTGACCCACGACCGTAGATGATTGAAATTATAATCCTTCCCAATTATGCAGCCAAGCATGACAAAATTGCGGAACTACACTTTCTCATGCACAGTCCGCATGATGAGAAACTCAAACTGCGCTTGTTTATGACAAGAAAAGAGGGCGTCTTTCTATTGGTCACGGAAAGATACAGATTTTACTGGAACGCAGGACTACTAGCATGACAAGTTCCGTCCTTCCAGATTCAGATCGATAGTTGCAATGCATAAAATCAACCAACCCATACGGATCACCGGTGCACCTCCCCTCTCCCGTCCTGCTTCACCTTTTCTGGGAAAGATGTATTACGTGCCGTGGAATTCGCCACTGTCCATCAGGGCCCGCTTATCATTTGTAAAAACGTCATCCCCACACCAGAGTCAAAATGGGAAATCTGCTAGACAAATCAGCCAGCTTTGGTCGTTTGGTATGACAAGTTTTCCCTCGTAGTGTGGCCCTGTTCTTTCGCTAGTTCAGAAGCATCACAGATCTAGCATGTCGTGCTGATTGTAGCGTCACAAATCTCTCCAAAACACGACTAGAAATAAATGCCTCTCATGGCGCTCCGCGTGACAAACTTTTTTGGCATGCAGATTTGCATGACAACTCTGGGGTGTGGGCCCCGTTTTTACTCAGGATACCGCTTGGCCTCTGCCCCGCAGTTTCCCCTGGACTACACCTTGGGGACGACACATCTACGTGGGGACGACGACACCTACGTGGGGACCGCTACGTTGCGAGCGAACAGGTTTGGATTTCAACAGCCTGAAGACGCCGACGGTTCGCTGCTCGGTCCCGATGACCTGTTCAACGAGAACTCGGCCGAGGCAACTGGTAGTACTCCGGAAGTTTTATTCCCTGTCAGTGCGGAGGATCAAGATTTAGCAGTCGCACAACCGATATGCATTGCAAATATGTCTGGGTCTGGAAACTTGTGATGCAAGTCCGTGTAAGTGCTCTGTATCTGTAATGCGCCGCCAAGCATGACAAATTTTTTTTTTTTCGTGCTTCTGTGATGCGTATTTCGCATGAGAAACTGCGCTTTTGCATGACAGGCAAGAGGACCTCTGGGTGGCCGCGCAATACAGAGTGCAGAGTCATGCCAGACTAGCACGACCACAATCTTCCAGACCCAGACATTTTTGCATTTGATAACCGAACGGGAAACTGACCGGGCGGCGTGGACGCTGGGCCTCCAAGTCGAACGCCGATCCGTTTCTGCTGAAGTTCACCCCTGTATGAGAGTGCGGAAGATCTCCCCCTCCCCCGGATTTGTATGGCATGAACAGCAGTAAAAACACCAGTACGCGTGGAGCCTGTGCATGAGCATGGGAAAATCATGCGCCTAGTGTTTGTAGTACTGTTTATGTGGGCTCGTTCCGGAATCGGTCATGCAGACAGTGCCACAGGGCAGCAGTTGGATTTGGGGTTTTGCATGACAAAGGAGGAGGAGGGGGTGTTGTGCACTCTCATACCCGAATCTGGACGTTCCCGCTTCGGAATACTCGGAAATGAGAGTGAATCGATTATGCAAGAAAAAAACTATGTGAGTGTACTAAGTCTGTGATGCAGAGGACGAGGCAAGACACTTACATCTGTCATGCTGGACATGCGTCAGAGGCTCTTTTCGTGGGTGTTTTCACGTACTAAGTACGCATGACAGGTTTTCTGTGTCATGCAGAGCAAACTTGTGATGCTGTTCGTCCAAGAAAGTTGCACTAACACAGTTGTTTTCCTGGATATCGATGGAGTCATGCACGGGATCGGTCACTGCCCGACAGCGTGGAGGCCCTCGTTCTCCACATGCCGGAATTTTTTAAGCGCAACTGCGAGCATATCACACAGAAAAAAACGGGCAGGTCACATTTGTACTTAAATGCAAAAATAAACTCACAAAAAGATCTGTATTGCATATCCGAAACAGCATGCTACGGGGCCACCCGTGACAGATTTTTTTGTGTATTTATTTTTGCATTACAAATACCAGCCATGCTCCGGCTAACGCCGGAGCGCACGGCTGTTGTGCTGGGGTGTGACTATTTGCTGATCGGACCGCGACGTAAAAGCTTTGGGGGCAGCGTGACAGGCCGAGGGAAGTACTTCCGCATGACGGCTTGCGCCATGTCAACCCGCATGGGCCCCTGCGCGCTTCCCGCGCCTTTAGGCGCTATGCGCAGGGAGCAACTGCAGGGAAGCTTGGGGGCGAAGGGGAGCCGCCGCGACGTAGGTGCCGAAGCAAAACGGGGACCGCGCAGCCCTTTGTTGATCACTCTCCCGCGCCCGCCCATCTGATTCCCAGGCGGAATCTGTGGGCGCGGGGGTGGTGCGAGAGGATCGATGGCGCGAGAGGGTGGCGCGAGAGGGTGGCGCGAGAGGGTGGCGCGAGAGGGTGACGCGAGAGGGTGGCGCGAGAGGGTGCGCGAGAGGGTGCGCGAGAGGGTGGCGCGAGAGGGTGGCGCGAGAGGGTGCGGGCCGACGCATGAAAAAGCCCCAAAAGAATCGACCCTGCGCCGGGCGGATTCGGCTTCTTTTAACCCTCTCGCAGACCCTCTTTTTCACCTCTCCGAGAGGTGTTGCTAACAATCCGGCTATACTCGCCGGTAGAGGTCTTCAGAGGTGGCCGAGAGGTGGCCCAGAGGGTGCGCGAGAGGTTCGCCCTTATTCGCGCAACCTCTCGGCACCTCTGTCCCCCTCTCGCTTACCCTCTCGGGACCCTCTCGGCCACCTCCGGGCCCCATAGGCGCGGCTTTAGGGCGAGTCCTTCGGCGGGCTATACTCGCGCACCCTCTCGGCCACCCTCTCGAATGACCTCCCGCGCCACCTCTCCACCTCTGTCGACCTCTTTTTGACCTCTGTTGACCTCTTTTTTACCTCTCGGCCACCTCCCTTCGACCCTCTGTAGACTTCTTTTTTCGCATGAATATAATAGATAGTAATGCCCTGCCAGCTTTTTTCTGTGTGATAGAGCAAACTTGCTACGCCTATTTTCACGATGACGTGAATGCTCTCCCTGAAGAACAAGCAAATCAAGCGGAGGAAGACCCCCGGGCAAGCAGCAAGGACAGAATGGTGCGCACGATTTTGGCTGTTCTGCCCGAAGTCGTGCGGTACACCGAAAACGAGGACAAAGCTGCGGCGCCGGGATCTGTCGTCAAACTCGGCTTCTCGTCCGATGTCGAGAAATCCGGCGTGTGACCGGCGAGGACCGGCGGTCGCTTGTATAATCCGAATACTGGTGTACTACAACACAGTCTGACAAGAGCATGAGCAAAGTACTCAGCTCCTTGCACTTCTTCAGTTTTTGACTTGATCATCATCAATAACGCCCTAGCTTTGGTCTTTCACAATACGTCGAATTTTTATACGCGCTAAAGGTAATAATTGTAATTGAATTTCACCTTCAACACTGAGAAGATCATTTACTGATTTCTGCATTATTTTTCAATACTAATGCGGGTTTTCAAAACTCCGCAGTGTTCGAACCTGCTGCAGGACCCGGATCTGCTACAGTTTGCAGAAAACTGGCACCGTGCTTGTTGCGCGCATGCCAGTAAAGGTTGTGTATGTTTAGCGTCTGTATGTGAAAACGTGATTCTGAACAGCAATCGCACTAAGCGTGCCTCATGATCGACAGTTTTGATGCAGGTCGCAGTTGTTGTGATCGAGCAGGAGGATGAGATGTATTAAACCACGATAGTGAGTAGACTTTGGAGTCGTGGAGTAGATGAAAACACCAGCATGTTCGACGTGAGATTCACTGGTGAGAGAAAACATGGAGAGACGCCGAGATTGTATGGCTTCAAAGAAATCGTGAAGATTTTTGTCAGAACAAGATTTTAAACCAAAATCTTGAACGACCAGGCCCCAAGAATTTCGAAACTTTTGTATACTGAGTATCATTTATTTTCGTGTGCATGGATTGCTATTTTTCCTCTTCGTATTTCAGCGTCGCAAACGAATCGTGTAGAAGAAGTAAAGTTCTTGCGAAGGACTAGTATATGAAGAATTCGTGAGCATGTATCAACCTTCATCTATGTTGACATAAACCGTAAAAATAAGAAGTACTAACTTCGTTGTCCGCAACATCGATGCTGGTCATGACACCTGACAGCATGATGAAGGACGAGTACGTAGAATCTACTGAGGGCACGACTATGAGAGATGCTCATCACGTTGGAGAGGCGAGGGAAATCGAAATCAGAGGGAGGAGTTGGAGTAGAGCACCTGGCGGTACTAAAGGTCATCTTTTCATCCGCTCTGTCTGCACCAGCGTCGTCGTATGTCGTGCAGTGAAAATAAAGAAAGAACCTTCTCAGAACTACAAGTGTTGTACTAGGAGGGAAAAATTTATTACTTCCACTACAACTACGAGGACACAACTGTCGCGGTCCTCTCGTGAAGATCGAAATAAGAACTACAGCTTGTTGAAAATAAAGATTATAAACCGGCGGAAAAAGAAAATAAACGACGGGTTCTCGTCTTCACTTTCTAGCAGCTTTTTTTTCGCAGCTATCCAATTTGTTTTCCGACAAATTATCCTCATTATGTCCTCTGGTCCGATGAATGTCACGTGCACGTGGCGCAACGTCACGGATTATCAAATGTAGAAATGTCTGGGTCTGGAAGAATGCAACTTGTCATGCTAAATCTGAATCAGGCAAAAAACTGTGTTGCATGATTGCCAAAAGTTGTACACTTTTGACCTAATCGAGAGGCAGTTTCTCATGCGGGATAGGCATTGGAAAGGTTTCGCAGAATCTGTCATGCTATGTCCTACATACCAGACCTCATGGGTTATGGAAAAACTGCATGACAAATCTGGCAATCTTCCAGACCCAGACATTTTTACAATCCATACGGATGAGATCATCCTGGACGCGGTTTTCGGCTCGAGTCTGGCCATATGAACTGCAAAAGTATTGTACTCGTAGGAATTATCGCAGTCACGCATTACAAATGATTTTCTTATGTGAACCCGCATTGCAAAATTTTATTTCTCATGCTGAGGATATTTGTCATGCGATTCATACTGGTGCGATACTTTTGCAATGCATAGGCCACCGAATTCCGCATGGACCCGAGGTTTTTTACCACCGAGGATAGCGGCGGAAATAGTACGACGACCGCGTTGCGCGAGTTGGAGGAAGGCGGAGAGGCTGGTGGTGGTACAAGTTCTTCCGCAGGAGGACAACTGGCATCATCGTCGTCCGCAGGACCAGGGGCGACTACATTAGAAGAAGCAGCACCTGGTGGTGGTCCGGAACGAAAGTCAATATCAGGCTCAGCTGGCTCGTCTGGGAATGATATTACCACTAATGCTCAGACAAAGACGTCATCTTCAACTTCATCTTCTTCTTCACGGGCGGGAGGCGCTCTAGTTGACGGGGTGGTACCACGGGAAGTAGTGGAACAGAATAGTCAAGAACATGGCGGCGAGAAGATGTCGCCCCTCACTTCTGGCGCGCCGGGAATAAAGTCCAGCAGTAGTAGTGCTAGTACCAGTGGTGCTTTAGATTCGACAACGTCCTTTGGAGGAAGCAGCGACTCAACACGACCCTCCGCAGGGACAACTACTTCTGATAATGTCTTCAAGCGAGGTAGTAGTTCATCAACAGCACTTCCCTCCCCTACCTCTCTGCAGCAAGACTACTACTACCCCCAAAACAAATTGTTCCGAGCAGGCGACGTGGATATAAATCTGCAGGGAAGTAGTAATAGTAGAATACACGACGTCAACTTCAACACTGCGGGAAACAGCTACTTTCGTCAGTACAAAAGACCCCGGATCGAGATTAACGAAAAACGAGCTTTCGACTGGACGCCCTTCAACCCGCCGAAGATTGTTCATCAAGCTACATCGGCAAGCAGTTCTTCTAGTACAGGGGCTACTACAGATTCGACCCCTGCGTCAACCAGTGGGAACACCCCGCCAGGAGTACTGCTGACGACCAAAGGATCACAGCTGAAACTGCCATTTGGAGTCGGGTTGAACCAGCCGAAAGCTTCTACGTCTGAAGGAGCTACTACTTCTTCGTCCTTTTGGCCACCATCGTCATCGTCATCATCACCATCTTCAGCCACGACTTCATCCTCGTCCACTGGTGGTGTTGTCCCCGGAACCGGCGCAGCGACAAGCAGTAGGAGCTCTACTTTCTCTACTGCTCCCACTTCGACTGGCAGATTTGTTTCAGAATACGAGAAAGAGCAAAGCGATTTTTTTCTCAACAACGGCGGAACTGGAAACAGCAATAAATTCGCACCAGCTGCACACAACTACAATAAGCAGATTGAAATCCGTCCGGGGCGATATGACGTGGAGATCATGAAGCAATCAGACGCTTATCAAATCATCAAGGAATCTCGAGCGGACACGACGTTTCACCCGCAGTCGTTTTGGAGAACGATACCGTGGAAAAGACGGAAGGGGCAGATGATGATGAGCACTTCCAAGCGGTTTGAAGCGAATCTTTTGCTAGATGACATTGGAGGTGGATCTTCAGCAGCGTCAACTACCATGAAAAACCTGCAAATCGGGGGCAGTAGCAGCAGCTCTTCGATACCCGCGGCCTTGCTGCAAGACGGGCACAGTGCATCAAATACGCCCACAACGTCTACTAGTGCAGCTGTCGTTGAGGATTATAGTGCAGCTTCTTTGTCCTCGTTAACGACCACAGAAGAACTCGACCCCGAGCAGTCTTCTACTTCCGACCGGTTACTCCAAGACAGCAGCAACTCCACCGATTCCGGCGACACGTTTCAATTCCCAACCAACGTACAACAACCGACAACGACGACCACCACTACCACCACCCCCTGGCCGGGGCCGAGCTATGACAGTATTACCTCGCATCCACAGTACGACGCGGAAAAGATTTACGACTGGTTGAACCCCCGATTGCACGAGGCACAGAACAAAAACGAGCCAACGCTGGTGATTCAAAACACGGACTACCCTCTCGCCGCGTTCCGCTGTTACGGACCAAACGGCTTTGTCGCGAGCACAAGTACGACCACAACGACCACGAGGTTCAGCACTTCTTCCTCCTCGGGAAGCAGCTCCGGTTCTGTTCAGATCGGCGCCAGCGTTGCGAGCGCGCCGAGGAGATCCTTGGAGCAGCTGCTTGGGATAAAAACTACTACCGAGAGAACAAAATCTTCTTCTTCTTCTTTCGCAGAAAATAATTATAACTCGCCGTGGTTCTACAACGACCCAGATGATGTTCAGCGGTACAGCTACCCGGAGGAGGATTCTTTCAGCTACTACTACGCGGATCCAAACAATCTAAAACACGGTCGCTACCTCTTCGGCCACACGGCGGCAGACCGGGCGTCGCAAATGCCGGTGGGCGAGTCCGCGCCCCCCGAAGACCCCTCAGATGGGGACTGGTCGGTGAATGCAACGCACGGCTACAAGCCGCACTGTTTGCGGGAGCGGTGTTTGCAAGACGTCGATCCCAACGCGGTTTCTGTTTCGCAGTCCAACATGATGGACTGCGCGGCGCTGAACTGCCTGCAGTGCAAAACCTTCACCAACATGACCTGCACGGTGTGCTTGGCCTACACTTTAGGGCGCCCGGAATTTTTCTGCATGCACAACGAGGACGTGTGTGCGGATTTGCGATACGCAAGACCTTTCACCGATTCGGTGGAAATTAACGGTCAGTGCCCGGACGAGGAGTTGCGGTTGATTATCGGCGACAACAATTTAGGCGTCGTTATCTTGTGTAAAAACGTCCCCACCCCATAGTCACGTTGGTAAATCTGCAACACAAATCTTCAAGTTTTGGGAGTTTTGCATGACAAGTTTCCATCTGTAGCGTCGTGCTGTCTAGCAAAGTCAGCCGCATCAGAAAGCCAGCCTCTCATCCTGTTTACAGCATGACAAAGTCCAAAACACGATTGGAAATGCCTCTCATGCAGATCCGCATTACAAATGTTCCTGTCATTGCATATTTGCATCACAACTCTGGAGTGGGGACGTTTTTACTCAGGATAGTCGTCCCCGTGAATATCACCGTGAACACGACCGCGCCGAAGGACTGGAAGAACCCGATCGTCCCGGACATTTTCACCCCGCAGTACCTTTATCACAAGGAAAAACCCCCCCTCCCCATATCAAACGGAAGTTTCTGATGCTGGATTTGCGTATACAAATCAGGTTTGTCTTGCAGTAGAGGACTGCAGGCCCCTGCCAAGCCTGAGTAGAGAGGTTTTGGCCTAGGCGTTTAGCATGAGAAACTTCTATGCTGTAGGCCCAACAGCATCACAAACCGCCTGCATAATGCGGCAGAGCCTGTGGAGTTGTCTTCTTGCAAGACAGACGCGATTTGTGGTCTCAAATCAGCAAGACAAATTTTCGGAAACATACATTTTCGATATGGGGAGGGGGGATTTTTCCTCTCAATAACCTTCCCTACATTTTCGGGGGTATCTCCGCGCCGTTCGTCGTCTTCATCGTGTTCTTCATTTACGGGAGGTACCGGAAGATGATCGAACGGTTAAAAACCTTCAACGCCGACGGCATGGCGAATCCGGAGGTGGCGCAAGGGGATTTCACCAAGTTGAAAAGGGTAGAAATTCATCAGGTTTATTTTCAAAACAGCATCCAGAATGTTGAAGTGTTTTTTACTCCAGTCGTGCCTGCATTGAAGATTCTCATCCATCAAATCACTGGTGTATCTCTGGGTCACAAGAAGTGCAGCTTACTACTCTGATGTCACTTCTCATCACCGCAGGACAGACCAGATTTGTTGTACTGTTGCTAAACTTACAAAAATCTTCAAAATTCACCAAAAACAATATACTACTTTCAGTTCTTCGTCGAGTTTTTGGAGGATTTCCTGGAAAAGTCGAAGCAGAGCTTATCAAGGAGAAAAATCCCCCCTCCCCATATCAAAACGGAAATCTGTGATGCAGCTTTGTGGCCACAAATCAGCTTTGTCATGCTGGAAGGGAAGAGCTGCGGACTATAGTGCTGACTGGCGCAGGAATGCCATGCGTCTTCAGCATGACAGCAAGCAACTGGAAACGGGAAACAGCATGACAAATTTCCTCCAAACGAGGGAACAACTGCGTCTCTTAGCCTTCTAGCAATACAAATCGACTTGTGTACTGAAATACAGCAATACAAGTCTCGTTTTCGATATGGGGAGGGGGGTTTTTCCTCACAATAGGGGTGGGACGAGGAGATCCAGGATTTGAAAGAGTTCGAGCACCGCAGTATCCCATGTAAAAACGTCCCCACCCCAGAGTCAAGATGGGAAATCTGCAACACAAGTCTCCAAGTTCTGGGAGTTCTGCATGGCAAGTTTCTATCTGCAGTGTAATGCTGGTTAGGAAGGAAATCCGCATGAGAAAGCCACTTTCCCATCCTGTTTGCAGCCCTACAAATCCCAAAACACGATTGGAAATGCCTCTCATGGAGAGGCGCATTACAAACGTTTTCTGTAATTGTACATCTGCATGACAACTCTGGGGTCGTGGGGACGTCTTTGCACAGGATACGCAGCGAAAAGTGCCGGCGGCAGTTGGCGGTGTTCCGCAAAACACTGAAATTCCGGCGGGAGAACATGATCTCCGCGAAGCATCTGAACCTGATCGCGAAGTACATGCGGGTCATGCCCTACCTCTGCCTCCACCTCCACTGCGACTGGTACGAGTCCGACGAGAAGACGCTGCAGGCGCTCTGCAACGTGATCCGCCTGAGTTTCTCTTCCGAGTCGCTGAAGTTGTACAAGATCAAGTGCCGGGTCTCGTTCGAGCACGACACGCTGAAATTTCCCCCTTCCATGAACGCGCAGGGGCGATCCTCCGTGGACGACATCGCGGAATTGCTGTTTTTCAACCCCAGTGTGAACCGTTTGAAGGTGATGAACGCGATGGACATTCGGCTGGAGAAAAAGCAACGGGAGAAGTCCGCGTGGTACCGCCAGTATTACCGAAAGTACGTCGCGCCAACACTGGACGGCATCGTCCCCGGAGCTTCCGGCAGACGCGGCTCCCGGGGCAACTACAAGGTGTCGCCCGAAGACGATTCGGAGTCGTTGCAACTAGCGATAGAAAACGGGGAGGCGTTCATCGACGAAGCGACCGGCGAGGTTGTTTACACCGACGAGGCGGATGCGATGCACCACAACAAAAAGGAGCGGAGAAACAACCAAAAGAACAGTCTACTGACGATCATCACCGGGGAAAACCCCTGGGACCCGGTGGATTTGTACAAATTGCGGCAATTGACGACCGGCCGGGTGTATGAACTGCAAAAGTATCGTACTCGTATAAATGCATGACAAATTCCCTCCGCATGAGAAATAAAATTTGTAATGCGGATTTCCCTAGAGAAAAGAATTTGTAATGCAAGCCTTGCATTTATACGAGTACGATACTTTTGCACAGGATAGGGTGGACACGAAGGAGATGAACTTCGGACTCATCGGGTCGTGCTGCTACTTTATGGATTGTAAAAATGTCTGGGTCTGGAAGATTCTTACATTTGTCATGCATGTCTGACATGACTCGAGAATCTGTGATGCATGGGTACGAAAAGGCTCTCTGATCTGTCATGTAAAAACGTTGTTTCTCATGCGGAATACGCAACACATAGCAGCTCAAAAATTTGTCATGCCTGGCTGCGTATTGCAGTCCAGCTATCATCCACTTTTAGCATTACAAGTTTCCAGACCCAGACATTTTTACATTTGATATACTTGGGCGCTTTAAAAGCGTTGCGGAACTTGCGGGTGCTGCGGTTGAGAGATTGCAATTTGAACGACGGCGTGGCGGACACGTTGTTAAAGTTGCTGAAGCGGTGCAAGTTGGTGCAACTCGTTCTGTCCAACAACTATTTCGGAGATGCGTTGATGAAGAAGATGATCGTCTACTTCGAGGACCGCGCGCATTCCGAGGATTTGAAACTCTTGCAAGTCGACAAAAACATGATCCGGGGAAACGGTTTTCGCGAGTGGCGGTCCGACGATTTCGAGGAGCAGATCACCATCGACGAACTCTGTCTCGGCACGGAGTTCTTCGGCAACCCCTTGCTCGGGGATAAGGGCGTAACGAATCTGGTCCGGTCTTTGCAATTCGAGATTGAGCAGTTCAAGTTGGACCAGGTGAAGAAACCAACGGATGAAGACGACGCGGAGAACAGCTTCTCCGACGAATCCGCCGGGAACAACTCGCCGAACAACGCGAAAGCGAAAAAGAAATTTCAGATCAAGAAGCTGATGCGCAAGGTCGCACGACGAAACCAGCGAGGGACCAGTCAGGACGCCAAGAAATTGGAACAAACGCAGCAGTCGAGCTCCAGTGAGGAACCGCAGAAGAAAAAGGAGGACGACCCGCAGCCGATCGCGAAGCCGGTCAAGTGGAAGTTCAAGTGTCTCCGGGCGTTGCGGCTGTGCCACTGTCGGCTGACGGTGAAGGGCGCAAAAGCCGTCGCGAACTACATCTGCCATCCCTCGGCGCTGCCGTTAAAGATCCTCGCTTTGGACGGCAACGCGATCAAGGACGACGGGCTGGAGTTTTTGATGAAGGGGTTTTGCCAGCGGTTGAAGATCCGGCAGGGCGGGGCGCACGCCGCGACCGCGGCGCAGGCGAAAAAAGTGGTGTCGGATTTGGATGATATTGACGAGGAGGAACAGAAGCGGTTGGATGAGGAGAACGAAGACAAGGAGTTTGAAATGGCGGCGGCCGCGGGTACCTCCATGCTGGATATGGACATCACCGAGGAATACGTGTTGCACCAATGCGAGAGAAAAGCGGTGGGTGCGGATCCCGTGTTGGAGGAGCTAGGGTTAAACGACTGCTTGCTGACCGACGCGAGTCTGAACATGCTGATGATCTTCATCCGGACAGAGAGGTTGGATCTGGTAATATCAAAAGGAAAAATCTCCCCTCCCCAGATCAAAAGGAAATTTCTTATGCTGGATTTGCGTACACAAATCAAATCTGTGTTGCAGTATAGGATTGCAGTCCATATCAAGCCTAAGTGGAAGGGTTTTGACGTAGACGCGTAGCACGGAAAATGTGTACATTGTAGGCCGCATGGCATCACAAACCGCCTGCATCTGTGGCGGAGTCGCTGGATTGGCCTTCTTGCAATACAGAGACGATTTGTGGTCGCCAATCAGCATCACAAATTTTCAGAAGTGCCCGTTTTTGGTATCGAGAGGGGGGACTTTTCCTCACGATAGGTAAGACTGGGCGGAATGAACCCGATGTCGACGCAGATGCGGAAAGACATTCACATATCCTGAGTAAAAACGGCCCCACCCCATAGTTGTCATGCAGATTTGCGATTACAGGAAGATTTGTAATGCGCATCTCCATGAGAGAGAGAGAGAGGCATTTCCAATCACGTTTTGGAATTTGTAATGCTGTAAACAGGATAAGCAGATGAATTTGTGATGCGGCTGCACTTGCTAAACTGCACTACACTACGGACTGGAATTTGTCATGCGTGGCTCCCAAAGCTTCTGGGTTTGTATTGCTAAGTATGGGGTAAGGACGTTTTTACATATGATATCACAACCACAACATGGAGGTTGCGAAGATCCGGAACGTGAACCGCGGATATCCTGTGCAAAAGTATCGTACTCGTACAAATGCAAGTTTAGCATTACAAATCTTTTTCTTGAGGGAAATCTGCATTACAAATTTTATTTCTCATGCTGGGGAAAGTTGTAATGCATTTATACGAGTACGATACTTTTGCAGTGCATAGCGGATTCATCACCGCAAAAGTACCCGTGATGTTCTAGGGAGGAGGAGGAGGTGGTTGGCTGAAGATGTTGGACTGATAAGGCGCGGAAAAAGTGCTACTGCTTGTACTTTACCATGTAGTACACTAGAGCTTCAAGAAAAAGAATTCAAAAACTGCAAATCCAAATTTTCTTTACTTATCAATCTATCACGAGCGACTGATTTTTTGACACTGACGGAACTAACCGTGTACCGAGCTTTTACTTTAATTTACTTTACTTCGCAAGATGAAAATCTGTTATACCTCAAAAACGCTTAGAATCTTGATAATAGATACGCATTTAGACCAGAAGAACTAGTAACACCCGAATCGTACTACCGATTCTGGGCCTGTCGTTCCTATCGTGCTCTACCACCAAGGGCCGCAGGGTAGTAAGCACATTCATCTTCAGTAAGCAAGATATACAGAATCAGCGCTGTCGTGCGCGGAAGTGATAAACCAATCGTGCAAGAAGCGCGTAGCAGAGAGCTGCATTTATGCTTTTGAACAACAGAAAGCTCCTTTGCTAAGGGAAATAAGTACCTTTTCAAGCGTGCATGAGAAGAAAAAGACTACAACAACCGATGAAGTTTGTTAAGAATTTACCCTTGGAGAAGTCGTGCAAGCCTTAATACAGTTCCAGTACAAAATCAAACAAATCAACGTCAATCTAGACCCAATTTTTTACCAATTCTTCAACAAAGTAAGCGCCCAGAACTTTACGAATCGCGTATTAGAATTTTATCACCATGTGCTTTAGGGTGATAAAGTACAGTAAGTATTTACGAACTCTGCTCCTGCATTAAGGAGGGAGGAGGGACAAGAAGAAGAGAACAGCTAAGTAGCTAGCCCCTGCTCGTCTCGCCCTCGCGTTGACCACAGCGAGACACTTGCACCAAGCAGAGTTTGGTGCATACCACTCTGCTTGAGGACGAAATAGGAGAACACGAGGTGAGTACAACTTAGCAGTCGGCGCTACCTCCAGATGAACTCTACCCAGATGATGACCTGTATTTGCTGTTTTTCAAAAATTTGTATATAATTGCTGTGAAATTAGACAAAAATCTTGGACTCGTCCTGTAGAACAAGACGAGTCCAGACGGATCCGATTGACTCTGAAATAAATCAACGAATCATGTTGTTCACTTCATACAGTGTCATGCACCAGGACGAAGGATACAGGCCAGCTGTTTCCTCGTCTGCTTATGCGGTGAAGATCATGATTATGTGCTGATACAAAAAAATTGTTGTAGGTCTTAACACTTGCTCCTGATGAAATAGAAATGTTGGATGCAGTTCCAGTAGTTGATCTTGATGTGGTTCAATGAGAGCTCTGAAAGAACAAGCGAAAAACCAGATCCAGTTCTTGCCTCTGAGTGAAGTGTAGCCGTGCAACAACATCCCCCGATCGCGATCCAAAAGGCGAGTCGTTTGGACGAGTTCTGTCGCTTTCGTTCCTCACAATAAAGATCTCTCCCTGCAGCTCTGTTACGATCTAAATATACTCTGCAGAGATAGAAGGAGCAGACGCAGAGCTGCTTGCCACGGCCGCGATCGCAGATTCGGAAACATCATCGTCTAGCTCTGCAATGGGTTATTTCCAGTACATGTCATCCTCCTCTTCTTCAGTGACTCGGTTCTCTCTGTCGCTATGATAGAAAGTGCTATTCCATCATTTCCATGAACTGCAACAGGATGAAGACAGAAGCTGCACATAGATAGCTGCCATTCACTTTTTTCTTCACGCACATCTTCTTTCGAAAAACAGATTATGATACGGCTGCTTGCCGTTGCCACCAGTGAATAGAGAACAGAGCAGTAGCTGTCCAAGAAATTATGGGCGGTTCATCTTCCGCGAAGGGCCGCGGAAAGTCCTCAGGCGGAAACAAACACAATGGAAAAAGCGGCAAAGGCAAGGGTAAAAAGGGCGGGAAAAATAAGGGCGCCTCAAATAACAAACTCTCCAGCAACGCCCGGGAACTTGCGGAGATAAAAGCGCTCGAGGACCGCGTGGTCATTGAAGCGCCAAGGAAGGGCCAAATCTACGCGGACGAAGTTCAACTACCGGACGCGTCTGATAGTACATCAAATGCAGTAGTAGATCAGAGCAAAGTAGAGGCGCAAAATAAAGCCTCCAGCAGCTCCAGCGGTCCCCTCCTGACGAAGAAATTTTTCTCGGATTTGCCCATCAGCCGGAAGACGAATTCGGGCTTGAAGGATAATAAATTTCTGCAAATGACGCCCATTCAAAGAGCGGCGATTCCGCACGCGTTGGCGGGGAGGGATATTATGGGTGAGGCGAAAACCGGGAGCGGAAAGACCCTGGCGTTTTTGATTCCGGTTTTGGAGAAGCTGTACCGGGAAAGATGGTATAACATATTGGTTCTTTTGCATCACAGATTTTCGAATATGCCGCAAAGCGGTCCCACTTCTTCTTTTTGCCCAGGAAGATAAATGGAAATAATCTTCGGATGATGATCTGCGCATGAACAAAACTGCGTCTGCTCAAGGTCAAGCATGTGCCACAGCATGAGAAGGTGCACCTAGTAGACATCATCTAATATCATCTTACAACCCAACTTCTCAGGTCATCCCTCGACGGTCTCGGCGCGCTAATCATTTCCCCCACGAAGGAACTGGCGTACCAGATTTTCCAAGTGCTGAAACAAATCGGCAAGCACCACGATTTTTCTGCCGGCTGCCTGGTCGGTGGTCGGGACTTCGAATCCGAGCAGAAGGGGATTACCAAGATGAATTTGATAGTCGCCACTCCCGGGCGGTTATTGCAGCACTTGGAGGAAACCAGCTTGTTTCAAACGGACAATCTCCAAATTCTAGTCCTGGACGAAGCGGACAGGATTTTGGACTTGGGCTTCAAGGACGTCATGAACAACATTCTAGAGCAGCTCGGGTCGGCCAATTCCCGCCAAACGTTGCTGTTTTCCGCGACGCTGAGGCCGAACATTCACCAGCTGGCAAATTGCGCCCTGTCCAGTGAGAAACAGGTGTTGGCATTGAACGGCGGCGGGAACAGAACAACTGGTGGAACCCCAGGAGCATACTCTGCGGCAACGGGGGATACTAGTTTGTTGACCCAAGATCAACAAATGGAGAAAAACCGCCTGCAACAGCACTACACAATTCTCCCTTTGAATGAGAAAATTACGATGCTGTTCGCCTTTCTCCGTGCCCACTCGTATCAACTGTAAAAATGTCTGGGTCTGGAAACTTGTAATGCTAAAGTGTGCAAGAGGAAAACACTTCCTTATGCAGAAAAGCATGACAAGTTTGCAGAACGCTTTCCCATCCGAAGTCCGCATGAGAAACTGCGTTCTTGTATGACATGAGAGGCTACCACTTTTGTTGGTCACGCAATACAGATTTCACAGGAATGCAAGACCAGCATGACAAGTCGCATTCTGCCAGACCCAGACATTTTTGCAATCCATAACTCGCAGAAGAAAACCATTGTGTTTTTCAGCAGCTGCAAGCAGGTCCGGTTTTTCTACGAGACTTTCAAACGGTATGGAAGCGTCCGGTTTGAAATCGTCAAAGTTGAAATAATTTGTAATGCATAAAATGCAGCATGACCCGAGGCACGTGTGTTGCAGAGCATGCAAGTGAGGCCGATTGTAAGCCTGTTTGGGGTTACAGCTCGAGCTGCTGAAGTAGCATGAGAAAATCGCTCCTCTTTGCCTAAACAGCATGACAGAGTGGATTTAGGGACCACCGAAATTTGTCTTGCGCCACTTAGAAACTGGGTTCCAACTGGCATCCATTTTATGCATCGCAAATTATTTCAACTTTGTCGATTTCAACTCTGACACATCCATAAACGGCTGAAGCCCGGCCCGGCGCTGTTCGAGTTCCACGGGAAGATGTCGTTAACGAAACGCTTGCTGATTTTCAACAGCTACCTCGAAAAGGAGCGCGCGGCCTGCTTGCTCTCGACCGACGTGGCCAGTCGGGGGGTCGATTTCCCGGAAGTGGACTGGGTGGTGCAGGTGGACTGCCTATCGAATGCAAATATGTCTGGGTCTGGACACTTGGAACTTGTGATGCTAACTTTGGACTAGAAAAATCTGTATTGCATGATCAGCAAGTAGAGCAGGAGTCTAGTTTGTGCTACGCTGGAAGGCCATGCGGAATAGGCATCAAAAAGCACTCAGAAAATGAAAATCTGTGATGCTACGGAATACATCACAGACGTCACGGGACATGTAAAATCTGCATCACAAGTTGCAACTTTCCAGACCCAGACATATTTGCATTTGATACTGTCCGGACTCGGTCGACACCTACGTGCACCGAGTGGGGAGAACGGCGCGGTTTCAGAATTTCGGGAACAGTCTGCTGATGCTGTTGCCGACCGAGAAAAACGGGTTTCTGAAAAAGTTGGTGAACCGGAAAATCGTAGATACTTGCGAGGGGTACGACGAGTGTAGCAGGAGTACAACTGGTCATGATAGTCAAACGTCGATCGGTGCACGCAGGAAGCAAGATCGTCTTTCCGACGATTCTGAGGGAGGAGACGACGAAGCAAGAACACCAGCAGAAAATGTTAAGCGAAAGAACCAACATCAACATCAAGCAGTATTGAAACAGGTGAAGATGAAGCAATCCAAGCAGATCGCTATCCTCCCGCAGATCCGCAGCATGCTGTCGCAGCTGCCGAACGTGAACCACTTGGCGAAAAAAGCGTTTCAGAGCTACTGCAAGTCCTACTACCTCCAGCCCGACAAGGAAGTTTTTGTGGAAAATCTCGAGGAGCTGCCCTTGAACGAATTTAGCCAGAGTCTCGGGCTGGGCGTCACACCGGAACTGGACTTCGAGAAAATGGTGAGCAGGGAGGGAAAGAACAATGATAATACTAAAGACGATAGTGGAAGAACAACTACCTCAAGGAACAAAACCTCCAAAACTAAAACAACATCTTCCAAGAAAAAAAGTAAGAGCGACGGCGCAGAAGCTATACAAGAACCCGAAGATCAGGAAGCAGAAGAACTCCTCGACGCCCCAACTTTCGAGGAGGTGACGCGGAATTCCCGGGCTAAAAAATTGAAGAACCGGGACAAGGTGCTGGAGCTGCTCGAAAGCATGAAGAAAGGACAGGATCCGGCAGACGGAGCAGAAGACGTGTCGTCCAAGGCGGCGAAACAGGGCAAATTTGCCAAACGCGTGGAAAAACGACAGTTGCTAAATCAGAAGGAACTGGAATTGGCAGAACAAAACATCGGTGGAATTGCTGACGATAATCCAGACGACGCTGTTCTAGTGAAAAAGAAGAAAATGAGCACCAAGACGAGAATGACAGCTGCGGAGCAGGAGGAAAAAATGAATAACCACAGCGACAGCGATGACATTGCAGCGAATGATGATAGTACATCTCGCAACAGGCAGCTTCTGACCAACACGGGGCTGCGATCGCAGAAGCTGAAATTTGACGCCAAGGGGAATGTGAAGGGGAAGACCAAGAACGGGTTGAATCAGAAACACGTGTACTATGGTGAGGAAGACGAGGAGCAAACTTTGCTGGCCCACACCGCCGCGGAATTACGCGATGAGGAGGAGCGAGGTGGAAACGTTGTTGAAGAAGAAGTTGGTGTTGAACTAGACGACAGTCATCTTCCTGCAAGCGGAGAGTTGTCGTCGTGCAAGACAAATTCAAACCCCGATGCGGCTACTTCTACATCTTCCCAGAATCAGAGACTGATTGACCGCCAGGCCTATTTGAAGAAGCTGCAATCCCGGATGGCCCTCACCTCCGATTTTGACAAAAAGCAGGATCAGCAGAAGAGGCGAGAACGGTTTTTGAAGAAGAAGTTGATCCAGAAAAGGGCCTTAGAAGAACGCGAGTACGGGGTAAGTAGCGGCTCTGAAGATGGCGGCGGTCGTGGGGGAGAACTGCAGGTCCGATTAGGCGGCGCTAGCGACAGCGAAGGTGGAGGAAGCGAGGTGGGCGGTGGCGAGAACGGGGGTCGAAGTGATGGGGAGAACGGCGAGGAACTACATGGTCTTCAGCATGGGTCGCATCACCAGGCAGCAGCTGCCAGTACTACATCTAGAAGCAAACCGGCGAAGAAGAGAAAAATGAATGGCGAACCAGATGAGCACAGTTGCAGGCGAGGAAAAGCGGCGATAAAGCCAGCAAACCAAACTTTGGAAGAGCTCGAGGCAGAAGCGATTCGAAGATTGCTAGAGGAATAGAGTTTTTTTCTACGACTGGGCCTACCCCCAACAAGGACTGATGCTCATCTTCTTCTTCGTGGATGCAACTTTTATTTCTTGACAGAGTATACTTAGTTAAAAATGCAACGAACCAACGATTGTCAAAGCTTTTCAGCATGCTGGGGTTTATTGACTCTACTGCCGGAGCAGCGGTATATTGGGTCTACAGTAGAATTTGCAGGCATGTTCTTCTACTCATCTCATTGAGGGCGCTCTCTGTAGTGCCCCGAGCTCGTGCAAAATCATCGTCAGTCTAACGTCGAGGGTAGATTTGATTTCGATCTACTTGGACGAGAAGCGAATTATAAGTACGCCAATTGCAGATGCAGTCGGTTCTCGTTTTGGATGAGAAGTTGTGTATGATTTTGAAGCGATTTAGTGGTCGTGTTGTCTTTCGTGGAGAAGACGAATAAAAGTGCGATCAGGTGGACTACATCGGTTTTTTCGTAGAATGCGGAACGAAAAAAAGCAAACTTGATTTTGCGCCTTTCGGTTTTCGTCCCTGTGCGCAGGCCGTTGAATGGCCTCCAGGTTATGATGTTTGATGACATAAGTCTTATCCACCACCGCCGAGCAACCTTCGGTTTTGAGCGTTCGTCGCAATGTTTCCAACTGTAACTGTCGGTCTTTGCAGCTTTCGTGCGCTTTTGAAGATGTCTTTCGTGGAGCATTTCCATTGCTTGACGTCAATGTCTGATGTCGTAGATGGTTTTGTCTTTTGAATGGGGCAGCGAGGAGACGTTTCTGCAACCAAGTCCACTTGTTGTTTGTCAGATTTGTTATCGTTGCTCAAATTTTTACAGGCGGTTTTGTTCATATTTTCGATCACTTGTTGGAAGTCCAAACCCAAAGCCGCTCCCCGCAGCTTTTTGGTTCTTTCCTACTAGAGGCGGAAAAACAAAATAAAAGTAAGCCTCAATTTCAAACTGTGAAGCTCGAGTAAGTCTAAGTACTAACTTTCCCTCTTTTCGTTAATTTCACTGTAGTCGCACTTTCTGTCCTCGATAGAGCTTTTTACGAGGGAGCCTATAGTTGTCCGGTCCTTGCACGGCCTTACTACAGTTCTCGATCGAGGCACCGCTGTTGCAGCAAACAGGGGGAGCTAGGAGGGCTCCTACGAAATCGGACTTGGTGGCACGGAACAACGCGCACTGCCCTTGTGCCGATTTGAACAAGCCAAAGTGACGGGCTAACTGGTGCGACTAGAGCGGAGTTCACCGAATCCTGAAAGGAGGAAAACCAAGTCATGATGGTGCATCCACCGCAACGTGGTGGTGCGTGGAAGTCGAAGACGGAGAAAAAAATCGCCGTTGCCGTTGGACTAACTGTTGCCTGCGGGTTGATTGCCGCGGAAGGTATAAAATAAAAATGTTCTTTATGTTATCTTCCATGTTTCGGAACGCAATGCTGCCTCAATTATAGTAGTGCTGTGCTAAATTTTTATACTTTTACTTTTCCTTTACAATTAATTTGCATTTCCGCACTATACGAAACCATTTGAAACTTTACATCAACAGCCCTCGACGTAGCGACGCTGAAGCAAAGGGAGGAACAAGGTAAAGCTTTTAAGTACTTTATCGACGGCACCAAGCGCAGCTGCTACATCTATCATGTGGACATTTCTTTGAATTTCGTGCGCTTGCTGTTGCTGTTATAAATAAAGTAGTTGTCCTCGACGTGCCTACAACCCCTGTCTTCAGAAAACTCAGTACTTTGTCGTGTACACGGCTCTAGTGATCATCCGGCGTTGAGTATACAAAGGTTTGATCTCAGTATCTTATGATCCTCTGCTGTGAAGAAGGCATTATTTGCATTTCTGAGGTTCGACAGCTACGAAACCGCGCAAGCAACGGCATGAACGTACCTCGGGGGCTCCTCGAAGACACGCAGCACAAAGGCCTGCACAAACCGCTTCATCATTTCTGCAATTTCTGAAGCGACTCGCGCCGGGTACTCGTACGACACCGGCCGTGCAGCAGCAGCCCATGCCGCAACGGCACCCGCCCGCCCTTCTCCCGGCAATCGCTCGCGCTCCCCAAGCACCTGCGCTTACGGTTGCACTTCCTGGTGTTATTGCGGGAGCACCAGACGCACCGGCAGCACGGGGCCGGCGTGATGTGGCGAAGTGGCTGGGCCCAATTTATCTAGAGGAAGCATCGGGGTCGTGACGTCTTGCATGGTAGATCACTTTTTCTTTTATTTGTTTGTGCCAGGCTCTGCTTCCTGATGCTTGATTAATATTAATGCTGGTTCATTGACGTGTACGTGTTCCTGGTACCACTACCAGTTCATATTCGACGTATGCGTTTCTGGTTTTCCAGCAGTGCTGCGCCACTAGGAGGTTGTGTCGCGGGTTGTCCGTTTCCAGAACAACCTTCTTGCGGGACCTTAGCCATGCCTTCCACTGGTGCAGGTCCAAAGCATGTGTTTTGGATAGGAATACACATAGAGTCTAACCGTGAGCAACATAAGCATGAAGATCCGGTGCTTTTGGCCGCCCCTTTGTTTTCTGGTTATCCCATCACGGACAAAGAAGTGACGCAGCCACTCGAGGTCTTTCACTACATTCAGCAGGGAATCGAAAACATGGCCGACACTTCTCCCGAGTTCCGTAACAAAGTATTAGAGCAGTTCCAGTTCGGTGATCACGATTGGAACCTACTCGTTGAGGACAAAGTTCACCTAGGAGAAAAGCTACCAAATATAATAATGGACAAGTTTATTCTTTTGAAACCGGCCAAGCCCCAGGCCCATTTATTGAGTTGGTTCAGCCACCGAACGAAAAGCAGTACCTCGTTGCAGGAAAGTACCTCGGCGGGGGGAATTTTGGAAAGACCTACGCATTGACATACCCTTGTGACAACGCTGCGTAATCTCCCAATACCGTCACCGTGGTCTCTGCTCAAAGAAGATGCATACAACATTGATTTCGCCGCGATGAAAATTTTGCAACTTTTCTGCAGCATGCTCTTTATTTTTTTTCTGCATTTTTTTATATGTGCGTAAATGTGATTCGCATTGGCGTGATAGTCTACTTCTCGTCAATTATTCCCCATTTTGTCTGTACTTACTGTGGGGCGAACGAAGATTAATGATTCGTCGACTGTAAGGAGAAACAGAAACGCGCGCTAAGCTTTGTTTTTGTGTCCAAATAAAACCATATTGCTGGGCAGGGGGCGGTGCGGGATGACAATTTTCTCTGATTTGATAGTACACAGAATGACTTGGATCATCCGAATGATAATGCGAGTGCGGACTTGGAGGTGTTGAAAATCGTGAAAGTGCCACTGTTTGTTGAAGAAAGTGGTCCTGGCGGCAATGACGGCATGAGCATGATCAACGAAATCATTTTCAACTTTTTGTTGACCGAAAAAACCCCATAGTGTGTTGCCCAGATGAAACGCGTGGTCATCTTTTTTGACAGCTGGAGCAACCCACAAACGGTGTTTTTTGCGCTCGTCCTGGAAAAGATCCACATTTTCGATGATGAAAAGGACCCGGAGAACGCACGGCCGAACGCTAAAGGGATCATCACCGGCCTGTACGACTGCTTGGAGAGATGGGACGGAATTGGCTTTGTGCACAATGACATGAAGCCGGAGAACGTGGGGTTTCCTCTCGACGGCGGAAATGGAATGACCAAACTTATTTCTTTCTTTCTTTCCAAGTTCGAGCAAGGCGTCGAAACATCATGGGCCTCGTTTACATCGCTGCGCGTTTATGACTTCGGAATGTCTACTATTGTCGACAAGAACAACAATTCCGGGACAGTCTTACTCGGAAAAATTACCAAACTGAAAGCAGTTTTTCATGCCCACTGCTGTAATTACAAGGTTTCGCCTGTCTAACATAAGGTGGGAGTGGGACTTTCACCTTCTAGCTGCCTTCTTCAAGTCGTGTAGCCGCACCACGACTATGTAGTACTGATGAATGAATAAACAGACACGCAGCCGGCCTAGGCCAAAATATGAAGTAAAATTTATTTGGCCTGGACCCGCTGCGTGTCTCTTTCTTTATTCATTCAGTACTACATTACTACGTGATGTATGCGCGTGCCTTGCTGTACTAGTTCCGTCAGATATTGATCCTCTGGCGATCAATTTCTCTTTTTCGAGCTGGTATGAGACATAGCCAGACAGATATAGGAGGTAAGAGCAGACAGTGATCTTCTATCGTAACACAAAAAAATATTAAAGCAGAACAAAATCGAAACCTTGTTGTATAGCTCTAGGTGCAGTGAAGGCTGTTGATTTTGCCCTGATAGTTTCATCGTTCAACCAAGATCTGGGCGCTTTCTTTCATGGCACGCCTGGCTACGCGAATCCGGAAATGCTTGTGGCGCATCTATCGGCATTGGCCAATCGTCCAGCATTTGATTTTGATCCTTCTCCTCGACTAGCTTTACCAGGCCAACCTGTTCAACGTGGTGCTGGTGTTTTGCAAAGCCAAATCCGGACACAGCTCCGGGACAAGCAGCCTTCCTGCAACGCCAAAGCCAATGATGTGACGTACGGACCAGCCTTTGATCTTCATGGTTATGTGGTTCAATTCCCAAGTAGAAAAAAACGAGAAAACCGAAAAAAAAATTTCATTATATGGGCGCCGAAGTGGAGTCAACGGCGAAGAATTCCAGTGATAAGCCTGGGCAGGGCGCAGAGAGGATCCTGGTGAATAGCACGTTGCTCAAGGTGCTGCACCAGAAAGCGAGAGAGCAAAACGGGCGGAAAAAAATAACTTGCAACACTTATGAAAAGAAATCGCAGAGCTCGTTCGTGTTGCACGAGCAAAAAAAGCCTCGGAAAATTCCGGCGTGGCGCCACAGCCACAGGAACCACTGCCGCGTGGGCGAGGGTGTCCCAGCGGTGTCTGTGTGTTGGTGTTTTGTCTTATCCCGCCGGGCCTCGAAAAAAATCGGCCAGGGGACAGGGAGAGCGCAACCGAAAAAAAAGTCGCTTGCGCCGGGGCCATTTTTTCGCTGGTGGGCACCCAGCTCGCGGAGCCGGGCAAAAAAAAATCAGAAAAAAAAAAACGCTGCCGCGTGCGGGCGGCGGAAAAAACTGAAAAAACTAGGTGCGCAGGCGGGAAAAAAAACTGAGAAAACTGAAAAAACTAGGTCGCGGGAGCGCCCTTAAGATTTCCTTCCCCATATGCGCTATATTTTTAAGCAGGCCGTGTTTTTCTAGTTTTTTCAGTTTTCTCAGTTTTTTTTGGCCGGGGAAAAAATTTTATCTGCGCTATTTTTCTTCGCACCAGCGGGACCGTTTTTTTTTCCCGACCCAAAAAAGTAAAAATTTTTGCGCGCCCGGACATTTTTTTCCCAGAATTCCGTCGCTCGTTTTTTTTTCGTTGTCGGGCCCGGTCCAGCCGGCACAGGCAGGAGAAAATCCTGCGGCCAAGTGGCAAGCGAGATTTTTTTGTGAAAAGGGAGCCCGGCTGACGGGCGAGATATCGCGAGGTCGTGGGTGTAGCCAAGTTGCCTCTTCGTGATTTTTTTCGTTTTCTCGGCGATCTGAAAATGGGCGCACCTCCATCGGACAACGCTTAGTGGGGGCTCGCCCCCACACACAGACCACGAAGTTGCAAGACGGAAGAATGGTGGCGCGCAGTGGAGTAGTGCACGAAGTTGCAGAACGTCGAGAACCCCGGTCAGCTACAGATGGCAGGCTGCGCCGTAGCCTGCAGCAACAGGCCTGCGAATCATTTTTTTTTTTTCGGTTTTCTCAGTTTTCTCGACTTGGAATTTTTGGCCTCTTGATCATGGTGCGGCGCTGGCCTTGTTCGGGATTCTCGGGGCCTTGCCAGGCGACAACGAAACGGATCCTCCACAAGTGCCAGGCGACAACGAAACGGATCCTCCACAAGTGAAAGTTGGCTTTCCACCGAAGCTCTTACAGGACGTCGTTCCGTGGGAAATATTTGCCGAATCCCTTAAAGTTGATGAAAACCAGCCCGATTCGGCATCGAATTCTCGAACAAATAATCCTAGACTGTGGAGGCGCTACAGGCTGATGGTGGGCCTTGCTGAGGAGCAATTCGCATTCGGGGCTCTTGGGGCTGGAACACGTACGCTGCAACCGAACAGAAGCTACCGGGACTCGTCGAAGCTTTTCCAGTACAAGCCAGAAACCGTGAAGCTGCTGCGGGACGCGACGGCGCTCACAGGAATACACGACAAGGACTTGGTTGAGCTGCTGATGATTCCGATTGAGGAAGCTGGAAATCCAAGAACAACATACACTCAGATATGGATCGCAAATATGTCTGGGTCTGGAAGATTGCCAGGTTTGTCATGCATATTTTGCATGGCTCGTGATTGTCTGTAATGCATGGCCCAGCATCGCAGATGTTTAGAGGACTTTCTGATGCCTGTTCCGCATGAGAAATGCCCTCCCCACGTAGTACAAAGTGGACTCCTTTCGCTGGTCATGCAATACAAAGCTTTTTACGGTCCAAAGACAGCATCACAAGTTTGCATCCTTCCAGACCCAGACATATTTGCATTTCATATCAGAGATGACAAAGCAACAGAGACCATCTGGCCCGAAGGATGTGGATGATGCATCTTCTTCGGGGGACGGAAGCGGCAGTGAAGAAGAAGAGGCCTCCCCGTCGCGGTTGGGTGTGCCGTGGCTGCTGTGCTGATCTCGCGGGTGAATTTTCTTATGGAAGGAAGAAACTTACTTATAATAAAGTATGATTTTCGGCGGCCTGCTTCGGCTGAAGTAGACGATGAGTTTGTCTGCTGTCGTCTGTTGGCGATCGTGAAAACAGCGGTGCTTGAGGGTGGTGAGCCTATTTATCGCCTTCAGTTCATTTGCCACCTCACCGAGAAGAAAGTAAACCGATGAAGAGTTATTTCTGCTTTACTGGGCGGTCTGCAGAAAATTGCTTCCTCTTCTGGTTCTACTCGACAATTTGCATCTTATTTTTTCACGAAACAAACAAACAGGTGTTTTTTTTTTCCAAGCAAACGCGGGAAGCGATCATCCGTGTGGCTGCAGTTCGTCAAAACTTTGAATTTCGAAATTGAATACTACTTATTTTGCTCATTGATGATTGAGTTTGTTTTTTTTTGATGTCTTAGTTTTCTTTGATTTTGTATATTATTTTTTTTGTTTCCTATTTATCAGCAACATCTGCATCGTATGTTCAATCTTCATGCTTTCCCCCATTTTTTTTCCTTTTCATCTACGCATTTTTTTTTGGATTACACACCCCTTGAAGTCCTTATGTGAATTTTTTATCGTTTGACAGTACAATAATTGACGTTGATAGTAGTGAAGGAACGTTACGTGGTAGTTGTAGTTGGCTCCGGATCCAGCTTCAGCTTTTATTTGAAATGATTGTAGCACTAGCAGCTTGCCTTTTCCATTTTTTAAGTATTTCATCTAACGCTACGCATCCACAAACAAATGTTCCATTTCTTTTTGAGCATCCACACAAACAAACAAAGAAGTACTTCATCTACGCGCTTAGCGGTGTTTTTTTTTCTATCTTCAACTCTGTTTTGGACTTTTTGATTTTTGATTGTGAAGGAGCTGCACCTGTGGCTGTACCGCATTGCTTTGCATGTATGTTTTTGAAGAATTACGACTTTTGCATGCGACTTTCCCAATTACCATCTGACAAGCAGGAGAACGAGGTCTGCATCCTGCAAGCAGTTCGCGGCTTGATTATTGTGTCGTTGCATCCAGCCCGGGAGCGATTGGACCAGTCAGAAGGATCGCTCGCACTGCATCACGGGCTCGTCCCTTCACATGGCGGAAAGGGCTGGGCGCGGAGAAGCGAATAGGGAAGAGGGCATATAATCATGCAAAACGCACAAAGACAAAATAAAGCCAGGAAATAAAACACCGCATAGGTGGGGGCTCTACCGCCTTCACCTCGGGTACTATTTTACCTTCAATCGCTATGTTTTTTTCTCGTATTTTCGGTGCAAGAAACGTACATCTTCATGGAGGAGGCAAAGAAGTCGTATATCTGCAGGAAAGGGCGTCGTCTCTTGCAGTGCAAATTTACTTGTGTGGTGCAGAGCAATAAACCAGGAAGTTAATATAACGACTAAGAACAGCGATGTAGTTGCACATAATTGATCATTTTGTTTTGCTTTACGGTCCTTGTCCTGCTGCAAAAATCTCTCTTCATCCTCTGCATCGCAGGAGCAAGTGCAAGAAGAATCTGTGCCAGGAAAAAAGAGCAATAGATACTCTTTACTAGCGGCGGCCATCCTTGTGCAGGGTTTGTGCCTAGTAATTTAGTGCCGTCTATGAAAGGGACGAAGCCGTGCGCGATGTTCTTTTTGTCTTGCCAGCAATAGTGTCTGGTGATCCTCCAAAACTCTATGATTCTCGTCGGTTCGTGCTGCCTCTGCAACTGCCAGTCGGAAAGCGTAAGACAGAAAAGGCATTGATGCCTCCCTGCCGTCGAATTCTGTACGCTCGTTGCTTCGCATCAATTGTGCGTCGGTTTTCTTTGCAAAAGCTGAAGCGGTCATCTTCACATCGTGCTGGTCCGCAGCTTTGCCTCGGTGACTACTGCACCAGGCAAAGCTGCACCAATACTACTGCAGTCTTTCATCAAGGAGCATCATGACTGGTTGCTCTCAGAAGTCAACTACCTGCCGTGTGAGCGAAAAAGTTTTTTCCAAGACGATATGACCGACACGTAGAGGTTCGTGCAAGAGGAGCTTGTGCAGCGTACTTGAGGGAAAAGAAAGCAAGGACTTACTTAGTTTTTTCTGGTTGTTGGTGCTGACCCTGACACTGAGTGAGCTGTTGCAAGTGGATGCTCATTGTTGATTCGAGTACAAGCAATAAGGTCTCCTGCTATATTTGTTTCTGATCTTTTTTTACCTCTTCGCGCTCTACTACACCAGTACTACTGGACTACGAGTTTTCTCTGTCAGCGCTGGAAGTAGAACTACGCGACGCATACCTTTGGCCTCTATACTGCAGCGCTCTCTGCTCCTCGTCCTCCTCCGCTGTGTTTTTGTCCGGCGCTTCGACGTAAAGTAGATTTCTGACGAAAGATCCGCTTTTTCGCCAAAGGAAAACCACATTTTTGACATCGTAGTGGGCACCACCAAAGACTACAATTCGAATTGCCCTGGAACGTCGAATCTGCTAACCGGCTACTTGTGCTTTTGTTCGTCGTCGAAGAATCAGTTTTTATCTCCGGGTCGTTTCTTCCCTTGCGGCGAGCACCCACGGTCTACCGCCGATAGTACCGGCATTCCGCGACTCCACCCCGGGTTGTAGTGGTGTGTTGTTGAGAAGATCAACGCCTGAACAATTATCGCCCCACTGCTGACAGCCAACGAAGTGCTGTAAGTACCTGCGGGCAGGATCAGGAAAAAACGCAGAGGGCAACAAACAACATCGAGCGCCGAAGTCTTTTTACCACGTCCACGCCCGAGTACAACTAACTGCTAGAAAATGGTGCTGTACAAAACGAAGGAGATTCTGATCGACGGCAAGATTATGCATTGCAAACGTATCGTACTCGTAGTAATCGCAGTCATGCATTACAAATCTACATCCCAAGGTAAAAAAACAGCATGACAAATTGCATTTGTAGTCATGCTGAGCCAATTTGTATCGCAAGTTATACTAGTGCGATACTTTTGCAGTTCATAAAGATCGTCTACGAGGTGCCCGAGCACCTGGAGTTGATAAAAAAAGTCGGTTATCAAATGCAAAATAAATGTCTGGGTCTGGGAGAATGCAAGTTTGTCATGCTTGTCTGGCATGACTCGAGAATCTGTGTTGCATAGTCACGAAAAGGCCCTCTTACCTGTCATGCAAAAACGCAGTTTGCCATGCGGAATACGTATGACATGGGAGCCAAAAAATTTTTCATGCATAGCTGCGTATTTTTGCAGTGCGTCTACCATTCACTTTTAGCATTACAAGTTTCCAGACCCAGACATATTTCCAATCCATATTGGTTCCGGGGCGTACGGCTGTGTGGCGAGTTTCATGGACAACAACCGGAAGGAAAAAGTCGCGATCAAAAAAATCACCAACGCCTTCGCGGACCTTATTGACGGGAAGAGAATACTGCGGGAGATCAAGCTGCTGTCGCACTTCAAGCACGACAACATCATTCAGATACTGGTAAATTTTCATTTTGGATGATTGTTTGATAAATCTGATGTTCTGTGTTTTCTTGTCATGCGGAGTTTTGCTTCTGTCCTTGATGTGCTTGATTGTCATTGTGGTCGTTAGCTGCTGTAGAAGATTGGGCATGTACTAGCGAGCAAAGTAATAAACCGAACAAATTTTTTATTATCAGGACATCTTCCCACCGAAATCCCGGGAGTTTGACGACATCTACATATGAGAGTGCACAACTTCCTCTCCCCTCATTTGTAGGGCATGGCCATTAATACAAGCAACGGCAGAAATGTAGCTTCCGCATGACAAATTTACGTGCGGACTGTAGTACTGTTTGAGCAGCTTCGGAAATTTGTCTTGCAGAGAGTGCTCAGAAGCACGATGGGGATTTGGGATTTTGCATTACAAATAAGGGAAAGGGGGAGTTGTCAACTCTCATATTCCATCGTGACAGACCTGATGGAAACCGATTTGCACCGGGTGATCTACTCAAAACAAGCCCTAACGGAGGAACACGCGCAGTACTTCATCTACCAGGTATAGAGACATGTACATTCATCTACCATGTCTAAATTTTAGATTTTTTTCGGCCTGAAGAAAACTACAGCAGGCTCATGCCGAATGATCAGCATGAGTATCTTCAAATCTCATAACCATACTGTTTCTACTCTTGCAGGTTCTCCGCGGGCTTTACTACCTCCAGTCGTGCAACGTTGTTCACAGGGATTTGAAACCCAGCAACCTCTTAGTGAACAAAAACTGCGACTTGAAAATCTGCTATGCTGTCGGAAAAAAAAAGACAAAGAAGAAAAGAGAGGCTCAAGAAGCAAGATGACTACTTCGGCGCTCGTGCCGATAAAAATGAACACTAAGGGTGCGCCTGGTTTTGCATGGTACTATGATCAGGCGCCTCGGATCAACATCGCAAGTGGGACTTCTCTTCTTCTATCCATACGATTTTGACCATCCCATATCTGCGATTTCGGTCTGGCACGAGGCATGAGCGAGGACGAAGACGATCCAGGTAAAAACAATTTGAACTTGCTATTCCTAGTTTCGTGTATGGGTTTAAAATTGTCATGCCCACCAGTTCATCACACCAAGACCACTGCTTGATTTTGTCATGCGTGTCGTCCAAAAGTAAACAGTTACGATGTGAAAAACTCTTTCCCACCTCAGGTCTGACCGACTACGTCGTCACCCGGTGGTACCGTGCTCCGGAAGTGGTGCTTGCAGCGAGTGCGTACTCGGAAAAAATCGACGTGTGGTCAGTCGGGTGCATCCTCTACGAGATCCTTGCCCGGAAACCCTTGTTTACCGGCAAGGACCACTTGGACCAGATCCGAAAAATCATCGAGAAGGTCGGAACCCCGGGCGATAACGATTTGAAGTGGATCCCCGAGAAGGGCCCGAGCCGGAAGTTTTTGGCCAAGTGCCCGATCAGCAACGGCATCGCCATGAAGGACCTCCTGCCGAACGGGATCCAGGACGCGTATGACCCGCTCAAACGTTACAATCTCAAACGTTGCAATAGAATATGAAAATCTGTAATGCAAGAGTGCGTGATCTAGCCTACTCCCACAGGATTGCGCATGACAAGTTCTCGAATCCCAAACCGCACTAGAATCTGCCGAGATTTGTATTGCAGAAAGTGGAACGCTCGGCAAGTCTGTCATGCGCGTCATGCAATGCAAAATCCAGAGTCTATTTTAACGTTTGAGATTGTAACACCTGAGCGGGTTATAACGCGACCGTGGATTTTTTGACGAAACTGCTCACGTTTGACCCAACCAAGAGGATATCGATCAAGGTTTGTATACTTGTTACGTCGTTTTCTGTTTGCATAACACTTGATGACTTAATGTGGGGCATGAGAGATTGGTACACGTACAATCAATGTCATGCGAAAATAGCATTCGAAATTCAAATTCCTCCATCATCAAAAAACAGATATGGATTGCAAAAATGTCTGGGTCTGGAAAGTTGGAACTTGTAATGCTGGTCTTGCATTCCTGTGAAATCTGTATTGCATGACCAAGAACAGTGGTAGCCTCTTATGTCATACAAAAACGCAGTTTCTCATGCGGAGTTCGTATGAGAAGGGGTGCTGCAACCTTGTCATGCTTTCCTTCATAAGGAACTGCCTTCCTCTTGCACATTTTAGCATCACAAGTTTCCAGACCCAGACATTCTTGCATTTCATAACAGGAATGCATGAACCACGTCTACATCAAGGATCCGGATTATTTATGGGACAAAGAACGACCTGAGGAATTGCTCGTGCTGAATCTTCTGCAATGCATATTACCGACATGCAATGCATGACCACATGATTTATACAGCTTCAGCATTGCAAGTTTCCTTCGTTCTTTCCCCTCCATACCGGCCAGAAGAAGAACCCACGGGGCCACCAGTGGACTGGAAGTGGGATAATTTTGCTATCCGATGGTGACGAGGCCGCGAATTTTCTGCTTCTGTTGCTTCTCTTGGGAATTGAAATTGTAGAAGCAGAATCTGGCAGTGCAAAACTAACTCAAAAAACTTTGTCATGCACTTGATTTGCTCTTGCATTGACAGACCGCCACGCCTGGTGCTGGTAACCACATCACCGATGTGACAAAAAAGGAATACTTATGATGCAAGTGGAGTCTAGTAGCTGTAGGTTCGTTCGATGTTGAAGATGAAGGCAGAACGGGAAGCAAAAAAAAACTCGGACGATCATTTCCCTTCCATATGCGAACCGACGAAGCCCCTGCTGCAGAAGTTTGTCTACGCAGAAGCGGCGAGGTTTCATCCCGAGTTGAGCAGTTCCTAAACTTGTGCTGCAGGCAGACAAAAACATAAACATGCAGCTGGTATAAAAATTGAAATCTGCTATGTCTATGTCAGTCTTCCTCTTCGGTCAACCTTCGTCGGTAGAAAATTCCTCGTGGTCTCTGGAAGGGCAAAAATCTGCGGTAAGCAGTGTTGCCATGCGGAGATGTTGAGCTGCGAGTAGGAGTACCTCGTCTATCTTTGTATGCGTCCTCGTCAGTTTTGGAATTGTTGGTTCTTTTTCTGTACAAATTCACTTCTACAACTTTTTCAAAACCTTGGAAACCAGCATTGCTCATGTCCGCACAATCTCACTACAATTGTCGAATTTGATCAAGTCGGAACTGATTAAGATTATGAAAAAAAAGTCAAGAGAGTAAGAGTAAGTATTGCAGCAGACAAAAGATAAAGAGCTAGACTACTGTCGCCGATGCGTTTTTTTTGTTGAAAAAAACTGGCATGATTTCTTCCTTCGACGACGCCGGCCGTTACTACAAACCGGTCAGTTGAAATAAAGCGAAAAGAAAAGAAAGAGGACAAGAAAAAAATCAACAAAAAAAGGAAGTGAAAAAACAGTGTTGCAAAACACAGAAATCTAGATTTGATGAAATTCAAGCGACAAGAACGTCGCAAATTCGGACGAAATTTGTCTTGTGGCGCCGCGACCGGCTCGTAGACCGCACCTCTGCTCAACGTGGCGAGTGTGTTCTGCCCGCGTCGCACTACAAGGAGTGCGAAGCAGTTAAGTACTTCTTGTTCTCTCGAGCGATCTGTATACGTTAACCGATTTGATGATGACGGGAGGGAACAGCCGAAATAAGTCAGCACTCTAGTGCCGCAAAAGAGAGACATAGAGTTGCAGCTGTTACTTACTCTACCGACTGGTAGCAAGTACGAGTAGGTTTAGTAGAGATCTTCGCTGCCATTCGTCGTTTTGAGTTTTTCGTCGTCGCATTGATTTGACCAAAAATATCCTGGTTCTCGGCGTCTGCAATTTGGGCCCCAGTAGATCCCCTAGAACCCAGAGTGAGAACAACTCACTCGCCCGTCATTCTTGTCGTGACAATCACCAGTTACACGGCCAAAAGAAATTTCGCGAAGTACTAGGGACACAGAGCACCAGAGCACCATGGCAAACAGGTCTTGCTAGATATTGAAGACGCGCCTTGAATCTAAACAACGAAAAGAAGTCTGAATCCCTTGTTAAACAAAGACCACTCGTCGCTATGGAGCGTATCCGGCAAACCAATCCCGGCCTGGAGAAGTTTCTCCAGTCTGAGCCGGAAAACCAGTACTGTGCGGACTGTGGCACGAAGAACCCCCGGTGGGCCAGCGTCAGCCTGGGGATCTTCATCTGCACCAATTGCGCCGGGATCCACCGGAAACTCGGCGTGCACATCAGCTTCGTCCAATCCTGCACGATTGACAAGTGGAAGCCGGAATGGATCGTGAAGTTCAGCAAGATGGGCAACCGCGTTGCGAAGCTCTACTACGAGTACCACGTGAAGGACGAAGACGTGGAGAAAGCGTTTCCCGGCAACAACGTGCGCATCAACGTGATGACGATCAACGGCCGGACGAATTTCCACCAAATCCAGTACTCCGATGATATGGCGTTCTCAAGTGTTACATTCTCAACTGTTACATCATGATTTGTCATGCAAAAGCACGATCAGAATCGCCACGATCTAGCTGCTTCGCATGGCAAATTCTCGAAGGGCCAAACAGGCTGAAAGCCTTTGCCAAATCTGTCATGCAAGACGAGCAAAGTCGCCCCTTTCACTTTTGCCATTCTTGCATGTTGACAAATTGATGTAACAGTTGAGAAGGTAACAGTTGAAAGCGCCATAGATGACCAATTTGCGGTGGGCGGGGACGGCATCAGCGAGGAAGCGGGCCGGCGATTTGAGGAATGGATCAGACGGAAATACGAGCTGAAGGAGTTCGTCTTGGACCCGGAGCTCCCCGAGCCCAAAGTGATTGTCCAGCGGGGCGGGCAGCTGTTGCCCATAGAAGTGTACGAAATGCACTTGAAAGGAGGGAGTAGCAGCAGCGGGAATCATTATAACGGGCAGCAACAGCGGGAACAACAGCAGCAGTTTGACGACAACAATCGAAACCAGTACGAGAACTTCGATCAAGGTGCTGCTGGAGGAGGTGGGGTACAACCACCTGGCGCGTCTAGCTCTTCTTCCAACGTGAAGAAAAAGAAGAAGAAAAAATCAGCAAGTTTCGCGGAAGACATGAACCACGGAACCTTTTACGCAACAATGAATGAAGAAGAGAATTACGATAACAACGACAGCAATGCGAATAATTTTGGCTACTCCAATTTCGGCGGAGGTGGAGGCTATGATGAGGAGGAAGGAGCTAATGCGGGGAGTGACCAAACGAGGTCGCCGCGGGACGAGGATAACATGAACTTTGCATCCTCATCTGCGCGAGCAAACAGAAATAACAAATTCGATAAAAATTCCGAGCAAAATGACCAGTCGTTTTCTTTTTTCCCCAAAACGGTTTCCGGGGACTACATGTTTGGAGATAATGGTCAGGAATCGTCTCCGCCTGTGACCTCTTCCAGAAAAAAGAGCAGTAGCAGCCGCGCACCAGTAGATCAGGGTGGAGCGGGTTCGGCAAGCACCTCTGGTCGACGAGAATCTACTACCCGGGCGGCAGCCAGCAGTTCTTCTAGTACCGTGCGGCCACCTGGCGCTAGCAGTTCGAGCAGTCGCGGCTTGCAACCGCCGACAGCACCAGGAGCGCAGATGAACTACGCATCTGCATCTTCCAGAGGTGGTCCACATGTCGGGCCACATCTGATGTCACCGCAACGGCAGATGAACTACATGCCGGGCTATGCCGGACCACCTCCGCAGCACCCACTCTACGCCGGGGGAACAATGGTGCCGCCCGGGTCGATGCCGTATGGCAGCATGGGGAGTGCCGGTGCTCAGCCAATGCCGATGCAGATGCCACCGGCGTCGATGCAGCAACCATATCCGCCTTACAACTACCCAGGAGGAGGGGGAGGACCGATGCCTTCTTCCCCCAATCTCATGCAGCCACAACAAGGCGGCGGGTATAACACAACACTGGGAGGAAACTACATGAACCCACCAAATTTCAATGCCTACAACTCCCCACCACCGGCTCCGTATAATCCAGCTGCAGTGCCGTTGCAGCCTGGTATGCCACCGCAGCTACACCAGCAGCCAACAGTTTTGAACCCGCAGATGGTGCAGCAAATCCAGCAAAATCAGCAGCAGCGGGAGTTTTTGGATCAGTTGAATCTGGTCGGGAAAAAGGAGAAAAAAGGACCAAATTCCGCGGAGCAAGACTTGGAGGCGGAACTGGAATTACCAAATGTCGACCTGGCACAATTGGCTGCAAGTACTTGTTTACTTAAATTGCTTTGTGGTTTGCAACAGGAAATGATCTTCTATATGTGGAAGTGGACTAGGGATATGTTCTATGCTCACACCAACTTGCTGTCAGTATCTTTCACACTATGCAGATTTTTCGCATGACAAAAATAAAACACAACTCCACAGTTTTCGGCCTGAACGTTCCTCTGGACGAAATCATTCCCGAGTCCAAACAGACCCCGGCCGAGCAACAAGCCGCACAGGCGAAGCGGGACAAGGCCGAGAAGTTGAGACAACAAGAGAAACAAGCAGCTTCGCAGAATCAAAAGCCCCCAGTCGACCACGTGACCATCGGGATTAAGAAGCGCGAGGAATGGCGGATGCTGATGAACTGCAATGCGGAAAACTCGGATGAAACGGACGAAAATCTGAAAAAAGCAAAGAATTTAAAGAAGCGGTACTCTGAGGCCGTGAATGCGGTGTGTAACCTGTTCAATGGGCAGGGCGGGGGGCTTTTTGACGAGTTGTTGAAGCAGTTTGATAGGGACAAGATGATAATCCCCTACGGTCTGAACATCCACCAGAAAAAATTCATCATCGAGCAAACGGATTTGAAAGGAACAAAGGGTAGCGCGAAGGAGGAAAAGGAGAAGGTGGAAATGAAAAACGCGTCCACGCAAACGGACGACCGGTTGCTGTTGCACTTCATTCAAGAGAAGCTGTTGCTCCAATCAAAGAAACTGCTGGAGAAAAGTATTTGTTTCGTTTGCTTTTTTAGGAGGTTTTATTTTGTGTTGCATAGAAGTTTGCTTCGTTTTTCAAGTACAAGAACTGTGATGCGGAAACGAATTACGGCAAAATTCATCTATTTTTCTTCTTTTCAGAACTGGCTTCCCTTTCCGGCGGCGGTGGGTTGGGCAGCATGCCAGGGACGACGGCGAACCATTTCCACCACAGTCCGGGCTTGGTACCTCCTGCGGCCAGTGGGGGACGGAGATAGGAGGAGGGTTGTGGAAAGCGTTGCGTGCAGCACTTCTGACACGATTTTTGAGTGGTTTGGAAAAGTTGATTTGTGTTTGTCAAAAGATCAGATGAAGAATTGCACAACTTGGGACGGCGCGATTGCGTTCGAAGAAACTGCAAAATAATTCTACGGTACATTAGTGTTTTACTTTACCGCATCACCATCACTTCGTGAAATCGAAATTTGGATGGGCACAGAGGTAGTTTCATGATAGCCCTTGTACTTATCAACTCAGCGGTTTGATGCGACGTCATGGAGGTGTTCCTTGATCATGGGGGAGGAGCTCTGCTTTTTTTTTCCGCTTGTGGCACGACGCTTTTTTTTACAAATTGGGCTGTCCGGTAGATCCTCTCTCTCGGTAATCTTTATCTTGGTTTTGTTCAGTGTGCCGGCGAGTGACTACTTAGTTTCGGCATAATTGCCGTTCTTGACTGTGTTTTTGATCTTGTTTGACTATGTTGGGATCCAGTTTTTTGATCGTTTTACAAAGAGATGATCTTCTTTAGGCTCTTGTCGTTCCCTCTAGAGTTCTATCTTGTGGTAGAGACGAAGCTGCCAGCATCAAAGTACTAGCTTGTACTTACATTCTGCTCGTCCAGTCTATCTTCCACAGAACATCATCATCAAGTAGAATAAGTCACCATGACCTCCGTGGACACCATTCTCTCCTGGTGCCGGGACGGCCAGAAAATCCGGTTTGCCATCGAGCAAGCGCAGCAGGAGACGGAACTGTTTCAAATTGCGGCCCAGTTTGAGCAGGAAAAAGCCATGCAGGAGTTTTTTCTGAAAGAGGAAAAAATCCGGGTTGAGGAGGAGCGGGAATACCGAAAGTTGCGGAATAAAAGGATCCGGGAGATGAATTTGAACGGAATAGTAAATTCAAATACAACCCGGAACTCAACAAATGCATCAAATGGCGCTCCCGATCCCCGATCCAGCACCACGACGCCGATATTGTGAGGAAAAATCCTCCCTCCCCATATCAAAACGAAATTTCTGATGCTGGATTTGCGTACACAAATCAGATTCGTGTTGCTGGAAAGGACTGCAGGTCCCTATCGAGCCTGGGGAGAGAGGTTTTATTTGCCTAGGCGCTTAGCATGAAAAACGTCCGCGATGTAGGCCCAACAGCATGACAAACCGGCTGTATAATGCGGCGGAGCCTGTGGAGTTGCCTTCTTTCAACACAGATGCGATTTGTGGTCACAAATCAGCAACGCAAATTTTTGAAAACGCACCTCGTCAATATGGGGAGGGGGGATTTTTTTACTTTGATAGCCGAGATACAACTTTCACTTCGACCCCCGGAGCTCCACGACAGCGGTCGGCTCGTCGCCGCGCCAACTGCAGCTACAGGTCAACATACCGAACAGCAACACAAATCATGCGGCAATGGCAAATAGAAGATCTCCTCGCCAGACTAGATTTGAGCAGCACCAAGAACGTAGCAACGCAGTGCAGCTGAAAACGGAGCGGTTTTTCCGAAGAAATAACAAGGCGAAGCTTGCTGGGGTTCTAGCAAAGAATTCTTCTTGTCAACAGGGTCGCTCTCTGCGGGCGGGGAACAAGCTGATGCTGGGAAACTACAATTCTAACCCGAACAGCCCCTTGTCTGCTTCTCCGTCGTCCCCATCCTCCCCTGCAGCCAACAACAACAAATCTTCTGGCACTTATACTTCACCGAAAATTGCAAATGCAAACAATTCCAGCAAGTACAAAACGTTGTTGGAAAGTATCCGGAAGAAGATCTCGAAACCGAAGCGGCCAGTGGTGGAGACGACGTCGTTTCAAATGCCAAACGGGTGGATTCCGGATTCGTTTGTGGAAGTCGTGACAACTACGGGGGTGGAGGAGGGAGAGCACTCCGTTTTGAAACACACTTTCTCGTCGCAGTTGCGGCAAAGTTCAAATAAGCTTTGAGAATTACAGGAATTCTTGACGTGCAGTGCTCCAGGATATTAATGAATTTCGGTGCTATTTCCCGCCGCGTTCCGTGGACCCCCGCCGGGATAAAGATGCTGAGTCAAACAGTGATCTTCACTTGGCCATGTCCTGACTGAAGAGTTGATACTACGTTGTTTCACTTTACGAGTTTCTGTTTCTCATTCTCTGCTGATAATATTCGAGGTCGAAGCTGAAGAAAAGATCCCATCTGATGATGGAAACAAGACGATAGAGGCACTGATGTGCAAGCCAGTGCTGCATCGTTTGTTCTTGAGTTCCGCATTATATACTAGAAAGATCAATCCACTCCAGAAATAACCTACTAGAAATAGTAAAGGCTCTCAGCACGACGACGACGACGCGCTCGTAGACCTGTCGGATCTTGCTAAAACTCTAACTGATACAAGAAAAAGATCTTGTTCAAGAAAACTGGCATGATCTTTCGACAACATTCGAAAGGTTGCAAAGGACCCAGCAACTTCTACGCCTTGCCCCGGTGTCCAGCTCCTATCAGAAAGCAGCGACAAATACCTTAACATTTCTTTTTTGCGGACGCATAATTATTGTTTGTTCACGGCCACTGTGCCTTTTTTTTCAACCACATTTTTAGCTAGGATAAAGCACCACGATCAGAAGATGGAGTGCAGTTGTACCATGCTGCAGAATAAACATCGATTGCCCGCCGGCAGCAAGAGCAACATGACATCAAGGCTAGCAGAAACCTCTATGGCACCAGCGATTTCTTCCGAGCTTTTCTGTGACAACATCGACCTGCGTACTGGTACCCCCACCTGTGCCGTTGTTGTTTCCAGCGACGATGTTTTCCCATCTCCCAGATCACAGTCGTGATCAACAAGTTGGGAAAATTTTAGCCCCGAATAAGCCGAAAACAGACACCATTCACCCCAAGCCGAAACGCGTCGTGCACTTCAGGACCCGACGGAGCGCACCGCCGTCATCGCACAGGGAGGAAGGTTTAACAACTTCTGGACCGACTTCGGGAAGCAGCTGCGCGGGACGAGGTGCAGCTGCGCCGCCTTCATCTGCTGCACAACACGCAGAGGGAATAAACAATAAGAGGTCAACTTTATCCTACAGAGGACCTCCACCCGCCAAGAGAGTCACAACAGCCGGACCCGGTCTACTTCTCCCCAGTCGAAAAAGTACAACTTCCACTACGCGCTTCGTACTTAGTAGAGGTAATACAGCTCGTGATCAACTACAAATAAAGACCACCGGCGGAGCTTCATCCTCTGGAACTACGAAGAACAATAATTTTCTTCACACGTCTTCGGGAGGTAGCTGCGCAGGAGGAACTTCTAACGGTGGTACAGTATTAAGAACCTCGGGTACTAGGAGGTCTTGTGCTACTGGTACTAGAAGTTCAGCGAACTACGGTGCAGCTGTGTCGAGGAGCAGCATAATTGCAGGAGTTCGTGTTGGCAAAAATACTACAAAAGGAAAAACTACTAGTTGTACTAGTCGCCCTTCTACATACGTAGTACAACGCGAAGAGGACCACTACAACTGCACTGGTTCCAGCAGCTCTTGCGCTAGTTCTTCAGAAAACTACAGCAACGAGAGCATCTATGGATGTGTCAGAGTTGAAATCGACAAAGTTGAAATGATTTGTCATGCATAAAATGCGACACAGAGACTGACTCCATTGCTGAAGGCGCAAGGGAGGCAGATTCTACTGCTGGTAAGGGTCACGCATTGGGCTGTTGACTAGCATGACAGGGAGCAGCCATCTTGCCCTAAACAGCATGACAGACTTGCTGCAGAGGCCAGGAAAATTTGTCATGCGCCGATTGGAAACTGTGGGTGTCTAACTGGTATAGGTTTTATGCATCACAAATTATTTTTTCAACTTTGTTAATTTCAATCCTGACAGTTCCATAGCATCTACAACGGTTCCTCCTCGCGATCTTGTAGCAGTGACAGAGAGCAGGTCCTCAAGGCTCACAACCATTACAACCCAGCAAATAACGGGAACAGTGGTCAAAATTCATCAAGACTCGAAAGGACGAAGGCGATAACTGCCTCTAGTGCAGGTGGAAAGAGCTGCTACAACACGAGGGCCTCCAGGCGTGATAAATCGAATTCGAGAGTTCTTGTTTCAACAAAGACCAAGAGCACCGCAGGAGCAGCAGCAGCAGTACCGAAGCCTCATAAAGCGTGTCAGTTCCTCGAGGACGACTGCGTGGTCCAACGGCAGAGGAACCACGCGACGAACAGGAGAGACCACCACAGAGATATCAAACAGTGCGACTGGAGCAGTACGAAGAGTAATCCTTCTTCTAGTAGTTCTTGGAAAAAAAGTTCTGGCACTGCTTCGTCCTCTTACAACCGGGGGAACAAGAATCATTACACTTATAGAAGCCAGCGGACCTCCCGCCGCACGAGGAGGAGGAGGAGGACCTCAACTTCGACATCATCAAGCGACGGCGACGCCACGGACAGGACGGTCGGCACCTCCGAACTTTCCTCCAACACCGACATCTGGCCGTACTACATCGACGACAAAAACCACGTCCGGTTGATCGACCCAGACGAGGACTTATCAAATGCAAAAATGTCTGGGTTTGGAAGAATGCAAGTTTGTCATGCTCGTCTGGCATGACTCGAGAATCTGTGTATGTTGCATAGGCACGAAAAGGCCCTCATACCTGTCATGCAAAAACGCAGTTCGCCATGCGGAATACGTAAGACATGGCAGCCAAGAAATTTGTCATGCATAGCTGCCTACTGCAGTGCGTCCATCATTCACTTTTAGCATTACAAGTTTCCAGACCCAGACATATTTGCACTTGATAGGACGAGAGCGACAGCGATCCAGAGTACACGCAGCACGAGTACAACAAGGAACAGCGGGTTTTGACTTTCTACGCCTGGTTGATTCACGCGTTGTACATCGGGTTTGTGTTTGTCATGTTCTATGACGACCCCGACCCGCAGACCCACATCGTTTTGTCCATCATCGCCTACATTTTCGTGGTTGCCGCGACCTACCGGAAGCCGGTGGTGTATTTACCGGAACCGGACTATGTGAAGCACCAGAAGGAGTACTAGGACAGGAGAAATACATAACAACAACTGTAATATTCGACTACATCAAAGGGAACGATTTTTTTAGCAGAAACACTGCCTCGCGCCGCAGCCGCAGTTGTTCTTCTGCGTTGTGTTTTCAGGTTGGTGCTTCAAAACGCCAGCACGCTTCTATCTAAAGCCAGCGCGAGAAGTGCAATCCCCAGTTGCAAAAAGATGCGGTCCGGCGCAGCCACTTCCCGGCGGGACCGGGACGAGAGTTACAACACTACTCGTCGCGGGGATCGGGACCATGACGATGATAACAGCAGTCGTCGTGACCAGCACAAGAACCGGACGAGTCCCCAGCGGAGGTACGACGGAACCGCGGAGACGACCAAAGATAATATAGCTGCCAATGGCGATTATGATGCGCTTCCGGGGAGAACGAGAACAACTTCTACAAGATCTAATCGATACTACAACAAGCCAATGAGTCCGTCTTCGATTCTGGAGATGCGCGCCAACTCGTTTCAAAGCGACAAAAGTATGAATAACGAGGGAAGGAGAAGTGAGAAAAGTCGGGATGTTGAGAATGAATATGAAGATATGGAAAATGATGACCAAATAAATCAACATCGAAACCAAAATCGAGACCTCAGGATAGACGAACTTGACGCGGTTTCAACACTTTCTCGGTATTCGTCGCGAGACATGTTGGAACAACGGGAACAGCAGCAGTTGCCCGAAGACGATGAAATTCCGCCTCGGGTGGAACTCCTAGAGCGCCGTGACGGCGGCCGAGAGCCGCGTGGTGGACGTGGAGATGATGAGACTCGTGACACCGAAGGGCGAAGTGGTCGAGATGGTGACCGAGACCGGGAACGTCGGGACGATCGTATTCACCGAGAACGTCGTGACCGGGATCGCGAACGCCAGGATCGCGCGCGCGACGGAGAGCGCGACCGGGATCGCGAACGTCAGGATCGCGAACGACAGGATCGTGAGCGCGACGGCGAGCGCGACCGAGATCGCGAACGACAGGATCGTGACCGGGAGCGTGACCGAGACCGGGAACGGGGTTGTAGAGAACGGGAACGCGATCGTGAGCGGGAGCGCGACCGAGATCGGGACCGAGAAGATCATCGGGACCGAGGCCGCGAAAATGGCCGACAGGACGAACAACAGCGACACCGAGTTGGAGTAGACCAGAAGCAGGATGAGGACAGAGACCAGGAGATGAAGATCGCTACAACTACTTCTAGGCGGATAATTCGCGAGAGGAGCCGGGATATCCCGTGCAAAAGTAGCGTACTCGTAGTAATTGCGTTTATGCGTTACAAATCCAATATTCAAGGTAAACCAGCATTACAAATGCAATTTGTATGTAATGCTGGGGGGAATTTGTAATGCAATTTGTACTAGTACGATGCTTTTGCATTGCATACGGGACCGCGAGCGACGCGGTGCGTCGTCTCCGCCACAACGATATCAAATGTAAAAATGTCTGGGTCTGGAAGAATGCAACTTGTGATGCTGAATTTGGATTCCAAAAAAATCTGTATTGCATAAGCAGCAAGGTGAGTGTAATTTTTGCTACGCGGAGAGGGCATTTGTCATGCGGAATAGGCATCGCGAGGCCCTCAAAAAATCTGTGATGCTAGGGCATGCATCACAGACATCAGGAGTCATGCAAAACGTGCGTGACAAACCTGGCAATCTTCCAGACCCAGACATTTTTACATTTGATAAACGAATGAATCACTCTGAAAGAGAACAAGTAGGAGGAAAAAATAGAGATCTAGTCCGATCCTACAGTGACCAGCAACAGCGATCGTTAACTCGTCTCGAAAGTATAAGTAGGGACGAGCAGGAACTACCACGAGGCGGAGATCGTATCAAGAACCAGGACCAAAAACCGCGTTCAAAAAATGCAGCTCGGGTCATTCTAGAAGAACGGGTCGAAGATAAGATTACGAATTCGTCTCAAAAAGGAGGAGGTCCTGGTACAACTGTACAAAACCCCCCGCCACCACGCCCGTCACCCCTCCGACGGATTGTGTCTGGGGAGATACGAGAGCGGATCGAACGGCACGTGCAGAAACAGGAACAGGAACAGCAACAGCAGCAGCGTCTTTCGCCACAGAGGATGGACCGCGAAATGGAAACGAGAAGGCAGCAGGAGGCCGCATTGAGAAAGGCAGCTGCTGTTTGGGAAGATCTGCAGAGTACTAGACTAGGTTCGCGCGAGGAGGAGGTAAACAATGAGCAAGAAGAGGAACAACGACGGGCCAACGCCGCTGCCTGGGAGAGAGAAAGAGAGCGGAAAGAGCAGGAGGAATCAGAGCGCGCCGCGCAAGAACGAGCTGCCGCCTGGGAAAAGGAGCGGGAGCAGCAGGAAAAATTGCTGGCGGCCCAGGCTGCTGCACAAGCGCGGGAAAAGGCGGAAAGGGAGGAACGCGAGCGTCTGGAGGAAAAGCTTCGGCAGATGAAACAGCAACACCTAGAGCAGGAGAAACTACGGGCTGCGCACCAAGAACGAATAAAACTACAAGCAGAGCAGCAGGCGAAGATAAAAATCGCAGCGGAGGAGGAAAAAAACCGGCTCACTGCTAACACCTCTGTAGCTCCGAAGCAGGCCGCAGTGCAGCCGGCAACTCAAAACACCAGAAATGCCGTTAATAAGCCGGAACAACAGCAAGATCCTCCGGACGCGGATCACGGTACGACTACGACCCCAACGAACAGAAATAATACTGAGTCCAACCAAACAAGCTCCAGCAGTATGAAGGAAGAAGTGCTTTACTTCGGTGCCGACCTGATCGCCCGCGCGGGCTTGACCTTGAAAGTGCCGCAGTCGACGATTGTTTGTGGGCAGATTTGCTGGCAGTACTACGCCCCGAAATCCACGAAGATTGGAACCTTGGTGCTGAAATCCTACAACCGCAACAACGCGTTCGACAAGCACACCAGCGCCAATGCCTCGAAGCAGCTGGAGGGCGAGATCCAGCTGACCGCTTCGTCTATCAAGTGCAAATATGTCTGGGTCTGGAAGAGGCGGGACTTGTCATGCACATTTTGCATGACCCGTGAGGTCTGTGATGCTGGTGCTAGCATCACAGATTTTTTGAGAGCTTCTTGATGCTAATTACGCATGAGAAATGCGCTCTCCGCGTGCCAAGAACTGTCTCCTCTTGCTGCTCATGCAACACAGATATTTTTAGAATCCGCAGACAGCATTACAAGTTGCATTCTTCCAGACCCAGACATTTTTACATTTGATATCGTCGTGTCTCCTCATCGGCTGTAAGTTTGAGGAGACGCTGGTAAACACGAACGACATCTGCTACGTGTTTCGGAAGCTCGTTATCCTATGTAAAAACGTACCCACACCATAGTCAAGATGGGGAATCGGCTAGACAAATCCACAAGCTTTGGCTGTTTCGCATGACAAATCTGGACGCGTAGTGTAGTGCTGTTTGAGCTAGTTTAGCAGCATTACAGATCTAGTATCTCGCGCTGATTGGAGCATGACAAATTTCAAAACCGCATTAGAAAATGCTTCTCATGGGGCTCCGCATGAGAAACATTTTAAGCATGCAGAGTTGCATGACAACTATGGTGTGGGTACGTTTTTACTCAGGATACTCGTCCCGCACGGCGAGAAGACCTGGACGGCGGACTGGATGCAAATGCTGGCTTCGAACGCCCGGGACAATTACTCCACGGGCCAGAATATTATCCTGTGCAAAAGTATCGTACTCGTATTGCAGTCATGCATTACAAATTTTTTTTCTTTACGTAAATCCGCATCACAAATTTAATTTCTCATGCTGAGGAAATTTGTAATGCATTATATACAAGTGCGATACTTTTGGTTTTGCAGTGCATAAATAGTATGCAGCAAAACTTCTACAACGAAGGGGCCAAGAACAAGCCCTCGACGACGTCCGTGATGCAGGAGCTGCTGTTCACCTACGAAACGAAGATTCTAACCCGGCTCGGGTTTCAGTGCGCGGAAATTTTGGTCCCTGCGCACCGGTATTTGCTGCCGTATTTGCACAGCTTGTTGGAGGAGGAGGATGAGGAGGACGAAGATTCTTCCTCTTCGAAGGAAAAACCCATCGTGGAACTCGCCTGGGGCTACTTGAACGACTGCTACCGGACGGATCTGTGTTGCCACTACGCGGCGCACGAGATCGCGGTGGCGGCTCTGTGGCTGGCCGCGCGGAAACGAAAGAGCCAGGGACTGGGGGGGAAAAAATTGCCGAAGGACTGGTTTCTGGTCTTTGACTGTTCGAAGGAGGCGTTGGAAAACATTAGCAGACGGATTTTGGCTCTGTATTGAGGAAGAAGAGCGGTGTAGTCGTGACATCAATTTGATGGCTGAATTTCAACCAAAAATTTAAAATCCATCAGAACGAAGAAGAAAATCAACTGAATTGATAGACGATTCAAATTATAGGCACGACACCAGCGACAGAATGGATTCATCAAGAGCCTCTCCGAGGACCTATATTGCTTGGATAACTGCGCTTGTAACAAGTACTTACTCTGTTGAGTTCGAGAGGTGCCCCACCCCCCTGGTGGCAAGAACAACTTCTCAGAGGAAGATGGAGTATGTGATTCATCTCGCACTGCAAGTAGTTGTAAAGTACTCTTCTGAAAACGAAAAGTTGCAAGGAAGCGACAGCGAAAAACAGCCCGCTGTCTACTTCTTCGTGAAGCCTTGCGTGCAGCATCCGTGGCCCTTCAGCCGGATGTTTTTGATGTATATATAGTCGTGTCCTATGCCCGTTGTCGTTCGAATTCGCATTGTCAAGTCGTTCTTATTTTCGAGCTCGACAGCGTGTTGTTTTCCTTTTCTTCCGTGGAAAAAAAGTTTGCTTTTCGTCTGCAGAAAGTTGTGCCCGTACTTACTCAACAAAGGTGATGAGACAGACAGTCTTGTTTTTCGTGCTTCTCGTCTTCAGTAGTTTCGTATTCGTTCAAGTACACCACCAGCTTTATTTCGTTCCGCAGCTGGAACATGGTCGTGCAAGTTCATCTTTCTTCATCGTGGTCGCCCTGAATACGCTTTGCTTTTTGCGTGATGTTTATGTTTTCCATCGGCAATGAACTTTCGAACAGCAAGAACTTGCACTTTGCCCCCCTCTCTGTAAGATTGCCTTCCCCGCGCCTCACGGTTAGATGACGTCTTGCGATTGCCAACACTAGTATTGTCCAAGAACATCATAGATCCGGTCTGTGGAGGACTTCTTTCGTAGTGCGAGACAAGAGACACCGACCAGTTTCGGAAACAATGTCGTCCTCCGTGATCACGTACAACATGTTTCTCCAATTGATCCACTCTGGCTGCCGCTGCAAGCGCGGTTCGCAACGCACGCTCCGCCGGAAAAAATTAGTTGCGCGGATCCAGGAGAAGCTCGGATTTGTCCTCGGTGTGAAGGACGATGGAATAAACAGGGCTGAGGACCAAGATCAAGATGAAGATTTTTGTAGTAGCCAAGCTGGTATGAACACCAAAACTACGGAGAGTAGCAGCACATCAAATATCAAAATGCCAGAAACTAAAATCTGCGGCGTTCATCACCTTGATTCAGAATCGACCAAGAAGCGCCTTCAGCCGGTGATAGCAGTGCTTCTGGTGGCAGCTTTTTTTCTCAACGTCGTCGACACGGTGAAACAGCCAGCTGTATCAAATGCAAAAATGTCTGGGTCTGGAAGGTTGGGGCTTGTGATGCTAACTCTGGACTCCAAAAAAATCTGTATTGCATGATCAGCAAGAGAAGTCTAGTTTGTGCTACGCGGGGAGTGCATTTGTCATGCGGATTAGGCATGCGACAGCCCTCTACAACTCTGTGATGCTAGGTCATCCATTACAGACGTTCTGAGTCATGCAAAATCTGCATGACAAACCCGGCAACATTCCAGACCCAGACATTTTTGCATTTGATAAGCTGGGCGTGAAGACATTTTTGGCTTTTTCAGCGACGAAGACTCGGGGGACGGGAAAAAACCTGGAGGTATCGACGAACGCCAGCGGTCTGGGAAGCGGAACAAGAGTCAAAGGTCTTCTCATCTACAGGAAGCCAGTGCCGAAGATCGTGAAGTCCTGCATGACCAGGACAAGCAGATTCGAGGGACGGTAACAGACGTCTCCACCTCCGAGACCGCGCAGGAGGAGGGTCGTGAACCCCAGTTTTATCCTCCACGGGACGACGAGCAGCCCGTTATAGGTGCTGTCGCGCCCTCGTCATCGTCTCCTGGCACCGCTCGTCCCGATGACCCTTCGGGAGCAGCTCAGACCGCGAGCACAAATGGCAGAAGTACGGCGCTGCAGGTAAAAGTGCAAGAAGAGCGTAGGAAAATCGCTAGCAGCACGGGGGCCTTTGAGCGCGCGCCCACGTCTACAGGATACAAACGCCTTGAGCTCATGCGAGACGTCGGCGAGGTTCTGCAGGGTAAAATGAAAAACTACGAAGACGCGTGCACAGAAACCGTCAGATTGTTCTCGGCAGCTTCAGCGGAAGATGAAACGGCAGCACAGGCAGCGTCAGCGGAACATGAAACGGCACCACAGGCTTTGCTTCAGTCTGTACAAGAACCTGAAATAAACACTGCTCTGTTGAAATTCTGCAAGTTGATGGCTCGCATCTTTGTCAGGTCGCTGCCCTTCTACTTCTACGAAACCCTGGAAGAGAGACAAGAAGAAGCTCAGGCTAATCAATTTTATGTGCCTCCGCTTTTCATGGGTACGGCCGAGGAGGGTAAACCTGTGAAACCGAGTGTACATGTACTCAATACGCTTACGGTACCAGGCGTGGAAGATACAGCACACATTGGTGGCCTCTTGTGGAGCTACCAGCGCAATACGGGCTACTGGGACTTTATTGGGCCTACCAAGGTAAGTAGCATTCCCCTGGTTCGAGATTTTTCGCAATCGTGGCAGAATTTGTACGATTTAGCCTCCCTGGAAGATGAGCCTTGGCGAATCGATCTCGTCACGGAGTTTTTGGATAAGAATGAAGATGTCAAGCTGGACGGTAGTGTTTCCTTCGGGAGCCACTCGTTTCGCAAGATCTTGCACACGCTCAAGGAACTCTTGGACACGCTCAAGGAACATGGCGGCGACACTCCGAAAGAACTGGCGGGCCTTTCACTTTCTTCTGAAGATGTACTGGGGTTGGAGGGACTCTGGCCTGCTCAAGAACCTCACTCGCGGTCGCGACCGCCTTCCTCCAACCCTGACAAGACGCTGCTTATGCTTGAGAACGCACTTTCAGCGGTGTTGCAAACACTGCTCCATGACGCACTCTATGCCCTTGCGTGCGCAGTCGATGGAGGCGATTGTAAGCCAAAGGAGAGCCACAGCCACAACCACGACAAATCCGGACAAAAAAAACTAGAGGGTGGAAAGACGTCGAAACTGCTCTGGGATCTCAAAATGGACTACCAGCAAAACCGGTTGGAAACTTTCTGGCGAGGAATCTCCACAAGGAAAATAAAAAAAAGATAGCGATGGGATAAATAAGCCAGCAAGCACTTTGCTTCGCATTACCGAGATAGGCGGCGACCATATCGTCGAGTGGCAGGGCGAAGATGAGAGCATTGGAGGTGTTGAGCCGAAGCATTGGGGCTGGCGCTATGCTTACCATCCCTTTGGTGGTGGATGGACTGAAAATGAGTCGCGTGCTCGTGAGTGGTTTGTAACTGGAAGGGACGGAAAACGTCACCTCAAGCGAGAAAGCGAGAAAATTCTCGTCACGCATGAAGTGTCAATATCCCGTGGCGAAGTGGAGGCCTTGGCCTTTGTGCAAAAGTGGATTGGTTTTGGCAATCCCAACAATCACCGGGAGAACTTAGCGGGCAATTACGGAGTATTCGTCAACAAGGCCCTCGACTCTCAGGCTCTAGCGTATTTCACAGAAAACCTCGTCGTAGTGCCGGCAGACTGGAAGCCCCAGGCGGCCTCGTCACAGACCGAGGCGAAACCCCCGGCACGGATCGACCGCCGGGCGTTCTCTTCTGCTGCTGTGGTACTACGCAAAGATGAAATCTTTGATCCGGGCGCGACGCAGGGCGTGCAGAGTCAGGGAGAGTTCTTTAGGCCTCGCAATGTTGATGAGAGTTTTGACTTCATCAGAATCGTCGGTGGCGCGTTGAAATCGAAGTGGCCTGCAGCAGAAGTTGAAAAGAGAGCTGGGCCACAAGGTACACAGAGTATCGAGGATCGTTGCAGTGCAGTTTTCCGGAGCAGCATCAGACAGGGACAACATCAGCAGGAGGGCGAGCAAGCGGCTTTCATTGAGTTCTGCAGATTCGTTGTTCGTGTCTTCAGGGATTCGCTGCCATATTATTTTCATCATGCCCTCCAGCAAAGATTGGAAAGGGCAGCTACAAACCCAGACTTTCTTTATGTTCCTCCACTGTTTGTCGAGGCCGTGGCCGATCAAGTAGAAGAAAGGCGAGGACATGAGCAAGAAGACGAACACCCACACGAAGCAACGAAATCAGGATCAACGAGCAGAACCGTGCGGGTGCGCGGGGTACTTGATACGACCCAAGAACCGCCGGGCCCGAGCGCTTCATCGGGTTCCGATTGGAAGTATGTCTCGACTTGGGATTGGTTACGATCGGGGGGTGGCGCGAGCTTTTCCGACCAACAGTGGGACTACGTCGGACCAGAGAGCCTCCAGGGGGTGGCGAGGGGTTTTGCGAATGCTTTGGAGTGGCAGAATTTGTACATCTACATGCTCAAGGACCCGCCAGCTCCCGCAGCGGAGGATGTTGTCATTCTTGGCCCCGTCAAATATTTGGAAACGAACCCCGCCGTAACGTTGGATGGCAGTGTCCGCTTCGACGACCAGTTCTTTGAGGACATGCGAGAAATTAAAGCAAGGTGGAGCGAAAGTGATCAGGGGGAGATGCCGCAGGTAACGATACACGCCGGTGTCAGCGAAGCACTTTCGAAGGTATTGCAGCCACTGCTCCACGACGCTCTCGTGTTCCTTGCGTGCGCAATCGACGAAGAAAAAAGCTGCCACGAGTCGGAGAAAATCATTTACCATCCCGGAAAAGACTACCAGCAGAACCAAGGCGAAACTTTCTGGCCAAAAATAGCCGAAAGAAGAGACTCGCATCAAGCGGCGCAGCCTCCCCCACCCACCTTGCTTCGGATAACAGCGCTAGGCGCTCACCATGTTGTCGAGTGGCAAAGCGAAAGCGGAGACGAGAGCATTCAATCGAACGCCAAAACATGGGGCTGGCGTTATTCTTACCCGGGGTGGACATGGCTTGATAATGAGCACCGTTTTCAGTATGAGTATGGTCGGGGGGAGAGAATTTTTGTCACGCATCGCGTGCCGCTATCTCGTGGCGAAGTGGAGGCCTTGGTCTTTGCGCAAAAGTGGATTGGGTTTGGCAACCCCGCTAACTATGAGCTAGCTGGTGGAATCGCGCCGAAGGTTATTCGAGGGGCGGTCTCAGTAGTATCCCAAGTTGGCGCTGGCGACCGGCTCGGCCTCCACTCATTCGACGACCCTCGTATAATGAATTCATCGGGGCGTAAGTGCTTCAACTGTCAGTCCCTAGCCTATTTCACGGAAAATCTGGTGGTTCCGCCACTGTACTACAACTTCGTTGCGAGGGGAAGCGCAATGGCCCTATACCGAACGGATCGCCGCTCGCTCACCTTCTTTATGAGAGGGTTACTCAGACCCAACGAAAGCTTCGATCCGGGTGTCTGGGAGGCAATGCAGAGCATTTCCAAAAAGGGTGTGCTTGCAGATTTGGGGCAAGCAGGGTCTGCGCAGGACGCGACGGACCGAGCGCCCGATGAAACCACGAACAGGGGTCTGTCATTTTTCCAAACATTTCTCCTTGCGTAGGAGATCATCTTCACGAAGCTTGCGTGGAGGTGGCCTGCGACTCGCGTCGAATCTAAAGTGTTGTCGTGGTGGCCCGTTCATTGTTGAATACAAATAGAACTACTTCCACTTCGGGCGTATTGGCGTTTTTTTCGATATTCTGAGCCCCCTGCAGTGTCGGATGTTCAGGCACATGTCTAGAGTGACTAAATAATAGGTCTGCTGTTCTTGTTCTATGTAGGATTACTTAGTTTGTTTTTTACATTGAATTTCAATTTTTTTGTACCTAGACCTACTTCACCAACTTCTCTTCAGCCTCCATCAGCCACTGCTACCCTATTATACACTTACGCATCCATGTTTTGAATTAAGTATTCGATGAGGTCTCGTTTTGATTTCGTACCAACGCTTGCTGTTCGGGCTCTAAAAGCAAAACCGATCCTATTTTTATGAAACCTCCCACCCTACACCAGACGACTTTTACCAGACCAGGACCAACCAGAGAAAGAGCCCAAAGCCCCGCTGCAATCTGGATGAGGGACGATGAAACCTCCATACAGGGCAGGGCAGTTGCTCTACATTGATGTAAGCGGGGCGGTGTTGCTGCTGGTGATGATGTAGATGCTCGCGTTGATTGACAAGTAAAACGAAAAGGAAGAGCATATTTGTGCTTGTCCGGTTGCGATCGGTGTCGTACAGAAGTACTCAGTTACAACTTCATTGAATCTTTCCTCGCTCCCTGCTTGTCGATGTCGTTCTAACGCATACGAGATCTTCAAGATAGAGATATGAAAAGACAAAGAAAAGGTTAAAATAAAGCACGTGCGAAACAAAATCGTAATCTTTCTTCGTTTTTCTCTTTTGCTTGGTCGCAATCGTCACGACCCAGTGAAAGTCGTCTTTCGTCCCTGTGTCAAAATCACTTCAGCTTCGTTCAACTGCAACAACTTCTCGTTCCACAGCAACACAGAGCTCGCTCAGGAGCTTCACCTTTCTATCTTGATCGTCCCACCTTCGTCGGCTCTTGTGCTGGGCAACAATTTTTTTTTGCGTTTTTTCCGGCTTGGTATGTTTTTTGTCTATGAGTCACTCTCAATTAAGAAGTTCACAGGGTCTCAGCGATATTCAACTAAGACGAGTTTACCCTGACTCATTTTGCGGTTTTATTTGTGTAAAGAAAAAGAGATTTGAACTTCTAGTATTCCCATTTCGTCACGACGGTCGCTACCGAAAGGACCATACTTTCAGCCTTACTTTACACGACGACTTGGAGTTTTCATTCTTGCGCTTAGATCCTCTTGTCTTTCTGCTTCTGGACTGTCCTACGTATTATTTTTCGCCAACACAACCCTTCGAAGTCTTTGTCTTAAACAATGTCGTCCATGATCCAGCCCCCCGTGATGGCGGCGAGCCTGCTGGAGCACGCGCAGCGCGAGATTGTATCAAATGCAAAAATGTCTGGCTCTGAGAGATTGCGAGACTTGTCATGCTTGTGTGGCATGACCAAAAAGTTTGTAATGCGTGGCCAAGAAGAGACCCTTTTGCTTGTCATGCAGCAACGCAGTTTGTCATGCGAAAAACGCAACACAAAGAAGCGCAGATATTTCTCGTCATGCTTGGCTGTGCATTACAGAGCATTCACTATTCCCAACGCAGCATTACAAGTTTCCAGACCCAGACACTTTTGCATTTGATAGATTGAGCTTTTCGCCGATGAAGCTGTGGCGAAGATCAACGACGACATGGTCCAGAAGGAGGGCATATGGATTGCAAAAGTATCGTACTCGTATAAATGCATTACAAATTTCCTCACCATGAGAAATAAAATTTGTAATGCAGATTTGCCTTGGGAACAAGATTTGTAATGCAAGACTTGCATTTGTACGAGTGCGATACTTTTGCACAGGATAGGGCAAGAAAACGGTGGACACGCTCAACAAGGCGATTCCAGCGTAAGAATTTTTGTTTTTTCTTTTCTAACCACAACTAGGATACTATGGCATTGTCGTGCATGACGAATGCTTTGCTTTATGCCATGCATGCATGACAAAGCGTAAGCGAATTCATAATCATATTTCGTAATTCAAAATCTCCAGCTGGCTCGCCATGCTGCTGAAGGAACAGTACGACATTCTGACGACCCGCATGACGCAGGCCTTCTCGCACATGCTACAAGGGTTGCAGGCGGATCTGCTCGAGTCGGCCAAAGCGGACGACAAACGCATGCGGGATTACGTGCAGAACTTTTTCCAGAAACTTTCCATCGCGGCCGACGTACGGCGGCTGAAGACCCAGATGGAACAGGCGCAGTTGGACATCTATGAGAATCTCAGATCGGTTACCTTCTCAACTGTTGCATGAATTTGTCATGCAAAACTACCATGATACATCATGAACATGATCATCCACACGATCAAGCTGCTTCGCATGACAAATTTGCAAAGGGCTAAACAGCACCTAAATGATCTGTGCGGAATTTGTAATGCTACAGGGGCAGCAACCTCCCCCCTTTGACTTTTGCTATTTTTGCATTACAAATTCGCGTAACTGTTGAGAATCTAAACTGATTTGGGAACGCCATAACATCCGGAGACTCCAGCAGGACTACGAATCCAATATCAAGAACGGACTGCAGCCCGATGTGGAGAAGGCGGAAATCCAGATTGCGGACTTGATTTCCATATTCTGAGTAAAAACGTCCCCACCACAGAGTCAAGATGGGGATTTTGCAACACAAACCTTGAAGTTTTGGGAACCACGCATGACAAATTGCAGGCTGTAGTGTAGTGCAGTTTAGCAAGGGAAGCCGCATCACAAATTCATCTCCTTATCCTGTTTATAGCATTACAAGTTCCAAAACACGATTGGAAATTCTTCTCGTGGGGATGCGCATGACAAGCGCTCTGGTGCTTGCAGATCTGCATTACAACTCTGGGGTGGGTACGTTTTTACATAGGATATTCCAACGTGAATCGCATCGAAAACGACAAGATGGTGGAGGAGGTGCACATATGCATTGCAAAAGTCTGCTCGTACAACTAGTATAAATCGCATGACAAATTGGCTCAGCATTACAAATGTAATTTGTAATGCGGATTTCCCTTTATTACTAGATTTGTAATGCATGACTGCGATTACAACTACGAGTGCGATGCTTTTGCATTGGATAGCACAAATTGGAGGACAAAATCCTTCTAGAGGGGGAGAAGGTGTTAGACATTGTCGAAACAAAAACGGTCGCTCTGAAAGCGTGGCAACGAGACAAAATGAAGGAGTTCCAGGACCAAACCACCGACAAAGTGGACAAGTTCGAGGAGAAAGTCGACGTGAAATTGAAAACGTACGAAACTTCGAACAAAAACCAGTGGCTCTGGAACGTGCACCAGCACTGCTACGCGGAAGCAGACGCGGAGAAAGACGACCCGGCGAACCTGATCCTGGACTACAGTACCGCCTCGATCAATTCCGCCGGTCCGCACCCGCCGCGCTTGGTCCCGAAAACGGTGTTGGCAAAGAAGCAGCAGTATGAGCTCCCAACCGAAACAGTGGCGTTGAAGGAGCACAACGTGTTAACTGACACGGGAATCACCCCCACCGAGTTGAACAAACAGCAAGTCCTCTATTCGCAAGATTTCTTCTTCTGCATGGTGCCCAATTGCTACTTGAAACTGATCATCGGGGAGGAAGTTTGTCACGCGACCGTGGAGGAAAAAAGACAGGCGAGCGCTACGACCTCCACTTCGCAGCCGCGCCGGGTCGTGGGGTGTTACCTGGTCTTGCAGTTTCCGATATGCATTGCAAATATGTCTGGGTCTGGAAACTTGTGATGCAAGTCCGTGAACAATAAATGCTCTGTAATGCGCCGCCAACCATGACAAGTTTTTTCGTGCTTGTGTGCTGCGTATTTCGCATGAGAAACTGCGCTTTTGCATCACAGGCAAGCGGGCCTCTTGGTGGCCACGCAATACAGAGTGCAGAGTCATGCCAGACTAGCATGACAAATCTCGCGATATTCCAGACCCAGACATACTTGCATTTGATATCCGAAGGAGGTGGATTACGAAAGGTCCACGATCCGTGTCGAGATGAACATGAACGGGCTGCTATCTTGAGTAAAAGCGTCCCTACACCAGAGTCAAGATGCGAAATCCACTATACAAATCCACCAGCTTTGGTTGTTTCGCATGACAAGTTTGTCATCATAGTGTAATCCTGTTTAGCTAGTTCAGAAGCATCACAGATCCAGCATATCCTGCTGATTCTAGCATCACAACTTCCAAAACACGAATAGAAAACGCTTCTCATGGGGATGCGCATTACAAACGTTCTTGTGCTTGCAGATCTGCATGACAACTCTGGGGTGGCGACGTTTTTACACAGGATAACTCCCTGCGATTTCGGACGGCCGCGGGCCGCGGTTCGTGCAGCAGTTGAACCGCGTGACGGAAATCGGGTTTCCGAATCTCGTATGAACTGCAAATACGTCTGGGTCTGGGAGAATGCGAGATTTGTCATGCTAGTCTGGCATGACTCTAAACTCTGTATTGCGTGAGCGCGAAGAGCTCTCCTTGTCTGTCATGCAAAAACTAAAACGCAGTTTCTCATGCGGAGCACGCAACTCTGAACCACGGAAAGACTTGTCATGCTGGGCAGGGCATTAAGTTGCGCTCACTCTTCCCTTTCTTGCATCACAAGTTTCCAGACCCAGACATATTTGCGATTGATAGCACGGTGTGGCGAACGTCTTGCGGAAGGGGAAGATTGCGATCGAACTGTTGACGTTGGAGTTGGATTTTATCCAAGAAAAAAACGTTGTTAGTGTAAATTTGTGATGCGCAACACGCAAGATGATTGCGTCTGTCATGCTTGGCATGCGTCATAGGTTCCATCAAAGGGCATTTTCCCGTACTATCTGCGCATGACAGGTTTTTGCTGTCATGCCAGACAAATTTGTAATGCTGTTCCTCCAGAAAAGTTACACCTACAATGTTTTTTTCTTGGATAGATTTGAAATGGAGACTACTACCCGGTTTAAACGAGACGCAAAGGCAAGTCGACGCGCGTTCGACGTTGAACCAGGAGATTATGGAAGTGTCAGAATCGAAATTGACAAAATCGAAATGATTTGCCATGCATAAAATGGATTCCAGCTCGAACCCAGTTTCTAAGTTGCGCATCACAAATTCTGGTGGTGCCTAAGTCCACTTTGTAATGCTGTTTAGGCAAAGAAGACAGGAGATTCTCTCATGCTGCTTTAGCAGCTCGAGCTATTACCCCAAACACGCTTACAATCGGCCTCACTTGCCTGCTCTGCAACACACGTATTTCGCGTCATGCATCTTATGCATCACAAATTTTTCGATTTTGTCAATTTCGATCCTGACAGTTCCATAGAAATTGAGATCATGAGGGGGCGGAACGTGAAGTCGGTTTCCTGGCAGATTCCCAACATCCTGAACATTTTAGATTCCCCGGACGAGGAAGTGAGGACGGCACCCATTATCTCCCCCTCGTTCACCTTAGCCGGGATCGACCAAGTCCAGTTCATTTTCTACCCGAACGGCTACCAACCGGCGTACCAGGACGCGTGTGGGTTGTTTCTCTGCTGTCCGCGCGGGGGGTGCTACTTGAAGGCCGAGGTGTCCATTGGGGGACTGGCGAAAAACACGAGATTGTACCAACACGAATACACGAACAAAGAGTTGACTTACGGCAGGGGGTCCTTCTGCAACGTGTACGACGGGATAGACAAAGTGACAAACACAATTGAAATCACGGCGAAGGTGTTGGACGGGTACCAGTACAAAACGAAGTTAGGGGAGGCGGACAAGAGTATCAAAAGGAAAAATCCCCCCTCCTCCCCATAATCAAAACGAAGTTTCTGATGCTGGATTTGCGTACACAAATCCGATTTGTCTTGCAGTAAGGCACTGCGGCCAGATGATCCGCAGTCTAGGTGGGAGCGTTTGGGTATAGTTGTTCAGCATTGCAAACAGCTACCCTCTAGGACCAGCAGCATGCCAAATCGTTTCCGCAATTGGTCGGATGCCTCTGCGCTTGTCTTCTTGCAAGACAAACCTGATTTGTGGTCGCAAATCAGCAACGCAAATTTTCGGAAATATACCTGTTCAATATGGGGAGGGGGGATTTTTCCTCTCGATAAAGAGTCTTTTGAAAGTCTGCCTCCACCCGTCCGTGGACGGAATTCAGGAGATCAAGGCGTTATTTGGTGCGGAAACCGACGATGTGGAAAAAGCTCGGGCACGGCAGGCGTTCCGGAACACCAGTCTAGCGTCCAAAGGGATCATATCGAATGCAAAAACATCTGGGTCTGGAAGGTTGGAACCTGTGATGCTAACTCTGGACTCTAAAAAAATCTGTAGTGCATGACCAGCGATGGGAGTCTAGCTTCTGCTACGCGGAGAGGGCGTTTGCCATGCGGAATAGGCATCAGGAAGCCCTCTAAAAATCTGTGATGCTAGGTCGTGCATTACAGACATCCTGGGTCATGCAAAACATGCATGACAAGTGCAAGTCTCAGAACCTTCCAGACCCAGACATTTTTGCATTTGATAGATCAACAACGTCGGGTCAAGTCCGCGGTTGGGCCAAGAACGTATGGCGTTCTCAAACGTTACATTCTCAACTGTTACGGATTTGGCACGGATTTGGATGCTGTTTAGCCCTTCGGAGATTTGTCATGCCAAGCAGCTTGATCATCTACCGGCTCAAGGTAGTTTTGCATGACAAATTCATGTAACAGGTCAGAATGTAACGTTTGAGAACGCCATAGAACGGGGACCGTCGCCGGACTCTGAAACACGGAAGATGAAAAAGTCGCAGTCCGGTTCCCCGCTCGGCTTCGGCGGTCATTTGTCCATCGGGAAAACGGCAAAGAACGAGAAATTCCACCTCTCCCCAAACCAGTTGGAAAAAACCTCGAAGATCAACAACCAACTGCCCCCGATTGTCACGCCCGGTGGGCAGTCGTCGCCTGTGAATCAGAAAAGAGCGAGGATTTTGAACAACAAACTCGAGCAGAGTCCCATTCTCGCGAAGGAGCTGAAGCGCCAGCAGTTGGAGCAGAAGGAGAAGGAGTTGGAGAGAAGGAAAATGGAGCGGAAACAGGAGCAAACGAATCGGGCGATGCTGAATTGGAAAAAGGTGAAAAAGATCGTGGAGAAGATGTCCTTATCAAATGCAAATATGTCTGGGTCCGTCTGGGAGATTGCGAGCTTTGTCATGCTAGTCTTGCATGACTCCGAACATTGATTGTATTGCGTGGCCGCAAAGAGCTCCTCTGGGCTGTCATGCAAAAACGCAGCTTCTCATGCGGCGATCGCAACTCAGAAGCTCACCGGAAAACTTGTCATGCTCGGCAGCGCATTACAGTGATGTGCTCACTATTCGCTTCCTTGCATCACAGGTTTCCAGACCCAGACACATTTGCAATGCATAGTCCTACGTCAGACGGATGAAAACACGGGAGATGCTGGATCGGGATAGAGAACGGGGGGAATTCCGCTGGATGAACCAATATTGGGAAGAAGTTTTCGGCAACGATGACGAGTGGCAATTTGACCCGGTCGCGAATAAGAAGCGGAAACAGCAGCAGATGCTTGCGGAAACCTTGGAAGCCGGATTGTCGTCCCTATTGACCGCGATCGGCGAGGTGAAGGCGGAACCGGATAAACTGCCGTTATTGTTAAAAATATCAAATGTAAAAATGTCTGGGTCTGGAAGATTGCCAGGTTTGTCATGCACGTTTTGCATGACTCCTGATGTCTGTGATGCATGCCCTAGCATCACAGATTTTTTGAGGGCCTCGCGATGCCTATTCCGCATGACAAATGCCCTCTCCGCGTAGCAAAAATTGCACTCCCTTTGCTGCTCATGCAATACAGATTTTTTTGGAATCCAAACTCAGCATCACAAGTTGCATTCTTCCAGACCCAGACACTTTTACATTTGATAAAAAACTGTCGGGGACGATTTGAAGGGGGTGATGGGAGAGGTGGCGGAAGTAATGGTGGCGATCGAGAATCCTGAGAATGTAGTCGTGGACGAGGAGGGAGAGGTTCGGGTGGAAAAGAAGCCGGGAGATTTGAAGAAAAAGAAGAGGAAAAAACAGACACGGGTTGCAGCTGCTGGCAACGAAGATGTCATCAACTGTGAGATCTTAGGCGAAGAGGAGGAGGATGAAGAGCAAGACTCTGATGCGGAGGACGACATTGCGGAGGCGCTTTTCGAAATCGAAACAAAGGACTTTGAGGTCGAACATAACGAAAAGTTGAGAAGGCGGAGCCGAAGCCCCAAAGCAGGAACAAATGCGAGTAGCAAAGCCAACAGTCGAAAGCAGTCGCCGGGGTCGCCGCACAGTGCTTCCAAATCCCCGCATGGGGGCTTCCGCGACAACAATTCATCTACAAGGCCAGCACCAGGGATGAAAAGTAAATCACCGAAAGCTAGTACCTCTGGGAACAAGAAACCAGTCCCAACCGGCGGCGTCGCCATTCCCGCACAGAAGAAACCGGCAACTACGACATCCCAAACCGACACGTGGCCAAACCCGCTTCCACCCAAACCGGAAAATGAAAACAAGCCGAACATCGACGGGCCGGTCCCACCGCCGGTCAACATCTACCCGCCGAACGAACCGCAGGAGGCGACGGTTTTGTACCACCCGCATGGCTATGCATTGCAAATATGTCTGGGTCTGCAAGATTGCAAGTACGTCTGCATCCTGCAAAAATCTGTGTTGCATGATTACCAAACGTTGTCCACTTTTGCCTAAGTCCAGAGGCAGTTTCTCATGCAGGAGCGGCATGATAGAGATCTCACAGGGCGGTCTGTCATGCTGGGTCCAGTATGCCAGACCTCAGGGGTCATGGATTTTCTGCATGACAAGTCTTGCATTCTTCCCGACCAAGACAGATTTGCAATGCATAATGGCGAAGAGCACTACCGGGACGAGTTGTATTGGGAATCGAAGTATCACATGTAAAAATGTCTGGGTCTGGAAGGGTACGCCGTTTGTCGTGCACATTTTGCATGATCCGTGATGTCTGTGGTGCATGCCCTAGCGTCACAGATTTTGTCACGGCTTTCTGATGCTCATACTGCATGAAAAATGCCCACTCCGCGTAGGAAATAGTGGGCCTCTTTTGCGGTTCATGCAACACAGATTTTACGTGTAATCCGTAGGCAGCATCACAAGTTGCCATCTTCCAGACCCAGACATTTTTGCATTTGATACGAAGGGCGAAGTCTTCCCCATCAACCGGTTCGCCGAGTATTCCCGGCCCTACAACGAGAAAGCGCGACAGGCGGATGTGGATTGGAAGGAACGGGTGAGGGAAAAGGAGGAAAAGCTCGGGCGGAAATCGTTCCAAATGTCGGATAGAGACCGTGACATTGCGGTTACGACGGAAGAAAAGTTTTACGACAAGGATGGGAAGGAGATCATCGAGATGAACAAGGAAAGCCAGCACGAAGAGATGGCCCGGACGTTCAACACAACGTCTGTCGATTTAGAGGGTAGTTCGGAAAATAATCCTTTGAACCAACTCCCGACGGAGGTCCAGCAATTAACTTACCCGGAAGACAATTCCCAATTTTTGAACACGACCTATTTTGAATACGATCCGACCATGGGTTTTGTGTACCAATTCGACCCGAACCGGTCCGACGGGTTTCCGATAGCACGGTTGACGGCGGAGAAATACCGGGAGTTTTACTACGAGGAGATGGAGAAGGGGATGATTAGCTCCGAGAACGAGAAGTCCTTCCCTCTCCCGCCGGCACATTTGCTAGACACGATTGAGGAGAAAGAGGAGGAAATAAGCGGTGCTCAACTACAGCAGACGGCAGAAGGTGGTGATGGTACTTCTAGTGGAGGTCAAGATCATGCACCGGAGGCAATTGACGCCCCAGCAGCCGGTGCAGCTGCAGCTGCTGGTGCACCTGCGCTGTACTACCCATCCCCGTTTGCGTCGGATTCGGATGGGGAACAGGAGCACGTTGTTGAGCCTTCTGCTTCACTCGGTCAACCAGTCGTCGCAGCCACGATCTCCGGCGACGCCAGTCCGCGGATTTGGCGGGACATCCCTGTACCGATTACGTCGATGGAGGAGTTACAAAACGCGACCTTCTCCAACACGTTCACCACGAGCGGGCAGCGCTCCTCCCGGAACACAAACACCTTCACGCTGACGAATACAAACACCTTCACGTTCTGCTCAAATGCCGATCAAGAGTGTGCTCAGGATGATGACCTTGAAGAGAACCCCCAACGCACGACGTTTGATGAGGAGGAAGCCTGCGCCAATTTTCCTTCCCTCCTCCTTTCCCCCACCGACGAAGCAGGGAAGGAAATCATTGAGGGCGAGCATAGCGAGGTCCTGAAACTCCCAAATTCTATTCTCCAGAAACCGGCGAAGCGGGTGAGAACGCGGCAAATTTCGACTGGGGAGGTTTTAATTTACGATGAGTCGCAGTTGAAAAAACTGGTCGAACAGAAATTTCAAGCGAACGACGGTAGGAATTACTGTGGAGAGATGGCGACCAGCATGATTGAGGTGGACGACTTCTACCCGCGAGACGACAGTCATATACTAGTGTCTGACAAAGCAACCGGGCAAACCAGTTTGAAGAGACAAGACCAGGCGGGTGTCTTGCGCGGGAAATTGTTCAGTGCGAAAGTGTTGCGGTCCGCCTCACCGAAAGCAGACTCGTTTACGACGATGAATTCCCCCAGGATGTTGAATTACGTGCCTGAAAAATCCACCGCGTTGTCACAGTCGCCCAAATGTTCTTCACCTGGCAGGACTAAATCCCTCTCCGCCTCCCCGTTGAGCCCGATCAGCTTGATGTCCGAGAGAATCGTGGAAAAGACGCGGCTACAGGCGATGGAGGAATTGGATATCGAACAGCCGGAGATGGCGTTGAAAAAGGAGCAAAATCTGCTGATGAAACCAAACAGATTGATTCACGACGCCAGAATAAATACAAGTTCGAACAAGCTTCATCATCTCCGCGGCACCGCTTCCGCCACTTTTTCCTCCTCCGCAGCGAGCACCATGCTGGGAGGTTCGCCTTCTTCCCGCGCCACACGGATTCTCTACGACGATCACTTGAGAAAAACCCTCGACCAGCAATCCGACCCGCGGTTTTACGACACGTTTTTCCCAAAATCCTACAAAAGGTCCGAGCAGGCGGAGAAGTTTGATAGAGCCGTGAAGAAAATCTTGGGGTTGACCGTGAAACAGTTGGTGGAAAGAGCGGCTGTGAAAAATAACATCCGGGTTGGGAAAGCGGGCCAGATTGAGGAGTTTGATCAGCATTTGCACTGTGAAGTGGAGGAGGACAGGTTTATTCAGCAACTACCACTAACAAAAGAGAACCGGGGGCTGTTCATGAACGAAAAGCAGAAGCAGATGGAGAAGAAGAATCCGTTTTTTTCCAGTAAATGGAATTTCGGCAGTGAGGACAAATTAGACGTCAATTTGGTTAAAGAGGAGGAACGAATGCGGGCGAACAGGGAGAAGTATGAAAAAGACGAGGAGGGGACAGTAGATGCTGGTAAAGAACAAGATCAGGACATCATCGACGCGTTGAAAAAGGCGGTTTTGCTAGGGACAATCGACGACGAGGATACTGTGGGCAAAGAACAAGCTGCTGACAAAGCGGATCATCCGGACGCCGCAACAGAAGTTTTTCCATCCTCGGGTGCTTTCGTACGATCTGCATCCAAGCCAAAACAACCGGTCCCGCTTCGCGACGGGACGCTTCGCATGATGCACGGTATCGGCATGCCGGTCCCCGAGGCGATCGGGCACCGCTATCGGGATAGAAACTACAGCCTGCGCAAGCAGAAAAAATCCGCTGAAGAAGTTCTAGCGGAAGCGGGAACGAAGTTTGACCTTACGACGGCGAAGAGTAAAGTGGAAAGAGATGAAACACACCAGGAGCAAGAATTACCTCATCATACTGGTGATCACCCAGGTGACAGCAGCAGTGCGTCGACTTCTGCGAAGAAAAGGGCGTTTTTGAAGAATCCAAAACGGTCGAATTCCTTCGAGTTCCCGCGGTCCGGGAATGATAGAAAGGAAAAGTTGAAAGACGTGAAGAAATTCGAAAAGGAGTACGATCTAGCCAGGAAGGGGGACTACCCTTTTCTGCGCGCCCCGGCGAAGGACGAGGAGTTTTTAGCGCATAAGTTGGAACTAGAATTAGACGAGGCCGGAGATCGAGCGGTGACGCCGGAAGCAACGCGGGCTAGTATGGACAAGAAGGTGGAGCGAGAGATTCTGGAGAAAATCAACGGCAACGGCTCGCACTACAAGAGGTCGCCGTATGGGATAAGTCAGGTGAATTACAACAGCTATTTGGGGGAATTACGGAAGAAGGAAATGGAGCAAATGTTTCACCAGGACAAATTGTTCTCGCTGCACCCGAATAAAGGCGCTGGGGGAACTGGTAGTAAAACAAGTGGTGGGCGTGTAGTCGTGAAGGAGCAAAGCATGACAAAGTCGGCTAGTACAGGGACAATAGCAACACAAAGCTCACCTAGAAGTAGTACACAGCGCAAGAGGTTAACGGAACAGAGTTTGAAGGAAGATCGGAGTCTTTTTCTCCAGTTCCAATATCAACTGTAAAAATGTCTGGGTCTGGAAGAATCCAACTTGTCATGCTGATTTTGGATTCTAAAAAAATCTGTATTGCATGAGCAGCAAAGAAAGTCAAGCTTTGCTACACGGAAAGGGCATTTGTCATGCGGTATAGGCATCAGGAAGCCCTCACAAAATCAGTGATGCTAGGGCATGCATCACAGACATCAGGAGTCATGCAAAATGTGCATGACAAACCTGACAATCTTCCAAACCCAGACATTTTTACATTTGATATCCAAGCCGACGATATGATGTTGAAGGACCGGGGGGACAGTGGGAAGGCGAAATATTAGGAAAAGAGAAAGACATGGAGGACAGATTTTATTTAAAGTTTACACATAGAACTAGAAGAAAAGCTGTGTCGTTTCTGGCATCTGGCATGCATACCAAATTTACGTTTTTCAAGTATGGTTTCTTTTTTCAAGCAATACAGCATTTCTGCAGCCTACTTTTTAGCTACCCCTCTAGTTTGAAAATTCTTTCTGTATAATTTTTTGTGTTGCAAGAAGTCCAAGCGCAAGTCCAAGTTGTCCATGCCTCCCAAAGGTACTGCGTAATTTGGAAAATGCACGAGCCTATGACCCATTCCCAGTTTTTGCCAAGAGCTTGCCGAAGATCAGAAGCATGCAGCAGACCAGATGGTCGTGTTGACTATCATGATTCATTGTCATGTTCTTTGGCTAGAAGTTCTCGAAAAGCGAAGGAAGGTCCGGATCAAATTCCCACCGATCATGAACACGACAACCTGATCTTCCAACCGCTCAGTTCTGAATTTGTTCTCGGATCGAAATTCACGATCATGTATCAGATTTGAATCGTTGATTGAAGCTCCTACATGCAGATCATCGTCAGAGTAGCACCCACCTCAAATGATCGCGATTCATTCAAACACGATCGCAAAGTCTGTGAACAAGTAGTCCTCTTTTCTGCTACTTCAACCAGCGACCTCCAGGCGATATGCTCGATGTGGCGACTTTTGTTTGTTGAGTTTGAGCAGTAGTGTTGTTTGTTTTTGTATTCAGATTTTCAACTCCACAAGAAGGTGTAGCGGCTACGTCTGTTCTTGCTCTCAGCTGAAAAAATAACCATGTACGGCTCTAAGAACCCTTTCGCCGCCCTTGCGGCGGACGAGGACTCCACTTGTTCTAGCGACATTGAACAGAATGAGCAGCGCGTGGTGTGTCAAGAACATCAAACCTCGTCCCCACAAAATCCAGCATCGAAGAAGAACAAGAAGAAGGTCGTCCGCAAAAAAGGCACGAAAATAAAGCAGAGAGCTGCTGCAGCCCTCAAGAAGCTGAAATCCATGCTGGAGACAGACGGCGAGAAGCAAGATATTACGCAGGACAAAGCTTCCGGCTCCTCGTCAGCATCAGTGCCCGCCCACGCCGCTTCTGTGAGGAAGAACAGCAAGGAAATAAATGGCGAGGCATCTTCACACACGCAGTCTTCAAATGCGGTGACACAAGGAGGAGCCAATGGCAAGCGCGGTTCGACTTCGAGTTCTTCAAGTCCCGGCTCATCATCTGCTGGAGACAAGACGAATGCAGCTGATTGTCCTCCTGCAACACAACTACCTGCGGAGATAGTTCCCACCTCTAGCAGTACAACTTCTAGATTTTTCTACCGCCCCGGCGGCGTGGAGGTGCAAGTAGTGGATAACCGCGACCCGGCTCTTTTGACCCTCTTCAAAAACATTCCCAGCGAAAAGAACCATAGTTGTACTAGCCGCGCGGATCATGCAGGAGTAGGAACAAAACCAAAAGCTTCCTGTGGCTCCAACACAGCACAACTCAGCGAGACGAAGACCGCGAAACCCGGCGAGGTGATTGAGGTACGGTACAAGCTGTGGCTGTACGAAAAACTGCAGAAGGCTTTGGAAAGGTCGACAAAATTCGGACCAGGGGCTCCTGTGAGCTCAACACCTGCAGCTGCTGAGCAAACACGATCTGAAAAATCTAGTACCGCTGCGGCCACTTCTACCTCCGCGACCACTGGTTCTACTCCTTCGAAGACAAAGAACCACCTTGACAGCCTCACTCTCGAGTTCCTGGAAAATCAGAAACCGGTAGATAAAGGCGAGATGGACTGGGTCTTGGGTGTCCCCAACCTGGTCATAGCCGGATTCGACCAGGGCTGCCGAACCATGAAATGCAAAGAGGTTCGGAAACTGTTTATCCCCTCTAAATCCGGCTACGGGAAGAAAGGCGCGTCGCAGGGGAAAATCCCGAAAAACGCGGACTTGGTTTTTCTCGTCGAGTGTGTGAAGATCGGAATAGATTGGGAGGGGGAGAACGCGTTGCTGTCCAGTACGAAAGACGGCCGGAAGCGGAAGTACACCGCGAAGGAAAGGGATGTCAGGAATCGAAGGGCGAAGAAAGCAAAGAAGACTTGATCATTGATCGCAGACAAGCTCTTCGAGTTGTATCATCTTGAACACGAACTTCAAATGGGCTTTGGCTCTTGCAAACTTGGAACAAATAAAATTCTGCTTATTTCCACAACGGGATAGAAAATGTGATTGTGATAAAATGAATTGCAAGTACGGACGCGAAACAGCAGCAGGGCGCACGAAAGGCACTCCCGAGTTCACATGATGTTCCTCCTGCGTTTCAACTTGGCGGGAAGTGAGCTTTTGTTCTTCACGGAGTTTTATCGCTGATCAGTTCGTTCATTTGCAAGTTTTGTAGTAGTGCCGGTGCGGGAGCGGATGCCGCCCATGCCGCGCAGGCACAAGATCGAGATCCTGTCTACATTCCGATTTTTCTCAGTGGTAGAACTCGTTTTGGAGGCAGCTCTTTGGCACAGTGTTTCTAGCTACTTCTCACGCTTGAACTTCACAGTGAAATACTTTAAAAATTTACTGCAATAGGCTCGGTAGTTGTGCCAAAGTCAAAGTCGGCCGGTAGAATTCTCGATCGTGTAAACTTTTCACCTGAACAATAAAAAAGGGCAAGCTTGTCTCATCAAAGACAAAGAATCCACATCACGTCGAAATGGCCTCATCTTCCGCTCCGACTCTTTTGGCCGACGGAACGGCCTCTTCAAATCTGGCCGCCTCCCCAGCCACGCTCATCACCACGACCGCAGAAGACTGGCTTTCCTCCAACGATTTCACTTTGACCACCCGGTCTGTCTACGAAAAACTGATCCACGGGCAGGGCACTTCCGACCGGAACATCGCACAACATATCTTCGTCGACACAATTATCGGACTGCACAAGGAGCTGTTGTTGAAAGATTCCATGATTGTGGACGGGAACAACGCGGTTATCGATTACGACACAGGGAATGTTACTAACTGTTTGAGTTTACTCCCGTTACAGCAGTACCTCCCGGAGCCCGACGAAGAATTCATCAAAAACTGCTGCGACACGCTGCACGAAAGCACGAAGTTAATGGAGAAAAATCCGCAGCTGCAAGCCGGAATGAATAGTAATCACGAAATCGAGATTTTCCCCACCTGGTTTGAGATGCAGAAGCAGGGAATTGCGGACTACGAGCAGTTTTTGGAAATGATTCAGGCGGTTTTTGTCCAAATTGCGCATTGCGCGGAACTATTGCAGCAGCAATTGATGCAGTCGGATTTTGGGAAATTATCCCGGAAGTTGAATGGCGGACTGATTGACCCAGGGACCATTGTCGCAGATGTGCTGAACAACGCGGGATCGGCGGGGCAGGGCGGTTTAGCAGCGACGAGTCTGCTGCGGCATCCCAGTGTGCACGGGGTCCAGGGAAGGAACTGCTAAGATAGGTTGCTTTCTGTTGTCGTTTCATGGCACCAGACGGATTGAAACAACGATGATGAAGTCACTACCTCACCGAGACAAAGTTTTGGCTCAGAGAACTACGTAGACGTGAAACAGAAACAGAGAAATGGAATGTTTTGCTCTACTCTCCAGAGCCGGTCGTCGCGCTGGCAGCGACATTCATAAAAAGTGCTTTTATTTCTCATTGTCAGCAGTGGTGTGCAACTTGTTAGGTCCATGTCTAATGTGCCGACGGTCATGATTAACATCATGAAGAACCTCGGCTTGAAAGCCGGCTCATTTCCTTGTGAACAGATGAGATCCTCGCTGCAAGACAAACCAGATCTGATCTAAAAAATCTACGATCTGGTTCTGAGTCTTTCACTTTGATCAAGAGAATTTCACTAGTGATCTCAGTCCTGCTCTGTGCTTGCGATCAAATTGGAGGATCAAAATTAGTTCGTAATTCCGGTCGAAGGAGAAATTGTTGATTTGTCGTGTGATGAAGACAAGCAACATAACGACCGGCTTCATCATTTCTTGCACCAACACAACAGCGACACTGAAACTGGATCTGGATCGTAGGATGTTGATTTGGCATTTGTTCGTCCAACTCCGCTTCACGAAAAATTCCTTGATTTAAACGTCTTGAGACACCACGAATCTTCGTAGTTATTTCATCCCATCTTCTACATCTTCTTCAGTTGATTTCAAGACAAAGAATCAATCATGACCACCTCCCTGAACGACCTGGATGCGCAGCTGGCTGCGCTAGCGACCGCCAACGACAGCGACAAAGAGGATTCAAGCGACAACGAAAACGAGTCTTCTTCGAGTTCCGATGTCGTTTTCTCTTCCGATAGTGAAGCTGCTGAAGCCACTGCGAAAAAGAAGAAGAAGACGTCGTCACCGAAAAAGAAATTGACGAGTAAAAAGAGAAAACGAGGAGGGGAGAAGCCGGCGGATGGTGACACCAAGGGCGGCGATAAAACGACTGCAAAGAACGACGCTGACGCAGAAGCTGATGCTAAAGCTGTTGACAACACCACAGAACCACCTGCAGATGGTGCTGATCAGGCGGACCCTGCAACTACACAAGCCAAGACTGAGGAGCAAGACCGCAAGGAGCGGAAAAAGCTGGCCAGGAAACACGCCAGTAAGGGACTGTCGAAACTCTGCTTCGCTTTTCTCAGAGACGGCGAAGAGGGCTGCAAACACGGCGGGAGGAACAATTGCGTGTTTGAGCACAAACATTTGTCGCAATTAACCGACCAGGAGCTGATTGCGTTGCGGAAGGATTTGTTCTACAAGCCGTTTGACGAGAAATTATCCTTGAAAATCCAAAATCTCAACATCCCGACCTGCAAGTCCTTCAACAAAACGGGGTATTGTCCAAAGGGGGGAAACGATTTCTGCCGGTATTGGCACTTAACCGACGCGCACATCGCAAAGTGGGCGGGGTTCGGGTATTTCTGCGAGGTTTGCACGAAACCGCTGACGAGCAAGGACGCGTATGAGGAGCATCTGGCGTCGAAAAAACACTTGCAGAAGGTGAATGAGCAAAAGAATGGGACAACAAATGACGGTTCTGGTTGTGCAGAAGCAGAAGATGGAAATAAAGGTGCCGATGCGGCAGGAGGCAGCTCTGGCGGAAAAAAGGGAGGGAAAGGCAAGAAAGGTGGCAAGAAAGGCAGCGGCAAGGACCACTACGTCGCATCAAAAAGCGGTAAAACAAGCAGCAGTTTTAGTAGCGACAGTGGCAAGGGTGGGAATGGTAAAAAGGGGAAGAAGGGCAAAGGGAAAGGAAAACCCACTGGAAAAAGTACTTGGAACGAGGATGGGGCCGCTGGTACAACATCCTGGAATTCGAATTCCTGGTCAACATCTTGGTCTAGTAATTCATGGAACAATTCATCAACAAGTGCAGAAGAAAAAAGCAGCGACATCAAAGCGACACCCGCAGCAGACGATGCAGCTGCAGCTGCAAGCTCGACCTCCTCACATAAGCGAAAGAGGGAAGAGAGAGATGCCGGCGCTGATGAAAAGCATGGTGATCAAAAAACAAATGTAGCTGCTGATAACGGGGACGGAATGAAAACAAAAGACACAACAAACGATGCGACAGCTGCCACAGAAGAACAACCTGCTCCGAAAAAAAAGAAAAAGCGAGGCGTTGATCCGAGAAAACAGAAACGAGAAGAGAAGTGGAACACTGCTGCTGGTGAAGAGGCAGGCGCCTGGTGGTGATACTATGTGTTTTTGTTATCATCGATTCGAACTGTTGAGGCTGGTACTGAATTCATTCGTTGTAAACCAACACAACTCAATCTCAAGTCATCAAAAAAGTTTAAGAACAAGGGAGCTGCTGTTGCTACGCAGCATGCGACGCAAGAAGTTGGGCCGGAGTGTCATTGTTCACAAATCCCGTCTGCTGATTTTTGGTTTTTGTGGCTCATCGTGCATTGTTTTCGAAAGTCGGTTTTCTATTCGGACACAGTAGTTTCAACATCCGATGCCCATGCCTCTTCCGTTCGGTCTTCTTAGTTCCATTCGTCCACTCGGTCGTCAACGTCCTGTGTCGTACAAACAATTTTTTCAACAAATCGTCGTGCTGATTTGATGGGTGTTTCCTAATTCGTAATGTCGTACCTTCTTCAACATCCTCGTAAGAAGTTTCGGTTGTGCAGAAAGTTTGGCATATCTCGGTTTCCTCGTAAGTACTGGTTTTATTCGTGCGATTTCGTCGTCGTTGTCTTTTCCTGCTTGTCGCGCACTTTTTACTTTGAAAACGATTTGAAAAAACGAAAACCAATTCGATCAGGAACCTCAAACTCCAACCTAATTCCCATGTAGGTTTCTACTCATCGCCCCTTAGATATTCAAGTTCTACAAAAGTTTCGTTACTCATAGTCACATCCAAAAATCCTTGAGCCTATACTACCACTAGAAATTTCCAACTGCCTTTGCCAACTAAGATACACGCAAAACATGTCACACCCCCGAGGACATCAACGACGACCAAGCTCTTTCCTGAGCTCTATGAGGAACAAATGGTGGCTATTCGGGTGGGAATTTTTCGTCTTGTTCCGAAATCATCTCCAAACCAGCATATTAATTGTTCCGCCAACTGCTGCCTTCAGGCTCGTTTCAAAGGAAAATAACGGAGGCGGGCTACAAAAGACCGTATCATCTTTGCCCGCACTTTCATCTTCAAAGAGGAATGGCCTTCACAAGAACAGAAGCAGGACGAGGAGCACCAGTAGCTTGATTGATCGAACAAAACCAAAAGAAAAATCGAAGCGAAGACAAAGAAGACCGACTACACTGGTGCCGAAAACCGCAGCATGGGGCGAGCACACGGTTGGAAGTGAACAAGTACAGGACAAGGCTGGCAGCAGTGCCAGCGGTAAAAGTAAAGCTAAAGCCAAACCAACCGTGCTTGAACCATCCGTAGTTGTGGAACCAGCACCGCACCAACCTGCTCCAGGAAAAGACACCGAAACGGACAAGATCAAGACAGAAGGAGCAGACAAGGAACCAGATGACACATCTTCACCGAGTCTTCCTGTTGTTGAAAAAACTCAGGACGACAAGAATGTGGACGAACTGAAGCTGCACACAGAGGAACATAACAAGAAAGTGAAAGACGTATTAAAAGCTCCAGCTTCACGACCAGCAAAAATAACCCCAGAAGATCCTGATAGTCCTCCCAGTCCGCAAGATGAAGCCGATGACTCTGGTGATGTTGATGCTTCACCTACCCCGGCTGCACCCCCAGCAGCCCCACTACGCGAGGACGAGACCTCGGAGAGCAACGATCTCGCCGAGCTAATAAATGGGATGAGTTATCTCCCAGTACCGGAGCAGCAGGATTCCGCTACGATTGTTTTTAACCCGCCTCCACCAGCTCCAGCACAAGGAGATGGAACTACATCAAGTTCCGTGTCAGCATCACAGCGAAAACTTTTAAGTGACGAGGTTCACGCGCCGGCGGGAGGCGGAGGGGCCGGAACGGTTCCAGCAGTGTTGTCGTCCGCCGAAGTCGTAAATGGAACCTCCACGAGCAGCAGCAGCACTACACCGGCGCCCGAAAAAGTCGTCTCGTCGCCGAGCGACAGTAATAACGCCGTCAGGACCGTGATGGTCGCCGTCGTCGGTTCCATCGTGGTCATCCTCGTGCTCACCGTGCTCGCCGTCAAGTGTGGCGGCATGACCTGCGGCCGGGGAGGTTCCCGGAAGCGCAGCAGCAGCGACATCTCCGCGTCCGATGTTTCGCGGTCCGCGAGCGAACAAGGTGATCGTAAAGACGACCACAAACACCACAGGAAACAAGACTCGATTGGCAGTCAAGTTCCGTCCAGCTTCGACTATGGAAAAGCCGCGAAAAAGGACAAGAAGCACAAGCACCGGAGCAGCGACACACATGGGGCCAGCTCGGTCGAAGACCCCCCGACCATGGAGAGTTATGTCCCGCCAGAGTCGGACGTAACCTCCTTTGCGCCGCCGAAACAGGGCGGTGGTGGTGGCCAACAGCGCGACAGCCGCGAGGAGAAGAAGAAAAAGATATGAATTGCAAATATGTCTGGATCTGGAAGGATACCAACTTGTGATGCTGCCTTTGGATTTTACACGGAATTTGTGTTGCATGAACAGCAAAAGAGGTCAAGTGTCTACTACGCCGCGGAGACGACATTTCTCATGCAGTATGGGCATCTGAAACCCCTCAAAAAATCTGTGCTGCGAGGCGATGCATCACAGACGCCATGGGGTATGTCAAGTGTGCATGACAAACATTTGCATTCATCCAGACCCAGACATATTTGCAACGCATAAAAGAAAAAACACTACGACGACGATGACGACGATGAAGAAAGCGAGCGCGAACGGGACAAAAAAGAGAAAAAGCGGCTGAAGAAAGAGAAACGGACCGAGAGCTTTGATAAAGGAGGTATATGCACTGCAAAAGTATCGTACCCGTAGTAATCGCATGCATGCATGATAAATCTCTTTTTGTTTTTCAAGGTAAATCAGCATGAGAAATTCCATTTGTCATGCTGAGCAAATTTGTGATGCGATTACTACTTAGTACGATGCTTTTGCAAGTCATAAGGTAACCACAGCTACGACAAAAAGAAGGGGAGTTTCGACAAGGAAAACTCCTTTGACAGCAAGAAAAAGAGAAAACACGACTACGACGAGGACGACGACGATGAGGAAACTCAGAATATCCGCAGCGATTATGACTACGATAAACCCCCAGCTGACACACGGAAATCCCTGTTGTTCCAAGTCGCACGAGAGGCGAGCGTGCGCGTCAGTGCGATCGGAGATGCGCATCCAGAACCGGCGCGGGCAACCATGACCGCGCCGGACGATGGGACGCCGATATCATTCTCATAGAATCGACATGTGAATGATGTATCGATATCAGACAGAAACAGAGGTTATGTTACCATGACCCAGTAGAGTGAGTGCTCCATCATAAAGTTATACTAGCTTGATGAGGTAGTTGTATGGGTGTGCGCAGCCTTTTATGCTCTTTCGTCACACCAGTCTACAAAGCCAGCGTCGTCAAAAATACGAGAGTAAGCTACCAGGAACTAGGAGCTCCGATCACAAACTCGGTAGCAGCAGTACGTATGTGCTGAAGCACATACCAAGATAGGATAGAAGTTTCTTACTTTTTTTTTGAACTTCCAAAATGTGTAATCTTCCTCCCTGACACGACATCAAATTTGTACTTATGTGTAAGCATCAGAAAAGCCCCACCCTACTGTCAATCCAGAAGCAAAACTGCAAAATCTCAGATAGAAACAATGTAAACCCTGCTCCCCTCATGTTGCTCAATACATTACGCCGGAAAATGTTTTGTTTCGCAAAGCGGCTTTTTCCGCTGCTATGGTCTTTCTCCTGTTCTTTTTCTGCGTACTTAAAATGTAAACCAGAAAGGTAAACACGCTGGTAACGTCGGTCTCGGTCGTCTGCTATGCCTATGCCCTGTGTGCCTTTCTTTGCTTGTCTGCTACTCCGTACGGTTACATGCTTACTTCGTCGTCCCGGTGCCACATCGGTTTGTCACAACTTTGTATTGCTTCGGATCGGTTCATATCGTCGCATACCTGGTCGGTTCCAGTTGTCGTACAAATTCTTGTCATCTTCGGTTAAGAAAAATATTTCGTCCGATCGTTTTATGACTGCTCGTGCATTCGCAGCGGAAGAACAGATACGTTGCTTCGTCCTGGTCCAACAAGAAGTTGTTATTTTCGTACTCTTCGCATTGTCTACATGTACATCTATTTCGACTTTGTGTCATTTCAAGAGTGATGTCTTAAATCAGACTGTATATTTTTGCACAAGGAGCTGCATGATCAACATTTTCCCACCAACCAACACCAGCACAGCTTGAATTACACCCCTTGAAAATAACCCAAAAGTCAATCTACATTTCTTGTTGTTTATACCCGTACTAGGTCGGTGTTGTCTTTTACCTCCCTAAAAATTTGTGGTTTATTAGCCCATTGTTCTCGTGGTTTCGCTGTCGTCCGACACCTCTGCACAATTACGCATGTCTGGAAGAATGTTTTCTAATTTCTTACGTGCAATAGACTTACAGTGGAAGGGTTTTTTGTACGGCTGAAGTCCGTGTCCGTGTCGTCGCAACCCGACCAAGCAGAGCGCGCGGACCAAGAGGATCAGCAATTCCCATGGACGAACAAAATCTTCACCGCGCTGTCAGTCTTACCAGCAGCACGACCTCCCCGAAGATGAGAAGAACTACATCAAAGCGGACTACCCCAGGACCAGCGACGGGGGTCGTGCAACAGCTTCTGCGACTGGCTGTCGCCAGTACTACAGCAACAACATCATGCGGAGGTCCGTGGCCCTGGTCGTTTCTAGTACAACTCCAAGACGCTGGTTGTCCTGGCACCAGCTGCAACGATATAGCATCATCGACTACAGTAAAAAATATGGGAGCAGGAGTTTTATTAGTTTCGGCGTTTCAGGTTCGTCTGCAACAGCAAAAGAAAGCGACCACGATGAAAAAGCGCGTAATACAGACAAAGCGTGGACGAGGCGGACAAAATGCGCCTGCTCAAAAGATACCGAAGAACCAAAGTGCGCGGCCTGCTATAAAGGCATTACCTAAAAAAGTAAATGACCATGACGGACAGAGAGCAAAAGGTCGTAATGGTAGAGTTGCTCCGCCCGTGGTCGTGGATCCCGCAGTTGTCACAGAAGATGTAGTAGATCCTGGTGTTGCTGACGACCCTGCAAATGGTAGAACAATCACGACGACGGATCATGCTACTAGTACAGTGACAGTAAAGGACGACGATAGAAGCACTGAGCAAGCAACAAATACTAACCGGGGAGTCGTGGAGGAAGACGAAGATAATGCAAGCGTTTTGAGTTTGACATCAACTTCTTTTGCGACGTCATCTCCCACTACCAGAAGAACCAGCAAAGACCTAGTATCTGCGGAAAAATCCGAATCAGCCAAGGATTACGATTACCTCACAAAAGTCCACGATAGTTCCCTCGCAGCAACTTCTACATCTCTACTCAGCACACAATCCTCGTCCTCCCACCTCGACGTTTGTGCTTCGGAGACTGCCACCTGTGCCCAGGGCAAGTACCGCGAACCGGTAAACCCGCTCTGCAAGTGCCCGCATACCAAGCCGCTGTGTCTCATGCTGGGTCACTTTGACGGACGCTGTTTCGAGAGCAAGGAGGCGTGTCAGAAAGATGAGACACTACTAGTTGATGAGCAATATCCGGAATGCCTCACTGTTGGTGAGCACATGCGCTGCCCGGAGTGCTTGGAAAATGCTAATGTGAAACGGGCGGTGACAGAAGAACTGTGTGTAGCGCACGATGCGTGTGTAGCCGCCGTCTGGGACACGGAGAAAATGGGAGAACCTCCTATTTTATCCCATACAGGCCTGCCTTTCCTGGAAGACGAAGAGCCACCTTTGCTGGAAGCGCTGGGCGTGCAGCAGGGAAAAAACACAGTTGCGGAAGCGATTTGTTGTCCGAGCGATAAAAGCACGACCACCTCCGGTGAACAATCCTCGGAGATTGTACTTACGAAAACGAAAAAGAGCTACACGTTGTATGACTATCAGCTGCCTCTGTCTTCTAGTCCGCTTGATAAGTGATAGTTGCGCAAAGTGAAGTTCATCATCTGCATAAGGAACTCAAAACAGCAACTTTCAAGAACATCGACTGCGTTATGTTTCTTATCAGGGCACGGGCACGACCCAAAAAACCCACTGATAGCTGTACAACTGCAAAAGTTCTCTTTTCCTTCCCATACTTCGTTCCCAAGCGTGCTGCCTCAGCCACCCGGACCTGAATGTGAAGCCTTTCAAATCTTTCCTGGGCACGAGCGCATCTGCAGGATCATCAGCAGCCGCAGACCTTTCGCTTTCCTCCACCAACAACACTTCTAGTCCAGAACAGGGACTAGGCGGGAACGGCTATAGTCCAGGAGGTGCGGTGCAGTTCCTTCCAAATACCTCAGCGCAAAGCCAAACGGCCGCTGTACCACCAGCATCTGGAGAAGAAGCGGCTCCAAAAACGGGAAGTAGCGGCACGACGGCCGAAGGAGGTGCCGGCGCAGTAGATACCAGTGGCGCGGTCTGCGACACCGGGTTGGTGATTTCGATCCTGGTATCCATCATCGTCACGGTCATCGTGGTCACCTCCGCCGTCGTATCAAATGTAGAAGTGTCTGGGTCTGGAAGGATGCGCGATTTGTCATGCAGCTCTTCCATGACCCGTGAACGTGAAGCCTGGAACGCAGGACCTAGCATGACAGATTCTGCGCGATCTCTCTCATGCCTATCCTGCATGAGAGCCTCCGTCCCGACTTGGTCAAAACTGGACGACTTTTGGTAATCATGCAACACAGATTTTTGCATGCTTCAGATTTAGCATGACAAGTTGCATTCTTCCAGACCCGGACATCTTTACATTTGATACGTCGCACTCTACTGCTACTTCTGCGTGATGGGGAAAGACGGGTATCTCAGCATGCCCGGCGTGGCGGACAAGAAGAAGAAAAACAAGAAGAACAAAAATGTATCCTGTGAAAAAACGTCCACTAGTACAACACCCCAGAGTTGTCATGCAGATGTTCAATGACAGGAGCACTTGTAATGGGCATCAGCAAGGGCAACGACAAGGGAGGCATGTCCATTCGCGTTTTGGTATTTGTAATGCTGCGAACAGCAACATGATGTCATGTGGAAATGGCTTTGTGAAGATCCACGTCTGCTGTCCTTACTTCTCACGTGCACTACAAAACAGCGAGAAAGAACTTTTCATGCGTGATTCCCAAAATAAGTTGTGGATTTGTGTTGCAGAGGCCCAGGCCCCAACAACTTGGTTTCGTTGTGAGGACGTTTTTATCCAGGATAAAACGCCATCGGGAAGAAGTCCACCCGCGCTACGCTGGCCGACCTGGTCCGCAGCGAAATCTCGAAGTCCGGCGTCTTCGACGCAGACGTTGCGGACGATCCGAACGCGAGCCGGAAAAAATCCATTACCGTGCCAGACCGGCCACCCACCATCGCGCTCGACCCGGAACGCCCCGTGTCGTTTGCGGATTGAGCTCAGATAGAAGAGGAGGTCTTTTTTTATACAGAAGTGTTTCTCAACCTCAACATCGACGCAGCGGGAGAATGTTGACGTTGACGTGTGAAAAACCAATAGAGCGGTGCATTTTTTGCACTTTGTTTCATCATACTGCACTCACTAATATCATTATCACGTCGTATTTCTATGTACCAAATTTCAATTTCTGTCTTTAGTTCCCCACTTTCTTTTTTGTAGGTTCGAATCGTGCTATCGTCCCCAACTGATTTTGATAACTACAAGAACGTCTTCCTCAGTTGTACCAGTTGCAGTTTTGAGTTTTCTGGCTGTAGATTTTATTGAACTTTAAGTGTAAAACTAAAAATCGCGCTCCTGTTGTATTTAGAATTCCCTCATCGGCATCGTAACACGACACATTTTAAACAGTTCAAATCATACACACTGCATTCATCTCGTCTATTGTCCAATAAGACTCTGTGTACGGGTTCGTGCAGAGCGATTGATGCGACCTTTGCAGATGACAGGTCTGGATCCCTTGTTTTGTTTGTTCGCTTTGTTCGAGCGTGCCATCAGCAGCTGCAGATTGATATTTCGAGAGCAGACGAGACGACGAAGGTTTTTGCATTGAGCTTGTTGTTGTGTTTTTAGTTGCGAGGGCAAAGCAGTTGAGAGTAAGCCTGCGTTTTTCAGAAGAGCGAAGATGTGAAGATTGCGAGGACAAAGGCGAGAAGATAGGTGGAGCGCCTTTGGGCGTAGCCTTCAACAACGCAATTTCCTGTCTCAGATTCAGCCAAAAGAAAACCTACGCTACGTGTGGCTGTTAACCATGTGCGTAGGCATCGATCGGGCGCTGAGGTAGGGTCGCGCAGAGGGGCAATTCCCCCGCCGCACCTCGTGGGGCGCAGAGAGACGCGGCGCGCCTGTTGTCTGGCAGGCTAAAGAAGAGCAGCACGACCCGGGAACGGGGCTCGCCTCGCCGGGCCCGAACGCGCGGGCCAGAAACACAGTGGCGGCCTCCTGTGTCCGCCTGCTGTCGGTGTGTCTCCCCACCCCGCTGAGGATGCAACCCGCGAGCGGCCGACCAAGAACGACCACGCCAAGGCCTCTGCTGGTGCGGCTGCCTCGTCCGGCGAACGCCACTCCGCATCCGGCCCAGGCCCCCCGCGGCCTTCCAGGCCGGCGCAGGAGTCAGCGAAACGGCCACGGCGCCCACAATCGGGCCGGCGCGGTTTCCGGGTTGTGTATTTTATTGCACAGGGCAGCGCCGCCACGTGCTCACGCAGTCAGTCACTGCGGGGGCCTGCCGGTCCTGTATGTTCGGCAGCCCCAGCGTCGGCCCTGGCGCCGTCGCCCGGCGGGCAGAGACCTGCGTCCGCCCTTGCTGGTTCTGCTGGTCCGTTGGCCGTCGGCCCTTTCGTGCGTGCCCCCGTCTTCCGTATGTGTGGCGCGCGCCTGCTTGCCAGCGAGCGCTGGGCCCGCCCGTCGCGGGAGCGCACCCGCCCTGGCGCCCGCTGTGGTAGGCTGCTGTGAATGGCCCCAGTGGTCGGGGATAGTGCTCCGAGCGCATGGCCGGAGCAAATAGCGGATTGGCGCGCTCCTTTAGCGCCAACTTTCCACTCATATTCTGCTCTCCGGCTCTGACAGATTTCAGTATTCTGTCTTCTCGAGTTCCTTGTCATACAGCACTTCTGCACGGCGATCAGCGAGCGATGAGGGCAGAGGTCGTCGACGAGGGTAGAGCCGGATGGAAAATAGGAGAAATGTGATTGAGAGTGAATAGATTGCCCCTCTGGTTCTTGGTGCGTGCTGCTCTCGTCATCTTCTCGCGCCAAAAGGAAAAGGTGCTGAGGGTAAGATTTTGTTCAATACAAGCGCGCCACAGGAAATAAGCAGAAGCACTTCAAAGCATTTACTTCATGTTCATGTGGCCGCAGGCTGAGACGGCCGCGTGAAAGTCGCAAAGCCTTATACCTCTCTTCTTCTTCTTCTTCTTCACCACTTTCTTTCCGTCGAATCTAGCAAGCACTCAAACGCACACCAGCAAAAAGAAAAACCAAACTTAAAGATGGCGTCTGCAACCGCCCACGCCAAGCGCGAGATGCTTGACCAGCTGCAGCAGGCGATGTGGTGGCCGGTGTCTTCGTCCGCAACTACGGGAAAAATCACCACTACGAAAAGGTCCATCGGTGGAGGTTCCTCTGCTTCATCATCTTCCTATTCTACCAGCTTTTTGTCTTCGGAGAACGACCCAGCAACGTCTGGTCAATTGACGTCCTCGCGCAACACTTCTAGGGATTTTGCTTTTTCTCCAGCATCGCCATTTTCTCCTACTTCAGACCGATCTCGTACATCAAGAACAAACACGGTCGTCCACATGAAGACCAAAGCCAGACACTTGCCAAGCAAATCTGGCACGACGAGCTTCTACGCCCAGATTCCGAAAGTGCCCCTCTGCGAAGATTTAGACGACCAAGTGTTGCGGAAGGGAGAAGCCTGCTTTTCGGACTGCGGAAAAAGTATTTGTTTCTTTGTCATGCAGTTTCCGCTTTCGGGATTTCTTGTTCTTCGGATGAAGTTAGTGTTGCATGATCTGCATGACAGGTAAACACATCTCCATTACGATTACCCAATCTTCCACAACAGCTCGCGGCAAACAAAAATGCCCTCAGCGGGTTTTGGAGCACGGCTTGGGTTTCTCCAAGGACGAGGAGTGCAAATCTACGGTCGAATGCGTGGCGGAGGACCGGGTTTTGTGTCAAGCGAATAAAGGCGGCGTCGCGGAGGCGGGATTTGATTTCTTCGCCGCTGCACCAGCAGCTTTTGCGGCAGCTACGACGACTTCGACTACACTCGTCGAAGCTGCATCAAGTACTAGTAGCGCAGCAGCTGCAACAACAGCCGCAACCTCGGCGTCTGGTGTGCAAACTACCTTCTCCGCGGGTCTCGGATTGCTCTCGCTGTTTTTGTCCGCCTTACCGGAATTCGGGGTCGCGGTGCAACAGCAGCAACAGACAGCTGCGAGTTCTACTTCGGTAGTAACCTCCGGAACCACGACTACGGATGCCACCAATCCCCTCACTGCAACGACAACGTCTATTACCGGAATAGACAGTCAGTATTTCGACGAGGGAACGTTAACAGCGGGAAGTGAGGAGTACGACGAACCAGAACCTTATTTCGAGCCATTACCAGAACCGGAGCAGGACGAGGTGACGAGCAAAGAGGATGAAGACCAGAAGAACACTACTGGGGGGACCGCCGCGTCTTCTACTACGTCCAACGCAGCCGCCTCTTTCCCTGACAAGCACAACCGCCCCAAGAACTCGTGTCAGCAAAACCAAATCAACCAATTCAAACAACCGAAGAACAACTTGGATTTGGAAAGCCTGTGTCACGGGCTAGCTGGTCCGGGAAGTGGGAAAAATTCGGCTTCTACCACGTCCTCGTCATCGTCGTTCAGAGCGACAGGTGGAAACAAGATGAATCCAATCCGAGACCACGGCAAGAACTCCGGAAGATCAGGAACAACCGGGCGAGAAAGAGATCGGGACCACAGACAACTTCTGGAATTTGATGCGGATGGAGAGGTGATTTTTTGAAATTTTGGTAAAAGCGGGGCACACGACGTTTCTGACTGTACGTTTCCTAGAACTAATAACGCAGAACTTTACTTCAACTTTTTAGCTTGGATATACAAAGACTATTGTGTTTAAGACGGAATTGGAAGAGGAACCCCATTGCCACTGATTTTCCGTCTCAAATCTAGCGATATGCAGACGTTTGCGTAGAAATGTTTGTATGATATTCAGGATAACAAGGTTGTAATGTTTGCTCGACCAGAACAGCCTCGCAATGGCTTCTCGAAGGAGAGAAAATCCTAACTGAGTCGACGCGTTTGCCACGACGTGGTAGTTGAAGTCGACCCTGCAATGCTCGGCGCAGGTGTATAATTCGCTGTCTTGTTGGAGCGAGGTAACAAACCCAAACGAGAACTTCGCGGTTGAGTTCTCATCCGGCCGGCCGGCCGGATGAGAACTCAACCACATCAGCGGCGGAAATCGACCGGCTGGTCGTCCTGGTCAATTGGCCCGCCATTCGCTCGGGCGAAAGGGGGGGGGGGCGGCCTGCTGGAGACCGACGCTTCCCTCACTCCACTTTCGCCGGGGGCCGTGTGCAACACAAAAACGCTACGCGCGCCTGCTGTGAATACAGAGAAGCTACGCTATGCAGCGGGGCAGAAGTTGGAAAATTTTAAAGGTGGCGCATTGTGCGCGCCCGCCGCGGGCGCGCTTTCATAGTTGGACTGCGCTATGCCTTTTGGCTTCTGGGTGGAATTCGAAAGAATTGAATGCAAAAACATTCGCGGGGCTCGCAAACGCAATAGGCAAAATTTCGCGGGGCGCGCAACGCGCGCCCGCTATACGTTGCAATCGCCGGCCCAGAAAGCGCGTCCGCGCGCCTCTCCGCTGGCTCATGCTTGCTTCGGCGCAACAGTTGGCAGATGCGCCGGATCCGGGTCGGACGCGCTTCGCGCGTCCACCGACTTGCGTGATGGGAGGCGGGGCCTCGCTCGGCGCGCCGGGCAACCAATCTCCGACGCGCCGCGCGCGCTGCCCTTTGTTTCTGCCGGCGCCCGAATCCTGCGGCGCGTCGGGCTCCAAAGCTGCCCCCACCCGATAGCAGGGACAATGCAAATGGCCTGGGCCGCGCTTATGTGTGCCTCCGCCGGGCTACTGGCGCCCTAGCAATCTTTATCGTTTCCCACACGCGAAGGCGGCGCAGCAGGATGGCCCGCGCGCGCAAGTTGTACGCTGTTGCTTTGCTTCCTGGTGGGGTTCGTCGGCGCCCGGCCGCAGCCGGCATGGTCACTCAGCCAGCGCTGCGCGCCCGCGTTGGGCTGTGCCCCCATCCTCTGGGCCCCCAGGCTTATCGTCTTTTCCGGCGACTCGCAGTAGAAGTAGCAAACAACGCAGCTTCTGCTTCTTGGCTTTAGGCACTTGCCGCAGCTTTTGCATGACAAAGCTCGGGCTTTTTGCGTAGAAGTGAAACTGCGCAGCTGGGGGGTGACAATCAAGAAGAAGAGTGAGGCCGTCGACCAGGAGGGAAGAAGGGGACCCGGACGACCGGCCGGCCGATTTCAATCCGCCACAGATGTGGTTGAGTTCTCATCCGGCCGGCCGGCCGGATGAGAACTCAACCGCGAAGTTCTCGTTTGGGTTTGTTACCTCGCTCTTGGTGTTTTTTCGTCTAACCCGAGGTTGTTAGAGAGCGCTGAGGGGCTTGAGAGATGGTACGTGAGAGTCGCTGTGAAAGTGGTTCGTCGGCGACAGCGATTGCGTGTCAGCTCGAAGCACAAGAAAGCCGTCCGGACGTGGCGCGCTGTTGTGGTGGCTGGGGCTGGGTGGGGCCTGCGTGTTCGCATCCTTCAGGGAAGTGCTGGCGTGCCGGACCCCCGCCCACCGGCGCGGCTCATTGCGGGGCCGACAGGCTGGCGAGCCCCGTGGCCTGTGCAGTCCCTGCGCAGATTAAGTATACATAGGCGCGGCCCGGGCTTGGCCGTATTGTCCATCTCCAACGGCGCAAGACGAAACGAATGCGTGGGCCAGCGTCGGGCGCTGCCAGCCGCGCGATTGTTGTGATCACGCCCCACCTCCGCGGGCCCGCGCCACCTCGTCCAACTTGTGCGCCGCCCTGGGCCCGCCTTCCCCCGGGCGTCAGCGCTCGGCCCCGGGCCCCGTTTTTTTTTGCGCGGCGCGTTGATACGCCCCCGACAATGAATCCCCCGCGCCGCCCGGCCCTGCGCGGCCGGCGTGGCCTTTGATTGGGCCTGGCGGACGCCTTGCCCCCCCGCGCCCCCTTTCATTCCCTGGCGTTTGTTCGGGCCCCCGCGGCCTGCCGCTGGCAGGGATCGATGGCTTGTCCGCGGCGGCCGTTCGGTGTTTCGCCGTGTTCTCGCGCAGGTAGATTGCTTCATTTCTAGTGCGCGCGCCTGCTGAACCGCTGGGCGCCGCGCTAGTTCGGCCTGGCTGGACGTTATATCAATTGTTGTGTCGCGGGCCATCGACGTAGGTAAGCATGGAAGCTATGATATTGCTCCGCAATGTACACGTGCCCGTGCGGAAATTGTGGTGGCGCTAGTGCCATGCCCGTCCCGTAGTGGAGGGCGAGCATGACGGTCCGTATGTGTTGCGCAAGTAGGAGAGACAGGAGTGGAGCAGAGTTGGAAAATGCCGTGTGCTCTTGCGAGCAGATCGAGCTCGAGTGTGAGAGCAAGCCGATATTGGTTTCAATTTGATGTTTCTGGCTCATTTCCGGAGAGAAGACGCTTCTTCCAGAGAGACTCAACACGAGATGAAGCTTGGTAATGCAGATAATGCTCGCGCTTCGTCGTGATCGTGAAGACCTCGAGATGTGTCTGCTCTGGTTAAATTCTTGATGAAGAAACTCATACCGAGTAGAAAGAGCGGAGCAGGTGCCGGCGTTGTGTTGTCATAAAGGCCGGCGCCGTTCCGCTTCCGGTCCGGCCGCCCGGCGGGCAACTGGCGCCCAAGCGTCCTCCTTTGGCCCGCCGGAAGTAGCGACGAAGGAAAACGCGACGCCGGCACAGTTTCCGCGTTGTGGGGATCGCCCAGCGCAGCTGCGCACTGCTGCGAAGATTCGGAGCGCGGCGCCACGCGGGAAATCATGCCGCGAAATGATAGACCACCAAGGCCGGCCCCGAGCATCTTCCAGGTCGGCCCCGGGGATCTTCCAGCGCCCCGGCCATTTGCCCCGCCCGCGTGGCGTAATGGTCCGCCTGTCAGAGTGCTCCGCGCGCGCTGAGGGGGGGGGGCGCGCCCGTGATTTGTGCGTTTGCGCCCCTGTGCATGGCCCGGGCGGCCGAGACACGCGGGCCGGCCTTTCGGGCGGCCGGTCGGCCCCTGGCGCGCCATACTCTTCGAAACGCCCCGACGCTTTTACTCAGGAGCCTGGCCGCCCCCCCCTTGTGGCCGTTGGTTCGCACACATTGCCGGCCTGGGGGGGCTCTTGTATGTGCTTTTGTGGGGTAGGGTGCCGGGCGCCGTGTCCTACGCACGCTCGCACGCTGCCAAGGCTCTACTCTGTGTGTAGGCCCGCGGCAGACGCGGATGGCGGCCGCGCGATGACGTATGCTTGCGCAAGAGCGCCGCCACATGGTGCAGGTAGTGTCATTGAGTCTTGAGTGCCATGTGGGACGGCAGCCCGGAGACATGGCCGTGTCTCCACGAAGTTTCCGTGTGTATCAGCATGCAGAGGTGAGCTCTTGCACTACTAATTAGAAGTGGAATAGAGGCGGCAAAGCGAGGACAGCAGCTAGCTTTCGGAAACAATATAAACAATAAAAGGACGTCGAGGAAAACTACTACAGTAGCGCGAGAGTGAGACATGTGGAAGGCTACTCGTTGACCACTTGAGTGGTTCGCGCAGACGAGACCAACAGGCTTGATCATCATTATGAGAGCACTCGCCATTTTCGTCGTTGTCGTTGTTTCATTCCTTCGTGGCACAGGTCAGAACATCAGTCATGTTGGTTGATCATGCTCAAATAGCGATCACATCGCTCGGATACTCTTGGCGCAACTGACCGCCTTTTCGTGGGTGCTTCAATTTGTGAGGTAAATCTAAAGCACGACTAGCGGAACAAACGCACTATATCTTCCATAAAAAAGCAAGACGTTTTTCGCAGCGCCCCTGCGATCGAAGAAAGCGTCAAACTAAAATGTACACGACCGCACTCAATCTCCAAGCAGCAAGAAGCTCAAGTTCATCTTTCGACCCTTCCCCAGCGGTTCTTCTTCCGACGAGCGAACTTCTGAACATTTCCTCCACTAAAAACAACGACTACTTCTGCGAATTCTGTCTGTTCCACCTGGTGATCTTGTCGATTCTCGCCCGTGTGTACCTCACGAAGGAGTTCTCGACGAAGGGACTTTCGTTTTTGACCAGGATGCTCTTGTAAAGTAAGACTCGATAGTACACTCTAATACGACCCCCTCCTCGACAGTGTGTACAACAACTCATTTGATTTCTCATCCGCACTTGCAAGCAGCTTCACTGAAGACGCGGGTTTTCTGGCATTGGCATTGCTGGTCGACCAGGGGCAGCGCAACAAATCTACTTCGTCCAGCAACAGCTGCAAGAAGATGCAGCGCAAAGTGTACACCTCCGCGAAAACCACCAGTGCTGCGCACAGCACGAATTCCCCGAAAAGAACCGTGCCAACGGCCGGAGGGAAAAAGGTGGAGCAGAATTTGGCCGCGGAAGCAGAGGCAAAGGTACTACTGTAACTGTTGTTTGTGTTGCAGATTATGCAAGAAAATGAAAAGGAATAAGTCAATAAACTGTACTAGTCTGTCCTCGTTGAAAATATGTCGATTATTGCAAGAACCGCAATGCAAAGCCAAAGTTCACTTCTCTCAAAAAATATCAAAACAGAAACTCGCCCTTCTGAAGCAAGAGCATGAGAAGTTGTTGGGAAATATCACAGGAAAAAGTGTAAACGTATAACGGAATTTGTGATGCAGCAATGCATCACTAAACGTGCTAAAATTTGTCATGCATAACATGCATACTGGACTACATTTGTGATGCATGAGTGCAATCTGTGAAAACCGTTCACGTCAACACTTTTGCTTGTGATAGGAAAACGAGAACAGCTGGCGTACCAGATCGAAAGCGCACAACAGAGGAGCAAGGAGATGCAGTATTGGATTGTTTTTCGTACATGATGTATTGTGTGTGTGGTTTGTGCATGACAAAATACCCTTACAACGCACCTTCCGCATGACAAAGTGCCACCACGTCGAAAATATTTAAAAACAGCGAAGAAAAGGCCTTTCTCGAGGGGGAGCTGAACCGGGTGCAGCAGCAGGGGGAGCAGCAAGAGAAGCAAGTGGAGGAGGAGTTATCCTGTGCAAAAGTATCGTACTCGTAGGAATTGCAGTCATGCATTACAAATCTCGTTCTTAAGGCAAATCAGCATGACAAATTCCATTTGTCATGCTGAGCGAATTTGTATTGCATTTACTATTAGTACGATGCTTTTGCAATTCATAGGAATTAAAGACTTGCAAAGCGGAACTCGAGACCTCGATCCATAAACTGCACTACTCGGCGACCGAAAACGAGGTGCAACTCGGGAACTACGTGGGCTCGGTGTTTGAGAAAACGAAGTCGTAGGACTCGGTGGTGCCGCACAAGGAAGAACATACTACCGCTGTGAAGTGCTATGATTGTATGAAGAGCTACTTCTCAATTTAACTTGTACAAACGAAACCTCTCTGCTGGTAGTGGTAGAGCAAATTAGATGAAAACTAACCTGACCCACCTATGAATGTATTGTGTAAGATGATGGAACTACTGTATGATTATGATACCAAGTACCCCCCAAAAGAAACTTGTAGTAAACGTGGATCTTGTAGATGAAGTTTCTGCACCAGCAGTGGCGCATTCTGTCGAGAGCCTTTGGTTCTTGTTTCGGTTTTGCAATCATTGACAGGACTTTTGACGAGAACATAACTCTCAGTAAAGAACTTTTCTGCGACTCAACTTGTAACAAGTCCTGATGACCCCCTACACTGGAAAAAAAAAGCAGCATCGTCTTCACGGAAGCTAGGAGGCAGGTAAAAAGTGTTCAACATCCGGGATTTTCGCGTCTGCAGTTGAACCGGGCGTGTGAGTGTGGAAGAGATATTGAGGGAGGATTTAGTAAGTAAAACGATGACGAGAGCTGCCCCAGGTTGGACGATCTTCTACTTCTGCCTGGCCCATCTAAAACATCAGGCCACCGTTAATATCGTGATCTATTTGAAGAAGAAAGAGAGCAAGAAAACGAAAAGATCAAATCGTTTTTCAAGTCGTGAACAAGCGCGATCCTTGCTTACCAATGTTGAGCTTGTAACAAACATGGCTCTTCTGATTCTCTCCTGACCGTCAAGGACTGGACTTCCGACGGCCAGTAATATCTTGTTCACACCTACTCTACAACCGGCCGGCAATCATGGGTAACCACTACGGTTTCTGCAGTTGCATCCAGCAGGATGAGGTTGGCGCAAAGGAAAAATTCGGGGAATTTATCGGTTTCGCGGAGCCGGGGTTCCACTGCTTCCCCGTGCCATGTGTCTGTGGTTTGAACGACATGGTGGCATCAAAACGGGTGCAATTCGACACGGTCAGGTGCGAAACAAAGACGAAGGACCACGTATACGAAGTTGTGCTGTATTTTTAACCTGCATTCTTTTTTCCGACAATCTAAATCTCTGTTGCGTGATGTGTATGCAACGTAGCAGCATGACTTTCTTATGCATGCCGGTATTTCATCTTCTTCTGCATCACAAAAAATGAAAATCCTAGGTCTTCGTCGAGGTTTCTATCCAGGTTCAATTTGAGGTGGACTACTCAAATCTCGACACGCTCTATAACGTGTTCTACAAAGTGGACTCCTTCACGACCAGGATAGACCGGTATGTCAAGGACATCATCCGGGCGAAGATACCGTTGTTAACTCTCGACGAATTGTTCCTCGACACGGCGTCGATTAAAGAAGATATGTACGACCGCATGAAGGAAGTTATGGCCGTTTTCGGGTACCGGCTGCTTGACACTTTGCTCGTCGACATCGAGCCGAACAAAATGGTTGCCGGGGCCATGAACGAGATAGAAAAGGTATCAAAAGGAAAAATCCCCCCACCCCACATTAAAAAGAAGTGTCTGATGCTGGATTTCAGTAGTACACAAATCGGACTTGTCATGCAGTAGAGGACTGCAGGCACATGCCAAGCCTGAGCCGGGATGTTTTGGCGTAGGCTCCTTGCATGAAAAACGTCGATGGTGTAGGCCCAACAGCATCACAAACCGCCTGCATGATACGGCGGATTCTCTGGATTTGCCTGCATGCAAGACAGACAGGATTTGTGGCGACAAATCCGCATCACAGATTTTCAGAAGGATGCGCTTTGAATATGGGGAGGGGGGATTTTTCCTCATAATAAAAGGAGAAAAGATTAAGACTAGCGGCTTTCAACCGGGCGGAAGCGGACAAAATCGCGATTGTCAAGCACGGAGAGGCCACGGCGGAAGAAAAGTATACAATCGTAGTTGTTGTGATGTTTTTTTCAAAAGAGTTTGTGATGCAGAGTCAGCATTGTCATCTCTAGGTTTGTGTACTTACTTAATTCCTTATACGTGACGCAACATTCCATAAATTGAAATCTATCAGGCGTCTCAATGGTGAGGGGCTCGCGTATGGCGTTCTCAAACGTTACATTCTCAACTGTTGCATGATTTGTGATGCAAGAATGGCAACAGGGAAAGGCCGGATCTTGTAACTCTTGCATTACAAATTCGGCACAGATTCCCATGCTGTTTAGCCCTTCCAAAATTTGTCATGCGAGGTAGCTTCACTGTGTGGACGTTAATGCTCATTCTGCATGACAAATCATGTAACAGTTGAGACTGTAACAGTTGAGAACGCCATATCGCGAAGATGCGCAACGCGATCATCGACGGCCTTTCAGAATCGCTCGATATCTTCGAATCTTCCACCGCCGCTACGGGCGAAGGGGGGAAGGAGGGGAAAATCAATCGGCACGAGGTTCTCGACTTGCTGTTAATAGCGCAGTACTTCGACTACTTAGGGGAAGTCGGCGGGGGGAAGTTTTCGCTGAAGAGGAAAACCGAATTTAACACGGAAACAAATTTCTTGCAACATAATCCGGGGGCTATGAAAACGGTTCGGGAAATCATCAAACAAAGTATTGCCAGCCCGGAACTCGGGTGACGGTGAAGCAGTGGAGGATGCTAGTACCGCTTGACAGTACATACAAACAAAGACTACCCAAAAACACAATGTACTGCTCTCGCCGAATAAACTACACTTCAACTGATCATGAAATGCTGGCTTCGCGCGGTGTGCCATGTGCGGAGCCACACATTGCACCGCCGGGGCAAGATGGACGCTCGGCTGCGTTGCGCATCCCAAGATAGAACAATATTGAAACGCTTGTCCCCAGTTGTTGAACATAGAAGACACGTCTGAGTGCTTCCACGAGTGATGTGTTTCTTCCGACACTGACGGGGCCGGCTCGAGCTCGACTAGTTTCAGTTTGTTCATTGTGCACTGCTGGTTTGTTAGTAGATTGATAAAGAACTGAAGCAGGGGCACCTTCTTGTACTCCCTCTACTAGTAACTCAAGATGCTCGGTAACTCGAACCAAGCGGGATGGAACGACTGCGGGTGCTGCATCTGCATCCCGCAGGATTCTGTTGCCATCATCGAAAATTTTGGTAAGTTTGACCAAGCTATCCTGTGCAAAAGTATCGTACTCGTAGTAATTGCTGCTATGCATGACAAATCTCTCTCTTAAGGGAAAACAGCATTACAAGTTTCATTTGTAACGCTGAGCGAGTTTGTAATGCAATTTATACTAGTACGATGGGATGCTTTTGCATTCGATACAAGCCGCCCCCGCCGGGTTCTTCTGCCTCAAATGCCCCGCTATGCATTGCAAATATGTTGTCTGGGTCCGGAAACACGTATAAAACTTCTGATCTGCATTTGAGACCAGAACAAAATCTGTCATGCATGGACCGCAAAAGGTGCTCATTTCTTGTGACCAAAAGAGGGAGCTTGTCATGCGGATTGCGCATCGCCTAACCTGCTCAAAACCTGTGTTGCTAGGACTTGCATGCCAGATCTTCTGTGTCATGCACAAGCAACATTACATTCTTCCAGACCCAGACATGTTTTTTGCATTTGATACCCGGGATCTGGGTGATGCGCGACTTGGTGACGCTCCGGGTCCAGCAAAAGACGGTGGAGGTGGAGACAAAGACGAAGGATAACGTGTTTGTGCAGATTATGGTGGCGGTGCAGTTTGAGGTGATTCCTAGTCGGGTGGAAGACGCGTACTACAAATTGGCGAACCCGAGTGTGCAGATCCACGCTTACGTTTACGATGCGGTAAGGACAAGAACTACTTTGGTTTTATTAATTTCGATTTTTCTTGAATATGAATATCTATGTCATCTGTAGTTTTGCATGTGACCTCGGATTTCTCATGCGAAAATGGAAACCGAAACCAAATCCAAACTCACTCAGGTCCGCTCCACCATCCCAAACCTCACCCTGGATGAGGTTTTTGAGGGCAAGAACGAAGTGTCTGTCGAAGTGGAGAAGCAATTGACGGAGCACATGACAAATTTCGGCTACCAAATCCACGGAGCACTGATTGTCGACGTACAGATTATTGCATTTGTGCAGTTCCTTTCGAAACGGAAACGTCAACGTGTGTTGTTGCGGATTTCCTGCAGGAGAAAACTTTTTGTACTACAGAAACAAACCATAACCAGGTATCACCCGCCGCGGCTGTGAAAAACTCAATGAACGAAATCAACGCGAACAAACGAATATCACATGTAAATATGTCTGCTGGGTCTGGAAAGTTGTGATGCTAATAGCCGAATGATACGCAGGAGCATGTATTAGGTGGCCGCGCATGACAAGTTTCTGAGCGGCTGTGTCTAGCGCGCATGACAAATGGCCTTTTTGCATGACAAACAATTGGCACTGTAGCGCACCAAGCATGACAGACTTTTCTGTCTTGTCGCTCAAGCGCGACAGACTTGCATTCTTCCAGACCCGCCTGCCAGACATATTTGCATTTGATAACGAAAACGCATTGCCGCGGCGGAAGTTGCGGAGGCACAAAAAATCTTCGCTATCAAGCGAGCAGAGGCGGAGGCAGAGTCGAAATACCTGCAGGGTAAAGATTTCTTGAAGATGCGCTTTGCACTCTTCCTCTTGCAGCATGACAGAATGCTTCCTCGTTAGGGACGATCGTAACCGTAGGTACGCATGAGTACTTGTAATTAATTTTTTCCGCCAACTAAAACAAAAGCAACCCACGACCAGGTGAGGGCATCGCCCGGCAGAGGAGGGCAATCGTGGAAGGGCTGCGGGATTCTGTCAACGAATTTTCGGAAAAGATCGAGGGCATGAAGGCCAAAGATGTGCTGGAGTTGGTGTTGATTACGCAGTACTTTGACACCTTGAAGGATATCGGAGAAAAGACGGGGACAAGTACGGTTTTTGTGCCGCACAATCCTGGAGCACTGGGGGCGTACTCGCAGCAGATTCGGGGGACGTTTAAGTAGGCGGTGATAGGATTAGGAAAGATGAGCGTGTTGCTTATTTCACTGCGCCAGGGTTTTTTCAAACCAGATACCGCTTTGACTCTATTCTATGTTTTGCAATTATAGACAAGTCGTTCTGTTGGTGGTAACCTTACGTTGGTAGGACCACGGAAATTTATTTCTACTGGAACAACATATTCGCCGAAAACAGAAACTGCAGTCACATGATGTTGCGAACCCTGCGTGGCGGCACTACAATCGATGTATTCGCATGGAGCATGATCATGGTGGGTCGTTGTAAATCTATGACTACGTCGTAGCCAGTTCGTATCGTAATCGTTCGCCAGACAACGTGCAGTGTCAACACAGATCCGTCGTTCATGAATCGTTTTGGCAAAGATCATCCGTGGAAAATTGCGCCTTCTAGTGGTACCTGTACCGTTCGACTTCGAGTTCGTGCCGTCCTCGTCTGCGTGGACCTTCTCTCGTGAAGCTCGTCTGGTTGAGATCGTGATCGTATAGTGTGCCTGCATGGAAAGTTCCTCTTATTGCAGATCATCTTTCTATCGTGACAAAGTCGTTTTTCGCACCAGACAGACGCAGTTCTATTCGCTTCCCTGTCTCCCCGAATCCCTTCCTAGATGCTCCTGGAGAAGTAGTACTTCTGTGCCAAGGATATCATACTTATTTGTTTCAAATCTCCCACACCCTCGTGAAAATGCGTTTCGCGTCACTAGCCGCACGGCATTTATTCACTACCCTGTACTCCCACATCGTCGCCTCAAGTTACTACATAGTACGCCTAAACATGCAAAATTCCACTCCAAAATTACCTGTCCTAACGCGTAGGCCCTGTTTTTTCATTGCGATTCGTAAAGTGTGCGAACAATTTCTGAACAGTACAACGTTATCGTGGTTGTTGAACTCATTACAGCTTGTGCTGTTGCTATAAACTTCTGAAAAAAAACTTCCTTACGATGCGTTCTTCGCAAGTCGCCTTGTGCTTGCGCAGTCGACCACAGCGGTCGACCACCACCCGAGGAGCACACTGAGGCTGAGATAAGAGAGCACACAGCAGCTGCTGCTGCTGCATAACGGTTCGTAAACAAGCAGAAAGACTTTCTGCTCGTCGTCAAAAGTTATGGTGGACAACTCGGTGCTGTTTACTACTTTAGACGATGATCTGCAGGATCAGTTGCGGACCATTAAAGCGAAGGGATGGAAGAACACGAAGTTCAGAGGTACACTTTTTGCTCTTGGATATGTGTCATGCATGATTTGCAGCATGACCTGCATTTGCTACACAGGAGCATGAAAAACAATTCCAAAATCAATAAATCAAAACAGACAATCACACCCTGGTCCACTGGGCGTGTTTCCACAACCGCATCGACGTTCTGCATCTGCTCCTGGAGTCCAACTTCCGTGATGACATTGACTTGGAGATTCGCGACACGGCCGGCCACCGCGCGGTGGACTACGCGACCCGACCCGAAATCCGCCGCTACATGGACAACGCGCGGATGGCGCAACAGGCGAGACGGAAGTTCCAGAAGTTGAATAACCATAGTTGGATGAGCAGCCCTGGGGGGCAGTTGTCTGGTACTTCTGCGACCACGTCTTCGCGGCTGCAACATGGAGGTGTGTCCTCCCACATGAATAATTCCACCACCAGTAGCCCGATGAACCACTACCCGAGCAACACTCTATCATCTTCGCAGCACCTCACCCTTGACGACTTTTCCGCGCCGATGTCCATCACGAGACGATCAGAGTCAAATTCCTCCACGAGTCGGCAAGGGGATTACTCTGCCTCCCTAGTCGATTTGACAAAACTCCCCGCGGTGAACGAGGAGGAAGAATTGCAGCAAGAGGGATCTTTTTTCTGGAATAAACTGCTCGGGGGATCGATGTTTTCCGGGATGGGTGGTAGTAGCAACGCCTTGTCCCAGCACGATGACAGGTCTACCGGCGTAAGTACATCAACGGCGACGGGCGGCGGGCAGACGAGTAGCAGCTCGTTTTACAATACCAGCTCGGGTAGCTCCGCATCGGGGGACGATGGAATGTTTGGGACGACGAGTTATGGAGGCGGGAACTCGAGCTCGAGTAGTAGCCCGGCCCAGACGGTTGTGCACAACGGACAGAGGGCGATTGACATATTACCGGGTAGCAGACCTAGTGCAGCGGAGCAACAGCAAGGAGGAGGAGGTGATGGGATAAACAATGAACAGCCAACAAGTTCTTCTATCGGCGGGTTTATTAGTGGATTAATGTGGGGAAGCAGCGGTACTAGCAGCAGCTCTAGTACCTCATCACCAACTGCTAATCCGGGAGGTCGTGGTAACACGGGGGCCCAATACCATCAGCAGCAACACCAGCAGCACAAAAAACCACCTCCTCCGACCAAAAAACCCAAGAACCGCTTAGGCAACGCGGAGGAGCTGTCCGATTTAGCTGCGTTTTCCCACCGCCAGCAGATGAAAGTGCAGGACAAATTGGATCGATCCTCAAGAGCCGCTGGTGCAAACGAGCCCTCCTGCCCCGCCGCCTGCCCCAAGCCCTGTTGCGCTCCGGGCCAGGCGAATTTCCCCGGAAGTAACCGACTGTCGCCCATGGCGGGGAGGATCGGTTTAGGAGCGTTAAACAGCAATTTTGACGGTTGTCAGGAGATCGCGCACAGCAACACCAGTCGGGGGAGTTCGTGGGTGAATCCAAAAGCGCCGTTCTCCCAGCGGGGACTCTCGCCAAACGGAACAACGGGTACTAGGGGTGGCAGTTACGACGATGATAGGGACAAAGCGACAAATCTGATGGACATGCTACAGTCGTTAGACCCGAGAAGCGAGGATACTATGAAACAACCGGGGCACCATCAGAAAGCTTCTTCCTCTGCGCATCACCATCATACTCATAGTGGCAACACCACAACGTACGGCTCTGTCACTTCCAACTCCGACCGGTTCCGAGATCTGCAAGCGCAATACGCACCCTCACCCGGATTCGAGAGGCAAGACCATCATCAAAACGATATCCTGAGTAAAAACGTACCCACACCAGAGTCAAGATGGCAAATCTGCTAGACAAATCAGCCAGCTTTGGTCGTTTGGCATGACAAGTTCGTCTTCGTAGTGTAATCCTGTTTAGGTAGTTCAGCAGCATCACAGATCTAGTATATCATGCTGATTGTAGCATCACAAATCCCAAAACACGACTAGACAATGCCTCTCATGGCGCTCCGCATGACAAACCTTTTTGGCATGCAGATTTGCATGACAACTCTGGTGTGGGTACGTTTTTACTCAGGATAAACGAGGACTGGTCGGACGATGATGACGAGGATGCGGATATCCTGAGCAAAAATGTACCCACCCCAGAGTTGTCATGCAGATTTGCAGCTACAGGAAGATTTGTAATGCGCATCCACACGAGAGGCGTTTCCAATCGCGTTTTGCGCTTTGTAATGCTGTCGACAGGATGAGTAGATGGATTTGTGTTGCGGCTGTGCTTGCTAAACTGCACTACAATACAGAGACGAACTTGTCATGCTGGACCCCCAAAACTTCTCGATTTGTGTTGCAAAATCCCCATCCTGACTCTGGTGTGGGTACGTTTTTACTCAGGATAGCGGAGTTTAAGAAGGTGAAAAAGCGTCTGAATGCGCGGAAAAAGAAGAAAAAGGGGACGGTCTGCTACTGCCCCACCCCTTGGGGCCACGAAATACCGTTGAATTGCTGTCAGTGCGTGGTCTGCACCTTAGTGTCCACGGGGGTGAGCAGTGTGGTGTTTTTCGTGCTGATTTACTTCGTGATGGTTTTGTTCGGCTTGATGGAAGCGGGAGAAATCAAAACGTTGTGGACGATGAACGCCGGTAAAAATCACCATAGTAATACCGGGAGCCCAGCGTCTTCACGCCATTCGAGTAACGGAGGGAGGAACAACAACCGGAGAAATCGGCGAAGTAGTAGATCATCCTCTAACGCCCGGTCTTCTTGGCAACATGAGGACGACGAGGGTAGGGGGAGAAATGCAAATGACGCACAGGATGGTGGTGGTTCTGTTACAACCCGAGCAGGAAATTACAATGGGCAAGACAACGGTATTAAAAACAATCGGTTCGCCATCAGCGATGCGGATAACGCGCTCGAGCAGGAGGAACTAGTCAGGCAATTTGACACGACAAGGGCGAATGAAGAAAACGGCAATTATGATCCCAACGCAGGCGAAGACGACGAAGAAAACATCAATGGAGATGGCAGTCAGGATCAGGACCCGCCCGAAGACAACGGGTATGATTATAACGGAGATGACAGAGGACCAAGTACTAGAGAGGACCAGGCCGAACAACAGGATCAGAACCAAAGTACACAAGAACAGCAGGATGGGAATCTTCAAGAGCAAGACCAGCGGCAAGAAGAGCGATCAGGAGCGGCCTCGTCCAACAGCAGGAACAATAAGCCGGCGCACAAGAGCAAAAAAGCCCGAAGGAGAATAAACCACAATAACGGCAACAGCGATGGTACTAACGGCCAAGCCACGCACCATAGTTCCCAACACCACGCGACCACGCACAGTATGACCACCAGCAGCTTTGGGGAGTTTGTTGGAGGTGCGGACGGGAGTAGTGATAGCATTGCTCCTGCACTGTTCAACGACAATCTGCAAGATCGGACTGTGAACCTAAACCTTTCGGGAACATCATCAAGCAGCAGCAATACAAGGAACACCTACGTTGCGCTGAGGGGATCTTCAACAAACACGGGGAAAACGCCACAGGCGCTTCTGGCAAGATCTGGCTCGACGTCGTCTACCGAGGAACCAGATGATCGGCTATTCAATGAGGACGGGGAAGAGGATTCTGCTGAGTACAATTCTCGCCTCGCTGTCGCGGAAGGCGGTGTGCAAGAACCAGCGACGAAAGGAGAATTGACCGTGCCCTCGTACGGAAGTAGCTCGTTTCTTGCTACGGTTGCGGAGAAGTACAACTACCCGGGACACGATGAGATTGACGAGAATGGCGGCATGGAAGATAATGCGGACGGTGGTCTGACTCTGAACTACGAGCTCTACGCGGAGCAACAAAGTCAGAAGGGCGGTGGAACGAGCCACTTACGGGGGGTAGTAGTGCGACAAGATACAACGCCACCTCGGGAGGTTCAGGGGAAAAATGCGGAAGAAGTAGCACGAACCGCGTTTGAAGCCACCGTTTTCTATGCGTAGGAACAAAGAAAGCGTGGTGATAAATTCTGTATAGAAGTGCAAACGAAAGTTGTCATACCAAACTATTACATGCGCCTATCCTCCGTAGTATGGCAACGGAAGCGAAAACGAAAATTAACGGATGTCTCAAGCACGAAAACCTCCTGTAAAAATTTCCTGAAGCGATTCTGTACAAATTTGTTGTCCACCTTGTCTGAAACAACAGAGAATGCCATGCAAATTCGTGTACAATTGGAATTGATTGTCGAAGTGTCGTACTAGTCCAAAATGAGAACAAACAAGAAGGAGAAGCTGCGTTTCAGCCGGATTTGATTTCCGTATTCACAGGATACGCGAAAGAGCAACAGCCGCATAATCCGATATGTTCCTGAAGAATAACCTATCGGTTTCTTTTTTTCATGCCTTACGACCGCGAAGCAGATATGGAGTGGAGATGGAAATCTTTTTTTTTTCACCTGAGAGAAAAGGAAACAGCAACAAAGACGTCTCCGTTTTTTTTCCAACACCCCAAATCCAGCTTTTTCGTTGGAGGTCGATTGGTGTGCCCTGGTTCCTGTTTTGCTCACGATCTTGTTTTGTTGCTTCAGTTTTGTTTACTGAAGTTGAGTCGGTTCTTCAAGTACACTGCGATCCACCGGTCCGACGTGCTACTGCATTCGAAGACGATCACATTTCTCATGGAAGTTGAAGAGGTCGTCTGTCGTCAGTAGGCCTTGCTATGATCATTTCTTTCAACCGAGCCTCTGGCTCATCATCATCTTATCGTTCTGATTGTCCGTCGATACAAACACAATCCCTCTCTTTTTTTCCAGTCTTGAGTGAGAAAAATTTGTGTCCGTTGGAATCGACATCGAATCCACGGTTTCTAAGTTCTGGTAAAAAATACCTGTTCTCTCTCTTAAGTTAAGTATAAGTTGTGCTGTCGTTTTCTGAAAATAAAGCGTCTGCTTTCGTCGCGAAAAACAGCGTTGTTGCTTCTGTATCCCGTGCAAAAGTATCCTAGTACTCCCACAAGAAATTATTGCAATCGGGTCGTATGATAGATCCTAATCCTATTTCTCGGCCAAGCTGCATGACGAGTAAGTTTGATGATTTTTCCTGTGGTAAGAATTGGCATGCGAAGATTCTTGTCCATGCGAGATGACAGTGGGATAGGATATTTTTGCAATGCATAGTCGGTTGACCACTCTGTGAACATCCTGGACCCTCACCGCTTTGCTTCCACCGCGAACCGTTCGACTCTGTGATCGATACCATCATCGCGAACCATCAACATGTCGACCTCCAACCAGATGAACCAAGAATGCACTCCGCTGCCGACGTCCTACCGTCATCCGACCGCAGATCACGAGAAGCAGCACCGGGAAATCATCGAGTCCTACTGCGTATCCAATGCTAAAGGAGCATCGGGCAAGAAGAACATCGCCAGCCCTCAATTATAGGCTAATTGCGATTATGCATGACTACAGATCTGCCAATATGTTATATGTTAAGTATAAATGATTGTGATACCACGCGGCTCCAAGCCCCATCTTTCTTCATTTGTTCAAGTTGTCATGCAGCGACATGTACATGTATCAGTGCACGATGCTTCTGCAATGCATACCGTGCCCGCAAAGGACTGAAGTGTGCGGATGAGGTGCTGTTCGCCAAGGTCGTCGTCAAGGGTCACGGTACTTACCGCGTCAGTATGCATTGGAAATATAATGCCTGGGTCTGGACAGGTGAAACTTGTGTTGCATGTCCTGCGTTTTTCCTGAAAAATCTGTATTGCACAGCCACCAGCACGAAGCGCATGGCTCTTCTGTGATGCAAAAATGCACGTTGTCATGCGTGCTACGCATCAGACCACGGCGCCAACGAAACTTGTCATGCTTGGCTGCACTTGTCGAAGGCACCAGACGCATCCATGCTCTAGCATCACAAGTTTCCAGAGATCCAGGGTGGATATTTGCAATGCATAGTCAGCTGGACTGTGCGAAACCAGGTCGGTGACGTGAAAACGATGATCACAGCGAAGACCGGAATCTCCCACGAGCAACTGAGTGGCGCGGGTTGCGAGTTCCAAATCTCCGAGCACCGTACTGACCAGCCGATGGAATACTGTTTCGGTTCCGAGAGTGATGACACCCCGCTGCTCTGCTTGATCAGCTCTGGTATAGTCTGACACTTTATAGCACCGCCTAACACGACCGGAGGTGCCTACCCCAACTTTTCTAACTGAGAGAATGCATAGTAACCATGAGCATGCGCTTGTATGTTTCGCTCGTCCCTTATTTCGTATGTACCGCATCGAAGAGATGGAGCTCTGCGTCGCTGCTGACAGCCAGAACGTATAGAAAACTGGTCGTGCCCCAGCATACGCTGTTTGAAAAAAACCCGCACGGAGAGTTGTGTCAAGATCTATTCTTATTTCGCGAGTCTTTGAAATTCTTCGACTGGGGGCAAGAACATCTTGAAATTGTATTGTCGAAAAACAAGAATCAGAATGTCTATGTCAATGTCAAAAAAAAATTGAAACACAGGTGGGATTATCAGCGTGAATTTTGTCGGCCACAAGAAAGGAGACGGCGACTCTGGTGTAGTTGCGCCGCACGATATGACAGTGCACAACTCCCCCACCCCTCATTTGTCATGCAAAATCCCAAATCTACCTTCTGCCTGTGACCACTCTTTGTATGACAGATTCCGAAATCCAAAACAGCACTACCATCGCCTAGGAATTTGCCATGCAAAAGCTGCATCTTTTTCTTTGCGCCGGCGCTTGTGTAGTTGTTGTTCTTGCAACACAAATGAGGGGAAGGGAGAGTTGTGCACTGGCATAGACGAGGATCACGACGACTCCACCGCGTCCACCGGCGTGAGCGGTGTCTCTGGTGTGAGCGATAGCGAATCTGATTGCTGAGTTCATGATCTACTTGAAGGAGCTTTCAGTTGTAGGGAGACCACCTGAGCACCGGTAGCACTACCAGTGGCGTTCTGGTATTTGATACTGATAAGATTCTTGCATTTTGATTTTTTGTTGTAGGTAGACGTAAAAATATCGCGCATGCCCAAGCGCGGAATCATGCACCTTTATTTCAAACATTACCTACCATTGGAGGTAATGGCTTCACAGGGTAGTTCCCGGAAGATTTTCCGGCCCAATGATGCAACTTGTCATGCAAAAGTTGGAGCAGCAAAGGAGAGTTCTTTGAGTTTCTTTTCGGTATCTCATGTAAAGTGTAGGTCGGGATAAGTAGTAAACGTAAATCTTCAGGGCATATATTACATCGCTTCGCTGTTCTACTCCCCAGCCGGTTTATTGACTGCAAAAATGAAATCAGGTACACTCGTCGCGTCACCAGCAAGCATCAAGGAAGATAATTCAATGTTTCTGGACATCATCATAGTAAACCATCCATGCCGTAAGTCCGTTTGTTCGCTCACGCGTGTGAGACGTTAGTTTTCGACGACTTTACAGCACGACCTCAATCGCCTATACTAGTTCAACTTGATGGAGTTCCAGATGACCAAGCAGTTTTCATCGCCGCTAACCGAATTTTCGAATTGCCCCCGGTAAACTTCGGCGTCGCTCCTGCCACGCCACAACCCTTCACTAGTACGCCGCTTCCACCGCTCGACAGACGACCTTTCATTCCTTGGTAGATTTGGATTGAGTGTGATTCTTTCGTTTATCTCCTTGCATGGTACTGTATGGTGTCGAGGTCAACATGCGTGGGTATCAATTTTTGATGTAGTTGAGGATCCTCGTCCTAGGACCAATTCTAGTATCCCTCTCTTTTCGTGATTTCCTGCCTACTTTGGTAATGGCACTGTTACAACTTACAATGAAAAACAAAAACAGGTTAACTTACACGCAAGCCAACGATATCACCTTGCTGGGGAAACTGGCTTATTGCCCGCACAACTCGAGATGTGGACAAGGCGGCTAGGCAAACGCGGCATCGCTGGCGGCGAAAAGTTTTTCGCAATTTTTGGATTTTTTTGTAGTATTAGCATTATTTAAGTTCCAGTTCTTGGTAGTTCTTCAGTTTTTCATCTTCATTCAAGTTTTTTTTTAAATATTTTCCGTTTCGCTATAGAGTATTGATTTTCCAAGATGCAGCTGGTTTACAGGATTACTGTCCCTGCATCGAGTTCGAAAAAAGTCTCACTGACATCAGTAGTTCGAGTCTCATCTTTCCTCCTCCCCCTGCTGGTCTTTTCTCTTCATTCTGATGTCTCTGACCAGCGGTTGACATTAAAAGTTCATTGTTGAACGAGAACCACTGCCTTATATGAACAAGCGGTCCCCGCCTTCGGCTTTCTACCGAAATTCCGAAGGGATTGAGACAGCTCGCGAATGCGGCGAGCAGTACTCGATCAAAGTCCTAGCTATCTCTTCATAAGTTGTAGCCTTGCTCCTGGTAAATTGTCTCTTGTAGTGAAGACTACACTTGCGTTCCTATTCCTTGCGGAAGTATCCGTGAGCGTGATTCTCATCTCTAACCCCGGGGTTTCACCGTGCTTCATTGTGGCTTTAGGAGTTACGACGCTGGTATAAAACATAATTGCAATAGCCTGCGAAAGGCAAAGTCAAGTTTGAGTTGATCGCTTTCGTCTTGTCACTCCGTATATTGCGTTTTGTGATACACAGCAGTTTGTGGCATTTTGATTGTATTTTTATGCAGCATTGGATTGCTTCTGCTTGTGCTTTTCCCGTAAGGTTTACTAGGCTTTCAGAGCAATTTTGTGTTTTTCAAGCCACGCATGTGTGCAGCAGAGAAGTCGTGTGTGTAGAGAAGTCGTGTAGTATTTCTGCTCATCTTATTTCCGAAGCGTCGGCATCCTCACCTTCTCTTCTCGAGTGTTTGTAGTTTGTGTCCGAAATAAGAGACGCGCCAATTTTGCTAAGATGAAACAAATCTATCATGTGTTTTATCAATTCTTCATTAGTGGTCGATCCACTTCATCTCGCTCGAGAGATTACTTTTCCTTGTAGTTCGAGTTGCAACTTGAAGAGATTTTTTGGACTTTTTTTACCCTTCCGCCCGAGATTCGTAGTACTAGATGTCTTGTGACAAGATACACTCCCGATAGATTCACAGTTCTTGAAGCACCAAAAGAGTAATTTTCTTTTATTTTTTTTTGTATCTGTTGCTAGCGAATGACGTATTGCAGCTAGCAAGGGATGATTGTAATTGTCCCTATGCTCGCAAGATGATTACTTCTCGACATGAACTGCTTTTGCAAACCTCACTACGTCTATTTGTACCCAAATATTCTTATTCTGTCCCCACAGGACCAAAACTTGATCTCGAAGCCGAAAAATGAAAAAAAGCATCCTGCTCGACCACGATAGATCTGGCAGCTTTTCTTGTGTCGCGAACAGCTGCGCGTGTTCGGGCCCCTAGTGTTGTCGGATTGCTCCTGCTGGGCGAGCAGAAATCTGAATAGAATTAAATTGTCGTAGATCCGCTGTGCTTGAAGACGTTGGCGATAGTTTATTTGATGCAGAACTACAGGGTAGAGCAGAGATACAAAATGCAGACTCATCTCATCCTTGTTCGGTCGGTGATAGCACACGAAGTGATGGCACAAGGTTTAATCATGACATCAAATTCGTCCTGTCATCGTGATGTTTGTTGAAGCAGTATCTCGGTAAGGCGTGCTAGATAAAAAAAAAAAACGTCGGAGATAGACACAAAATACAATTCGTGCTAAAATGCAGCGTGTGAGTAAGTCTAAGGTGTAAGATTCTGTCGAGTTCGCGTTATTTGGGGTTCTCGATATTGGTAAGCTCTTGTTTTGTTTTTGCCTATCAAGAACTTGAAGCGGCCCGTTGGTTGCTGAGAACTAGAAGCTCATGTTCTACACGAGTAGTAATCGGCAATCACGACCTCCAGGCCATTTCGCGGGGGCACGCTAACCTCTGCCGGCCAGGCTCCGCCTAACGTGGCCGTTCGATAGTTGCTTTTCCCGTCGGTAGCAATCGATACCGTCTCCGACGACGATCTCCCGCATGACTAGACTTACGGCCGGGCGGCGGGCGATCGCAACTAGATTCCCTCCGTCTTTCGCGATATGTTGCAGAAGTACTCTACTTACCACGTACCGCACCGAGAGAGAATTCACGCATGTGGTGGCACGCGGCCGGGACGTTGCGAAAACACGTAGTCTGACCACGACCTGTGGGACAGCAGGCGATTCATGTGGATATCATCATCTGCGCAACACGGCGGTGGAGCATCAGGGCGAGCACTTACTCGAGAAGAACGCCGGGAGTACTAGTGGCGCAAAAATGCTGCTGCTGTCACTGGAGCGCATGATGCGCATTAGCCGGAAATTAGGCGGAGGACGTGGATGTGGATATACCAGTCTCACTCGGTTGCCACCAAATCTCTCATGGCTCACCACGATCGCTTGCACCAGTGCCATGGGCCCTCGTGCGACGATGGGAGGATATTTAAGAGGTCTTCACGTGATATCATCAACCAACAATGCCGCAAGACCAGTACAACGACTGCGGGAACAACATCAATCTCGCCGCCACATCAACACGCAGCGGCGCAGGAAAATCGCGATCCGGAAATACCACTACCGGTTCCACTTCAAAAATGCGCAGTTTCGGCTGATATCAAAGAAAAAAAGTTCGTCGCGATCACTCATGCGCATTTTTGCAATGCAAAACTGTTTGTCATGCGTAAAAATGCATCACAGCCAAACTTCATTAGGGATTTCCCTAGTGTTTCCGCAATACAAGGAAAGTTTGTGACGCTGAGAAAATTTGTAATGCAAAGCCTGCAAGTTAGTGACTGTGACAAGCTTTTTTCTCTCCATAGCTGAAAATTCCGATTTACTACGGGCCGATAGCACTGCGACCGACCAACGCAAATGATAAAAGAAGAAGTGCACAGAGGAACTATTATCGGACGCCCAAATTGAAGGTCTTCAAACGACAGAGGTAGATAAAGTGTGATGGCAGTTCTACTCTTTGTGCGAGGCAGCAGCTCCGCACGGCGAGAACTTGCATTTGATGTTGTACATCAACAGCTCACAATATTGCGATTCTTGCACTGTTCAGAAGGAGAGCCTAGAAAAGCGTGACAACGAACAAACGTGGCAGCGCCGACTGCAGAAACAGATGAAAATCGCAAAAATGATGAAACAGCGTATTGTAAAATTTTCGATCAGAAGATCCAAGAAAGAGGCAAATGAAATAAAGCCATGCCCTTCCGATCTTGTTGAGAGAGCAGAAAAATCAATTACTGAAAAACAGAAGATTTCGGCCGACGGGCGACGGCATTGATACAGATCCGCTGGAGATGAAGTTGAAAATGTATGTGACCATGCCTTCCACCTGGGCAGACGTGCGGGTGTCGCTACAGCCACTGTATGAGTCAACTTTTGTGTGGTCCTTTTCCCAACAATTTTCAGGCAGGACCCCCATTATTTTCTAGGCTACGAGAGGACCTCAGGAATTTGTTTTGATGCTTAGTTGCTGCACTTTCATTTTTCGCATCTCTTCTTCTCCTTCCTGCATTCGTTGAGTAGTAGAGCCTTCGTGTTACTGGTAGACAGAAATATTACAAGACTCTGTCGCTAGACCATGCACCACATCAAAGAGTGGCCCAATTCTCCTTTTTCTGACATTTTTGAAGAAGTAGATCCGTAGCATTTTTAATACAAGAATCAATTTCATCGCTGCTGCTCCTGTGACTGATTGTGTTGATCGTAGAGCAGGGAAGTTGTAGATCCAACATCGCCTACAACTAACCATGGTTGCGCCCGATACTGGTACACAGCACCAACAGCAGCACAAAATGGCACAGCAGCAGCAGCAGCAACATACGAACAATATCCCGCCGCAGGGTTCCATGCTCGCCATGCACCAACAGCTAAAAGTCCAGACCTTCGGGGATCCGAACGACCCGTATGTGATTATCCAGGAGCTCGGTGGCGGCATGCAGGCCCGGGTGTACAAGTGCAGGAAACAGAACCCGAACCCCGACGGAACGCCAAACACGCAGGAATTTTTCGCCGTGAAGGTGGTGGAGCACAAGAGGACGCTGAACGACACGGAACGGGAGACGCAGGTCGCGCACCTGCTGAAGGAGGCGGAGATCTTGAAAAACTTACACCATCCGAAGATCGTGAACTTAAAGCAAGTTCTTAGGGATGACGAACACGTGTACTTGGTGATGGAATACGTGTCAAACGGCGATCTGTTCGACAAAATCGCGGAACGAAAAGGGTTGTCGGAGCCAGAGGCGAAATACGTTTTTCAACAGATTTTGGAGGCGCTGGGGTACATGCACGGGCAGAATGTGGTATAATAGAAAATTTTTTGTTGGTTTTTGTCATTTATTTATAGCGTTTGATACAATTGCACACTTAAGTATGGCAGAACCAAAACAGCAACAGTATGCTGGTACACATTAGTGCAGCTGAAGATTCGCGATGATTTTTGTGATGTGGAGTCTCGCATGATTTTTGAAATAATTCCTGTTTGTCATGCGAAAATCAAAGAATAACAAGAAGCGCAAATGTATTTGGATCTACATCTCCTATCGCAACAAGAACCCCTACATCAATCACAGATCCACCGCGATTTGAAGCCGGAAAACATTTTGGTTGGCAAGGAGGTGTCCGTGAAGGAGAACGACCAATCTTTCACCTATTTCGACGTCAAAGTCGCAGACTTCGGCTTGTCCAAAATTGTTTCCGAAGACTCCGTGGCGAAAACCCACGTGGGGACGCCCTACTACTGGGCCCCGGAGCTGCTCCGGGCATCCCAGAGCCAGCACAGGAAAAGGAACGAGGATAACCCGCAGGGCGGCGGTCAGACGAATAACGCGAGCCCGCGGACTGGTGCCGGGAATAAAACGAATAACTCCCCGAGGACCAAGCAGGAAATAGAGAAGGAGCATATGCACTGCAAAAGTATCGTACTAGTACAAATCGCAATACAAACTGGCTCAGCATTACAAATTAAATTTGTAATGCGGATTTACCTAACCAACTAGATTTGTAATGCATAACTGCGATTACTACGAGTGCGATGCTTTTGCACAGGATAGAGCAAAAGCAGAAGCAAAAAATCCAGAACGCGATCAACGGGAACAACTATCAAATGTAAAAGTGTCTGGGTCTGGAAATTTGTGATGCTAAAATGTGCAAGAGGAGGCCACTTGCTTATGCAGGAAAGCATGACAAGGTTGCAGCACGCTTTCTCATACGAACTCCGCATGAGAAACTGCGTTTTTGTATGACAGAAGAGGCTACCACTGTTCTTGGTCATGCAATACAGATTTCACAGGAATGCAAGACCAGCATTACAAGTTCCAACTTTCCAGACCCAGACATTTTTACATTTGATAACAATTCGGGGAATACCAATGGCGCGGGAAATGAGGACACAAAAACGGACTTTGCGATCATCAGCACGGCGTCGGAGGACCAGGATAAAGACGAGGACGAAAACAACTCAAAATGGGAGGACGAAAATAAGTACGACTCCCGCGTGGATTTGTGGTCTTTATCCCGTGTAAAAACGTCCCCACCCCAGAGTCAAGATCGGGATTTTGCAACACAAACCTAGACCTTTTGGGAGTCACGCATGACAAGTTGCAGGCTGTACTGTAGTGCAGCTTAGCGAGGGAAGCCGCATAACAAATCCGTCTCCTGATCCTGCTCACAGTATTACAAGTTCCAAAACACGATGAAAAATGCCTCTTATGGGGATGCGCATTACAAATGCTCTTGTGCTTGCAAATCTGCATGACAACTCTGGGGTGGGGATGTTTTTACATAGGATAGTCTTTGGGCGTGGTTTTGTACGTGATGCTGATGTATCAAATGTAAAAGTGTCTGGGTCTGGAAGATTGCCAGGTTTGTCATGCACATTTTGCATGACTCCTGATAGTACCTGTGATGCATGCCCTAGCACCATCGCAGATTTTGCGAGGGCTTCCTGATGCCGATACCGCATGACAAACGCTCTTTCCGTGTAGCGAAACTCGGACTCTCTTTGCTGCTCGTGCAATACAGATTTTTTTAAGATCCAATATCAGGATGACAAATTGGATTCTTCCAGACCCAGACACTTTTACAGTTGATATGATGGGGCACTACCCGTTCAACAAGAAGCGCGCGATGCCGTTGCTATTAAAAGGAAAAGTCCCCCCTCCCTATATCGAAAAGGTATCTTTCCGAAAATTTGTGTTGCTGATTTGAGGTCACAAATCACATTTCTCTTGCAAGAAGACAAGGGCAGAAGCTTCCGGCCCATTATGGAAGCGATTTGTCATGCTGTTGGGCCTAAAGGTCAGCCGTTTGCACTGCTGAGCAACTAGACCCATACGCCCCTACCTGAATGAGGATCGATCTGGCCGCAATGCCTTCCTGCAATACAAATCTGATTTGTGTACGCAAATCCAGCATCACAGATTTCCTTTTTGATATGGGGAGGGGGGGTTTTTCCTTTTCATAGTTGCACGACCAGATTCTGGCGGGGTTGTCGTTGACGAAGCTGCAATATGAACTGCAAAAGTATCGTACTAGTATAAATCGCAATACAAATTGGCTCAGCATTACAAATTGAATTTCTCATGCGGATTTCCCTTAACACGCAGATTTGTAATGCATAATTGCAATTACTACGAGTACGATACTTTTGCACTGGATATGCAATCGGATAAAAAGACGAAACACCTGAGCGGTGAGGTGCAGCACCTGATCGCATCTTTACTAATATGCATTGCAAATATGTCTAGATCTGGAAGGTTGAAACTTGTCATGCTAAATCCGAATCAAGCAACAATCTGTGTTGCATGACTGCCAAAAGCTGTCCACTTTCGACCAAGTTGGAGGGGAGTTTCTCATGCAGGATGGGCATGACAGAGACCTCGCAGACTCTGTCATGCTAGATCCCGCATTCCAGACCTCATGGCTAATGGAAAACCTGCATTACAAGTTTAGACTCTTCCAGACCTCCCAGACACCTTTGCAGTTGATAACTAACCGCCGACGCGGATAAAAGGATGACCTTGGAGGAAATCTTCCGGCACCCGTGGTGCCACATGGGCTCGGAGTATTTGGCGAAGCGAAAACATCCGGTGACCACACACATCCCGCACAGAATACCGATCAGATTCGAGAAAATCCCGGAGGAGCGGTCAATTACGCTAGGCGCAACCGACGAGGTCTTTGCGGACGCGAATGAAGGCGACGGTGTAGGTGGAGTAGCTCCGGGAGGTTCTTCTTCGACGAAAGAACAGAAATCTACTGCGACGAGTCCGAAAGGGACGACAAATGACGCCGGAAATAATGTTGGAAAGGAAAAGAAGTTCGACCCGCCGGAACGAGGGCAAGAACCGATCATACAACCGACTACGGCACCAGCTGCAACTCTGGAATCTGCCGCGGTCAAAGAGACCAGTACTGTAGTAGTCCAAGGTAGTTCGAAAGACGAAATTGAGCTCGTTGATAAGTCGGTGAAGTCCGACAGCTACGATGAAGTTATTTCCGCGCCGTTCCAGAAACGGTCAGACCAACCTCTGGACACTAACTCGCCAAGAAGCTGCAATCGACAAGGCAACGCGACGCATCACAGTTCATCTGTGTCTCCGTCGAAAGGAGCTGCTGTGAGAGGCGGACATCAGTTCATCCGCCCGGGGGCCGGAAATGTCGTTGCGCCGACGGAGATTCAGATCAACGAGGCCACTTCGACAGCGGTCTTAGCCGCCGCCGGTGGGGAGAAGCGACTGTCGCCCACGATGAATTCGCGTGGGGGAAACAACAACTCGCCCAACAAACTACACAACACCATGCAGCCAGTGACGGTGCATACCACAACCTACCCCATGTCTGCTGGTACTATCACTGGAGCGGCGGTTGTGGCTGGAGGGCCGCACGACTCGCAGTTATCAAATGCAAAAATGTCTGGCTCTGGGTCTGGAAGAGTCATGCTGTTTTTGCATGACACAGAAGGTCTGGCATGGAAGATCTAGCATTACAGGTTTCGAGAAGCTTCCGCGATGCCGAATTTGCATGACAAATCCTCCATTTTCATGGGAGAAAGTGGGCAGCTTTTGCTACCTATGCATGAGAGATTTTTCTGTCTTCTGAAATGCGCATCACAAGTTTGTATGTCGGTGCGGTTGTTTTAGCAATGTCGGTGCGGTTGTTTTAGCATCACAAGTTTGTATTCTTCCAGACCCAGACATATTTGCAATCCATAGCAGTACGCAAACGACTATTACTTCCAAGAACTACTCCATTTACAGGCGACGATTGCGAAGTGTCTCGAGTCGGCCTATTTGGCGTACAGGGGGGCGAACCTGTCCGATGAATCTTCCATCGTGACAACGACAACAAATTCGACCTCCAATGTGCCCACCATCAACACGGTGGTGTCCACCGACACTTCGGACGTTTTACTCTCCAAGCACCTCCAGACGCAAAACACGGGCACCACGGGGGCAACAGCAACTACATCTGCAGTTTCCGCGACGGAGTCTCTTCTCGTCCAGCCGGCTTCTTCCGCCCAGCATCATCAAGTCGCAACTACGGGACCCGCCACAACGTCTATGAACCAGACCCAAGCTAATATGGTGACAACCTCTATCCTGTGCAAAAGTATCGTACTCGTACTAATTGCTATCATGCATGACAAACATCCATTTTTAGGTGAATCAGCATTACAAACAAGGTCCGAGCACGGGGACAGAGTCCCCGTGCGGCGACCTTCCGGCATTTGTCTGCGCGGTGGCACTGGGCAGGCAGGTCGCTCGCAGCTAGGTAATTCGTTGCGCTTTGCATTCAATGACCCGCGACGGGGGGGCCTCCTGCGGACGCGGCTCCCCTGCTTGCGCGCACTAGATTCATTAGCCTGCCGCGCGCAAAGATAAAAAGAAAAGAAGAAACTGACGCCGGGTCTGCAGCCGGCCCCCAGGTTATGGCGCTGCGACAGAGTCCCCACATTGCCCTAGGGCTTTTCTCTGCCCCCTCCTTGGCCGCGCGGTGTGGTTAACGGGGAGCGCTAACAGCTGGCCCCTAGGCCATGACGCGGGGACCGAGTCCCCGCGCTGGCCTAGGGCTTTCGCCCCTCGGCCGCACGGTGTCCGGGAAGCGCCCACAGCTGGCCCCTAGGCCATGACGCGGGGACCGAGTCCCCGCGCTGGCCTAGGGCTTTCACGCCTCGGCCGCACGGTGTCCGGGAAGCGCTCACTGCTGGCCCCTAGGCCATGACGCGGGGACCGAGTCCCCGCGCTGGCCTAGGGCTTTCGCCCCTTGGCCGCACGGTGTCCGCGAGCGAAGCGCTCACAGCTGGCCCCTAGGCCATGACGCGGGGACCGAGTCCCCGCGCTGGCCCAGGGCCTTCGCCCCTTGGCCGCACGGTGTCCGGGAAGCGCCTGCAGCTGGCCCCTAGGCCATGACGCGGGGACCGAGTCCCCGCGCTGGCCTAGGGCCTTCGCCCCCTGGCCGCACGGTGTCCGGGAAGCGCGCAAAGCTGGCCCCTAGGCCATGACGCGGGGACCGAGTCCCCGCGCTGGCCTAGGGCCCTCGCCCCTTGGCCACACGTTGACCGGGGAGCGCGCACAGCTGGCCCCTAGGCCATGACGCGGGGACCGAGTCCCCGCGCTGGCCGAGGGCTTTCGCCCCTTGGCCACACGTTGACCGGGGAGCGCGCACAGCTGGCCCCTAGGCCATGACGCGGGGACCGAGTCCCCGCGCTGGCCTAGGGCTTTCGCCCCTTGGCCACACGTTGACCGGGGAGCGCGCACAGCTGGCCCCTAGGCCATGACGCGGGGACCGAGTCCCCGCGCTGGCCTAGGGCTTTCGCCCCTTGGCCACACGTTGACCGGGGAGCGCGCACAGCTGGCCCCTAGGCCATGACGCGGGGACCGAGTCCCCGCGCTGGCCTAGGGCTTTCGCCCCTTGGCCGCACGTTGGCCGGGGAGCGCTCACAGCTGGCCCCTAGGCCATGACGCGGGGACCGAGTCCCCGCGCTGGCCCAGGGCTTTCGCCCCTTGACCGCACGGCGTCCGGGACGGAAATGGTCACAGTTGGCACCTAGGTCATGGCGCGGGGACATAGTCCCCGCGCTCACCTAGGGCTTTCGATCGCCCCTCGGCCGCACCGTCTCGCGTGACAGCTTGGGCTTTGGGTCCAAACCCCACATAGCAAAGTCCGAAAGTTTGGCTGGGGTGTGTCCGAGAGTCTGCCCGGGGTGTGTCCAAAAGTCTGCCCTGGGTGTGTCCGGGGTGTGTCTGGGGTATGTTCGGACTTTTTGCCTGGGGTATGTTCGGGGGTCTGTCTGGGGTATGTCTGGGGTGTGTCTGGGGTGTGTCTGGGGTATGTTTATACCCCACCTGTTGGCTTTTCGGCAAAAAATTGTAGTCCGCCCGTGATTGAGGAGCATTTGCATACCCCTGACACACCCCCGAACATACCCCCGAACATACCCCTCGCATGCATTTTTGACCAGCTGCTGCAGTTTAGATAGTAATTGCATTTTATTTCCTTTTGAAAAAATTTGTGATGCAATTTATACTAGTACGATATTTTTGCAATGCATAACCTCGGAAAGACAGCAAATTCTGACGAAGCTGCGGAATTTGTCGCAAAAGTGCTTCCAGGTGACGGCCCACCAGGCTTATGACTGCGTGGCGCAGTTTGGTGCGACGGCGAGGCGTATCAAATGCAAATATGTTGGGGTCTGGAAGGTCGCAACTTGTCATGCTGTGTTTGTATTCTAGGGAAATTTGTATTACATGACCAGAACTACAAAGAGGGGTCCAGTTTGTGTTGCAACGCGGACAGGGCATTTCTCATGCAAAAGGCGCATCATTCAGGAAAGGTCCTAAGATAAATCTGTGATGCTAGAGCATACATCACAGACAACCATGGGTCATGAGAAATATGCATGACAAGTCTTGCATTCATCTTCCAGACCCTGACACATTTGCAGTTCATAAGGCGGGTACGGGAAGACGTGTTGCCCGACATGCAGCTCGCGATCGAAGAGGACGCGCCGGAGCTCGCGCAGGGCTTTCTGGAGACGATAAACCAGTGGGTGTCGGAGATGAAGGACATGAACACGAACATCGAGGACAGCTACAAGATGATCAGCGAAGAAATCCGAATTTTAATCGACTCGACTTCCGTTTTAAAAAAAGCGGTGGACGAGGAGATTTCGCAAGCGAACTTGAATTTGAAGCAAATTGCGGCGAGTTCCGGCGCTGTGGTACCAGCGAGTATCACGACGCTGAAGGCTGGAGCGGTTGTAGCAACGAGTGGTGGCGCGAGCGGGTCTAGTACTGCTTTGGCGCGGACCAGTTCGATCCCGGGTGCGACGACGACGACTTTAACGGCCGCGACCACGCCGACGGTGAATAATGCCACTTCAAGTAGCGCCATGTCTACTTCAAACAAGAATCATGGAAGTAGATCATCGTCGAACAACTGCTCGCCTGCCGACCACATTCCGGATTTGCAGGACGCGAGGGCCGTGGTGCCGGTGACAAGGATATGAACTGCAAATATGTTTGGGTCTGGAATAAACTTGTGATGCTAGTTTCTGAATGGTGGGCGCACTGCGTTACGCAGCCACGCATGATAAGTTTCTGAGCTTCTATGTCTTTCGCTTCCCGCATGACAAACTGCGTTTTTGCATGACAGGTAAGCGGCTGGTTTCCTGCTCATGCATTACAGATTCAAGAGCCATGTGAGACAAGCATGACAAACCTGCATTCTTCCATACCCAGACATATTTGCACTTGATAGAGGACGCTCTCGCCCACGACCACCGCGCTGATCGCGAACGGGGCAGCAGCAGCGGCGATCGACATATCAAATGCAAATATGTCTGGGTCTGGAAAGGTGGAACTTGTAATGCGTGTCTTGCTTACCTGAAAAATCTGTGTTGCATGAGCAGAAAACGGGCTGCTTCCCTTTTCATGCAAAAAGAAATAACACAGCTTGTAATGCTTGTTACGCATCAGAAGGCGCTTCGGAAGCTTGTCATGCCTCGCTGCCATTGCAAGCGTTGCAATCATGCGCAATTCAGCATCACAGATTTCCAGACCCAAACATATTTGCATTTGATACGACACCGAGGTTTACAAGAACTTGTACCAGAAAATCCTGCGCGTAGTGAATATGGACCAGAACATATGAGCGTGCACAACTCCCCGTCCCCCTCATTTGTCATGCATTTTACCCAAGCCACCCCTTACCTCTTGGCACTGTGTGCATGGCAAGTTCTGGTAGCCCAAATAGCACTATACTCCAATAAAAATTTGTCATGCAGAACCGGCATTCTTGCTGATGCTTGTGTTGCTGTTCATGCAACACAAATGAAGATGGGGAGGGGGAGTTGTGAACTGTTATAGAACAGCTACGGTGTCGTAAATAACAGCGGTGTCGTCGGCCCGAATTCGGTTACAGGTGTATCAAATGCAAAAATGTCTGGGTCTGGAAGAATGCGCGATTTGTCATGCTGCTTTTCCATGACCCATGGGGTCTGGAATGCAGGACCTAGCATGACAGATTCTATGCGATGATCTCTCTCAAGCCTATCCTGCATGAGAAAGTCCCTCCCGACTTGTTCAAAACTGGACGACTTTTGGTAATCATGCAACACAGATTTTTGCATGCTTCAGATTTAGCATGACAAGTTGCAATCTTTTCAGACCCAGACATTTTTACATTTTATAAGGTGCTCAGATGAACCACCAGCAACTGATCGAGCAGTACGAGCAGGTAGACGCGCAGGTGATTGACTTGCTATTTTTCACGCCCAACAACATCATTTCTTCCTCCCAGTTCTCGAGCAGTGGCGGGGGGAACAGCAATGCTGGGAGCAGCAGCTCCGAGGAAGACAGTGTGGCTCATCACCACGGGACGACCACAGCCACGAGGTGCCTGTTTCATCATCACCAGGGCAGTACGAGTAGCGGGCCGCTTCGGTATCAAATGCAAAAGTGTCTGGGTCTGGAAGGCTGCAAGTTTGTCATGCACATTTTGAATGACTCTTGACGTCTGTGATGCATGCTCTAGCATCACAGATTTTGTGAGGGCTTCCTGATGCCTATACCGCATGATAAATGCCCTCTCGTCGTGGCAAAAACTGGACCTCTTTTGCTGTTCATGCAATACAGATTTTTCTAGTGTCCAAATGCAGCATCACAAGTTACATCCTTCCAGACATCCAGGGATATTTGCAATCCATATTCGGGGAACCATGACGATTGAAGAAGTGAAATCCAATACGGGGATCGCGAGCTCCTTCGGAACCAGCACTGGGGTATCAAATGTAAAAATGTCTGGGTCTGGAAGAGTCCGAACTTGTGATGCTACCTTTGGACTCTACATAAAATCTGTATTGCACGAACAGCAAAAGAGGTATAATTTGTGCTACGCGGAGAGGGCATTTCTCATGCGGTATGAGCATCAGATTCAGAAAGCCCTCGCAAAATCTCTGATGCTAGGGCATGCATCACAGACCTCCTGGGGCATGCAAAATATGCATGACAAACTCCTGCACTCTTCCAGACCCAGACACTTTTGCAATCCATAACGGGGTGGGATGAATAACAATGGAGTTGGAACAAGTGCCTCCTCCACGCACGACAGCTCGGCAACCACTTCTGGGAACGAAGATCTTCACGAGAACAAAGAAGTGGACCACGATCAGCATGAGCCGTCGCCAACGAGCAACACAAAAATTGCGGTCTACATGGGAGGCAATAGTACTACACAGAATATTACTACTGGCACCACCACTGTAACTACAGGAGCCACTGCGTCCTCCTCCCGAGGAGGGGTCGGCTCCTGTGCTGTCAACCCGAGTAGTACCAGCAAGCATTTGTTTCAAACCACGCACCAACAGCGTATCCGGCACCAATCCGCCATTGCCCTGATGCGGGCGGTTTCTGCGCTGCGCAAAGTGGACGAAATTCTGCAGAAGTCGACCATGTTTTGGTCTCATTTAGGCCTGACCACGGGACAAGTGTCTCAAATGAAAGACACGCTCACGCTGTGGATCAAGTACGCCAGCAGCATATGAAATGCAAATATGGCTGGGTCTGGAAACTTGTGATGCTGGTTGGCGAATCAAGAGAACGCCAGAAATGACGGCTCAGCATGACAGGTTTTTGAGTCGCTTGGTGTTGCCTATTCTGCATGAGAAACTGGGTTTTCGCATGACACAAAAGTCGTGGCGCTTTTGGCTACCTGGCATGACAGAATTGACAGTCATGCTAGCAGAGCATGACAAACCCGGCATTTTTCCAGACCCAGACATATTTGCAATGCATACAGCAACGAAAAGCTCCGGAAACGACTGCACGAGCGGCTGGAACAGTATCGCATGTTCTGGCTCGATATCCTGTGCAAAGGTATCGTACTCGTATAGATGCAAGTCTTGCATTACAAATCTTGTTCCCAAGGCAAATCCGCATTACAAATTTTAGTTCTCATGCGGAGGAAATTTGTAATGCATTTATACGAGTGCGATACTTTTGCAATTCATACTCGAGTTTGAGCGTTGCAGCGTGCTGTATTGCGACGAGCTGCGAAAGGGGAGCAACCGCATGTTCGCGTTCTTGCTACAGATGGAGACCAGGGTATGGAGAGAAAAAAGTTTGTCACAGTCACTAACTTGCAGGTTTTGCATTACAAATTTTCTCAGCATAAAATTTCCTTGTATTGCAGAAACACTAGGGAAATCCGTAACGAAGTTTGGCTGTGATGCATTTTTACGCATGACAAACAATTTTGTATTGCAAGAATGCGCATGAGTGATCGTGACGAACTTTTTTTCTTTGATACAGGGCGGACGCGCTAGACACGGTGAAAAACATGATGGGGTAGCGGGAGGAAGAAGGAGGCATGTAGTTGCACCATCTGCGCAGCTGCAATTATATATAGTTATACGGTATAGGAGCGCTCTTGCTATCAGCGTTCTTCATATACTTGCGAGGTTGAGACACGCTCTTCTTCAGTATGTGAAGATACTTTTACTGCTACCCATCAAATTCAAAAATTGCAATGCATCTGCACCACCCGCCCATGTAGTAGCCCCGCGGTTTTTATTGGAACTCGCCCCCTGCTTCAGCTCACCCCGTAGCTCGTCATGATCATACCCACCAGGTTGTGGAAATAATACCGGAGTTCCTCGGCATCGGCATGTTGTAAAATGAATGTAACAGAGAAATTTATAGACAGGGAGTAGGGAGGACCCTGGAGGACCAGGGAGGACCAGGGAGGAGCGTTCGCGTCTATATAAAAAAAGCATCGGGCATTTTTTCAAAATGTGTTCACCGATGGCATGGCGAACTTTCGGGCCAAGGCCCCTTCAGCTTTCTGATAGCCATACCAATAACAACTGCGTGACGAAATTGAACAGCGACGCAGTAAATTGTTGAAGTAGCCACTTCAACAGTTTGCGTTGTTGTTCAGTTTACAACTTGCCATGCAGTTGTTATGGAAGTGGCTACTTCAATTCGCACAGGCAAACTGTTGAAGTTGCCATTTCAAAAACTTGCGTTGTGCAAATTTTTGAAGTAGTCACTTCAACAATTTGCGTTCTTGTTGTTGTTCGGCTTGGGTTTGCAACGTGTCACGCAGCTTGTGTTGAAGTGGCTACTTCAACTTCGCGGAGAGTTGAGGTAGCCATTTGAATAGCAAGCGCATGACAAATTGCCACAATAGTGACAATTTATTGAAATTGAACAAAAATTGCGAAAGTGGCCACTTCAACAATTCGGGTTCTGCGAATTGTTGAAGTGGCCATGATTTCAAAAATTCGGGCTGTGCAAAGTGTTGAAATGGCCATTTCAACAAAACCCTAAATTGCAATTGTTGAAATGGCCATTTCAACATTTTGCACGACCCGAATTATTTCAACAATTCGCAGAACCCGAATTGTTGAAGTGGCCATTTCAACATTTTGCACGACCCGAATTATTTCAACAATTCGCAGAACCCGAATTGTTGAAATGGCCATTTCAACACTTTGCACAACCCGAATTGTTGAAGTGGCCATTTCAACAATTCGCAGAACCCGAATTGTTGAAATGGCCACTTCAACACTTTGCGCAACCCGAATTGTTGAAGTGGCCATTTCAACAATTCGCAGAACCCGAATTGTTGAAGTGGCCATTTCAACAATTCGCAGAACCCGAATTGGTGAAATGGCCACTTCAACACTTTGCACAACCCAAATTGTTGAAGTGGCCACTTCAACAATTTGGGTTGTGCAAATTGTTGAAATGGCTACTTCAACAATTTGCGTTGTGCAAATTGTTGAAATAATTGCGCAAAATGTTGAAGTGGCCACTTCAGCAATTCGGGTTTTGTTGAAATGGCCACTTCAACATTTTGCACAACCCGAATTGCTGAAGTGGCCACTTCAACAATTCGCAGAACCCGAATTGTTGAAGTGGCCACTTTCACAATTTTTGTTCGCACACGACGCAAATTGTCGACATAGCCACTTCAACAATTGGCGTCGTTGTCCAGCTTCAGTTTGCAACGTGTCACGCAGCTGCTCACGACACTCTGGTGGAGAGTTGAAGTGGCCACTTCATCAAAAGCTGCATGACAAGTTGCAAACTGAACAACGACACAGATACTTCTTGCTGCAGTGGCTATAATTTGAACGCGTTTGCGTTGTTGTTCAATTTCAACAACTGCCACTACTGTGGCAATTTGTCATGCAGTTGTTGATCGAAGTGGCTACTTTTTCAACTTTCTTCCGATGGAGGACAGTTTGAGTAGCCACTTCAATAGTTTGCCCTTCATTTCTGCGCTACAGCTTGCCAATCATGATGGCAATTTGTAACGCAGAAACGAAGGACAGGAGAAAGCTCTTCGCGTTTCTTTTGTCCTTCATTTCTGCATTTGTAACGCAGAAACGAAGGAGAATGAAGCTACTGAGAGTTGAGAAAGCCACGGCAACAGCTTCGCACTTCCTTGGCCCCTCAGCCTCATTTGTGCGCTACAGCTTGCCAGCCGTTGACTTTGGCAAGCTGCCACGCAGGCGAGCGCCATAGCCATAAAACTCAGGCGCCAAAAGTCGCGCCGCCGTGCAGTTTTCGCCGGGAGTTGGGTCCGAGGGAGGAAGGCTGGACTTCGCTCCCGGGAGCTGAATCCAGACGCGCTCTCTGTTCGTAGAGCATGGCGCAGAGCAAGGGGCGCACAAGTGGCGACCCCTGTTAGGTAGCGCAAGTTCCCCACCCACTTTCCAAAAAGTTTCCAAAGCCCCAAGCTCTTGGCGTGTCTGTTGCCCGCCAGCCGGGGCGCCGTTTGTGCGTGCCGTGTCCTCGGCTGCCCAGCTCGCGTCGCGTTTGGCATTGGGAAGACACTCCGGCGTGGCGCGCCGCCGGGCCCAATTTTATTTGGAGCCGCCTGGCACTAAGTACAAACACCGAAAGGGCTGCCCTTCGTGGGTCTTGCGCTTTTCGCCATGCCCAGGGGCGCCCGCTCCCTTTGTTGTGTCGGTGGCCCTTTTGGGGTCACCAGCGCCCCGCGCGCGCGATGTTGGCAGAGCAGCGCGGGGCGGGGGCGTTGTGGCAAGGCGGGGCCCCGCGCGGTTTTTGCAGGCCAGCCTTCGGGAGGTCCGTCCCGCGAGTGAGGTCGCCCGCGACCGGGCAAAATGGCAGGCCGGCGGGGAGGCGACTTGGCCCAGGAGCCAGGATGGCAGCGGGCGCACGCAAATACCTCCCGCTGACCTTGCCGCGGCGCCAGTGGGTGCGTCCGTTGGTGCTGTAGGGTATTGCGGCTCTTTGGCGATCGCGGGCGAAGCAACTCGGGGGCGGGGGCTAAGGCCCCCCCTGCGCTAGCTTTTGACTGGGCCCGGGCTTTGGCCCCTGCGCCACCCCGGGTGGGCCGCGCCGCCCTTTGGGTGGGTCGTTAGAAGTTGCCCGGGCCAGGCCCCCCCGCCGGTTTTTTGTTGCAGAGTGAAAGAACAGCCGCGCGCCGGGGGCCCGGCGCCCGCTGGCTTTTGCGCGCGAAGCCCGGAGGCTTCTTGCGGCCGGCCGCAAGCGGCAAGCGTCTCTCTGGCCTCCGCGGCCTTGTGCGCAGCGCCCGGCCCAACCCGAGCGACCGCCCGCGGTCGCCCCAAGGCCCCGGCGGCTATTTCATTCGGGCGGGCTAGGGGGGCTGGTGGTGTTCCATTCCCGCCCCGGCATAGGCGCGGGCTTCTTTTGTAGCTATGCTCGCTGGGGATGGGGTCCGGAATGGCTCCGGGCGGCTTTGGCCCGCCGCGGCCCAGCGCAGTGAGTGCTTCCGAAAGAAAGTATTTCAAGGGGGCGCCGGGTGTTTTCTGCGTTGGCTTTCATTCTATTGGCTTTGGAAAATTTTGGGAAGGCTTCGGGGAGATATTCGGGAGGCCCCTGCCGTGCTCTTTCAAGTTTTTCCAGAAAAAAGAAGAGCTTACAGCTTGGACGGCCGTTAGAAAAGAGGCGGGCGATTTTATAGTGATTTTAGAGGAAGGGGGCGCGTTAGGTTTTTAATTTTCCGAGTTCGCCGATGCGTGCCTGCTCTAGGCGTGTGGTGAGTATTTGCCTAAGTAGGCTTAATTCGAGGCGGGCGCTGCATTGTGTTGGCGATGTTTTTCGGGTGGATTTTGAAAAAAAAAAAACGTCGCAAAAACATCGCGAGTAACACCAGAAGAGCATGCTCTCAGCACCACTGTGCTTTTCTTTGTTCGCTGGTGAATTTGCTTCGTCGTTTTTGTGCGTGGATGTTGCAAAAGGCCAGCCAAAAAAAAACACAGAGCGCCATCGGAAATAATTTTAAACCGCACGCTACGGCGTCATCATGAAAAAGCAGTTGCTTTGCGGCTCAAAAAAGTTGTTCAAAAGTTGCTGGTGACTTTACAACAAAAAAAGATGCTTTGGCTCTCAATTTTGGAGCCAAAATATCGACCATAGCGTGCAGTTTGCCGGCACGCAACCCGTAAAGTCACCATAAAGTCACCCTAAAGTCACCGCTAAAATCACCAACATCCGGACGGAAAAAAATCCAAACCCAACCCGCATTGGAAATTGCCGATTTGGCCTGGTAGAATTCGCATCGAAAAAGTGCCAATCCCGGTGGTAGTAGGGACATCGGCAAGGCTTAGCGACGTCAGTTTTGGTCTCGTGTGTCGAAAAAAGCAGCGCAAAAATTGAGAGCGCTCGCCGCATTAGAAATTGCGCATTTTGCCTTCTGAATTTTTGAAAATTTTGCCTGGAATGCCGATGGTATGGTGCTCGTATCTTGGCCCTCCTTTGTCTCCTCTTGTTGGTATCTTCTCCTTTGCTCTCAGGGACAAAAATAAAGAAATCTTCTGAAGGCAATGAGGCGTCTTTTTTTCGGCGCCATGCTTGAGAGTATAGCCCTAAAATCACTGAAAAATCACCCATCAAAATTCTAACGGGTGCCCAAGCTCTAAAGAAGAACGGGGGGGCCCGCCTTGCGGCCTCCGCGTTGGTGCGTCTGCCCGGGCCCGCCGCACGGGAGGCACGCCCGCATATTGGAGGCGTTGTCCCGCCCCGGGGAAAGGGTGCGCCGCAGAGCGCGGCCAGGGAGGCGGGCCAGTCTGCCCTTTGCCGTCCGAGCCCGCCCCGGCGGCTTTCGCTTCTGCCCTGCCCTCCGCGCCGCCCCATGGCAGTCTTTTGGCCGGCCTTGTGCTTCGGCGCAGCCAGGCGGCCTGTTGGCCCGCCTCCGTCCGCCCCGGCGCGCGCCCGTCCATTTCGCCGGGGGCCCCGGGCCTTCGCTCCTTGTATTGCCCGGCCCGTGCGTGTGTCCCACGCACTCGGCGTGCGGGTGTACCGCCCGCGCCCTAGCCAGAAACTGCCTGCGTGGCGCGACCCGCCCGCGCGGGCGGGCACGAAAAAGGGGCCGGCCCCAGGACAGGCGTGCGTGGGCGAAGGGGCCCGCAGGAAGGGTGGCGCCACTTATTTTGCCCACTGGACTGACTGACTTCGCCCGGTCGGTCGCAATGGCGGTGGGCACGCACCCACGCAGGCAAACCAGCTCGGCGGCCGAACTGCCGGCGAGGGCCCGAGGAAGGATGGAGCAGAGAAGCTGCATGCCGCCGCCCTAATGAGGAGACTGGCAAAAAGAGCAGGGGTGGGGCCCGCCAAAAGTTGGGCGGCAGTGGGCCTCGGCCCGGGCATCCACCCCATGTGCGCGCCCATGCTATGGGCACCGTTGTGACAGCCGGGCGGGCCGTGCCCGGCCTGCCGCGCGCGGCTTTCTCTGGGCCCTCTCGCGTAGTTCGGGTCCAGAGGGGCCGTGGGTCTTGGTCTTGCTTTTCCTTTATCGGTCGCCGCGCCGCCGTGTCCTGCAGAACATTACTCAATAGGCATAGCCATTATTTAGTCATGACGGCGTGGCACGGGAGTAAAGACCTTGGAATTAATGCGGGCAGGGTGCCTAACCCGCGGGGGAGAAAACAGTCCAAAGCCCGGGGCGGTTGGATGTGGATCAGGGGCAAATTTTGTGTATGTGCTGGATATTTATTGTTGAAATACTTTTGAAAAGCTTTGCGCGGTCCGTTTGTAGGGTAGCTTTGCCTTTGCCATCGCGTCGCCTTATAGCTTTGTCTTTTGTCGCCGCATTCCCGACATCGCACTACCATGGGGATTGAGTATATTCCGCATGGAAAACTCGCGCAAATTGTTAAAGAGCACCATACCGCCGCGATTGGGGTTTTTATGATTTTTCGGTTTTCGGTTTTGGGTTTTATATAGCAAAATCTCCTCCCTGGTCCTCCCTACCCTGGGACCCGGGATTCTATAAACTCTTCTGATGTAAACTTCTACCCAAATCGAAATAATAATAAATGATGGTGATCGCCCGTAGAAATATCATACCCCACGACTGGAAGTAGCTACGTACCTACCCTTTAAGAATTCTCTTCCGTAGTTAAAACAAGTGACGGAGCGGCCATCTGCACTTGATCCCTCCACGGCTTCGTCCCCAAAAACCTTTTTTTCCGTGCACAGTCTTTGGATCTGTGTGTAACGCAATCTGAGCAGTCGAACATGTTGGCTAGATAAAAAAGCCGCAGAGAAAAAACATCGATATCGAAACCTCCTCGACAAAAACGAGGAAGCGGCACGAGACTGCTTCTAATGTGTTCCTCGAGAGGGAATAAATGTAATAAAGGAGGCTTCACTTCTTGTTTATCCTCGGAATATGATGAAGAATCTTTATATTTGTTCATCCCGATCCCATGAAAAGATAAAGAAAGGTTCGCTGGAGGCAGCTCGCCAACGTACTTAGTAGTTGTACTCTTTCGTACTATTGATGATCCGGTGAAGTAAATAAAAGAACGCTGAGCTTGGTTCTTCCACTCCTTTCTACTCATCTCAACATCTTTTGACGTACCTTTTCTTTGCCCAAGAATATAATTTCCGTTGTGTTTGTGATGGTGGAAATGAAATAGAAAAGCTGGCCGCCCGCGCCCTGTGACTCGACTGTGTGTGTGTTGGTGTCCCTGCTTGCCCGCTGTAGCTCCGGCAAACCAAATCGTTGAAAACTTGTCGAGATCTCGAACGCCAGCGAATCTGATAAGACCAGAAGATGTCATCTCCGCCCACAGCACGAAGTATGACCCGTTCGCTTTCCATTTCGTTGCCGTTAGTGCTCTACTCTAGTTCTTGTGCAACCACGACGACCGGCAAGACGCTGAGGAGCCAGAACTCCTTCCTTCTGGCAAAACTGTCCCCGGAACGGGTCTCGGAGCTCTTATCGGAAACGCAGCAAGAATGGATTTCCTTCGCGGTAGATCAGGATGTGAAGAAGGAGGGAACCGAACTAGCCAAATCGAAGATGGTCACTTCCTGCACCGATTTGGTAACGGACCTAGTGATATGCGTTGCAAATATGTCTGGGTCTGGATGGATTCGAAGTTGTGATGCGAGTTCTACATCATGACAAAATCTGTCATGCTGCATGGTCAGCAAAATACGAAGGCCCCATTTCGTCCTGTTACAGAAAGGGAGCATCTGTCATGCGGATTAGGCAATGGAATAGTACCTGCTCGGAACGAATCTGTGATGCTAGGGCTTGCATGCCAGACGATCCGGGCTAGGCAAAAACTGCATCACAAATCCCTGCAGTCTTCCAGACCCAGACACATTTGCATTTGATAAGTGACCGCATCGGAAGGCGACAAGGACCGTCTCCAGGATTATTTCCATATCAAATGCAAATTATGTCTGTGTAGTCTGGAAGGTGGCAAGAACTTGTGATGCGGATTCTGGAAGAGGCAAAACTTTGTATTGCAGGAGCGCCAAAACCAAAAGATGCCCACTTCTTGCTACGCACATAGCGAATTTCTCATGCGGGACAGGCAGCACCAGGCCTGCGCAAAACCTGTAAAATGCTTTTGCGTGCATTGGATACCATATGCGTGATCCAAAAGATGCATGACGAACACCTGCATTTTCTCAGACAAATTTGCATTTGATATTCCAAGAGGTCTGCCAAAATGACGGAAGCGATTCAATGTGCGGACGGTTCACGACTGGCGTGATGAGTATCTATAGAATGACTCATCTTGATGTTCTGAGGACTTCGACTTTGTCATGCATAGTTGACGCTCTAACCGACCAACGCTAAGACAAGTAGGACTGAAGAACGAGGCATGAAACAATCAATCACTGACTCACCCCAGGTGTTCTCTCGGATGACATGGAGCTGAACCGCGAAAATGAGCGTGGATTCAATGTATGAATTGCAAAAGTATCGTACTTCTCGTAATATAAATTGTGCATTACAAATTTCCTCAGCATGAGAAATAAAATTTGCAATCCGGATTTACCTTACGAAAAAGACTTGTGATGCATGACTGCAGTCTGTTACTACGAGGGCGATACTTTTGCAGTTCATACAATGGATTTTGCACCAACTTTTGGTCGACCGACATTCTACAGACGGCGGAAAAGCAGATCCACGCCAATATGGGAACGCCAAACGTTATTTAGATGGACTGCTGCTGGTTACATGAAGATTTGTCTTTGTCTACTTCATGCAGGAGAAGCAGATGAGCTGCTGTCACAGTCTGTACGGTCAACAAGCTGTTTCGCATGACAAGTTTGCCAAGAAGCGCTGAACAGCATTGAAATCCGTTGCTCCAATGTTGTAAATGCAAAACGCACAAAAAGTGCTCTCCACTTATGCAGCTATTCTTGTATCACAGAAGTATGTAACACCAGAACTGCTCGTCCATCCGCCAATTGGCAACGCCATAGCCAAGGAGGCCGCGGAGCTGGAGGCCAAAAAGCAGATGCAGCAGTATGACCTGCTCAAATCGGTTATCATCTCAAATCGGTTGCCATAGAATTTGGAAGTTGTCTTGCATAATGAGCTTGACACACTCGCAGACTATTTCACTTTCTGCAACACTAATTTCGGCAGACTGTAGTGCGGTTTGGGACTCCCACTCCGGAACTTGTCACGCGCAGTCCTATGAGACTTGGCTGGATCATGCACTTCTTGCATCACAGATCTCCAAACTCTATGGTAACCGATTTGAGATTGTAACCGATTTGAGCAGGTCATAAGCAGGAGAAGCTCGAAGCGGAGCGGAAAGCTATCAAATGCAAAAGTGTCTGGGTCTGGAAGATTTCTAGATTTGTCATGCATATTGTCCATGAGCCATGATGTCTGTGATGCATGCCGTAGCATCACAGATTTTTACAGGGCTTTGCGATACCTCTACCGCATGAGAAATGCCCTCTCCGCGTAGAACAAACCCGGCCCCTCTTGGTCTTGCTGGTCATGCAATGCAAATTTTTTTGGAATCCACAGACAGCATCACAAGTTGTGACCTTCCAGACCCAGACATTTTTGCAGTTAATAAAAGCAGCGGCTGCGCAAGAGCACGAGAAGGAGGCACAGCACCAACAAGCGGTCGAAAAGGAACGGAAACGACAGCACGAGGAAGCCGCGGAAGCGGTGGAACAAAAGCGAAAAGAACAGGCGGACCAGCTTGCCGCGAAGGTGGAGAAAGAACACAACGCTGAGGCGCAAAAAAAGGCTGCTGCTGCCGCGGAAAATAAAGAGAAGGAAGAAGTCCAGCGGAAGATGGCCGCCGAGCAGAAGGTCCTCGCGAAGACGATGATGATGAAAAAAAAGGCTACGCCCGCCTCGGCGTCCTCCGGTGCTCGCAAGAAAGCAAGTCAAACCAGCCACGCCAACCGCATGGCTTCGACCGCTTCGAAGCACGAGCAGCAAGAGGTGATGAAAAGGCCGGCGCACGCGGAAAAGGTGAAGACGGTACTGATTTTTCTGTGTGAAGACTGACATAGAGCAAGAGCAATTGAAGTACTAGGGGATGAGTAATTATATCATTTTTCTCATACACATACTGGTACTGCTGCTCGTAGATGGAACAAGAAGAGGTGGAAGGTGATTTTTTTGTACGTGAACAATGTTGTAGCCTCGGCCTAAAGAAAGTTTTATTTCCTTGTCTTGGACGAACAAGGGCTCCACCTGTTGAAAAGTCTTAGAATGGTGGTTTTTTTTCATCAATGCGATGAAGATGTGGAGACTTTTCTCGCAGGCACTGAAATTTTTCTAAAGAATAAAAAGGAAATGAGAACTTTGAATCCCTTTCGTTCAACCCATTTTTATTTGACCACGTGCGCAAAAATCCAGGCCGCCTCTACTACCACCAAAACCGCATCTCCCGGGTTCTTGGCCAGCGCCGAGCACTACGTGGCCAACATGGGCTCCAAACTGTACGACAGCGTGAAGTATCCTGTGCAAAAGTATCGTACTCGTTGTATTGCAATCATGCATTACAAATCTTTTTCTCAAGGTAAATCCGCATCACAAATTTTATCTCTCATGCTTTCTGAGAAAATTTGTAATGCATTGATACGAGTCTCCGATACTTTTTCAGTGCATATGAAGCACTTCTTTACCGCAAGCGGAAAGACATCGTCGACAGCCGGTACTTCTAACACGAGCCGGGAAGAAATGGTGAAGACGAGCAAGAGAGCGAACAAGAAGATGAATAAATCCAGCGCCACCTCCTACTTCCGCAACCTCAACGCCCACGTGAAGAGCAAGAAGTCGCTTTCTTCCGCCCTGAAGAAACTCGCTGACTTCAACAACAAGCACAAGAACCTGAACAAGAAGTCCTCTCCGGTGGTGCACACCACGTTGAAATCGGTGAAAAAGGAGAAACAAATCGTCCGGGAGGAGAGGACCAAGAATATGAGCAGCGTTTCTGTAGTTTCATCCAAGAAGAACAGTAAAGTCGCCACCAAGTTATCTCCGACGGGGAAAGAGCCAACCTCTTCTGACGAGAAAACGAAAACCAAAATCGTTCCCGCTGCTACCGAAAAGCACGAAGAGAAAAAGCACGAAGCGGTTGAGAAAACCAAGAAAGCCACGGGTGAGATGAGCATGAATGCCAAGGCGAAGCTGGTGCATCAAGCCCCCAACGCCGCAGAACCTACGAGCGACGTCAAAAACGCTGCGGAGGTCGCCACACACAGTCTGGCGAATTTGAAGAAGCAAAAGCATGAGCATGCTGCGGCTGTCCACACGGCGAAAAAAACTTCTACCGAGAAGCACGCTTCGGCTTCCTCTACTTCTGCGTCGGTCGGTAAAAACAAGGAGCATGACGAACACCAATCCGCGGTCGCGAGCAAGGTGGCTGCGATTAAAGCGCGGATCGCCAAGCGGTTTTACGAACATGAACAGAAGGAGAAACTGCAGAATGCGGTGCAGGACATGCAAAGTGGGAACAAGCAGGCCGAACAGGGCAAAACCAACAGCAACAAGCAAGAAAACGTGAAGAAAGCGGCGTCTGGTGTCGTGATGAACAAGAAAGCTTCTTCCTCGTCTTCTGTCACGCCCAAGAACAAGCACACCAAGCTCGACGAGGCGCTGAAGCACCTCCGGGAAATGCAGGCGAAAAAGAAGCATGCGTAAGCATGAGCGCCTGGCTGCGTGTAGCACTGAAACCAAAAGTGCGACGAGTATAAGGCTTTTGTAGCTCTGCATCTGCAAATGAACGTTAAGCAGCATCACGATGGTTTCGATTCTTTTCCGGCACTGAGATAGATTACGACCAAAGAAGTATTCACAATGAGTTGTTTTTTCCAGAAGGAGGTTCTGAAATTTCACTTCTAAGTATGTAGTCGAGCGTCACTACAGCAACTCTGCGCTGCATCAAAACAGATAGAATTTGCAGCACCAATGTATGGCGCCAGGCGCATAAGATGACGTGGGTGCACCCCATTGCGGTTGGATGGTAGTTGTGGACCGTTGAAGATGTTTTTGGAAAGAGTACCCGGTTCTATTATTGCTCGTCGTCGCTCTTTTTGCATCGTCCGCATTATTTCGTCGAAAAAAACAATCGTGCTCCAGATAAAAAAAAATACGCGATGCCGGTATGAATAGATCGTTATTTACTTCCTCTTCGTTGGCTTACCCTCCTTCGACGTCGGCTTTCTTCTTCGTAGTTCGTCCCATATGTCGTGCACTGAAATAGAAATCTAGTCGTTTGTTTGTTTCGTCTTTATGTTTGTTCGCTCCGAGGCTGAGCTCTTCTGGGTTGTACTTGGTTATTAAGCAGTATGTTGTAAAAATCTCTTGACCTCTTACTTAGTATGTTTGTGCTAAATTTTTGTGTTTCATCTTCCAGGGTCAGTGATTTCTACGTTTCTGTTTCTGTTCTTTTCGAACCCGAATATTTTCATTTAGTCGTTCATCCCATATCGTTCGTGATAGGGGACCACGACCACCAACTGTATGCCTAGTGTCCCTGCTTTGGCGCCTCATTTGGAATCGTAGACAAGTTGTTTGTCCGCGAATTCTGATTTTCATTTTCCAACCTGAACATCGTTTCCCTTGTGGAGCTACCTACTTCCAGTTCTTGTGTGAAACGGTATTTCGATCGACTTTGACCGACAATGTTTTTCAACCGTCACTTTTTCCATCGCCAAAGGAGAACATTTAACACAAAGAGCCAGCACTTTTTTCACCAAACCCTCAAAAATGCTGCTCTTCCCCTCGCCTCCGCGAAGGCAAGCGTGTGGGGCTGGAATCAGCTTCACAGGAGAGACGAACAAAATAAACAAGCAGATACAGGAAATTCTGGTACTAGTACTATCGCAGCTGCGAAACCACGGGGTGGAGATCTACGAACAGGTGCAGGTGCTGGGAACAGCAGAGTTGAACGTGCACAACAGGACTTCGGCGTAGAAGTTGATAACTACACGACGGCCACGTGCAAGAATTCTACGCAAAAAGCTTCACCACGGCCTGGGCAACTGCACATCCCTAGTAACCCCCCCTCCTGGCAATTCGGGGTGATCTTGCGAGGACCCCGAGGTCTTCAGAAAACAACGGTAGCGCACTGTGAAGAAGGAGGCCGAGGCACAGTGCGTGGATCTACGCGTGGATCACCACGCGGAGCTGGTGCACCTGGACTTGACGACTTCCGAAGCACAGTGACGAATTTCGTTCCCGGCTATAATGGGGTACCAGTTGCTGGCGCAACAGCTTTTTCTGCTGCACCACGACAGCGTCCAACATCACAGCAGCTTTCCGATGGTGCAGCTCAACTATCCGATGAAAAAAACGCACAACAACCCTACGACGTCGCCATTATCGGTGCGGGCATTGCCGGCACGGCGCTGACCTATTTTTTGGTGGAGGAGATTGAAAAACAACGGAAATCGAAAAACTACAACTATCGCAGCAACAAACCGTTTCGAATTTTGCTGCTAGATAAGGAAACCGCGGGCGCGGGCGCTACCGGATTGTCGATGGGAACGCTGTTTCCGTTATTCCATATCAAATGTAAAAATGTCTGGGTCTGGAAGGTAGGAACTTGTCATGCTAAATCTGCAGCATGCAAAAATCTGTGTTGCATGATTGCCAAAAGTCGCCCAGTTTTGATCAAGTCGGAAGGTAGTTTCTCATGCAGGATAGGCATTAGAAACGTCTCGCAGAATCTGTCATGCTAGGTCCGGCATTCCAGACCTCATAGGTCATGGAAAAGCAGCATGACAAATCGCGCATTCTTCCAGACCCAGACATTTTTACACTTGATATTCCAGGAGGACGTGGAAATCGAGAAAAACGATTTGAAGCAACTCAAAGACAGTGAATTAGACCAGTTTGTCACCCACGGGACAACTGAGATGCTGAAAAAGCTGCAAGACGAGCTACGGGTGGATAATGCTAGAAGTACTCTTTCAACATTCCGCCCAGGCCCAGCCGGACGACGAGGAGAGCGTCAACACGCTGGGACCGACGACGATGATGAAGATGATCCCCACGACGAGGACTTTATCCTGTGTAAAAGTATAGTATTCGTATTGCAATCATGCATTACAAATTCTTTTGTTCAGTTAAATCCGCATTACAAATTTTATTTCTCATGCTGAGAAAATTTGTAATGCATTTATACGAGTGCGATACTTTTGCAGTTCATAGACTTGTTTTTCCACCAAAACGGAGCGTATATGGTCGCGCCGCGGGGGAACAGTATATCAAGTGCAAAAATGTCTGGGTCTGGAAGATTGCCAGGTTTGTCATGCATATTTTGCATAACCCATGATGCCTGTAATGCATGACCTAGCATCACAGACTTTTTGAGCGCCCTCTGATGCGTATTCCGCATGACAAATGCCCATTCCGCGTAGCACAAACTGCACTCCTCTTGCTGGTCATGCAATACAATCTTTTTCAGAATCCAAAGACAGCATGACAAGTTCCTACCTTCCAGACCCAGACACTTTTGCAATGCATACAGTAAAGTGGAAGCCTATTTGCAGAGATTATTCAAACTTTGGAAGAACGAAAGGTCGTACGATGTTGAGTTTCTAGAGTCCGAAGAGGAAGTGACCCGGAAGATGTTTCCCGATTTCGTCTCAGAAGATGATCCGAAAGCAGAAAATCAAAATCACCTCCCACGGCGTGTCAACGTCTACGCCTACGGCGACCGGACGGATAAAAGGGGGATCAAAGATGGTACTACCCCCTGCATGGCCATTTACGCGCCCCGGGGCGGTCTGGTGGATCCGGGGGCGGTGAACCAGTTGTTTCTAGACATGGCGCTGGAGAAAGCAATGGAGTCGACCTTCAATAGGAACAGTTTGGTTGTGACAGTTCAGGAAAACGCGGAGGTGGTGCAAGTGGTTTTGCCGGCCGCAGGGACCGGGACGACCGTCACTGGTACAGAAAAGGCACTAGCGCGTGGAGGTGACGGTGGAGGTGGTGGTGGTAGGGGCCGTGGTCTGTCTAGTTTTTTCTCTGCAGCAGGAACAACAGCAGCTCCGACTATACCGAATAAAAGCGCAGACTTTCATTTGTCAGAAGTCGAGGAGATCGACGCCCGCCAGTATACTCTGGAAGATCAGTGTTTGTTTCTGGATGAGAATCCGCTGAGTAACTGCATTGAGATCCACGTGAGGAGGCCAGTCCAGGTTCAAGCCCAAGGTTATCATGCCCGCCGCAACGGACGAGAATCAGAAACTTCTACTTCTTCATCCTCCCGTGCTGAAGAGCTGGAGCTAGAAGAGGAGCTGTATCAGCGGCAATTTGACAAGGAGACACTAACAACTGCTGGCTCTGCCTCTGGTCGTGGAGAAGAAATGAAAGTGGTACAACAAGACCACAATATGAATATAGTCGAAACGGTCCACGCGAAGTCGATTGTCTTCGCGAACGGCATCGACATTCCGAAACTCTTCGACGAAGGACAAATTCTCAGGCGGGAGGACGAAGGGATGGGCAACAGAAACAGCAACAGCGACTACAGCAGAAATTTTAGTACAAATAAAGGACTCAGTTGTATCGACCTCCCCATCCCCATCGTTCCTGTTCTTGGCACGGTTGTCCAGTCCGAAATCCGCAACACGAACCTGAAACAGAACAAACCCTTCTGCTTCTTCTCCGCGGAATCCTTCCAGTATTGGGACGAGGAAGTGGACGATTACGGGTTGCAAATCCAAAGTGCCGGCAAAGTCGAAAGGGTGAAAAACGGGATCAAAACCACAACCGAGAAGGTCAAGAACGGAACGAAGGATTTTTTGATGAAAACTTCCAACAGCTACAACACCACTGAAAGAGCCGCTGCGGTTATCCCGATGAAATCCACCTACGACCTGGATGCGAAGGAGCGCGCGTTTCATATGGCGTTGCCAAATGTTACATTCTCAGCTATTACATGATTTGTCATGCAATATTCTCAGCAGTATCTACCTCATCAAGCTGTCTCGCATGACAACTTTCCGAAGGGCTAAATAGCATCTAAATCTGTGCCAAACCCGTAATGCAAAAGGCGTAATCTTCCCCCTTGCACTTTTGCCATTCTTGCATTACAGATTCATGCAACAGTTGAGAGCGTAACGTTTGAGAGTGCCATACTTCACATTTACGGGATTATCGGGAAAAACGACCCGACGGAGCTATATCAAAACGAAAAATCCCCCCTCCCCATATCGAAAAGGTATGTTTCCGAAAATTTGTGTTGCAGATTTGAGGTCACAAATCACATTTGTCTTGCCAGAAGACAAGGGCAGAAGCTGCCGCCCCATTATGGAAGCGGTTTGTCATACTGCTGGCCCTAAAAGTGACCCGCTTGCCATGCTGAACAACTAGACCCATACGCCCCTGCCTAGCCTGGAGATCTGGCCACAGTGCCTCTCTACAATACAAACCGGATTTGTGTACACAAATCCAGCATCAGAGGTTCCGTTTTGATATGGGGAGGGAGGATCTTTCCTTTCGATAAGCTGTTACTCGGCTTCAGCCGCGAGGCGTTTTGCTCGTACCGGAAACGGGAAGAATTCCGGCAATCCTTGGACAGCTACTTGCATTTCATGTCCTACTGTTCGCCGTTTATGTGGCACGGGCTAGCAGCGATGGTGAACGTGTTGGAGAACATGACTGGGAGTAAGAGTACTGTATTTTCGGGGATCTTCTCTGGAAATTCTAATTCATCAGGTCCGGAAAACGCAGTGAAAGACGAGACCAGTCGAAAGTTTTTCGATACCATCCTGAAGCAGCATCTGGACACGGTGAGAGACCTTCGGGAGTCCTGGTCGGAAGAAACCATACGGGCGGAGAAACAGCAGAAATATTTGGAGTACACGAAGTTCATGTTTTTCACCGGGATTAAAGCGCCGGAATCCATCCTGACCAGGAAGATCAACAAGGAGATGGAAGAGATTGTAAATTCTGGCGTGTCTGTAGAAAAGGAGGTGACGACGGAGCAGACGTCGTCGAAAATTGGAAACGGCCCGCACATCCGACCAGAGTTGCAGCCTGGGTGGGAGGGCTGGCAACCGTTTTCGGTGTATGGAAAACCGCTCGTTGGGCCGTTGGACTGTTGGTCTGGAGGAACTGCCGCGAATAAAGATACTAGTAGCACAACGCAGGACCGAGAAAGCATAAAAACGTCCTCTGCGGAAACCGAAATTTCGCACAAGGAAGGAGAGGAAATGTCCGACACAACGGAACGCAAAAGTTCTCTTCCAGCCAACGTCTATATCGCCGGGGGATTTGGGCCGGCTGGGATCAAGCTGGCTCCTTTTCTGATGAAAATTTTGGCCGAACGGGTCGTGCACGACGCACGAATTCGGGAGGAGAGTGAGGCGCTAAATGGAAATACAGGTAAAAGCTATGGTGGAGACGTACTACAACAGCTAGACTCTCGCAATCGCAGACTCCTTCGTTACTACGACCCCAATCCCGCTGTTGAGAGGTTTCGAAGAGATTTGGAAAGAGCGAGGGCGAGATAAGGTTTATTCAGTTTCACTTTCAGTTTCGCTTTAAATACGACTGCTGGTTTTGGTTTCTTTTTGCCAAGAGCGGGAATAGCTATAGCATGTGAACAAGATTCAACATCAACAGCACTCTCGAGATTTTGTCTTTTCGAAGGTTATCATCTTCGCTCCTCGCGTGATATTCTGTGCGCGCGTAAAGTTTTTTGTCGGAGGCGCTTGCCGATGTGTTCGTTGCAGTTGTTTATTTCGCTAGGATTACGATTATCGCAAGCTCGTGTTCATCGTCCTCTCCTCGCGTTGTCGATCTCAAAGCCTGCTTCTGTGTTGATCTTGTGAAAGTACTTACTTGCTTTTGTTCGTCGTGGAGTTCCCAAGAGTAGAACGACCGAGCTGAGCAGCAGGACGAGAGTTTTACTTGTGCCCATCTTTACACGACCCCCCCTAGCTGTATGTGAAAGGACGAAGCTGCTATTGCAGTATCGCATTAGGATTAGAGTTCATCGTTAGTTTGCTGACGGCACAGAAACAAATAGCTCCCGTTCATCACTCTGGAATGATGAGTAGAACACGAGGACAAAGTGAACTCAATTCCAAGACGATTCTGCTTTTTGTTGGAGTTTTTTTACGAAAAAGAAAAATCTCCTCAACAAGAAGCTGAAGCAAACTACGACAACCGCGGCGGTTAGTCGGTTTTTTGCAAGGTGGAACTAGAACAATTTCTTCAACATCACCACCTCTGACGACAATAATAAAAACACCGTTGTCAAGACAGAGCGAAATCAAAAACATGTCTCCACCTATCCAGCACGTCCCAGGCTATAAGGTAGTCCTTCTCGGCGACGCCTCGGTGGGAAAATCATATGCATTGCAAATATGTCTGGGTCTGGAAGGATGCAACTTACCATGCTGTCTTTGGATCGGAAAGAAAAATTGTATTGCGTGACCGGGAAGAGGACGAGTCCAGTTCGTGCTACGCGGGGAGGGCACTTCTCATGCGGAGTACGCATCAGAAAACGGTCTCAAAATCTGTCATGCTAGGTCATGCATCAGAGGCATCATGGCTTATGCAAGATACGCATGACAAACCTGGTAATCTCCTTCAAGATCCAGACATCTTTGCATTTGATAAACCATCACTGGTGACAAGATTTGTGAACAACAGGTTCTCGGACAACAGTGAGGCAACGGTGGGTGCGGCCTTCTCAGCGCAAATAGTGACGACGGAGGAGGGGCAACAGGTATTAAAATGTAGATTTTTTGTATACCAACCTGCATGATCTGGTTGTGATGTTTGAACATGTGAACCAGTATTCCTGAGACCCCCCAGATTATATTTGTATGTCAGGACACGAGGGGGCCTGCCCCTAATTGTCCTAGAAGAAACCCGGCCTCTAAATCGCTTTCTCATACAAATTTGTTATGTTTTATGGTCCGCTGTTTTCCCGGCGGACCCTTGGGAAACTGGTTCTACCGTCCGGCACGGGGCCCCCAGGACTTCCCGGGGCCCCCGGACGCGAAGGGACCTACAATGCCTCTGCGCCGTCGTTTTGTATGGTTCCGCGCTAGCACCGCGGCGTTCCGCTTAGCCGCGGCCGCGCTACGCCGCACTACGACTACGCACATTCGGCAGTCGCTCGGTCATCTGCATTCTCACGGACTGTTAGCAAAAATACAGACGCCATCGAGAGTGAGTGTCCATGTGAGCAGTGGCCAAAAAGAGCTGCGAGCCGCGTATTATTTGCCCTTGCCCTCGAACGCGCGCGCGCGCGCTATTTCTTCGCGCCAAGTTTGTGCTGCGCGCGCGAGCGCTCCTGCTTGTGGTAACCGCAAAGCCGCGGTGCGCCGTTTCTGCGCGAGTCTTCCGCATGCCACAATGAACATTCAACCACAGCCACACCACTTCCGCTCCACATACAAAAAAGCTGTATGTTCCGCGCAGGACAGACAAATACTGCGCGTTGTCAGAAAAAACTTTTCTGCTCATACGTCTTTTTGTCTGTTTTGTGTGCTTTTTTCTGTTCTAGGTACCCTTCGCGTCCCGGGTACCTTTCGTGTGCTGCTTCATATGCACCAGCGCAAAGACAATCAAACAGTGTTTTTCTTTTTACATGATGATGTCATACTCCAAGGTAAAATTTGAAATATGGGATACCGCCGGTCAGGAGAGGTTTCGATATGGATTGCAAAAGTATCGTACTAGTAGCAATCGCATTACAAATTGGCTTAGCATGACAAATGGAATTTGTCGTGCTGTTTTGCCTTGGGATGGAGATTTGTAATGCATGACTGCGATTCCTACGAGTACGATACTTTTGCGCAGGATATTCGATCACTAGCACCGATGTACTACCGCGGTGCAGCGTATGGGAGTGTCAGGATCGAAATCGTCAAAGTTGAAATAATTTGTAATGCATAAAATGCGATACAAAAAGTGACTCTATTGCAGAGGACCCACGGGAGGCAGATTATAGTCCTGGTAAGGGTCAAAAGTTGGGCTGCTAACTAGCATGACAGAAGGCAGCTCTTTTACCCTAAACCGCATGACAGACGCGCTTCCAGGACCGGGAAAATTTGTCATGCACCGACTACAAACTGTAGGTCTAACTGGTATCCGTTTTATGCATGACAAACTATTTCAACTTTGACGATTTCAAACCTGACGCTTCCATACAGCGTGCGCGATAGTGGTGTTCGATGTATCACAGGAGCCGACGCTAGACAAGGCCAAGGATTGGGTCGACGAGCTCCGACAAAACGTCCAGGATTCAGGTACAGTGAGTTTTCACTTAGGTTTCTTTGTGTTGCAGTTCTCGCATGGTAAATCTTGTCCTCACGACGTTTTTGCAATACAAGTCTACTATGCAAATGCAAAATTATCAGAATTCCTGGTCATCGCTCTGGCGGCCAACAAGATTGACCTGCGATCCGACGTATCAACTGCAAAAATGTCTGGGTCTGGAAGGATGCAACTTGTGATGCTAAATCCGAACCATGCAAAAATCTGTGATGTTGCATGAATGCCAAAAGCTCTCCACTTTCGAACAAGTTGGGAGTTGGGAGTTTCTCATGCAGGATAGGCATGACAGAGACCCCGCAGAGAGTCTGTCGTGCTAGGTCGCGCATTCCAGCCCTCACGGGTGATGAAAAACCTGCATGACAAGTTTACACTCTTCCAGACCCAGACATATTTGCATTTGATACGACGTGGGCCGAAAAGCGTTGGAATACGCCAGAGAGGTATGCAAGGAAAAAACTATGTGAGTGTAAGTCTGTGATGCAAAAAATGCAAAACTGTCACACTTGTGATGCTGGATGTGCGTCATAGGCTACTTCCATCCGTGTTTTCACATACTAATTGCGCATGACAGGTTTCCCCTGTAATGCAAAACGAATTTGTGATGCTGCTCTTCCTACAAAGCTACACTTACACAGTTTTTTTCCTGGATAAGAGGAGGGCCTTCTCTACGCAGAAACCAGCGCCAAGACCGGTATCAAATGCAAAAATGTCTGGGTCAGGAAGATTCTGAGACTTGTCGTGCCTGTTTTGCATGACCGCGGATGTCTGTAATGCACGACCTAGCATCACAGATTTTTAGAGGGCTCCCTGATGCCTCCTCCGCATGACAAACGCCCTCCCCGCGTAGCACAAACTAGACTCCTGCTCTTGCTGGTCATGCAATGCAGACCTTGTTAGAGTCCAAAGGTAGCATCACAAGTTCCAACCTTCCAGATCCAGACACTTTTGCACTTGATAACCGGCGCTGGTGTGCGAAATCTGTTTGACGAGCTAGCCCGGACGGTGCCGGAAATGGTCAGGAGAAAGGAAATCGAAAAGTCACGACAGTCGGAGATGAGCAGCGCGGCACACAACCTGGACGGCTTTCGGGTGGGCGGCAACATGGACAGGAAAAAGATGGAAGGGTTCGGGGGCAATAATAACAACAGTGGCGGGTTCGGAGCGGGTTGCTGTGGTGCGACGTGATAGAAATGCTATAATGCTTGTTGTGTGGTGAAGAAATTGTGAGAAATAGTTTTTGGTTGACGAGACAACTTGTACAACTATGTAGAAAAGTTGAAAACTCAAACTGAAAACTTTCGATTTTGTTAAGATCCTTCTACGAAGAAAAAATCAGTCATCCTTTTACAAACAAATCTAACGATAGCTGTTGCGCAGTAGATGAAGTGGCAGTGCGGTGACCCGCCGTCGTGGTGCCACGGCCTGGAGTCCAAGAAGCGAAGCCTATGTAAAGACACTTTGAATTTTATCAATTTTGTCATGAAAACAACAAGCAGAACTTGTAGAACACATCGAGTTTGTTGGCAAATTATTTCATCATAGAAATATAATTGCCTCAAAGGCAGCTGTGTCGTGGACCTACTTTTGATCTTGAGCTATGATCTACTACTGACTGCTCGAATGATTTCTGAGTTACTTATTTGTCTGCTGTGAATTACTATTACAGCACAGGAGGGCGAATAATTTTCGGGGCAAGCGCAAGCTTGTGGGAAATAAAGACAAAGAGGAAACACCAGAGCAACTCAGAAGAGTATTTTGCACGAATGCCTGTGGCCTAGCTGCAGATAACGAGTCTTGGGCCCGTTTTCGTCCTGCTGGAGATGAACGTAGCTGTGTAAAGACGCTGCATATAATGTTCCATCGTTTTCACCCCGACCTCTGCTTTGTCTCTTTTTTCTGTGACACACAGCAGCAGTAGGTCGTCGTCGCGTGCGTTGTCCACCGAAATCGTAGCCCACTTCTCTCGCTGCTGTATACAAGAACGGTTGACTGAGATAATGAAGGAAAAAAGTGCTGCAAGAACCACGCCTTCAAATACTAGCTTGTTGCGAAAGATTATGCTTCTCCTGAGATGAAGATGAAATAGAATTTCTCTTACTCTATTACATGAAAACTATATTCTCTTTCTCATCATGAGTGCCCAATCCCATCTGTCCGACAGTGTGTACACCACATCCGTCCATGGGTGGCGCCCCGACCTGGTGGATTTTCTCGACGAGGTATGCAACACAAATTTCCTGTACATGTACAAATAAATGCATCACAAATTTCACCAACTTGGAGCATGCCGCTTGTCATGCTGAGTAGAGTATAAAAGAAAAGTTTGTCATGCAGAAACCGCATTTGTATACAAATGCTGGAAATTTACCGTGGATACGAGGAATGGCTCTCCGAGCAGCTGCCCGACGACGAGCTGAACCTCCCGAATCTACCGCCCTACAACCACCCGGGCTCGCGACCGGACCAGGACCCCTTTGCGATAAGCCCGCAATTGGCAAAACTCTCCCTGCTGCAAAACCGGAAGCAACAGTCCAACGTTGGGTGTCTGAATTTTCTGGAAGCGGTGTTGGACCTGAATGAGGAAGACTTTTTGGAGTACGTTTTCCAGGCGGGGAACGCAAACTACGGTGGGAATGTGTTGAATTTGTCCAATCTGAAACGAACGAAAAACGTCGGGAAAGGTTCTGCCGGTGGTGGCAGCTCTGCGGGCTTCAGTAGTAGTTCCTCCGGGGCAGCAGGAGGGGGACATCACTCTACTAATGGCACGGCAAGTCATGGACCTGGTGCGTCGAGCGCCGCTCGGCAAAACGCAAATTCCGGGCTGAAGAACCACCAGAATCCGAGGTCCATGCTCAGTGAATACATCGGGCACGATATCAAGAGTAAAAACGTTGTCCCCACCCCGCCAGAGTCAAGATGGCGATTTTGCTACAGAAAGGAGCAGGTTTTGGCTGTTGCGCATGACAAGTTTGTTTCTGCTCGTAGCGTAGCCCTGTTTAGCTAGTAGTGCGACCGCATCACAAATCGACTGCCTTATCCTCCCTCCAGCATGACAAATCCCGAAATAGCGTATGGAAAATGCTCCTCATGGGGTTGCGCACCATGAGAAACACTTTACGCATGCCACTTCACATGAGAAGTCTTGGGTGGGGACGTTTTCACACATGATGCACGAGTTGTTTTCTACCACGATGCGGGAAGACGAGCACGATTTGGATGTTTTGGGCCAGGAGTTACCCCTACCGGCGGCGTATGGGGCCTATTGCCTTTGAGGTCTCGATGGAATATATTTATAGCGAAGAAGGAGCAGGTCACGACCAGCAGCACATTGTTGAGCAGCGACTTTTGGAGGTTACAATTGCTCGAGATCAAATTTCTTTAATGAACCGCCTATAACAAAATGAAAACTTCTACGTAGAAAAATTCTGCACCTACCTGTCCAAAAAAATCAGTCAACAAGCAGCGCTGCCGATAGGTTTGTTCGACCTGTGGAGGTGTAGCTAAAGCCGTTTGCTGGCATTGTTGGGAAGGAGACCACTAGTACTTGATTCATACTGCGAGCGGTGCGTACAGTCGAGAGAAGTTGAAGTAGATGTGTACTACTATGTTGTGATCCTCTTCGAGCGACGACGAGAGTGGAAGTATTTGTGGTGATTGGCGGAGATTAAGATCAATAAAAAGCGATCCGTGTTGATGAAAAAGAGGGTTCAAAGTGGATTTGTTTCGATCAACGAGAAAGATAGATGACCAACACAAGAACTACGCGGGACATGGATGCAGCGGAGCACCCCTTCGATTCCGCAGTCGAGCCTGTTCCTGATGGCATTTCAGTGAAAACACAAAAAAAGCCTCTCCGGCGCCCGACGTCTTGCCTCCTCCTCCCCTAATGAAGGCACTACCCTCGTCCCCGCACTGAGCTAGTTAACTTCGCGCAGTCTACTTGAGCCAGTCCTTTTGACGTGAAGAGCCTTCATCATTCGCAAGAAACAGACTTACTTGGGCGCCGGCTTTGGCGCTCTACTTTCTTGTAGTTCTACAGGGGCTGCTGAATGAAATATAAGACCCGAGGCTGCTGAAATACAGCTCCTGAAGCTCTGGCCCCACAAACATTTAGAAAAAGGCCTCCGACACAGGTAGACTTTTGCTTCTGGAATTTACAACTATGAGACACCAGATGATCCGTCATCTAAAATCTCAAGAATACCAACAAGGGGGACCTCCCAAAGGGGGTCCCTAAATCCGTATTCTTGAGATTTTAGATGAAGGCCAAATCGAGGGTTTCCGCTGCATCTAAAATCTCAAGAATACCAACATTGGGGTCCGCCCAAGACACCTCCCCGGAAGGGGGCTTCCGGGGAAATCGGCGACTCGGGGCCCTTTTCGCACCCCCATCCGATCAGCCAAATCGACCGGCTCAGGTGCATCTAAAATCTCAAGAATACCAGAAAAGGGGTCGCCAAGTGGCCAACGCCCGGCCCGCCTTTTGGGGCCCCTTGATTTTGGCCAAATCGGCCGACTCAGGTGCATCTAAAATCTCAAGAATACCAAAAAGTGGGCAACCTTGGGGCCCGCGCAAAAGTTCGTCGGACTTGGCACAACTTCCGGGCCCCTGCCAAACGTCCGAGATGAACTCCCTTAGTGTGTGCCGATTAGGGCTTTACTTTCTGGAGGTTGGTACTTTACTGCGCCCAATGTCCCGTTCGGGCACAGGAAGGCCTCCTCCGCTACAGTGCCATAGCAGGACACTCCTGAAAGCAGCCCGACCGAATGAGTTGCGCGACGTTTGCTACCCTCCCCCTGTTGGTGCGTGTTTTCCAAAAATGGGATGAGTGGCGTTTGCAAATGAAACAGCACGCAGCTACACTGCGAGCTGACCGCGGCGAGTCGCGTGTTGATTTTTTTGTCAGTTTTCTTATTCTTGAACTTTTCCCCTTAGTAAACGAGAAAGATAGATGAGCAACACAAGAACTACGCGGGACATGGATACGGTGCATTTCAATGCTTTCTACTGTGGCGAAGGCGAAGTCGGAGATTTGTGAAATTACAATTAGCAAGCCACCTCCGCCAGCACTGGAACCCGAACAGCTATGACAACCTCGAGGAACTACAGTGACAAGTACAAGAGCCCCCGAAAAAGGGCCCGCCTACGCAGACCTGGCCGCTCTTCAGTGAAAAACAACTTGCTCACAAAGCTGCTTGAAGCCGTGAAAGGACGCATCCAGGACCTACAGAGAAGAGTACTAGATCCCTTTTTCCAAGAATCACGACGTAATGCTAAAGGTGATAGGGACCGTCAAGAACGCAGCTGGTTTGCTTTTCCAGTTTCGGGAGTAGGACCGGCCACTTCGACGTCCCCGGGCAGGAAAATGCGAAAAAACATCGATGCATGCAGCTCCTGTAAGGCGAGAGCGAGACGGACCGCCACGCATGGGCATCAGCGAGGACGGCGAGAAACGTCTGATCACATGAGCGGGAGGACTGTGAGCACAAGAACTAGCGATAACTCATCGTGTATTTCTCCCCGATCATTGCAAAATGCCGTAGGCTACAGCTGCGGTTGCCGAACAAGGTGGAGAAGGAGAACGGCACAGAGAAACGGAGTTGCAGCTGGTGCTACAAGCGGTGCTGCGACAAGGGCAACGACCGGAATAATAAATGGGGCACCTGAAGATGTAGGAGCGCGGCGTAGTTGCAAAACGATCTCTTCGACTAGAGTCAGAGACAAGAACCTACCAAGCCCCAGCACCAGCCTCCACTGCAAGAACCTGATAAACCCCTTTCACCCGAAAGAGCAGTTCCCAATATTCCTATCCCTGTTCCTCTACCTCCAAACCTTCCTCAACTTTACCTTCGCCGCCTACTTCCACGTCCCGCCAGTCGACTCCACCTGGGTCCGCCCACTCATCCTGCCCTGGGAGCCGGTACGAGGGACGAAGGACGCGATTCTAGTCACTTGGACCACCGGCTGGAACCCCAACGCCGCAGTTCTACGCTCGGTGTTGCAACGACGCTACCCCGTCGCGATCGGGTCCATGAACATCGATCTGCGGAACAGGAACCAGGAATCCGCTACTTGGTACAACTCCACCGAACAATTCCCAGGATTTTCGCCCTGGGAAACGGTGTACGAGGGTCCGGGAAAGCAGTTCGAGAACACAAACCTACTCCCCGGCCATCCCTACGAGTTCCGGGTAAAGACGATCGGGCGGAACATTTTGAAATCAGTCCACCTCGGCGAGAACCCAGACACGGAGTCCGAGTGGTCGGTCCCGCAGATGGCCCACACGAACTACGACCCGATCCGGGAGCGGTTTCCGATCTTACTCCAGGGGATGTCGGCGCACAACCCGGACTACGCCATAATCGAAATCGACCGGATCCAGGTTTACAGAAGAAGGGACGAGAAGGGCTTGGTTTTGGCGGTTTTCAGTAGGTGGAACATGCAGCTGATCTGGTATAAGAATTTTTTTTTTGCTAATTATCCATTGTACTGCGCGGGTGCATGACAGCTGTTGCCTTGCATCGGCGTTACGCGTGACAAATTATCATATTTTATCAGGTTGAAAACGTACAACACCTTCAACTATCCGGGGGATTCGAACGCGATGGCAAAGGACATTCGAAGATTATGGATTGCAAATATGTCTGGGTCTGAAAGATTCTAAACTTGTAATGCTGTCTCTGGATTCTACAAGAATTTGTATTGCATGACCAGCAAGAGGACTCCGGTTTGTGCTACGCGGAGAGGGCATTTGTCATCCGGTACAGGCATCACAAAGTCCTCTAAAAATATGTGATGCTTGGGCATGCATCACAAACATCATGGGTCATTCAAAATATTATATGCATGACAAACTTGGCAATCTTCCAGACCCAGACACTTTTGCAGTTGATAAAGATTAGATCAGTCCCATTTCATCGCGGTTGTCTCCACCGACGCGTGGGAGTGGAACGTGACGCCGAGCCTGATAAAAGCCATGGAATTCTGCGGGGCCTTCCACTTCGCCACCTGGAGCCGGAATTACGGCGGGAGCCACATCAAGATGCCCACGCAGACAGGGTAGAAGAGGATAGGTTTTTTGATTATCTTCTCGATCTCCGAGAAGACTAACTTAGTCTTCTAACTAAACCTTAGTAAGGTTTCTACGCATCACAACTGCTGTGTCTGTAGCAGCATCATGCTGCGTGCCAAACTCGCAGCTGGGAAAATGTTTCTGACTTCTTGTGAAAATCAAATATGTAAATCAGTTTTGACGTCGACCAAACCTCGAGCCAAAAGGGTTTCGGCAACCCCTACGCCTTCTGGGGCATTCCTGGTTCCGGAACCGGGATGGGGTTCGAATCCGTCGCGTGGCCAACCTCCGCTTACCTGATGCAGAAGCTGGCGCCAAACGCGATCGTGCGGCTGATTCTGTACATGGACTACGTGGTTCGCCACTACTTTGTTTCCCTCCCGTCGGTCCAAACGGTGTCTACGTCGTTTCACACGAAGGCTTTACCACCGACTCATGAGTCGTTGCACAACCCCTACACGTATGCACAGCGGCAGCTGGTGTGCGAAGGGCCGAACTGCAACGAGTACCAAGTCGGGGTAAAATCCTACATCCAGGAAGACGACTTTTACAAGGTCTACAACGGGGAACTCCGGGTCCACATGGACAGGTTACTAGAAGCGAACCGCACCGTCGACCCGCATTACTACCACTTTTTCCTTTTCACCAACTCTTCCATCTACAAATTCGACCCCAGACCCGCGGAAACGAGAGTAACGGAACTAGAGCGGGTGTGGGGCGGGCCGTCGGAACGGTTTCACTTCAACGTGTCGGCGCAGGCGTATCAGCTGTCCGTGTTCCAAGAAGCCTTGCCGAGCTGGTTTCCGGAGAGAACGGGGATCCCTATGCTGTGCAAAAGTATCGTACTCGTAGCAATTGCGTTGATGCATGACAAATCTCTTTCTCAAGGTAAATCAGCATTACAAATTCGATTCGATTCGTAATGCTGCGCCAATTTGTAATGCAATTTATACTAGTACGATACTTGGTTTTGCAATGCATAATTCCGTATAGGAAGCGATACTGCCCGGACCTGTTCCGGTCGGATCGGTTTGACATCAACCCGATAACATGCAGAAACACCTCCCGCAGGCCGACGAATGAATCGACTCTCTCCCCAGACAACTCCTGTTGCGACTACTTGGACTGGAACGTGGGTGGGGACCCGAGCAGGGATTATTTCCTCGGGTTGAGGTGCGGGGTCGGGGTGGTACCGACGCTGTGTAACGAAACATTGACGAGTTTCTTACCCTCCATCTCGCACAAACCACCCTTCAACCACACGATGGGGCTGGGAACGCCATTGCCGCCGGTGTTTTCGAAACTTCCCCCCACGCAGTCGGTGATGGCCGCCATGCTGGGCTTCCAAAACCCGTTTCCGAACGGGCATTTTCACCACTTGGCAACGGTGTGATGAGGTGGTGGTGAATCGGGAATAAGCAGCAGAGGAATTATCGTCACATGGGATTTTTCCCGGAGGTACATTATTGCGCAGCAACTTGTCGTAGACTAGAGCTGACGCTAGCATGCTCCTGAGATCAATGAGATCATAGAGATAGGCTAGCAGTATGCCGATAGGTAGACGAAGATCTCGACACATTGAGGGGCCGCACTAGTAGGATCAGACATCAGTGGATCACTAGGGTGACTAGGATCACATGCACTACACCACCAGGATGGTGAGCACAACACCATGACCATGGTAACAATGTAAATGAATACAGTGCCAGAATGGCTTCTGGTCTCCGGGCCAGTAGCTTGACGAAACAAATTGCCCTGAACTCCGTAGCACCTTAGTTAGGTGCCTAGATAGTAACTCTGTTCTCTATCTCAGGACAGCATGCTAGTGCGCATGCCGGTCCTCGGTGGTTGACAGCACCTCGACAGAGTTATGAGCCCAAAGAGTTCCCCTATTGGGAGCGGGTAAGTACTACTAGCCACCCCGACCTATCCCTGCATAAGAGTAGGGAATGAGCTCCCCAGCTCGTGGCCGTAGTCGCCTCCTTGTGTGGCTAGTCCGCACATGGAGAGCCAGCTAAGCGCAAGGCGCTAGAAAGGGCAAGACCCCCCTCGCCACATATCTGTCGATGGCAGTTCTTGTTGCGAGCGTGGGGCACGTAAGTAAAAGTAAGTAGCAACACAAACATGGTGGCGCAGCAGCGACCTCCAGGGTGTTGCAGTAGAAGGAGAGGAATTATCGTCACATGGGATTTTTCCCGGAGGTACATCTACAGAAAGGTTTTGGCGGGAAGGTTTTGGCGGGAAGGGCAGTCAACGCACGAAAAAAACTTGGTTTCCCTGCCAAGCAGCAAAAGGCAAAGCAGAAAAATGAGCAAAGTTTTTCAGGTTCCCGATGCCCGCAAAACAAGCACGAACAAAACCAAAAGGCAAAGAGAAAAAAAATCCAAAGAAAACTGGCAGGCGCAAACCGCCAGCAGCAGCCCAAAACCTAGAACGCCTGGCCCGGCCGGCGCCTGTCGTGCCAGAACGAGAAGCAGGGCCCAGCAATCCAGGCAGAAAATGAGCGCGCGCCCTTCAGGTTGTTCTCGTTACATTCTGCCGCGTTAGACGCGCCCCCTAGCCTACCGGCTGGCACCAGAAATCCGCAGCAGGCGTAGCCACCCTCTCTGTTTTCATTGCAGTCACCCCAGTGTAACTAGGGCAAGGGTGCCGCTGTCGCTCCTCGGGGTGCATGTGTTTCGGCTAGCTGTAGCTGCGATTTGTGGAGTTAGGGGTCGCCGGTCCCGGTGATCGCTCGGCACATACAAAAAGAAGCAGACACAGCTGCAATCCCGTGAACCGCTGCGCACCTCCTGTTGGCGCTAATTGTAAAGCGCGCGGGCGCGCCGCTCCAGTAGCAGAGCTTCGCCACAGCTCTTGCTTCCCAGTAGCAGGCACCCCTGCAGCAGCGCAATTATTTGGTCCAAGTCCTTTACCTTTTTTTACTGTATGCGAAGCTGATGAATATGAAAGTAGGCGGCCGCCCGACCTGCCTTGCTTCCCCGCCTGAACGCGACAGGTATTCCGGTGGTTGTCTCTGTGCCCCTCCCAGCCCGCGCGCGGTTGGTCGCTTTTGCGCTTCCGTTTTCGAGACGGTAGCTAGGCCGGTCGCGCGTGGAAGAACAACTACAAAGACCTGCTTGCAAAGCAGACAAGCCACGTAGTGTTCTTGTTTGAGTAGAAAAAGGCGACTTTTGGGCTCGAAGCTGTAGACAGTTTTGGGCCAAGACCTGTAGAGGTCGACCTCTAGAGGTTGACCTCTAGAGCTCACCCCTACAGGTTTTGCACCTCTAGAGGTCGCGGCCCTCCTCGAGCTCCAGGTTTTTCCACAGTAGTATGCGGATTCGAAATAGAAAAGTAGTCAAAAAAAAGGCTACCTCTAGAGCTTTGGCCCTCTTTTGGCCCAGGTTTGAGCCAGGTCCGCTTCACAGTAGCGTCGTCATTCGAAAAAAACCGGCAATGGCCGTCGTTTGAGCCTTCTTGGTCCCAGGTTTTAGACTATTTGCTGCGAGTACTATAGTTCTTTTGGCTATCGTCACATGGGATTTTTCCCGGAGGTAGATGGATACTACTTGACCTACAAGGCGGCCGGGACACGAACACTCATTGCAAGGAAACGAAAGCTCATCGCGCTACTATGCGTAGTAGAACCGAGTGAGGATGTGTAGGTGAACGTGGACGAAAGACCCGAACAACTTTACTTAAAGTTGTCAGCGTCAGCATTTTCTGGGTTCTTCTCTCCACACACACACACGCAATGTTGCTGGGAGGCAGATGACCGGCATGAAACCAGGTCTGCTACTGCGTTGCTGTTTCTTGCAACCAACTACGAGTAGAGCGATCAAGGAAACTACAGCCCGTGAGTGTGAGCGAGGTAGTACTAGGAGGGAGAACCTTGAAACTGAAAAATAGTCATATAATTCCCATGCCACGTCTTTATCACCGTACAATTTCGCAGGACCTCCTGTTCAACTTTGATGCGCCACCCATATTTCTATCCACTTTCCCCTGCTGCTGCTACAATGTGTCTACCCTTTAGAAAAATGATTATTTCTCTTCCTCGTGTCCCGAAACAATAACAAGCATGCTGCTTTTTGTGTAGCAAACGAAAACCAGTACAGTAGTCGCTAGACTATCACCTCTACTCAATTTACCCAGGCTATGGCTATTCTAGGAACACAACCCCAAAAACATCTCTAAACATCAACAATGGGTCAACTTCTCAGTTGTTGCCCGCGCCGTGGCGCGACTGAGGCTTCCGCGAAGGTCACTCCTGCCAAACCCGGAGTTCTAGACCGGTCTGATGACCTCTCGAATATTGCGGTCGCCGGACCACCCATAACGGCCACGGCGGTTCTCTCCGAGGTCCCCTCCGATGTGGACAAACAGAAGGACTTGGAGAGAATTCAGCTCACCACCGCGTCTACGACCGTTTCTGATGTAGAGCTGCCGGACGTCCTATCCAGGAAAAAACACCCAGTTCCATCCAATTTGTTATGCAGAACATGCATAAGCTTAAGCTGCAGTGTTTGTCATGCAAAAAATGGATGGGTATGGGTGTTTTTTCCTGGATACGTCCCTGTCGAGAAGCAATTCATTCCGCCCCCAGCCACTTTCCTCGACCTCCCGCCGGAACTCCTCATGACGATCTCCGAGTTCATTTCGAAGAACAAACGATCGCTCTGTGTGATTTCAAAGTCGTTTTTCAAGAACGCGAATTTCACCGCCTTTCCGAGGAACGAACTGATTTTGGAAGCGTGTCGCCGGGGATACGCGGCGTGGCTAAATTTGGTTCTGGTGGACGAGGAGAATGTTGCAACAATTGTGGATGAAAACGATAAAACGGCTACATTCCTTCCAGTCATCCCTGAACAACTGTTAGAAAAACTTTCCTCCATCTACGACCGCTGTAAGATGACGATTTTTCACCACTCCGTTGAGTCCGGAAACGCGGAGACGGTGAAATTCTGGATCGATTTGTTTTCCAAAACAGCGAACCCAAATCTGGAATTGTTGGAAAAATTGCTAAACTCCCAAGACGTGTGGAAGTGCGTTCCGATGCACCGGTGCCGAACCGCGGAGATCGCGACATTGCTAACCACGGTGAAAGCAACAGATCCACAGAACAAAAGCAAGGAAATCAAGATCAAACCCAAGCTGAACCTCGTGACCCGGGCGGATGTGAAGGACACGCTCATTCAAGCGGGGGATTCCGTGGGTCATGTTGCAGTCCGGTATGATAAACCAGAAATGCTCCAGGCATTAATCGACCAGATGAAGCAGACCGGCTTGGATTTGAACATCAGCAATCGAAACGGGGACTCTCCTTTGGACATCGCGGTCGATCTGAAAATGCCGGCTTGTATCCTGTGCAAAAGTATCGTACTCGTATTGCAGTCATGCATTTACAAATCTTTTTCTCAGCGTAAATCTGCATTACAAATTTTATTTCGCATGCTGAGGAAATTTGTCATGCATTTATACGAGTGCGATACTTTTGCAATGCATAGCTTGCGGATCCTTACTAGTGAAAGCAAACGCAAGCCGTGCGCAATGGTCCGCGCGGAAAATGACCTGGTACCAGGTATGGCCTGCTCAAACGTTACAATCTCAAACGTTACAATAGAATCTGAGATTTGTCTTGCATGATGGACATGACAGACTCGCAGACCATTCCACTTTCTGCAATACAAATTTCGCCAGATTGTAGTGCGCATTGGGACTCCAGAACTTGTCATGCGCAATCCTATGAGAGTTGGCTAGATCATGCACTCTTGCATCACAGATTTCAATATTCTATTGTAACGCTTGAGATTGTAACACCTGAGCGGGTTATACCAGGCAGTAGAGACGAAAATGGTGTTTGTAGTGGAGTTATCAAACGTAAAAATGTCTGGGTCTGGAAGAATGGAACTTGTGCTGCTAAATCTGAATAATCCAAAAATCTGTGTTGCGTAAGTGCCAAAAGCTGTCCGCTTTTGACCAAGTTGGGAGGGAGTTTCTCGTGCAGGAAAGGCATGACAGAAACCTCAAAGAATCTGTCATGCTGGGTCTCGCATTGCAGACCTCATGGGTCATGGAAAACCTGCATCACAAATCTTGCATTCTTCCAGACCCAGACATTTTTGCATTTGATAGGAGTACATGAAAACGAAGGGTCTAGCAGCTCCCGGCGGGGTGAACTTCCAGCAAAACAACAGCACGGGGGCTCCTGGGGGGACGGGATTATCAGGACATCAGGGAACAAACAACAGCGAAACGGGGGAAGCGGCGCTGCATTTGGCGTGTAGCTCGTTTTCTAGTGAAGACGGTAGTCTCGTCGTCCCACTGGTCGCGGGAACTACAGGGGTGCAGCACACAGCTGTGCACCCGATAAAAGCAATAGACACCGGCGTCCTCGTCCTAGACCCCGAGATCTGCAAAATCCTGTTGGATTCCAAAGCGGACGCAACTTTACGCGATAAGTCCGGGCAAACGGCGCTGCACAAAGCGTGTGTCTCAATGCGGAACGTGTTGGGCTGCAAGGATGGTATTAAGCACTGCCACAAAGATCATTCGCAAGAGGCTGCAAATAAAATGCGCGACAACGAGAAGAAGGTCTTACAAACCTGTGATTTTTTGTTGAAAGCGAATCCGCGGACTGTGGCGTACCAGGACAATGAGAAGTGCTCCGCTTTGATGCTAGCAGCAGGCTCTGGCAGCTTGGAGCTCTTGAAGTTACTGATCAGCTACTGCAGTGCAACCAATCTAGAGAGGGAAAGTAGCGGTGTCGCGGGAGCAGGAGCAACATCAACATCTACATCATCCACTCCAACAGCGCATCAATCCGATTTATCGCCCTCGAAACTACCGCAAAACAGCAGGTCGCAAGACCCGGAGAAGTTGATTCTCGAGTCCCGGGACGTGCAGAAAAGGAATTTGCTCCACTACGCCTGCACGTTCGACAATGTGGAAGTGGTGAAATTTCTCATGGAAAACTACATTTTGAACGAAACAGAACATCCTCAAAACACGACGCCCACATCAAGTACAAATTCAATCAAAAACCGAAAATTACTGACCACCGCCGTGGACGAACGAGAGCGGATTCCCTTCATGACGGCCATCGTCTCCCGGGCGAGAAATGTTTTACAGTATTTCCTCGAATTAGAAAAGCAGAGACCAACCACATCGCTCATCACAAAACAAGTGGATCAGCAGCTTCAGACACCACTGATGCTGGCTTGCGGCGACGCGGAATTGGTGGAAATTTTGCTGAAGGACGAAGAAATTATGAACTCCGAGATGATCGAGGAAGTCGACTGGGAGGGCAGAAACGCGTGTCATATTTCTTGCCAGTTGGGAGATGTGGAGTCGTTGCGATTGCTGACGGAGGTCATGGATCGGAAGTACAGTGATGAGAGCGAAAATGTAGCGGGATCCGAGCTTCTACTGAATAACACAATGGACTGGGGCTGGACCTGCTTGATGCTGGCCTGTGACAAAGGCAGCTTGGAGTGCATCGAGTTTCTGTTGCAGACAGGGAAAGAAAAAGATGTTGACATGGCAGCACCAGCATCAGAAACTTCTTCTACGTCAAAGATTTTAAACCAACTCAATGCCCGGCGGTCCGACGGCTGCACGGCGATGTTGGTTCTCGGGAAAACGGATCAGATTTCTATCAAATGCAAAAATGTCTGGGTCTGGAAACTTGTGATGCTGCATTGCGCATGATTGAAGCGCTTCCAATGGCAGCCAAGCATGACAAGTTTTTGAGAGGCCTTCTGATGCCTAGCAGGTATTACAAATTGCGTTTTTGCATGACAAAGAAAGCCTCTCTTTTGCTGCTCATGCAACACAGATTTTCCAGGAATGCATGACACGCATTACAAGCTCACTTTTCCAGACCCAGACATTTTTACATTTGATAATTTCCACCGGAGACCAACTTGTCCAGATCTGGGAAAAGATTTTACTACAGGCAGAGGATAAAAACCAGAAACCAGTTTCGGATTTGATTCTCTTCCAACTCACCCACGATAAAGAATCTTCCTCCTCCCGAACCTTACTCCATTTTGTCGCGCAGAACCCGCATATAGAAGTGAACAGCTGTCATACCGCGCTGGACTTTTTGCTCGCAAAAGGTGCGGATGTGAACGCAAAAGACTCCGTGAACTGGACGGCTTTGCATTACTGCTGTCAGAAGGGGGATTTGCTGTCTGTCGAAGTGTTATTCAAATACAACGCGGTCGATTCGGAAGATGACGTCGGGGTGTCCGCCAGGAGTCTGGCGGAAAAATGCGGGCATCACCATTTACTGAACGCGTTTCCCGGCAATGTGAACTACACGCTGAATGCCACGGGGGGCAGCTTGGGCGGAAACAGTTTAGGAAGTGGGAGCTCGCCGATGCGGGCGTGATGCAAGGATTGATTTCATGTTGAACTTGAATGAAAGAATTACGCAGGTACTAGTACAACTGACTGCTGATTACTTGTTTTGGTCGGTGTCGACAGCGAAATCGATTGCGGTGACATCGTGTTGCCAAACGCCATGGTTCACGGTGTATTTGCAAATGCTTAATGGTGCGGTTTAGTGATGTGCCGGAAGTAGAATTAATTGAGCTTGTTCTGCACCACATCGCGAGTGCAAGAGCGAAACCCCTGCTCCTGCGAGCGAAATGGATATTGATGGGCTTGGAGTGCTGGCGGGAGGCGCAGGTGATTTTGTTGGCGTAGAGCGAGTTGTAGTGCGTCTGCGTAGTTGTGCCTTCAAAAGGGTTCTTCAATGCAAAAGTCATTGTGAGGAGATCATCACTGTCACTCTGTGGATCTTAAACCAAAACTGTGATCTTGAGAACCAAATCAACACCAAAGAGGAGCCACCAGCCGCTGGTAGAAGTTGCTGCGGCTTCTGCGAAGAAGAAGATGGCTACGACTTGACAGTTCGAGCGGCAGGAGCTCGACCTCCAGAGCAGCTCCAGCGGTGAAAAACTCATGCTGCCCAGCGGGGCGACTGCGAGGGCGACAAGAGCACGACGAGAGAAGATGATGGTGCCGTCGCTTCTCTTCGCCAGCTTGGGCGCAGTAGCGCCGTGGTTTTTCTTCTTCACAAATCTCGTGATTATCGGAGTAGATGCTGTCACCGTACAACAGCAACGAGCTTCGGTTGCAGCGGGAACAGGTGCGGGCAGAAGTACGTCTGCAGCTCTGTTGGAGAAGCGCCGTCGTGGAGCTCGTAGGGGAACGAGTCGAACGACGAAGTTCTCTATGCGGGGAAAATACAATCGCAGAAAGACCACTAGAACGAACTTCATTTCCCAGAAGGAGGCCCTGCTGCAAGTCCCGCACCACCTGCGACAGGAATTTGCTTTACTGCAGGAACAAGACCAGCATAGCCATGCAGGGACCAACATCAAGACCTCCCACAAGAGTAGAAAAGCAGCCTCTACTTCTTCTGCTGCGACGGCAGAAATAAGAAACGCGAACAAAATTCTCGAACTGAATAAGCTTTACTCCAAGCACTTCGCTCAGCTCGACGAAACCATTCTTTCCTGCAACGAGAAAAAGCTCAACCTCCAATCGAAGTTGAAGGAGGAGAGTGAAAAATTGAAACAAAAACAGCAGCAATCAACCCAGCAATTGAGAAACAAAGACCTCCTCTACAAGACCGTCCAAGAGTTACAAGATAATATGCGGATTTCCGTGAACGAGATCGAGAAGCAAAAGCAGCTGTGTGAGAAGCAAGCGAGTAGCAGAAATGGAGAAATATTGGCTTTATCCCAGGACGAGCAGTTGGTCGGGAAGTTTCAACCTGACTACAGTACTTGCGACAAAACAGTCTCTTCACCGCCGAAACTTTTGGAGTGCACGTTACCCGACGGGTCACTGTTCTTCACTTTCGCGAATGGGACGCTGCATAATAGCATGCATTGCAAATATGTCTGGGTCTGGAAGGATGTAACTTGTGATGCTGCATTTGCATGCTACAAAAATCTGTGTTGCATGAATAGCAAAAGAGGTCCAGTTTTTGCCATGGCGAGAGGGCATTTCTCATGCGGTATAGGCATCAGGAAGCCCTCGCAAAACTAGTGATGCTAGGTCATGCATCACAGACGTCAGGAATCATGCAAAATGTGCATGACAAACCTTGCAGCCTTCCAGAGTCAGACATTTTTGCATTTGATAAATAATTTTGTCAGGAAATTCGCATCTAAAACCAGCAAAGAGCTGCTCTCCTTGAACTTGATGCGGATTCTGTACAGCAGCGAGGGGGCGATGCCGGGGGACTCGGCGCTGTTGCAGATTTCAACATCTGGGCAAAATGGAAAGAACTTGATGTTCACGACAAGAGGTGGTCACGATCAACAACATTCTAGTAAGAAGATAAAACCGCACTTCCTCCTCCAAAACACGACGAATTACAACGTGTCGGAGATTTTAACAGCAGAGGAGATCAACGACGGCGTGAAGTGTGCGAAGCATGCGAAACAGTTGAAAGGTCAAGACTGCGGGTTATACCAGGATTTGATCGCCACTTTCGAAGATTCCGTCCGCGACAGTAAGATCACTGCGAAGCAAGAATTGGTGAAAGAAACCGAGAAATATCCACGAAAAAACACCCATCCCCATCCAATTTGTTATGCAAAACAAGCATAATTATGATTTGCAGTGTTTCTCATGCAAAAAATGGATGGGGATGGGTTCTTTTCCTGGATAAGAAATGCGACAAAGCCACCAAGGATTTCGAAGTTTTGTCCTCTGGAAACAAGGCGAAATTACTGCAGCTGCAAGCGGAATTGCAGGAATCCGTACAGTATTTGCAGCAGTACGTCTTCGAGGCGGGGAAGCAGAAAACCACGTTTGAGGCAGTGTCAAAAGACATTGCGGCGGAGGTTTTGAGCTGCGAAAATTCCATCAACGCGGAAAAACAGTCGCTGGAGGGGCTGAAGATGTTGTACAAAACAGCTACCAACTCTGCCGGTGGTGCTGGGTCTTCTAGTACGACCTCAACATCAGGGTCAACCTCAACAGCAGCCGCAAACAACAGCACTCCTGTGCAGTTCATGGGAAACTGCGAAGTTTCTCCGTTCGTCGCGGACACCCCCTGCGTTTGCACCGTCGGGAAGGACGGGGTGGTGAAGGGAAAGCAGACGCTTAGTCGCGAAATTGTGAACGTGGATTTTTCTGTGGCGGGTAACAAGAATTTCAACAAGGCCAGTTCCTGTCCGCCGCTGAAGTTAGTCGACCGGAGTTGCGATTGCAGCAGCGGGAGTTCAAGTTCTTCAGCAGGACAAGCACCGTCCTCCTCATCTTCCTGCCGCCCCTCCAAGTGGTCGGAATGGTCAGAGTGCACGCAGCAGTGCGGCACAGGCTTGCAATCGCGAACCCGGACGTTGCCGACAGGTTCGTCCTGTACTAGCGGTGGATCCGCTTTCCTACAGGACCTGAACACGGTGGAGGAGCAGGAGTGCAACACCCATCCGTGCGACTTGAACTGCGAATTGAGCGAGTGGACCGCCTGGTCCGGATGCACCAAGCAGTGTCGCACCGGGCACCAAGTGCGCAGACGGGAACACGTTTTGCAGCAGGCCCTCGGTGACAACGGGAAGTGCTGGAAGAAAAACTCGAAACAACGGCTGGAACTGCAGGTCTGCAACACCAACGCAGATTGCGTTGGCGCTTCTGGGGTGAAGCAGGCCGTGCCGAGTTGTAGTGAAAACAAACTTTCTGCGTCGAATTTGCTGTTTTTGGTCGACGGATCCGGGTCAATGCAAGTGCAGCAGAAGTCCACTGGTGGTGGATCAGCAGGAGCTACAACATCCCAAACGACCATCCTTCAAGACGTGCAAACGTTTCTTCTCTCCTTCGCGAAACGCATGAACTTTTTTCCGACCAGTGGTGTCACGAAGAACAAAATCGGGCTGATCACCTTCGCGGACAGAGCAGAGAAGATCAGCTTGGCGCAGGTAAATGAGCAGCAGGTAGTGCAGGAAGCGGATTTGAAGAGCGCAATCGTGGAGAAATTGCCGAAAAGTTTACTGAACGCCGGACACAGCACCAATTTAGCCGCGGCATTGTCTCTGGCGACGAATGAGCTAAGCTGTGGTGCCAGTACAACTTCTTCGTCATCCTCCTCTGTCGGTGAGTTTTGCCAAAACCGAGAATCGTCAACCTCCACCACTGCTATTCCGACGGTGTTTATCATCACAGACGGTATGCCGAGGTCCAAGTACTTAGCGACCATGGAGATGCAGAAGCTGGGGAAAATCGCGCGGGTGTTTTTTCTCACGATTGGGAATTCGCTGAATAAAAAGGTTCTGAAGAATTTTGCGACCTTTCCAAGTTCGGAAAATTTCTACCACGTATTGGAGAGCGCGAAATTGAAAGAGGTGGAAACCGTCACGGATATCATGGCGAATTTCTGTACGAAGTTTGCATAAACGGTTGTAAGCAGTTCATCGAAGAGCCACTGCTTGGTTTTATTGTTGTTTTCCACTCATAGCTTCCACCAGTCTAGAGGAACGAATTTTCTTTTCCACAAATAGCCACGAATTGGATTTGCAGCAACACTTAGTTACAGCACATTGGGCGCCACGCTGCCTTGAAGAAGCAGGTGCTGTGTCGTACATGCAGCTCACTAAGTGCAACGGTTTTGGTGCACCTGTTCTGTTAGGTAATTTTCGTCGTGGGACCACGAGATTTTCCTGTCGTACGAAAGAGAGACTCGGAGAACTAATCTCGGTGACAATGGTGCTGCACTGGGACGAAATCGAAACCACACTCAGCCACACGGTAAAATCGCAGACGCATTTTACTCTTCGAGAGAACAAGTCGTGCCATGCACACGCACCGATCGAATTAGTGATGAAGGTGTTTTGAGAAGAGCTAAGCCCGCCCAAAAAGCTTAGAGTCGTTCGTTCGCGTTTGTGAATATTTGGTCGAACATTTTATTCCCCGGCGACGCCGCGCCAAGACAGAGGCCCTTGCCTATACTATGGTATGACTTTTTTGATGACATGGACCCAAACGGTAGAAAGAATAAAAACAAGACCGAGCAGCGGTGGAGTACGTGCTAACCCTAACGTCTACTTGTCGCAGCGCGACAATCTAAGGTTCTTTGACTTACAGTACGTCGCACACAGAAGAACATAACAAGAAATCTAGACGAACAAGATGTTCTGCTGCGTCCGCTACGGGCTCGAGGAGGACAGCAAAACCTTCTTCAACCTAAATTGCGGCACCGCGGTTTTGCAAGACTTTATCGAGTCCAAAGCTCTGAAGCAGATCAAGCTCGACATCACGAAGCAGAAGGAGATTCACCGAAAGCAAATCTCCACCCTGGCACGGCAGCTGAACGCACACAGCAAGCATCTCTCTATCCTGCAAAAGAGAAATCCCAACGCAACAGGAGCAACCGTCGCGGGTGGAGGCGCTCCGGGGGACGAGGAGACAGGCGCTGGGGACAAAAAAGAAGAGGAGCAGGAAGAAGAGGAAGTGGATGAATACGCAGCACAGGATGCAAAAATCGAGGTTCTGCCGAAGGATAACATGGAGACAGTGACCAGTTGGATCGAGGGGACGGAAGGGGAAATTAGGGACAGGTATCATCGTAGTTCTTCATGACGACAATCTAATGGATGCACATGTTCATGACAAGGTCTAGGTGGAAGTAGGCCGGATCTTTTCCTCTCAGTCAGAGTGTCATGCTCGCACCACTTTCACTACGGTAGGAAAAAAGAAAAACCTAAACTACCTTCCACATCTACTGTCCATCATACATCAACATTACAGGGAAGCCGCACTGGTAGCATTAGACGAGGCAGAAATCGCGTTCCAAGATGTCGAAAAAGTGGACCTCGTCGATTCAGCCACGCAAGAAAAAGTCTCCTTCCGCGAACTGTTCCCGGTGCATTTACGCTCTTGAGAGGGTAGTTCTATCGGTTGTATGACTTCTGTCTGGAATCGCGGTCCTATGCAGTTAGAGTCACTTCTTGTTTTCCTCATTGTGATGATGTCCCAGCAAGAACCAACATCAAGCTTGAGCTTCATCGCTGTTTGTCGACAGCACACCGACGCAAGAACCCAAGACAGTTTTTCTTCTGATAGAAGATTTTTTTTCCTTCGCATACCCGTTGCCCGCAACCGCTTGCCTGCCACTGAGAAGCACGACGGATCTGATAGGTACTGAACATAATTCACGCAAGTAGATCTAATTGCACTTCAGCGTTTGCGTTCTCAGGTTATTGCAATTTCTTTGACCTTCTTTCATCATCTTTATCTGTGCAGCCGGGGGAACAAGTAGGACAAATTGTCATGCAAAAGTGGAACATACACGCACTCGCACAGGTCTGCGTGGCGAGGGCGTGGATCCGCTCCCGCTGACGTTCGCGGTGCCAAAAGTCGTGCGGTCGGCCGAGGTCGAACAAATGCTGCTGGAGGGGGTGTTGGCGGGGAGAAGGTGAGCTGCAGATGAGATGAGACTGCAGATGGATGACACTGCTGCAGCTGGAGGATCATCCTCATCCTGGGAACAATTCCTTATTTGCACTGTGGTACTGCTTCGTCTCTGTTGTGCATTCGAAGACCGAAGATGAAGTAGTAAGAAACAAAACTGAAATGAATCCACAACTACTAAAGAAGATCAGGAAAAACTACAGGAAGCTGCGCTTATGTTTTGAATGAATTGGCTAGACTATTGCTTTCCTTGTCTACTTGTGTCCTCGCAACACTGAAAAATAATGTTGGACGATACGCACCATAGCCCTGATAGTGCTTCTTGTGCTGCCTGCCTCTAGTACCGGCGGGTAGAAATAGAGCGTTGCAAAAAGTTCCTGCGTACTGTTCTGCACAACAAGTCTGTCACTGAGCTTCTGCGGAACGTGTGCTGGGGGTTGTTGTGTCGAAATACCTACTACATTAGCCACAGTGGATTTCGTGCTAGAGCTAGTTGTTGGAAAAATTGTTTAAAAAAGAAGAGTGGTTGGTAGTTCTCGGGCGAGGACGAGATTGCAAAGAAGCAAATCGGAGTAGATGACAGAACCTCAGGAGTAGATCTCTAATATCATTATCACACGCAAGCTGATGTCAAGCCTACTGTCTGCGGTGCATAAATTCTGGTACGACTGGAGGTGGTCGTGAAGACCTGCTGCAGGAGCAGGAGTTCTGCAGCAGGAACAATGTAAAAAGTCTTTTTGGGTGAAGAAAGATTCTACGTAGAAACATGAAAGTGATTCCCTGCAGCTCGTAGTCGTAGTTGGGACCGTCCGTCTCTGAACTATTACGGTAGACTGTGTCCGTTCGTAGCGGGAACTAGTATTTACACTTCGTCTGCGTAGTTTGTTCGCAAGAACAATAGAGCAACCACGAGAATACAAAATATACACGTCGAACGCCAAACATGAGGGAATGCACTGCTGGAGCCGGTTTCTCGCCCAGATTTTACCTTCAGCCACCAGCCCCACCGCCCTGGCTGTTCGTGACCGGTGGACGATTGCAGGCCGGTGGCTGTGTGTCATCTCTGTCTGAGCTTGATGCTCTCTCAGCATGATCGAAGACGAACATGGCAGGAGAGGACCACGACAACGACCAGCCACTATCTGACCGAGGTATGTGAAGACGACTTGGGCAACGAACAAGTGAATACGACGAAAGCTGGTGCGCAGGGGATCGATACTAGGAAAGGGTCCTTCTTCTACTTATCACATCTTCAAACTGCTGCAGTAGAACGCTAGCCTCATCGTGTCCCCGGGGATTTGCTTTTGCAGCTTGGACGCCTTCTGACGTAGAAGTTCTTGTTTCTGGGTAAGAACAAGTTTACGTAGTCACGAAGACAAGAACCGCTGTCATCACTACGTAGCTGCGCTGATCAAAAAGAAAGATCTGAACTACTACACGATGAAGTAAATGCGGACTCCACTTCCCACCTCGCCTCGACCACACAGAGACTGAAAAACATCATGTCCAGTCCGTCAAATAACCTCCAGCAGCCTACTCCGGCGACGTCGTCCGGAGCTCCAGGAGCGCCATCAGGTGGACCTCCTCCCACCGGCGCGCTGAACCAATGGGCCCAGATTCCCGCCTCCGGGCAGGTCTATTCCGCGAGAACCGGCCACGTGGTGATCAGTTTTCAGGACCCCAACCGAACGGACGAGGTCAAGTTCTACGTCTTTGGGGGCACGGACGGCTCCGCGAGGCAAGCAGATGTGCACGAGTTTAACACCAGAACGAACGATATCGATTGCAAATATTTCTGGGCCTGGAAGGATGCGAACTTGTGACGCGCATTTCATAACACACGCAAACCTCTCATGCACAGGCAGCAAAAGATGCCCACTTCCTGTCACCAAAATGGGGCATTTGTTATGCGGATGACGCATTGCAAAACCTTAACCTTCACGAAACCTGTGATGCTAGGGCGTTCATGCCAGACCTTCTGTGTCATGCGAACCAGCATGACACCTTTCCTTCCAGGCCCAGACATATTGATTTGCATTTGATAAACGAGTGGCACGCGGTCCGCGCCCACGGCACCCCGCCGGCGGCGCGGTCGGGCGCGCAGGCGGTGTTGTTCGAGGGCAAAGTGTGGGTGTTCGGCGGGTACACGAGAAAGGACGGGGATTACTTCAACGATGTGTACGTCTTCCATTTACCCCGGGAAGGCCAGCACGCGAAGTGGGAGTGCATGACTACGCAAATCGCGGGCGAGGCGCCGTCGAAGCGCACGGACCATACGACGGTGTTGTTCGGGAGGAGCATGTGGGTGTTCGGTGGCTTTGACGGAAGAGTATGAATTGCAAAAGTATCGTACTCGTATAAATGCATGAAAAAAATAAATGCATTACAAATTTTCTCAGCATGAGGCATAAAATTTGTAATGCTGATTTATCTTAAGAAGAAGATTTGTATTGCGTGATTGCAATAAACGAGTACCATACTTTTGCACAGGATAAAGAACAAGGTTTAACGATCTGCGGGAATTGCGGCTGGGCGTGTTTTATCAACTGCAAAAATGTCTGGGTCTGAAGATTGCCAGGTTTGTCATGCATATTTTGAATGACCCATGATGTCTGTGATGCATGCCCTAGCATCGCAGATCTTTAGAGGACTTTGCGATGCCTCTATCGCATGAGAAATGACCGCTCCGCGTAGCACAAACTGGAGTCCTCTTCCTGGTCATGCATGACAAATTTTTTTAGAATCCAGAGACAGCATTACAAGTTTAGAATCTTCCAGACCCAGACACATTTGCATTTGATATGTTTCCGAGTGGGGGTGTCACGGAATCCAGCTCCGTCCCGCAATCCCGGCATCAGTCCGCCTGGATACAGATCTCCACCCGGACGCAGCGACCCAGGCCGCGGTTCGGCCATTCCGCGGTCACGTACGAGAACTCCATGTACATCTTTGGTGGTTGGGACGGCCACCAAACGCTGCAGGAATTGCAGGAATACAACTTCAACACGAATGCCTGGCAAGCCGTCGGCACGGGCGGGGCGGGCGGCGGCGCCAGCGTCAATCCGGCGAATTTGGAGCAGGGTGTATGCATTGCAAAAATTCATCACTTGTCGCACTCATAGAAGAAAATTTTTGCAGTGACGCATGGCAAATCCGATTGCTTTGTTCTAAACATGAATCAGCATATAAAACAATCTTCATTTTTGCTTTTGAAGAAACTTGTCATGCGAGTAGTACACGATAACGTCGATTATACTTTTGCAATGCATAAACTGGTAACCCGAACAATGTCCGGAATTCCGCAAGCACGAACGGGCAGCAGAACAACAGCGCCGGTCTATTACAATAAAAAATACCCCCACACCAGAATTTGCAAAAGTTTCTCATGCAAAGTTTCCAAATAAAAGATTTTTGTCTTGCATGACAGGACTACGAGCCTTTCTGATGCAGAATTTACATTCAGGTGCGCAAGGCATCTTTTGCATAACAGAACCGGCTACTGTTGGGCCCCTTTGCAAGACAAATTTTTGCTATTCACGATTGGAAGTCTGTGATGCTCATCGATGCATGAGGGCGAATGTTTCATTTGGAAAGGTTTGCAATACAAATGCTATCAAGTTCGGGGGTGGGGGAATTTTTCATTGCAATACGGTCCGAGCGCCCGCTACCGACACAGCGCGATCGTCTTAGCGAATAGCATATCCACAGTAAATTTCCTGTACACGTACAAATGCGGTCTCTGCATGGCAAACCTAGGCTTCGATCCTAGTTTAGCATGACAAGTTTCACACTCCAAATTGGGGAAATTTGTGATGCATCTTGTACATGTGCGGGAAATTTGTGTTGCATATAGCATGTACGTGTTTGGCGGGGTGGATAAAGACCAAAAGCGCTTCAACGACTTGTACCAATTCGATTTCTTCCAGCGCCGGTGGTCCTACGTAGACGTCATTGGCGCGGTGCCCCGGAATCCATCGGAACCCGAATTGGTTGGCGGGAATGTGCCGACGGCGAGAACCTTTCACCGGGCTGCGGTCAACGAAATTAGCGGCAAGATGTACATCCTGGGCGGGTTTGACGGCCGGAGACAGAACGACTTGCACGTCATCCAAGTGGTTCCCCACGTGTCGCAGCGCACGCCGTCGGTGGTGGGCCGCGCGCGTGGGGTCGTAGCAGGAACGGGATCTTCTTCCTCCTCGAGTGCACCACCGCCTCCACCGGCGAACCAGCAGTCGGGCATATTCAGCGGAATCACGAACAATTTAGGGTTTTTCAACCCAGGCTCACGGACGAACAGCACGGGAAGCAACGCTGCCGGTGGAGGACCGCAGCCTCTCGTGTCGGGGTCCAGCGGGGACTTGCAAGGCATGGCATCGGTGGATACGACAGTGGACGGGGGAATAGTGGGCGATGGAAGCGAGGTATAGTGTGTAGCTAGTGCTTCTATTTTTTTTGGTTGTCGTTTCCGTTTGTGATGCAAAACACGAAACCCAAGCCCAACAAACATTTACATTATCCTCTACTCCTCCCACAGGCCGCGACCGCTCTGATGCCTGAGGATTTCTGGAAGTGGCAGGCGATAGAACAGCACGGCAAGATATATACGCCCCGGACAGGGCACGCGGTGGTGGTGTATGGGAACAAATTTTACCTCATGGGCGGGACGGACGAGAGCGTATCAAATGCAAAAATGTCTGGGTCTGGAAGAATGCATGTTTGTCATGCTTGTCTGGCATGACTCTTAAATCTGTCATGCACGTTACCCAAGAGCCCCATTTTTCTGCGATGCAGAAACGCAGTTTGTCATGCAGAATAGGCAACACCTAGAAGCTCAGAAACTTGTCATGCTGAGCCAGCACTTGTGGCCCGATCATGAGACGCCACCCAGCATCACAAGTTTCCAGACCCAGACATTTTTGCATTTGATAGAGCGCGCGGCAGAACGACATCTACTGCTTCGATTGCGAAACGAACAACTGGACTATGCTGCAGAATATCAAAGGTATACACGGCGATGTTGACTCACCAGCAGTTTGTGATGCTGATGCGCGGTCTCCTGAGTCGAAGTACTTTTGATTGTATTGCATGTCAATCAACATGTAATCGTAATTATGTTGCATGAGTGAGACTGTTGTTTCCGCATGCCACCTCACAACTGAACAACAGGCAACCCGCCCTCCGCCCGGTCCGGCTCCAAAGCCATCGTTTATTCCGACTCAATCTACTTCTTCGGGGGCTACACGAAGAAGGACGGGGAATACTTTCAGGACCTTTACTCCTTCAACCTGAGAAGTAGCTTCTGGCAAAAAATCAAAGCGGAGAACGAAGAGCTCCGACCCCATCCGAGGACCGATCACACCTGTTGCAACTACGGACCGAACATCTTTGTCTTCGGTGGGTTCGATGGCCGCAGCAGATTTGACGATCTGCGCAGGTTTTCTATCGACTACAACCGGTGGGAACACATCCCGCAGCAGCAGGCAACACCGATGGCAAGGTACTTATAATTTTGAATCGTGTACTCTGCTTTTGATCATCGGAACGAAGGTTTCTTGCATTCCATGACTTGATGTATGAGAAGCAGTGTAGCGTTTCGCAGGCCGTACTAAACTTCTACTTTCCACAAACTCAGGTTCGGTCATTCTGCCTGCATGTATGGCAGCTCCATGTACGTTTTTGGCGGTTGGAACGGGCACGATACCCTCGACGACCTCTCCGAGTTTTCCACCACCACCGGCACCTGGTACCACATCCCCGGACGGGGCAACGTACCCACAAGTCGCTACCGCCACTCCGCCATCGTGTACGGCTGCTGCATGTTTCTGTTCGGCGGGGTGGACAAGCAGCAGAACCGTTACAACGACCTCTACGAGTTCAACTTCGACTCGAGGAATTGGTCAAGGATTAACACCAGCGGCGAAATCGCGAGACCGACCCCGCGAACGTTTCACAAGGCGTGCATTTACGGCGGGAGGATGTACATCTTAGGTGGCTTCGACGGACAAAGACGGAACGACATGTACCGGATAGCGATCATCGAGGAGCGGACCGAAGAAGAGAAGAAGCAACAACGGGGGCTAGCCCAGCAAATGCGCCGCTTGCGGGAAGACGGGCAGCAAGGGACGTCCGGAGAGCCGAATTTATTTGCTGGGGAGGAGGATGACGATGAGGATATGGGGACAAGTTTAAATGGAGGAACTTCCGCGAACGCAAGTTTTCTGGAATCCACCCCCGGCGGCGTAGCCACCTCGGCAGCGAGCAGTGCCGGACTTGCGTCTCCGACGCACGCCATGCGGTCGGAGCTAGTGAGCTGTAAAAAGCAGATCTTGGAATTGCAGAAGAGATTGGAGCGCGAGGAGGAACGGCACATCTGCAAGATCTGCTACGAGCGGGAGATAAACTCGGTGATCCTGGATTGCAACCACTGCACGGCGTGTACAAGATGTGTGGCCCAGCTGGATTCCTGTCCGATTTGCCGCACCGTGATGCGGAAGGGGTGGAACGAAATTTTTTTTCAGTAAAAAGAAAAACGGGGAGGATTAGGATACTAGGAAGGTGGGCGCGGAGGTCGCACTTGGTCCTCGGCGTAGAGGGTGGAACATTTGGTGTCATGTTCAACCAATTATACTTTTTTTCAACACGTTCACGTTTACAAATACAAACACAAAGCTTAGGCTTGCAATGCAGGCTGACGCAGCCGAACGAGCGGACGCTCCCCGGCAACCTGCTGGCTACAGCTTATCAAAGAAAAAAAGTTCGTCACGATCACTCATGCGCATTTTTGCAATACAAAATTGTTTGCCATGCGTGAAAATGCATCACAAACTTCATAAGGGATTTCCCTAGTGTTTCTGCAATACAAGGAAAGTTTGTGGCGCTGGGAAAATTTGTAATGCAAAGCCTGCAAGTTAGTGACTGTGACAAACTTTTTTCTCTCCATGCAGCTTCTAGAAGTTTCAATACCAATCAATTCACAATGACAGCGACAACTGTCTATTAACACAAAGTCCATTTACCGAGAAAATCGAGAAGAAAGTCGAAAATCAAATTGTCAATTGTCAAACGAGGAAAGCACCACGTCGAGCTGGGATCTGATTCTGATGGAATAAATCACCACGGCGCCTCCAGGTGGTCATGATCCGCAGAGCAGAAGATTCGGTCACGATAAGTTGTTATCGTGTACCATAGCAGGTATTACCAGGACCAGCAGCGCTGCATATTCGTTGAGAATAAAGCTGAATTTGTCATGAATAAATCGGAATGATGCATCATGCTTATCATGAGCCTGTAGCAGTAGCTGAAATTTGAATGTGCTGTAAACTCCAAAATGCACCTATTTTTTTTGTATGAAGATGGACCACGACGCAAATGAACACAAAAGAAAAAAAAGCGCACGAAAATAACGCGGAACGTCAAACCAAAGCCAAGTCACAGCTCAATGCGATTTGGTCAGCAGAGACTGACGAGGATGCACTTTCAAGACTTCTCCCACTGTGTGTACCGCTCTACTACTACTGTGTCTTCAAAAACAAAGAGTCTGTGGCTGTCAGGACTTGAGGCTGAGTATGGTTTTACAAAAGTCGGTCTTCTTGTGAGCAGCTTTGTAAAAGTACCGGAAAGAACACGTCAAGTCTGTTTGCGAATGAATTCCTCGTCGGAGTAAAACAAAGAACAACGGTTACTGACGCTCAACACACAAATCTTTCGGTACTGACAAACAACGAAAGCGCAAAACGCTTCTGTCTAGTGTGCTGCTGTTGTATCTGTGGTGTGGTGAAGTTGCTTTTTTAACGCTACTCGTAGACGCCCGTTATGAACTGGACAGTATATCAAACACACACTTCGCTTGCAGGACCATATTATTCAAGAGAGTAGTACTTCTAGATCCAGACCACCAGCACCACACTATCAAGTATATTTGAGTTGTGTGCAGTAGATGTTAATTTTGATTGATGTGACTTGGCTGTCCATCGGAGCCGCAGCCGCTAGAGTTACGAAGCGGCTTTCTCATCTGGCGCAACTGCCGTAGAGTAACGGGTAACACTAACATGGTTCTTCATCCCCGTCATCACTTTTCTTGTCCCGGCGACACGACCCACCACCACGGCCTGCAAGGCGGTCTGAAATGAAGTAGAAAACGACTCCCAGCACATCACTAAAATGAAGTTTGGCGCGCTTCTCCTCCGCTCCCGGGTCCCGGAGTGGACCGACCACTACCTCGATTACAATGCGGGGAAGAACAAATTGAAGCAATGCCTCAAACTGTTCTTCGCCGAGATAGAGAAACTTCGCCTAGAACAGGAGGAATTACAGAAGGAGCTGCAACCGAGAGGACCCTCCAGCGGGACAACGTCGCAAGTTTCCATGATTGGAGGCGAAAGTACAACTACTGTCGGGAAAAAGCCTAGTTCTCCAATTGCCATGGCCGCTGCGTCCGCGAGTATGCTGAACAGCTTGAAGGACAAAGAGTCCACTTCACAGCATGGCGATCAAGAGAAGAAAAAAGTCACCAACACGGCCATTCCCCTCCACAGCGACACCTCCGACTCCGATGACGACACCTACACCAGTGGGAAAAAACAGAAAAAACGGCAAAACACCTCATATCAAAAGGAAAAATTCCCCCACCCCATACTCAGGGATAGATTTGTATAGCATGATTTGCGATCACAAATCGCGTTGTCATGCTAGAAGGGAAGAGATGCAGACTTTAGTGCTGGCTGGCGTGGGAAAGCTTTGCGTCTTCAGCATGACAGGAAGCAACTGGAAACGGGAAACAGCATGACAAATTTCCTGCAAAAGAAGGAGCAGTTGCATCTTTTGGCCTTCTAGCAATACAAGTTGATTTGTGGTCACAAATCAGCATCACAAATTTCCTTTTTGATATGGGGAGGGGGGATTTTTCGTTTTGATACCTCCACAGCCTCCGCTTCCGCTACGCTGCGGCGGGCGTTTTCGATTTTGAGCGGCGGTTTCGGGGGTGGGAAGGATATCCTGAGCAAAAGTATCGTACTCGTACAAATGCTAGTCCTGCATTACAAATTTTTTTCTCAAGGTAAATCAGCATTACAAATTCCATTTCTCATGCTGAGAAAATTTGTAATGCATTTATACGAGTACGATACTTTTGCAGTTCATAAAGGATGTGGATCAGCAAAACCAAACTGGCGCAGGTGGTCCGCATGCGTCGGGTAGTGGTGAAGATTTAGACATTGAGAACAACAACGGTAAGATTTTTCCCAAAGCGGCAAAAACAAAGCGGGAGGAGATCGAAAGGTTGGTGGAGGAGGACGCGGATAACTTAGAATTGCTTTACGAGTGTTTGGAAGATTTCTACGGCTATCTCGGGGAAGAGATGCAGAAGGTCGATAAGCATTACATCCGGACCATGTCGGCGTTAGCGAATCGATTGGAGGAAATCAGGAACACTTTCGCGGCCACGAGCTCAGGCGCAGGGAATCAACAAGGGGATAGCACCCCCGGAACAACCACTTCCGCTGGTGCAGCATCAGGCGTTGCGAAAGTGGACTCTTCGGGGAACATAAAACGGGCAATGTCGAACGAGTCGCAGAGTTCGGACGTCGGGTTGGATCTGCAGGGGTATGTCAAGCTGATGGACGCAGAAGACGGGGCTAATACTAGCACGGGAGGTCTAGTACATCATCATCAACAGCTCGAGCTTCCGGAAAAACTGGAAGTCTTAAACGAGGATCAGCTCCTAGAAGACGAATCTCCCGACATGTTGAAGTCCAGTCTTCGGATGTGGACCACGACGACTACACGACAGCCCACAGGAGCATCGAGCACCACCCCGCGATCTGCGAGCGGAGCTAGTGCAACAAGCGCAAGTCGTGTTGGAACATCATCAATCACCCTCGGAACCAACACCCGGAAGTTTAAGGAAACGCTCCGCGCCACCATCGTGCCGGAGGGCACCGGGAGTCGATCCGGGCTGCTGACGAAGTTGATGACGAGTGGAGTCGGCGTAGCTGGAACAACTACGTCCTCCCGGGAGATCGTAGATTCGGGGGAAGAGGAGCAAGATGGCGAGCGGGATACGGAGAGACGGAGCGGTTCCGTGGTGGAGAAGAACACAACTAGTGGTGCTCCTGCTGAGGAGACCACAGTTGTCGAAATGAGCAACACGGGAGTAGAAGTACTAGATCAGCCACGACTTTCCACCCAAGTCAGCCTGGCGAGCACACCATCAAATACAGCGAAAAATAACGAACAGCAGCAGCCCCATAATTCCGCATCCGCAAGTACAAAAAAAGACCACAAAGGAGCCGCAGAGAAGGAAAAGCAGAGGCAACAGCAGCAGCAGCAGAGACAAGTTTCCCGCCAGCAGGTCGATCTGATTCTCTTCCGGATCGTGAAGGACATTAAGAAACTCGAAGATTTCTGCCGGCTAAACTATTCCGGGTACAGGAAATTGATGAAGAAACACGACAAGAAAACCTCCCTAAACACTCTCGCCACAGTGCTTCCCTTTCTCGCAGAGAACTACATCTTCCCGAACTACCAATCGAGGTTACAGTTACTCCAGGAAGAAGTGGTTCTCCTCGCCGAGCAGTTCGGGTCTGTTTCCGTTGACGATTACTGGAAATTTGACACGAGTTTTTCCGGTGGGATGGGGATAAATTACGGCAGCACCAATACATTCCGGTTCGGCACCGGCTACCTCCTCGCTTTCTTCCTGGGTGTGGTGTTCATGGCGTTGCTGGATCTGGGTGTTTTGGTCGATCTACCGGCGACGTATCCACAGTAAATTCCCCGTACACGTACAGATGCGGTTTCTGCATGACAAAACTTGGCTTCGATCCTAGTTTAGCATGACAAGTTTTACGTTTCATATTGGTGAAATTTGTGATGCATGTGGTACATGTACGGGAAATTTGTATCGCATACTACGAATCCGAACTTCAACGTGGACCACTTTTTCGACGTGTTCCCGCTGTTCCGGTTCTGCTTCATGTTCATTCTACTCCTGTGGCTGCTCGGGTGGGTTTTATCTCTGTACGAGGAATACGCGATCAACTACATTTTCCTCCTCGATATCGACCCCAAGTGCCAGATCCGGGCGACGGATTTCTTCGGGTACGCGGCAATCCAGACGATTTTGTGGGTGGCGTTTTTCGGCGGGTATGTTTTTTTCTGTAAGTTCAGCATGTACGGAGCCGGGGCGGATAGGAGCGAGAAAGTGGTGGATCCGCAGTTTTTCCCGATTTGCTTGATGATCTCGCAGATTCTGTTCCTGTTTTTACCGTCCGATTCCTTCCGCCGGAAGTACCGGTGGCAGATTTTGGAGCTCATCCGGGACGTGATGTGTGCCCCGTTTGTGTTGGTGACGTTTGGGGCGAACATTGTCGGGGACATTTTAACCAGCTTCGTGAAACCGTTGTCCGATTTGGAATACACGTATTGCTACTTACTGTACATTGTCTCATTCGACACCGGGGAGGTGGAAGATTTTGGGGAGGCGAAACTGGAAAGCAGTTCTAGTACAACTCGAGCATCGCAACTCGCTGACACAACTTCTGCGCACGTACGGATAAAACACGACGTGGAATTGGACCAGGTGGCGCTACACCAAGAACACTGTAAGGAGATTTCTGGACTACTCTTGCCCTTCGTTCTCGCTCTTCCCTACTACTTCCGGTTGATGCAGTGCGTCGCGCGATTCCGGGCGACACGGGATGCGGAGTGGGAGAAGTTACTCGCGATTCAGGCAGTCGCGGATGCGGAACAAGAAAACGCGGAACTTGCAAGGAAGGAGGCGGAAGCAGCTGCTGGTGGAAATGACGATGTTGAAAATGCGGACAAAACAACCCCTCTCGTCCACAGCCCCTCGAGGCGTCTCTCCACGAGTTCGGTCTCGAGTTCCGGTGATTTGAAGCGGTCTGCCTTCGCGAAACGGGGGAAATCTGGGTCGACGCAGACAGCCTCGGCTGCGCACCACGGTACTAGTACCTCTGCTCACAACCGGCAAACAATAACCGGGTCTTCGGTCGACTTGGCGATCACAACGTCCATCCTAGATCGACCATCCACCACTCCGGGCGTCGGGCCAAACGTTGCGGATGAGGAGTTACCAGCGACGATAGCGCACGAACAGCACGAACATGGAAGTGGGAAGCAAGTTCAATCATCGAAAACCGCGCCGACTCTCCCCCCCTTCTACAAATCGCCCCATTTTTGGAACGCGGGAAAATATTGCACCGGGATTCTCGTCGTGTTTCAGCAGTACCTTACCGATGATTGGCGTGTGTGGTTGGTGATCAGCGCGGTTTCCACTTGTATCAACTGTAAAAATGTCTGGGTCTGGAAGAATGCATGTTTGTCATGCTTGTCTGGCATGGCTCTTAAATCTGTCGTGCACGTGACCCAAGAGCGCCACTGTTCTGTGATGCAGAAACGCAGTTTGTCATGCAGAATAGGCAACACCTAGAAGCTCAGAAACTTGTCATGCTGAGCCAGCATTTGTGGCCTCATCATGAGACGCCATCCAGCATCACAAGTTTCCAGACCCAGATATTTTTACATTTGATAACTTGCTACATGCTCACGTGGGACATGTACATGGACTGGAATTTGGTTTGGAATCCGATTTATGCAATGCAAAAGCATCGTACTAGTAGTAATCGCATTACAAATTTGCTCAGCATGAAAAATGGAATTGCTCATGCTGAAGATTTACCTTGAAAAAGAAACTTGTCATGCATAAATGCAGTTACTGTTACTACGAGTGCGATACTTTTGCACAGCATACGACTCCCTATCTACGCTATCAGTTCTTCAAATTTTTGCACAAAAACTACCAATTATTGAAACCGATTTTGAAGTTTCTGGGGTTGCAGAGCTTGGTTGCAGGCGGGGGAAATAACAATAAAGCGGGTAATATTGCTGGTGGACTACAGGATTCGTCCACACAAGACAGAAACAGTTCACGCGAAAATATTAACTCCATGACGATGAGCAACCGCGCCACCATCGGGATCCACCACGCTTTAGAGTATGAATTGCAAAAGTATCGTACTCGTATAAATGCATTACAAATTTCCGCCTCAGTGTGAGAGATAAAATTTGTAATGCTGATTCGCCTTAAGAGAAAGATTTGTAATGCATGATTGCAAGAATACGAGTACGATACTTTTGCACAGGATATAGAGCACGCGAACACGACGTTGCACGAACCGTTACTCGGCGCAAACACCAAGCATCACAAACAGTTCAATAAGGACAAGGTGCTGATTCACGAACGAGCAAGTGAAATTCACGAGAAGCACCGGTTTGAGCACGTGGCGCCGGACAGGACGAAATTGTACCCGGAGCACTATTATCTCTGGATCCCGGTGCTGAACTTTTTCCTGCGGTTCACGTGGATTTTAACCATCGTCCCCACCCCGGCGTATTTATTGCAGGCGTACTTCTTCGCGGACAGCAGTGGTGGTGCGAGCAATACAGATTCGACGAGCCAGCCGGTCGTCGCTTCATTATCCGTTTCAGAAAACTTGATCATCTTCCTCGCAGCCGCCGGAGAAATCTACCGCCGCGCCCAGTGGGCGTTACTGAGGCTGGAGAACGAGCACTTGACAAACGCGAGTCACTACCGTGCTTTTTGTTGGGTGCCCCCAGTACACGCGACGCCGAGCGGCGGGAAGCTGTTTAACAGTGGGAATGTGAAAATTTGAGCAATGAAGTAGAGTGTTCGACGGGGACGGAATAACATGTTTTGAAAACAGTATCACGAAGATCATTTGGGTTTAGATTTACAACTTCTTCAAGCAGTTGGTGATGTGTGTACAGTTTCTTTGCAGCACGAGTTTCGATGTCGACCATAATAAATAGCCTTGATTTATTTCGGGCCCTTCTTGTACGTATCTATACGGGTTTGATTCCGGACAAGAACGAACAAGACATATTTTGCACAGCGCAACCAGAATTTCACGCAGAAATAACGTGCTCCTCAGAACTATTCATAACGATAACCAACTGCAGGAGTATACGAAGCAGATGGAAAGCTGACCCTGTAGTACTAGCAGCTTTTTGCAGCTGTGCAAACAAGATTCTCTCGTGTTCGAGTTGGAGCGCCTGCTCGGCGCTCCAAGTTATCATACCTGCGAGCAGTGAACTCCATGTGGATGCCCCCGCAGTGAAGAATTGCAAAAAAGACTTCTTTGTTGCTACGCTGATCATTGATTTCAAATCATGAAGTTGAAGATCCGCATCATCTACTTCTTCGATTGAGTAGGTTAAAGATTTGGAACATCAGCGAAGTACTTGTCAGCAAACTTTTAATAACAGATATAATGAGGACCACGATGAAAACCCGACAAGGAAGATGAGGCTTCAGATTTAACTACATTTGAGGGGCGACAACAAGACCACTAGAGACCGCACCGAGACGATTTGTAATTGACACAACTTTTGTAATTCGTAATCGTAGTGTTTTTTTCCAAGCAAACAAGAAAAGGAGAAGAGCATTTCTCTGCTGCTTTTCAGAAAGATGGCCAAGAACTACGGCACAAAACCACTGCAATCCGCCTCCGCGGCCAGGCCAGAAAGGATGTTGCGCAGTGTCGCGTCCTCTGAAACCCCCGAGGGCGCTGGCGTGACGTCGGACCAGATTCATTTTCCCGTACTGCAACCTAGTTGCGGGTCTGCAGCTCCTGCACCAGAGAGTGACGATAGGCTCGGACGTGCGTGTGGCGAAGCTACACGTCGAGAAATCCAGCAAACACGCAGCCCCTCAACTACAGTTCAACGATTCATGCCACTGAACACACAAGGTTTACAACTTGAGCGTTCAAGAACTTCCTTCCGGCATCCCAGGACGACGAATTCGTCATCGTCAACATCCGGTTCCAGAAGTACAGAGTCAGGTAGGAAGAACAGCATCAGCTTCATCGCGGATCATTCTGTAGGTAGTCCGGGCGACGTTTTGGTTTTATCGCCAAAGTTGGAGCAGATAAAAAGAAGACGAATAAAGCATGTCCTCACGCAACAAGCACCACGACCGTTTCCCGCGCAGCGACAGAGAGCCGCTTCACGGAGAGCAGAGCAGGGTCGTGTATTTACCGGAGCGGGGATGAAGGTTTTTGCAGCCGGAGGGCATCAAGTTCAAGAAGTTTCTACTAGACGAAGATCCAGTGCAAAAAATCATGACGCCACTGCAACAGGAGCACCACAAGAAGGTCGTGGGTACCTCCCTCTTTCAAATTCCGGTACTATTCCCGCGGCTAGCACTAGCACTTCTTCCCCGTCTTCTAGCTCATCTTCATCAACGATAACATACAGCAAGAAAAAAACCTCCTCCGCCCGAATTCTCTGCAAACTGAAGACATTTTTCAGATTGTTCCTCTCCCTCGCTGGAACCGCTATGACGATCCCTGGCGCCCTCGCCCAGTCTTACCCCGGCGGACTAGCGCACACGTCTGCCCCCCATCTAGAACACGGGTGGACCGACAACAGTTATGCGAAGATCATCGCGAACTCCGAAAAAATCTTGAAGTCCAACGTGTACATCCACAGGCTGTTGGCCGAAGACCAGATCCAAGCGAACTACGGACGGGCACATTACAACAGTATTCATTGGAAATTCAAATTTTTGCTGTCTGATTGTCTGATCGACGTATTACCTGATTGTCATGCAGGAGCATATCTATGACCTTCACCCTCGCAAGTGGACACCTTTTGCTTACTGGAAACAAAACAAAATATAACAGAGAAGTACCCCTTCACATTAGCCTGGCACCTCCAGCGACAGTCGGGGCGGTGGGTCTGTTCATTGCCGGAAAAGGCAAATGATGAGTCGTTGAAATCGGAAGAAACGCTGTTATCCGTTTTGAACACGTTGTTTAGCCGGTTTATGCACGACAAACTCCTGGAGTATCACGATCTGGAGCCCGCGAAATACGTTTCATCGAGGGTATAAATAGAAGATGCTGCTACTTTTTTTACAAACAAGATAAAATCGCCGAGGACCACTTTGTCATGCGTTTTTGCCCGCAGGGCACCCGGCTCGTCTTGCTGGAGGACTTCAATGAAGATGCGCATCATGCTGAAAAAAACCTCTATCAGGTTGAAATCGACCTAGCAACGAAGATCCCGCACATGGACCTTGCGGATAGCCAACTGCTGCGATGGATGGTCAACTTGGTAGTGGATCTGCACTACCCGTTTAACCTGGGCTTCCCCGACGCACCCGAGGACACGCTGGATACAATGTATAATTTCATTGCAAGAGCTTCATGTTGCATAGAAAACTTCTATGCATGACAAACTAGCTCTCTGACGGATCTTTGTGCAATACAAATTTCTTTTCTCAGGTACAACCTCGACCAGCAGCCGCTCGCGAAGCTCTGGACCTCGATGCAGGACAAAATCATCCTTGCCATCGATTCCAACGCCGACCTCGACGAAACGAAAAACATCGACATCTCCGACCAGCACCCGTTTGAGCTCTTCTTCCAGTGGGCGAGCGAGACCACGAAGATCGTATCCAAGAAAAAAAGCGCGTAAGTGTAACTTTGTAGGACGCATAGCATGACAGATTCGCTTTGCGTATACATAAAAAACCTGTTATGCGCAGCTAGTTGCTAGTAAGTGAAAACTAACACATATGAAGCGAGCTTATGACGCACACCCAGCATGACAAGCGTAGCTGTCTTGCGGTCTCTGCATGACAGACTTACACATCATACGCACTTTTTTTGTCGCATAGATCGCGTGCGACATCTACCGGGATGTATCTTCCAATTCGGACGAATTTCCCAAGCAGTACATGGTCTCCGCGCAAGTTTTATGCACTGCAAACGTATCGTATTCGTAGTAATCGCAGTCATGCATTACAAATCTAGTAATCAAGGTCATTCCGCATTACAAATTACCTTTGTAATGCTGAGCCAATTTGTAATGCCATTTTATACTAGTACCTACGATAGTTTTGCAGTTCACAAGTTTACGCAAAGTGGGAGAAAATCTTGCAGAAAAGGATGGAGGAGGCGGCGAAACACGTCGTGATTTTTCTCAAGTATAGCACTTATCGAGATCATGATCTACATCTATGACTATGTTATAGGAGTTTGCGAAGTGGAAGTTGTACACACTAAATCTGTCAGCTTCTACCTTACAGATTGCAAAAATTCAATGCAAATCAAGATCTAATAAATTGTCAATAAATTATGTAAAGGAACATCGCCCTCCACAAGGCCCACCGAAAAGCTGTGGCCCAGGGCAAAGGCCGACACCACCCACGAAAGCACTGGAAACGGGATTTTTTTCGAAACCTCTGCGTCGCGGCGGTTCTCATCCCCGCATTTCTATGAGAGTGCACAACTCCCCCTTCCCCTCATTTGTATAGCATGAACTGCAATACAAGCATCAGCAAGTGTGCCGCTCTTGCATGACAACTTTGCACTGCATTGTAGTGCTATATGGACTACCCCCAGAACTTGTCATGCAAACAGTGCCAAGAGGCAAAGGGTGGATTGGGTATTTTGTATGGCAAACGAGGGGGAGGGGGAGTTGTGCACTGTCATAGCCTCTCTGGCTGATGCAGAAATTTGAGAAGCAGCAGAACATCTTCAAGATTCTCTTCAACAATAGCAAGTACGCGGAAGGGTGGGGCAGCGCGATCGGCGGGACACACAACGTGTTCGGTGGCGCAACGTCGAGCAAGGAGCTGAGGAAACTGTAGTGGGTGTGAGTTATCGACGGCTACTGAAATCAATCCAAGATTTTTTTCAACCAGAACCAAAATCCTCAAAGCAAAACCTAAATTTCGAATAATCAATAGAAGAGAACAAGCGCAGCGCGCGCATGATAACAAACATCTCAATAAAGTTAAGTAACATATTCACCAGCGAGTTTTTTCACATTGGTTTTTTATTCGATTTCCCGGGCAGAATAGAAATTCTGTCGAGAACTGCAGTTGAAGGAAAAGCGACAACGTCAGTGGAGACACCACGGATACCTGAAAATGAAAGCGACACTCGACGTGTACAGTGTTGGCCAACACATCGAGATGACAAGCGCGACGTGCGCCTGTGATCCTGGGTGGTCAACGAAAGTGAAGCAACTGCCTATCCTGTAGGATAGAAGTTCTTGCGTCAACAGTATCAGTTACGTTATAATTGTCTTTCTTCATCGAGCTGGCTGCAGTTTCCAACCGACGTTGGAACTTTGTGATTAGACCTTGTGAAGAAAAAGAGGGTACTAGTTGTAGGAGCAGTTATGTCTACTTCACTGTGTCGCTCGCCTACCGCCTACGCAAGGGAGCGCAGCACTAGCGACGCGCCGCGCCGCTACGCCGAGCGTAAGATAGAATAACCACGACCGGAGAGCTGCAGGTGCGCTATGTCGAGAATGAGAAGTAGTAGAGTGTGGTTTCTCTTTCTTGAGTAGACTGGTGGTTGTTCAAGAAGAAGGCTAGTACTTGTATCTACACAGCGTCGGCCTAGTTCTAGTTCATCACGTTCTTCGTACCATAATAAAGCAAAAAGCACAGCGCACCAAAAAGGATGAATCTCATTTCGACCGGCCGCGACAGCGGCCTGATGCTGCGCCGCCGGTCTTCCTCCCAGATGGCCGAGCAGGCGAGCATGGGAGTGACGCCAAAGCACATTTTCGACCAACTCGCTTCCGGTGCCGGAAACTCCGGGAGCTTCTTGTTGGACAACATGAATTTGAAGCGGAAAATCCACGTTCTGCTCGAGAATCGATGTACTTTTACCATGCTCTAGTACACGTGCAGCATGACGTCTCTCTTGGTCTCACGGCTCCATATCACATGCAGGACAAACCCAGCATCTTATGCATAATGTGCAATATCAATTTTAAATGGGAAAACGAAAATCAAAATCATAACAGCCGTTACCCACTTCATTCACCTGTCCATCTGTCTTTCCATTCTCTGCGTCATCTTCGAGACCCTATCCAGGAAAAAACACCCATCCCCATCCATTTTTTGCATGACAAATAGTGGATTTTATGCATGTTTTGCATGACAAATTGGATGGGGATGGGTGTTTTTTCCTGGATAGACCCATTGGCGCTCCTACGAGGAATTTTGGAACGTGATGGAGATCTATTTCACGACGATTTTCACGATCGAATTTGGTCTCCGATGGTACGCCTACATCCCCATCGAGAAAATGATGGTCAACGCCCGCTGGAGCTGCAGAACTCCTACTTCGGACGATGAAAACGCGTACCTTTCTCCGTATTACAGGAGAGCCGGGCGGTTTGACTTCCTGACGAGGTCCTGGCTGAATCTGCTGGATTTCTTCAGCATTTTACCGCTGTATCTGTCGGCGGTGTTTTCCCTGCTGGACCTGGTTTTGTCGGACGAAAACAACAGTGACGATAATTCCTCGACCACTTCAAATTCCTCATCTTCCAACGAGCAGCACGCGATGGACGTTATCAATGCTCTCCGGGTGTTGCGGATCTTTCGGTTGATGAAGATTTTGCGGAATTTGAACCCCTCCGGGTTTTACCTAATGTACCAAACCTTGAAGCGGAGCTACACCGGGATCTCGATCTTGGCGTTTTTCCTCTCGGTGTTTCTGTGTCTCTTCTCCTCTGTCATGTACTACGCGGAGATGCAGGAGTGTCCGAGTAAGGGGCTGCTTTTGAAGGATTTCCGGTACGAGTTTGAAGGGACCACAACAGCAAGTGCTATTGCCGGCGGTGCGACAATATTAAGCAGCACGTCAACCGAACAAGAGATCCTGGCCGAATACCGCGAAGCGTGCGCAGCCTCTACTTCCGGATTTACGAAGAATCTGCCCTTCCTCTACCCGGGGCGAAATCCACTGATGTTCCAAACAACATCTGCCCAAGCTGTCACTACTATCGTGCCTGTAGGTGCTGGTGGTACTGTAGTACAGCATCAAATCAGCGCAGCTTCCTCGGGTAGTACGGGTTCCATCAACGCCTTCGAGCACGACATGAGCAAGGCCTACCTCTGTTGCGATTTGCAGCAGGGGCACGAGGCGTCGGAGAATTTTCCCTCGGTTCTCGCCGCAGCGTGGTGGGCGGTGTATCAAATGCAAAGATGTCTGGGTCTGGAAGGTTGCAAGACTTGTCATGCAGATCTTCCATGACCCATAACGCCAGCAATGCATGACGTAGCATCACAGACTTTCAGACGGCTTCCTGATGCCTACTCCGCATGAGAAATGGCCTGTTCCCATGGCGCAGACTGGACTTCTCTTGCTGGTCATGCAATACAGATTTGCTTAGAGTCCAGAGATTGCATGACAAGTTGCAAAATTCCAGACCCAGACATATTTGCAATGCATACGGTGGTCACGATGACGACGGTCGGGTACGGGGATTACGTCCCTGTGACTTTTTTCGGCAAGGTGGTCGGGATGATCACCATGTTGAGCTACGCAATGGAAAACTATCGCACTTTGGTAGAAAAAATAGCATCACAAATAATTATTTTGGCAAGAACAAAAGTGGAATTTGTAATGCGGTTTTCCGTTTGGAAAGAGATTTGTCATGCGTGAATGCAATTTGTACGAGTGCGATGCTTTTGCAATGCATATGAGCGGAATTTTGGTGATTTCCATGCCGGCGGCCATCATCGGCTCAAAATTCCAGGAAGTTTTGGAAGAGTACGAGTTGCGGAGGTACAAGACGTTGAAAAATAATACTAGCGGGAGTTCCAATTCAGGAGTAGAACATCAAGGTACAGGTGTAGCACAGAATAGAGACAAGACCGCAGAACATGAACAGCAAGACTCCAATCAACAAGCCATCGGAGCTGCACCCGCAATAGGCACGACCCGGCGGCCGTCTAGCCTGAAGAAATTTGTGCCGGACGATCTGCAAAGGATAGCGGAGGGGAAGGAGGAAGAAGACAGTGGGGCGAAGACGAATAGCGGAAAACTGGATGAAGCAACCGAGAGAATTGGAAGTGCAGCAGACAAAGAGTTGTCTTTTCGCCTGCAACCGACCAGGCTGTTCACCACGGGAGAGGAGGAAGACGAGAAACACAACCTGAATCGCATCAGCGAGGGGACAGCTGTAACTTCAACATCCCAGACAGAACAGGTAATATTTTCCACCGCCAAGGGTGAACAACACGCACTTCCCCCGCCCAGAATATGAGAGTGCACAACTCCCCCTCCCCCTCATTTGTAATGAAAAATACCAAATTCACACCTTGCTCGTAGGCACTGTTAGCATGACAAATTTTGGATCCTCAAATAGTACTACAATCCGCATGCAGATTTGTCATGCGAAAGCCCCTTTTCTGCTGTCGCTTGTGTTGCTGTTCATGCAATACAAATGAGGGGGAGGGGGAGTTGTGCACTCTCATACATCAGAAGTGTCGGTTTTCATTCGGAGGAAGAAGAAGACGAGGAGGATTCCACCAGCGTCGACGCAAGCAGTTTGCACTATGGGACTCTCAAATGTTACATTCTCAACTGTTACACGATTTGTAATGCAAAATTGGCTTCATAATCGACACCATCAAGCTGCTTCGCATGACAAATTCTCAGAGGGCCAAACAGGCTGACGCTCTGTTCCAAATCTGTCATACGAGACACGCTAGGTCAACACCCCGTTCACTTTTACCATTCTTGCATTACAAATGCATGTAACAGTTGAGAATGTAACAGTTGAGAGCACCATATGAACCTGTTATCGGATGAGGACAATGGCGAAACAATGTTGGACAGTGACGACCCGAGGACGAGCGATGGTCATGGCCGTGGTCAAAATAGAAGAAAAAATGTCAACAGCGACACCTCTTCCTCTGACGAATTCGATGCGAATTTGGACCAGTTTTCGGACGAATTCGATGATGAGGATGAAGAGGATATCAATCCTGACAATGACAACGATTCTCTGATTTCCTGCTCCACACTGCAAGTAGGAACTACGAATGGTCGCGATGATGACACCAGCGAGTATGGGACTCTCAAACGTTACATTCTCAACTGTTGTATGAATTTCTCATGCAAAAGTACCTTAAGCCAGCAGATGATCGAGCGGCTTCGCATGACAAATGTCGGAAGGGCTAAACAGCATCTAAATCTGCGCCAAACTTGTAATGCAGAAGGCGCAATCTTCCTCCTTTCACTTTTGCCAGTCTTGCATTACAAATTCATGTATACAGTTGAGAATGTAACATTTGAGAACTCCATAGCGAGGATGAAATAAGACACCCCTACTACAACGTGGAAAACCCGTATCCTGAGAAAAAAGTGATACAGTTACACATTGTGTTGCAGGCCAAGCAAGACAGACAAGCTCTGTCATGCCGGATATGCATAGTAGCCTCCTTTCATAGGTGCTTTCCCGTAGGATTTCTGCATTGCAAGTTTTCTCTCTCATGCAGAGAAATTTGTGTTGCTGAATTGACATACAAATGTGTAACTGTAACACTTTTTTCGTAGGATAACCCGCGGTTGCAGCGGTTTGTCAAGTGGATTGATCGATGTAAAGGAGCAGCTTCAACATCAACAGCACCAGCACGACCCTCTAGCAGCAAAACCAAACTCTCGAAAAAGCAACGCCAGGAACTGGAGTTGAAGAAGAAGCTCGCGTTCGCCAGTCAGAAACAACTAAGGAAGATGCTAAAGCGGGATTTCTTCGAGGAATCCTATACGACAGTGAAAACAAGCGAGGATCAGGTGATCGTGCAGCCCAGTCCGCCGGTGGTCCAGCGGGTTAGCAGTAAGAGGAAAAGCAGCTTGAAAAAATCACCGTCGAAGGAGAAGGTTGCAATGGCGAAAGTTGTGGAAGGAAATGAAGGAGGGGCTGGCGCGGCAGCATCGTCATCATCCGGAGCCGGAATTCCTCTGCAAACGGACAGCACAAGCGCCGCTGGGGCCGCACATCAAACTGGTGCAGACGACACTTCTAATCAAGCCCGCACGTCTGCAGTTTCCGCCGCTACCAGCAGTCAAATGCACTTCAACGAAAACCGCACTTCTGCGATATCCCACACGTCCTCTACGTCGACCCACAGAATGAGCGAGAGTTTCGTGTTTCACAGCTTGGACGGGGCGATAAACACGAGGTCCAATTCGAATTTGGATGGTAACACGACGACGAACATCGTCAATCTTGTTGCGCAGGAACAATCTACCGCTCCCGCCGCTGCATCAGCACCCGCACCTCCCGGAACAATACCTGCAGCACTTTCCTCGCAGACGGACGCTGAAACGAGCGAGAATGAGGGAACAACGAAGGCTCACCTGCAAGAAGGAACGCACGAGAAGATGATTCCCACCCGCAGGAAAAGGAAAAAAAACGAAAAGGTGATGAAACCCTCGCCCGAACAGGAGACGATAGAAACCAGGTGGAATTACGGCGCGGAGAAGCTATATGGAAGTGTCAGAATCGAAATTGACAAAATCGAAAAAGTTGTGATGCATGAAATCGATACCAGTTGGAGCCTCAGTTTCCAAGTGGCGCATGACAAATTTCGGGAGCACCCAAATCCAGTCTGTCATGCTGTTTGGACAAAGAAGACTGCTCCTGTCATGCTAACTACTCTGGCAGCACATTGCATACCCCTAAACAGGCTTGCAATCGGTCTCATTTGCCTGCTCCCCAATACAGGCCTTCAGTGCCCTACATTTTTTGCATCACAAGTGTTTCGATTTTGTCGATTTCGATCCTGACACACCCATAAGCTAACGGAGAATTTGGATTCTAGCAATTTAGCGAATCTCGGGTTGATTCTAGCGGACAAGCAAACGAAAGCGGGGAAGAAGTACGGGGCGGAGGAGACTAGGAAGAAATTGCTGGAGGAAAAAAGGCGGTTTTTGCTGGAGCAGGAGAGGCTCGCGAACCAAGAAGAAGACGACGGGAGCTACGATTGGATCTGTAGCAGTCAGAAGTGGCTGAGCGGGAACGACAGCATTTTGGATTTGCCAGCGGGCGTCGAGTCCTTGCACCACTTGGATGACAAGATCCTGCAGCGCAGGATGCTGAGTAAGGGGAAGAGGAAGAGTAGCAAGGACAGCGGGAAGATGAAAATCGGAGCGGGAGCAGGAAAAACAAGTACAACAACGATCGGGGGAAACAAGCAAGAGGACAGTGCGAATAAAGTGGACGTCGAAGAGGACGAGTACATAGAAGACGTGGAATACGCAAGGAACAAGCCGAAGCCGTTTCCGCCACCACACCTAGTTCCGATTTTACTGAAGCATTTGAGCAATCAAATGCACGCAGATGCGGACAATTTGAATATCAACAGTAATTCTGGTTTATTACCGGCTACAATTGCCACAACGACTTCGAGCATTCGCGTCGCCGGCAGTGGTCCTCTGTCGCCTTCGGCGGGAGGTGCTGGCACTATGGGTCTTTTAGCCGGGAACAATGTACCAGCATCTGACGTAGTACTAGATCAACATCAACAGCAAAAGTCCGCGCTGTTGGAGCAGCAGAGCTACACCTTGATCACAAAATTGTACCTCGAGGAACGGTATGCAATGCAAAAGTATCGTAGTAGTATAAATTGCATTTTTACAAATTTGCTCAGCATTACAAATGGAATTTGTAATGCGTATTTGCCTTAAGAAAAAAATTCAAATTTGTGATGCATAAAAGCAATTAGTACGAGTACGATTCTTTTGCACAGGATAAACGGAATCTTGTCGGGATGTTTAAGCAGAAGCAGAAGGAGGCCCGGCTCGCCCTGAAACAGGTCCGGCAGGTATCACAGGAAAAAGTGTTAACGGTAACGAAATTTGTGATGCAGTACAGCATTACAAAAGCAAAACGTGCCCAAATTTGTTATGTATAACATGCGTGCTGGGCAAAATTTGTCATGCTTATTTGCAATCCATGAAAACCGTTAAGGTTATACACTTTTTTGCTTGATAGCAGGTGGAGAAAAGGATTTTGAAACTCCGGGTGAAGGAGGCGAGGAGACAGAAGATATCAAATGTAAAAATGTCTGGGTCTGGAACAAAGCAACTTGTCATGCTAAATCTGAATCATGTAAAAATCTGTGTTGCATGATTACCAAAAGCTGTCCACTTTTGACCTAATCGCGAGGCAGTTTCTCATGCAGGATAGGCATGATAGAACTCTCACAGAATCTGTCATGCTATGTCCTTCATACCAAACCTCATGGATCATGGAAAACCTGCATGGCAAGTCTGGCATTCTTCCAGACCCAGACCTTTTTGCAGTTGATAGAAGAAAATCGTGAACAAATTGAGCGAGTATTACAACAGCTGCAGGGAAAAGAATCTTCACTCGGGTGGTGCAGCTAGCGGTGGAGAAGAGGATGCTGGTGCAGCTGCGAAGAGTTCTTCCAATGATCTGGCTGCCGACACGGGAATCAACGTGGACACGGATGAACAGACCGCTGTTGCTGGGATATAGCAGGGGAACAGCAACTCCGCGGCATAGCGAAGAAGAAAATCACAGGCTTCAGCCTCTAGTGTAAAAGCCACGGCGGAGGTACGAAGTGTGGCTGTCACGGGCGCAGGCGGACCGTGACAGTTGTAGCGGTCTCCAGGTCGACCTCCGGGTCCGCGTCCTCCGGTGCTTTCATTCTGGAGTAGGGGCCGCGACTGTGTCGATGAAGATGATGCCTTTGTCAAGTTAGATCCACGCGAGAAGATAGCAGTGGTGGTTCATAGGTCATCTTCCGTGGAACAAAACTAAACAACACAAGCATGAATTAGCGCTGACATACTTCTTGGTCGGAAACAACTCGAATGGCATTTTTGAAATTATAATTATTTCTGCAATCGCAAAACTTGTTCTTGTTACCACAAGTTGATGTTTATTTCATGTTTTTCCATGTGGAATCTTGTTCCTATTTTTGGCAGCGAAGTTGTAGAAGATCAGCATCAGAGTCAGCCAGTTCAAGAGTTTGATTCTTCGCTGGATGGATCCGTCGTGGAAGCAGCCTGTTGGTATGGATCGTTTTCTCACGCCAGCAACTACCGTTTTGTTCACACTTGCGTGTGCCTTAGATGAAATTAATTAGCGTGTAGTGTTATTCCACATCCACCTAGTACTTCTACTTGCTCCGTTCAACTTCGATGTAGCCGCGTCTACCAGAACGAACCAAAATGACCTCCGAAATCGCCCATCTTCTGGCGGATGATACAACCTTCCAGTTTTCCCGATACATCGTCCCCAGCGAGACCAACTATTGTGAGGAAAATTATCCCCTCCCCATACCTAAAAGGCACGTTTCCGAAAATTTGTGTTGCTGATTTGAGACCACAAATCGCGTCTGTCTTGCAAGAAGACAAGTGCGGAGGCTTCCCCGCCATTATGGAAGCGATTTGGCATGCAGCTGTTGCGCCTAGGGGGCAGCCGTTTCATGCAATGCTGAGCGACTAGTAGACCCAACGCCCCTACTTAGGCCGAGGATCTGGCTGCGATGCCTTGCTGCAAGACAAATCGGATTTGTGTACGCAAATCCAGCACCAGAAGTTTCGTTTTGATATGGGGAGGGGGAGTATTTCCTTTTGATACCAACCCGGATCAAGTTTTACGAATCTTCGCCTACGGGACGATAACTGATGCATTCGCACAAAATTTCCTGCCCCAGCTTCCGCCAAACGCGGTGAAGAAACTCCGGCTATTAACCCTCGTCAACATCGCGAGTAGACAGACCGAAGTCCCGATTGCAAAACTGGCGCAACAATTGTTTCTATCAAACAAAAAAAGTTCGTCACGATCACTCATGCGCATTTTTGCAATACAAAACTGTCTGTCATGCGTAAAAATGCATCACAGCCAAACTTCATAAGGGATTTCCCTAGTGTTTCTGCAATACAAGAAAAACCTGTGATGCTGGAAAAATTTCTCATGCAAAACCTGCACGTTAGTAACTGTGACAAACTTTCTTCTTTCCATAGTTTCCCGAAGTGGATTGCAGGCAGGAGCTCCAACAGCAGCAGACGCCGGTATTTTTACACGGCGTTTCTCCGGCTTTGGATGAACAAGAGCGAGCGGAGCAAATGATGGACGCCGTTGAGGAGCTGATCCGGGAAGCGATCCAGAAAGGGTTTCTCACTGGCAAGATTTCGCATATCAAATGCAAAAATGTCTGGGTCTGGAAGATGGATAGGTTTGTCATGCAGGTTTTCCATGACCCACGCGGTCTGCCATGCACGGCCTAGCATGACAGGTTCTGTGAGATCTCTATCATGCCGTTCCTGCATGAGAAACTGCCTCTAAACTTGTTCAAAGCATGGACCTCTTTTGGTAATCATGCAACACAAATTTTTCCACGATCCAGATGTAGCATGACAAGTTACACTCTTGCAGACCCAGACATATTTGCATTTGGTATCGCACACAAGAAACGCACTACTCGTGTCCGCGGTGCATCTCGCGTATGAAAGCCTCAGAATGGAAATCCTCAAAGTGGAAATGATTTGTGATGCATGAAATGCGACGCAAAAAAGACTGTATTGCAGGGACCCAATGGAGGCCGACAACTGTCCTGCTAGGGGTGAAGAGTTGGAGTGCTGCTTAGCACGAGAGAAGGGCACCCCTTTGACTCAAACTGCATGACAGACATGCTTTAAGTGCCCGTTAAATTTCTCATGCGCCGGGTACAAATGCCACTTCAACTGAAGTCGTTTTTTTGCATTACAAATTATTTCCACTTTGAGGATTTCGATTCTGAGTCTTTCATATCGCGAGGGACGTGGAAAAGCGCGAGATTGCGAATCTCATTCGCGTTTTGAGCAAATGGCGGGAGAGGTGCGACGAAACGGTGGGAGGGCTGACGGATTGATAGAACAAGATCTTCATCCTCTTGGGGCTCCTGGTTGATGATCCCTAAATGCAAATCCTAAACCCTTCATCGCAATGAAACTCTCTAGTACCAACGACATGCTCTGCTTCTTGTGCTTGACGACACTCACAGATTTGAAGCTTGTATTGGAGTTCTCCACGCATTTTTTATCGCACAAACATCAACAGCAACTCGTGAACTCCTAAGGAAGCACAAAAGCAGCATGAGTTTTGCTGACGCTCTTGCACTGCTGTCTTCACCGAAGATGGTCGTGATCGTGAAAAAGTGTTCGCTCGAAAGCCATGAATTTGAAACAGTTTCAAAACAACATGAGTACAACCAGCCTCAACCTGAATCGGTCCAGAGGGTCGTGAAAAGAAAGCACAACTACATTGTATGCCAAGATTGGTACTACATCAAGCTGGTTTTTAGTGTTTGAAGTGAATGAATTTTCACAGTCCTAGGGAAAAAGGTCGTGGTCGTTTAGACGAAGATGGTTTGAGTACTATTCTTCTACTTCCTCATCTAGCGCTGCCACAGTGATCGTGTATACTTCATGCATCGTTTTTGGCAGGGCGTTGGCCTCATCAAACAGGAACTGCACTTCGTCAAGGTCGTCGTAAAAACTACTTCTGATCGTTATCAATCGCCAATCTTCGCACTGCGTCGCAGGACCACATTTTCTGTTTTCCTCGTAGAGCACCCTTCATCGGAGGCTCTATGCCTCTAAGGGTACGTCGATCCGTATAATTCGATGGTAGCTTGTGCATGTAGGAGCATAGGGTTAGGGATAGGCATAGCAATCTTTCCATATCTACCTATCCAAGTCCATTGATTGTTTTGTGCCACTGGCACTGGTATCTTCAAAAAACAAGTAGAAAAGCAAAAGGTGGAATTCATTGGTTCTGGTCGCTTCTTCTACCAAGGAGCTTATGCCTACGGTAGAAATACTATGGACCGGCATTTTTACTCCGGCGCGAACTCGCTCTGGAGGAGCGCCAGTTGTACAAAATAAACCCTTCACCTTCTATTAGCTTCATAAGCTTACCGCTCATTATCCTCAAGTCCAGACAATCATGCCCGGTCTCGACGACGACGATGGTCCGAGCCCTGCTGCGCGTCCCACCCGCGGCGGCGGCGGCGGTATCATCCAGAAGTCGAAGACCTTCGCGTTAAAACTCGGGAAATCACGCACCTTCGCGTTGGGCGGCGCCGATGGCGAGGTGGACCCTTATGACAAGAAGCTCCAGCAACTCCAATCCGAGTACCGCGGGCCGAGTCGGGCGGCCCGGTTAGCAACCCGGTTTAAGAGGGAAAGGGAGAAGGCGGAGGCGGCGTTTCAAGCGCGGCGGATTCGGGCGCTGCGGATTTTGGATCACCCCTTGTTCGAAGGTGTGGTTTTCCTCGCAATCATCGTGAATGCGGTGTGGATGGGCTTCGACACCGCGAGGCTGGAGGAGACCGAGGGAGATGAGGAGGCCAGCAGACCATTTTACTTCATGATCATCGACACGCTGTTTATCCTAGTGTTCGGGGCGGAATTGGTGATCCGGATCCAGACCTACAAGAAGATGTTTCGGGACTTCTGGGATTGCCCCGTGATGAAATGGTGGAACCGTTTGGAGTCGATTCTGCTCCTGCTCTACATGGTCGACTCCTTCGCTCCCGCGGGGAGTTTAGACGGAGTTAAAGGGTTGTCGGTGCTGCGGTTGGGTCGGGTGACGAGGCTCGGAAAACTGTTGCGCGTCATCCCCGGGTTTGACATCATTCTTGGCACTTTCATGGAGGGGCTGTCGCACATGATTGCGGCCTTAATGATTTTGATACTGTTCATCTACGCCGGGGCGATGCTGTTGACGATTTGGTACTACCAAGTGATGAGTTCAAATTTGCGGGACGACTTCGAGCCGATATGCGGGGCCCTGTCGACTTCGATGTTCACCACGTTCAAAATGCTCACACTGAATGATGAAGGTATAGGGATGAAATAAACTTGCCGTGATGTTGCGCATCCTCCGCACCAGGAACACAGAATTGTTTTGCTTTTGACGAGCAAGAAGAGGTGCAACACAAAGAACGCAGCGCATTGTACTAGTCATGGACAACTCTGGCTTCTAGTACACCCTGCTGATGATGTTTTTCCGTCGTCTTCAACATCACAAATATAAATCTGTCCAGGTATTACCGCCTTGCAGCGTATTCTCACCCACCGCGAAGTTTCCTCCCTAGAGTCCACCGTCATGCTGTTAATTCTCGGGTCCTACATGGCAACGGGCGGGCTGACCATTCTGAACATTCTAGTCGGGATCTATGTCGACGTTGTGGACCAGGTCCGGCAGAGGGAGTACGACTTAGACACCATGGAGAAACTGATCGACATTTTTCACCTGATCGACGTGAAAGGCACCGGCACGATCACCCGCGAGGGCTTTCGGGAGCTGAAGCGGTACGTCGATAAAGGGATGCAGGTGGACTTGGATCTCGAGCTGCTGGAGTTAGGATTTGACCTCCTGGAATTAGAACGGGAAGAATTTCTCAAACACCGCATATGCACTGCAAAAGTATCGTCCTAGTATGAATTGCATCACAAATTGACTTAGCATTGCAGATTTAATTTGTAATGGATGCGGATTTGCCTTAGAGAAAAGATTTGTAACGCGTCATTCTCATTGCAATTGGTACAACGACGAGACAAATCCGATACTTTTGCAATGCATACCGGAACCGTTTAGGCAATGTCGACGCGGAGCACCGAGCGGCGGAGCGCGCGGAGCACGGAGGACAGCCGAGCAGCCCGGGTGGGTCGCAGGGGAATAAAAACGGGTCATCTTCAAACGATATTCACAAGGAATACTACCAGACCAGTACGTCGCTGCACGAAATGAACTTGCCGCAGTTTCTGAAGATTGGGTTCAAATTACTGCACCCGATAGAATCGCAGGAGGTGCTGTCGATTCACAAGAATGTCTGCTCTTTGCTGAAGCTCCTGGACGCTTTGCACTACGACATGCTGAATAAGACCCCGATGCTGAATTACGCGGCCGGCGAGTCGCTGAAGAAGTACAAAATGGACATCATGAAGGGAAAAGTGAAGGAAAACCCAAGTTGGACGGAAAAAGAGAAGGAAATGAACTTCCGGAAACTCGCACAGTACCCGATCCTCTACCCCGCCGGGTCGATCCAGCACGCGGTGCAGCATCCGCTCAACGAGTTATCCTGTGCAAAAGCATCGTATTCGTATTGCAATCATGCATTACAAATCTTTTTCTTCGGGTAAATTCGCATTACAAATTTTATTTCTCATGCTGAGGAACTTTGTCATGCATTTATACGAATACGATACTTTTGCAGTTCATACGAGTGCGCACGGTACAAGGAAAACATCCAGTTGAGACGCCACAAGCAGGAGATGATGCAGGCAAGCGAGAAGCGGGATGCGGAATTGCTGTTTATGGACTGCTATGAATTGCAAAAGTATCGTACTCGTACAGATTGCAGTCTGGCATGACAAATCTAACTTTCTACCTCCTTCAGCATGGCAAACTGCGTTTTTGTTTTTGCGAAATGAATTTGTCATGCGATTTATACTAGTATACGATGCTTTTGCAATGCATAACTGCTTGGAATCGCGCGATCCGGATTTGTTTGTGAAATCGCGAGAAGATATGAAAGTGCACAACAACTCCCATTCCCCCTGTCATTTGTATTGCATGGACAGCAATACAAACATCAGCACACATGGAGCCTGTGCATGACAAATTCATACGCCTAGTGTAGTACTGTTTGGGATTCCGGATCCGGAAATTGTCATGCAAACAGTGCCACAGGGAAGCGCTTGGATTTGGGGTTTTGCATGACAAATGAGGTGGAGCGGGAGTAGTTGTGCACTCTCATAGAAGACTACAACCCCGACGATGTGATCAACAATCCGTTCACTTATGAAATGCAAAAGCATCGTACTAGTATAAATCGCATGACAAATTTCCTGAGCATGAGAAATAAAATTTGTATTGCGGATTTAGCTTTAGAAAAAAATTTGCATGAAAGAATGCGATTTTTAGTACGAGTACGATACCTTTGCACATGATATCACCTCCCCCGTCGCGACAAGCCGGTGCGAGCCTTTGGCGGATCAGCTGGTAGCCGCGAAAGAGGGGAGGGTGGTAGACTTCAAGAAAACCGGGAAAGCCTCGATAAGTTCGGCGAAGGGCGCACCGCTGGGACTGCGGGTGGTTGGCTCAGTCGCCGCTCTGGCGACTGGGATGAAATCGGCGAAGATGAATAAAAAGAAAAAGGAAGAGGACCAAGAGGACGACGAGGCCGACGTGCCAGACTATGAGAGTGCACAAGTACTCCCCCTCCCCGTCGTTTGTCTTGCAAAGTACCAAACTCACACCTTGCTCGTAAGCACTGCTTGCATGACAAATTTTGGAGGCTGAAATGGTACCACAGTCCGCACGCAGATTTGGTGTTTGTCATGCGGAAGCCCCTTTTCTGCTGTTGCTTGTGTTGCTGCTCATGCCCTTCAAATGAGGAGGAGGGGGAGTTGTGCACACTGATACAGACATTTTCAAAACCAAAAAATCCTCGGACGGAGCAGATGGCGGGAAGAAGGGCAGTCCGCTCGGCGGAGGGAAAAAAAAGAAAACCGGGTTGGAGAACTTGGCGATGCTGAAAAAACAGGAAGAGGAAGCGAACGCGATCACCGGTGTTGTCACGTTTGAGGGCCTAGACGCTGTTCGGAAGAACATCGGTGGAGGAGGAGCAGATGATCCGGCAACTACGGGACAAGAAAACAATACCCAGCCGGACCAGATCACGACCGAAAATCTTTTCGGCAGTCCAAACAAACCGGAGTTTGTCATACCCGATCGAGTATCAAATGCAAAAATGTCTGGGTCTGGAAGAGGAGAAGTTTGTCATGCACATTTTCCATGATCCATGATGTCTCTGTTGTATGCAATAGCATCACAGATTTTTTGAGCGCCTATCGGTATCGATGCGCGTCCTGCATGACAAATGCCTTCTCCGCGTAGCCAAATTTGACTCCTCTTCTTGCTGCTCATGCAATACAGATTTTTTGAGCATCCAAATGCAGCATCACAAGTTTGGCTCTTCCAGACCCAGACATATTTGCAATCCATATCGAGACAGTCGCGGCGCGGAAGCGCTGCCGGCCCAGTTGACTTCGGCGAGCCTGAAGCAAATCCCCCTGAAAAAATCCAGTTTGGAAGCGAGCTTGCCGGCGGCGATAAAACTACCCGCACAGGAACAAGAGGGACCTATAGAGCACATCCCCTTCGCGGGGCTGACCGGCGGCGACGCTGCTCCACTGTCCCCCACTGCTGCGCCGTCAATGTCGACGTCAAAACCGCTACAGGGGATGAGTAAAGAGGCGGACAACGCCCAAGCGAAGAAACCCGTATTCGGGAACAAGAAAGTGCCCCCGGTGCCGCTGAGTGTGCAAACTAACGGGGAACAAGCGAACTCGTCCGCGAGCTATCCAAGAAAAAAAATGCGTTAGTGTAACTTTCTTGGAGGAACAGCATCACAGATTTGTTTTGCATGACAGAGAGAGCCTGTCATGCGCGGCTAGTACGTGAAAATACGTACGAAAAGAGCCTCCGATGCATGTCCAGCATGACAGGTGTAACTGTTTTGCATTTTCTGCATCACAGACTTACACAGTTTTTTTTCTTGCATACGAGCCCAGAGGAGATCAATCTCTCCTACAATTCCCCCGACGTGAACGGCGCCTATGCTGTGCAAAAGTATCGCAGTCGTATTGATCGCATTCATGCATTACAAATTTCTTTCTCAAGTTGAATCCGCATTACAAATTCTATTTCTCATGCTAAGGAGATTTGTCATGCGATTTATAATACTAGTGCGATATTACTTTTGCAGTTCATAGCGCCAACGCAGCAGCCCGATCGCCGGGCACAAGTGCCTCTTCGCCCGAAGAGCGAGGGGCCAGTCCGTTTGGGAGGCTGGGAAAGCAGAACCCGCTGGAACGGTTGGGAAAATAGTATGGAGGACGGTGCTGGAGTAGGTGGAGTTGTACTAAGTAGTAATGCTAATGTCATTCTGCTGAAGATGTAATAATTGTAAGCTAAAACCTTTGCTAACAAGCCAAAAACCAGTTGAACAAACAAGGGAAAGCTTTCCTGATGTAAAATTGATTCAACATGATTGACCATTACTACAATAAAGTTGGTATGTCTGCTGGATTTTTTGCAATAAATCAACAGTATGAACGCGTCGAGATGAAATTAAACCAGATAACGCGTCGAGATGCAATAAAGGCCCAGATGAACGCACCAAACCAATGCGATGCTGTACCTCTTGCTTGCGTTTTCTGCAAATAAATTGGAACGAAAATATGTATAGCTATTCATAGTAGCACTAGCCCTCTCTGCAGGTCGTGGGGGCTTCTCTTCGTGCACGGTGTCAGGGGCCGCTGTTCTAACTCCATCCACTTGCTTGTAGCCTGATCCTCATAGCAGGTAAAGGTAATATTAGGTAGTATGCGTATTGAGAAGTAATAACGTTAGTTGTGCGTTTACGTTTTACGCAGCTTTTTAAATGAGAGTGTGTCGGTTCAGATTCAGAATGCGAATCATGTGGTCGCGCGACGCGCTTCGTCAGAGTGGATGTTGTCCAAAATGCTAGGGTGCTGGACATGATAGATTAGAAGGAAATGATAATGGGGTTCGTTGTATCTCACATCGAAAAAAAACTTCGGTCGGAGTTGTTACTAGACATCAAGAATCGGGGTTGTGAAACGAATAGCGAACGTCGGTGGGTGCGAGTAGATATTACACCATTGTCGTCGGTTGATTTCTTCACATGAATGGACATATTTCATATTTGATTCTAGTCGGTATAGCCCTATACCGTATAGGGCGCATCTGCTTTTTGGTCCTCGTCAATGCAGCCGGGTCGGTGTCGTTAGATGGATTTCTGTCATGCGAAGAAAGAGAAAGATAAGTAGCGGGGCCATGATCATGTCCGTTCTCTGGGATGAAATAGGGATGAACTTCGTGGTAGTTTGTAGTTTTCGGTATCGGTCTGTTTATACCAACCTGCGTGTGTTTACTGATTCTGAACAACATGAGTATTGGCTGTGCTATTCATACTGCAAATAAATCTTTTCCGACAAAAAATCTTACGCAGCCTCATTCATGACCCTCTTTCAATATATCATCCCCTGATAAATTCGTTTTCATGTGCCAGCTTTCGAAGCAACCATAGTTGTAGTCTACCTATGAAAATAAAAAATTTAAAAAACTTGTAGGCGAATCGATTTTTTTAATAAAAGAGACGGAGCGATAAGCATTAAACCATAGGACGGCTTCTACCACGTCAATGGAGGAACCTCATTTCACCTGCAGGTTCTTGCTAGTCACGACTATGGCACCATCCGAAAATTATTGAGCCTGCTCTCAAATAAAGTAAAACGAGAACATTACGACCGTGGCAACCGCAACATTGAAGAAGCAAGAGCGCGCATAAGAATAATAAAACAAGAATGTTGGCAGCGCAGGTGGCAGCGGCCGGTGGGGTCGCAGCCCAGCAGCGCATGAGCGGCTCGATGGGGGCACCCCCGCAGATGCCCCAGCAAGCCCACCCGGGTAGCAAGATGATGCACGACCAAGCGAGCTACGGGTATCCTAAGCAAAAACGTCCCCACGACCCCATAGTCAAGCTGGTAAATCTGCAAGACAATTCTCCACGCTTTGGGAGGTGTGCATGACAAGTTCCCATCTGCAGTGTAGTGCTGGTCAGCAAGGGCAGACGCATGAGAAAGCCAGTTTATCATCGTGTTTACAGCATTCTTGCAAATTCCTAAACACAATTGGAAATGCCTCTCATCATTATGGAGATGCGCATTACAAATGTTCCTGTCATTGCGCAGTTGCATGACAGCTATGGAGTAGGGACGTTTTTACATAGGATAACAGGGCACCCACCTCCCTCATTCCGCAGACACGGTTCCGGGGCAGGAGGGGCGCTACGTTCTACGAGTTATCAAATGCAAATATGTCATCTGGGTCTGGAAGATTGCGAGATTTGTCATGCTAGTCTGGCATGACTCTGCACTGCACTCTGTATTGTGTGCTGGCCACCAAGAGGCTCTCTTGCCTGTCATGCAAAAGCGCACTTTCTCGTGCGAAATACGCATCACACAAGCACGAAAAAACTTGTCATGCTTGGCGGCGCATGATTACAGAGCACTTATTGGTCACGGACTTGCATCACAAGTTTCCAGACCCAGATGACATTTTTGCATTTGATACGAGTTGAGAAAAGACAACTGCTTCACGGACATCGCCATGGCGTCCTGGTTATGCATTGCAAAAGTATCGTACTCGTAGTAATCCCATTCATGCATTACAAATTTCTTTCTCAAGTTAAATCCGCATTACAAATTTGATTTCTCATGCTGAGGAAATTTGTATTCGCAATTCATACTAGTACGGTACTTTTGCAGTGCATACTGGTTCGAGAATTTCGCGCTCCTCGTTATCGTCCTGAACGCACTGTGGATCGGGGTGGAGGTTGACATAAACGACGGCACCAAAGACGCACCGCCAGAGGAGCTTTTTGTCGTGGTGGAAAACGTGTTTTGCGTTCTGTTCACGGCCGAAATCTTCGTCCGCCTCATGAGTTACAAGAAGGCGCTTTTCTTCTGCACCGACAAGGAGCTGCGATTTTGGAACATCTTCGACTTGCTTTTGGTACCACGCTAGTACAACGTAGTTTGGAGGTTGTCACGCAAATTTCCTGTATGTAGAAATTGTGAAGTTCTTGTAATAATCCACCTCATGATCCTGGTGCTCTATCGCGCACAGTATAATAATTGCTATTCAAAGGGACTACTTCTACTACACACCGCGTTGAATTGATTCTTGTAGCTCGAAGTGCTGTTGAAGACACCCATCATGAAAAACCTACCTCAGGTGCTGTTGATGGTAATAGAAAACTGGATTCTCTCCTGGGCAATGGGCGACTATGGATTGCAAAAATGTCTGGGTCTGGAAGATTGCCGTGTTTGTCATGCATATTTGGTATGGCCAAGGATGTCTGTAATGCATGACCTAGCATCACAGATTTTTACAAGGCTTCCTGATGCCTATTCCGCATGACAAATTCCGTCCCCGCGTAGCACAAACTGGACTCCTCTTGCTGGTCATGCAATACAAATTTTTTTCGACTCCCAAGCTAGCATCACAAGTCCCAACTTTCCAGACCCAGACATATTTGCAATGCATAGCGACGAGGAAGGTGCCATGAGCTCGCTGTCCGCGTTGCGTCTGCTCTATGAATCTGTCAGGATTGAAATCGTCAAAGTTGAAATGGTTTGTCATGCATAAAATGCAAGGCATGAAGTGCCTGTCTTGCCGGGGTGGCAAGTGAGGCAGATTGTGGGCCTATTTAGGGTTTGGGATAGAACTGCTAAAGGAGCATGACAAAAGCACTGCTCTGTGCCCAAACAGCATGACAAATTGGATTTCGGTGCTCCGGAAATTTGTCATGCGCCGCTTGAAAATTGGTCTCCCAAGTGGTATCCATTCATGACACATTATTTCAACTTTGTCGATTTCAAACCTGACGCGTCCATATGCTCAGGTTGCTGCGTATCTCCCGAATCTTTCGAATGGTCCCCGAGCTCGGAATGATGGTCAAATCGATGGCGGCGGCTGCAAGGTACATCGGCTCATTGTTGAATCAGCTCCTCACATACTTTGGACAAAAACAATGTCAAGAACCAGTGGATGAACTCGAATTTGTTGTGCTGAAGATGCAGAATGTTGTGACGTGAAGATGTGATAACCCACCTTTGTCATATACGATGTCATCTTCATTCATTTTTGTAAATTTAGCATGACAATAAAAAGAAAAACTACCACCTCTCCTAGGTCCGTGTCTTCAACGATGGTGCTGGCAGTCGGGCTCATGTACGTCTTCGCCGTTTTATTCACGCAGTGGGGCTATGCATCGCAAATATGTTCTTCGGGTTTGGAAGATTTGTCATGCGAAACGACTTCGTATTTGAATTTCTTCTACTTTCACGAAAAGAAGTCACATGATCTGGGCTTCTATGTTTGTGATGCGTCGAGAGTGCGGTTTCTCCCCAGCTTTTTTTGTTTTTTGAAGTGCTGAATGAATAATCTTCATCCTCACAATGCAGCTTGTAAAAATCTAGAGCAGCCCGAGGACAACATGTTTGCAATGAATATCGGCAAAGAAAAGGAAGACTTCAATGGAAAATGCCGAGACTTGCCAACGCCGTGCGAAGACGATACAAACTACTTTGGCTCCCTCGGCTGGAGCTTTATGAGCTTGATGCAGATATTGGTACCATCTTGATTTTTTACGATCTCTTGATGCTTCATCGTTTTGGGCAGATGAAGTAGCGTAGAAATAACTGGAGCTCTGTCATGTGAAAGGAAATTCGTGCCTTTTATTCTTCCCAAGAAATCCGTCCCTGCTTCTTGACACGCGACGAGTATGTTTACGTATACATGAAAAAAGTAAAAGTACAGATTATACACGGAACGAAAGCGATGATGAAGCCATCCAAAATAAAGTTGCAACTGATCTTTTCCCCCAAATAAGGTATACGACGACACTTTCGCGCTTATCCGCAAGACTTTCCTGGCCAACGCACTCATGGGTCTGCTGCTGATCATCTTCATCCTCGTTGGTGCCTTCACGGTGCTCAACATGCTAATTGGTGTCTATGGCGTTCTCGAACGTTACATTCTGAGCTGTTACATGAATTTGTGATGCAAGAACCGCAACAGTGAACGGGGCAAGCTTGCAGCTTTCGCATCACAAATCCGGCACAGATTTAGGCGCTGTTTAGCCCTTCGGGGATTTGTCATGCGAAGTGGCTTGATTGTCTGGTGGTTCATGATGTTTTTCGCGGTTCTGACCCTAGATCTCCTGCGTCCGAAGCTGCTTGCGGCGACGGTGCAAAGGTTTTTGAAGTGGCGCAGTCGGGTATGCATGACAAATCATGTGACATCAGTTGAGAATGTAACGTTTGAGAATCCCATAGTGTCATCTGCGAGATTGTGTCGACCACAAAAAAGGAAGATATGAACACGAAGCTTTTCACCTCCGCACAACAAGAATCGGAACTACTACACGTGCCAATCTTGCATGAGAAGTACAACTAGCAGCCTGTCAAGTGTTGTAAGTACCTTTTGCTTTTTCAGCAACAGAAATAACCTTCGTCTCGGTTTTAGCAAGAACTTGCTGTTTTTTATCCAGGTCCACCTCCACCCGAAATTTGTGATGCGCGATGTGCTTTGGTGAAACAGGTTTGTGTTGCATAGGAGAGGAAGAGAAGCTACTCATGAACAAGGTCGAGGATCTTTTCGCGCAAATGGACGCCGACGAATCTGGCACCATCTCCCGGGAAGAATTCGAAGCCAAGACCGCACTCCTAGAGAAGCTGGGCCTGGACCAGTCCACAATAAGACTAGCCTTCGAACTCATTGATGACGACCGCAGTGGAAGCTTGGAAATGCAGGAATTCATACACATGGTATGAAATTTCATGCGATTGTTGTAGTTGTTGCAATACAAATATTAATTAGCATCTTCCACCGGCGCAGGCATGATGTTATTTTTGATTGTAGCGTTGTTGTGAGATCACTGTACGAACAAATATGACACGTGAGCATGATCACAACCACAAGAAGCCTCAGAAGCCTCGTTCGCTTGATGTTGATGAAGTGCGGGTAAATAAAAATATGGTTTTGCGGATCATCATGATAGAACCCGAACAGCAAAAGCGGAGCAACACGAAAATCTACACGTGAACTTCTAGCAATATGAAAACGAAAACGCATTCACAAAAACTACACTTAGGTTTTCCGGCTGTTGCACCCCCCGACGTCACAGGACCTTTTGGTGATAAAACGAAATTTAGCGAAGCTGTGCGACTCCCTCGGTTGCGACGTGTTCGATGCGCCCCCACCCATGAAGGCCAGCAAGAAGAGCGGACGCGCGACCTCGGGCGGCGGAGGCAATGGCCCCTCGGACGGGGGCTCCGGAAAGGGGGAGGGGGAGAAGGAAGAGAAGGTGGCGAGCGGGTTTGTCAAGAAGTCAAAGACTATGGCGTTCTCAACTGTTACATCTTCAACTGTTACATGGATTTGTGATGCAAGAATGAAAAAAGAGCAAGGAGGAAGATTGCGCCTTTTGCATTACAAGTTTGGTGCAGATTATAATGCTATCTAGTGCGTCAAGAACTTGTCATGCGAAGCAGCTTGATCCTGTAGATGTGTATTGTAGTTTTGCATTACAAATCCATGTAACAGTTGAGAATGTAACATTTGAGAACGCCATAAAGACCTTCTCGGGGATGGAAACCAGTGTGGCGCAATACAGCATCGATATGCATTGCAAAAGTATCGTACTCGTACTAATTGCAACTTCTACGCATGACAAATCTCGTCCTTAAGGTAAAACAGCATGACAAAAAAATCCAGTTCTCATGCTGGGAAAATTTGTAATGCATTTTTTATACGAGTGCGATACTGTTGCTGTGCATAATCGAGCATGTGGAGCAACAAATCAAAAACGCAGTGGCCCTGGCGGTCAAGCAGGAGGTGGTGTTATGGAACAAAAGCCTCCAAAGTGTGTCACTGTCGTGTCTGAAAAAATTATTCTTTTTCTTTCTCAGTGTCACCCCGGACGACTACACCGGATGTTGACACTACGACAACCTCTACTGCTAGTAGCCGCGCAACAGAAACATAGAAAGTGGTCGAATTATATTCAATGTTTCAGATTGCTACACAAGCACACTTTTTTTTGTTCTTGCATAAGCGCCGAGACTAGGGGCAGGAGGAGGAGCGGGCGGCTACGGTGGCTACGATGCCGGCGCGGTATTTTTTTACTATGTGGACATGGGATCTACATCTCGATCTAGGTGTGCATGACAGAATTTTTTACAAACGAAAATCGCCTCCGTGTCCGTGTGACTTGTCAACGTGTGTGAATTGACGAGATAAGTAAACAAAAGTGATTTGCCATGCACAAATGTGAAACAAACACAGATGTCAAACTACGGTGGTGGGGCTTCGAACGAAAATTTGGAGAGCATCAAGCGCGAAGTCCGGGGCTTGCAGGATTCCGTCCAGCGGGTGGATATGAATTGCAAGAGCATCGTGCTAGTAGTACTTAATCGCATTACAAACTTGCTCAGCATGACAAATGGAATTTGTGATGCTGTTTTACCTTAGTAAGGAGACGAGACTCGAATAGCTTCGCCCGCTCGGTGTGACATCGCAAACTTGCGCTAGAAGGAGCATTTTTCACAAAGTTCACCTCCCGCCGCGGGACGCGCACGCTTTGCGTATCACCTGGGAACAACGTTGCTGCGTCTCGCGCTGCATCCCCCCGCGGCCTAGTGGATGCGTTTTCAAAGCATGTCGAGCCGGAAACGCGGCTAGAGACGCCTTCGCAGTGCGTTTCTGGTTGGAAATCTAGCAAGCGACGCCGTCGCAGTGCATTTCTAGCTGGAAACCCACCTAGCGACGCCGTCTCAGGGCGTTTCTAGCTAGAAAGCCAGCTAGCGACGCCGCCCCGGTGTGTGTCCAGCAGGGAATCCAGCTAGCAATGCCGTCCCAGCGCCTTTCTAGCTGAAAGGAAATACGGCCGGAAAGGCAGCGGCAGCGTGTTTCCGGCTAGAGATCCAGGCGGAAAGGCATCGCCAGCGCGTTCCCAGAACGAAATCCAGCGGGAGAGGCATCGCCAAAGCGCCCCCGGCTGGAAGAAATTCAGCCGGCCGCGTCTTTGCAGAGTATTGCTAGCGTGAAATGGAGCCGGGGGCGCCTTTTCTTTCAGAGCATTCCTAGCGGGAAACCCAGACGGAGGCGCGTTTTTTTCTAGCCGGGAGGAAATCCAGCAGGGAGGCAGTGCATTACTTAAAGAGGCATCCGCAAGCAACGCGCCTCCAGCTGGAAATCCATCGAGGGCGCCTCTTCGATGAGTATCCAGCTGGAGACGCCGTGGCAATGGAAATCCAGCTTGCTGGAAACGCCTTTTCGAGGGAAATCCAGATGGAAACGCATCGAGAAGGCTTTTCCAGCGCTTTCCCGCCCGACCTTTTCAAAGTGTTGGAAGCTGGATTTCTAGTAGAAGACGGCTTTCGATTTCTAGCTTGGAATCCAGGCGCGGGGAACAGTTTGAAAAGGCATCCGCGGCGCATTGTTAGCTGGGATTCCAGGTCAAGGCGCCTCAAGGTGTTGCCAGGTGGATAGATTTGCGGGCGGAGATGCCTCGGGGCATTTCCAGCTGTCAAGAATCGCAAGGCAGCTGATTTCTCTTCGGTTTCCCGGGGTTTCTTCCCGCGTTAGCAAAACTCTTCTGGCTACCCGGGGAAAGGCTTGCCTAGAAGGATATTGGGTAGGTAATGGGAAGCTATCGGGAAGGGGTGGCAGAGCTGGAGCTCTTCTCGGGTTGTTGTGCTTAGCGCGGCTCTTCAGGCTACCCGGGGCAAGGATCTTCTAGTAGGGTAGCGGGAGGGTGTTCATTGGGATAGTGGAAATGTGTTGGGAATTTGTTTTTTTTTTCCCGAGTTGCTGCGTTTAGCACAGTTATTCTGGCTACCCGGGGCATGGGTTTTCTAGTAGAATGCCTGGAAGGTATTGATGGAGGCATCCATCTGCGCCATCGTTGCACGCCTTCCAGGTGCAGCGTCCGTGGCTGCGGTTGCCGCCTTCCGTCTCCGTCGGCTGCTCGCGATGTCTCCGTGCCCGCGATCAGCTGAAGCTTTTTTTCCTTAGGGATTTCATTAAGAAAGTGACACGCGAGCGCGCGGATCCGATTGACCCCCTACGTCACTCCCCCCCGCCCCTTCGAGATGATGACACTGGGCCCCAATCTGTATGAGTAGTTTTTATTTTTGGGATGAAGACTTACATGCGGGGGGCCCTCGCCCCCCCCCGCGCCCCCCCCCGCCCTTTCGATATGATGACACTGCGCCCCAATCCGTATGAATAGTTTTTATTTTTGGGATGAAGACTTACATGCGGGGGGCCCCCGCCCCCCCCCGCGCCCCCCCCGCCCTTTCGATATGATGATATTGCGCCCCAATCTGTATGAAAAGTTTTAGATCTAAGATTATAGCTTTAAGATCTAAGATCATGACTTTTGACATTGCGCCCCGATCTGTAGGGATGCTTTTAAGATCTAAGACGATAAGAGCCAAGATTATGGCTTTTGAGATGAAGACTCACATGCGGGGGGCCCTCGCCCCCCCCCGCGCCCCCCCCCGCCCCTTCGACGTGATGTTATTGGGCCCCAATCTGTATGAGTAGTTTTTATTTTTGAGATGAAGAACTACATGCGGGGGGCCCTCGCCCCCCCCCGCGCCCCCCCCGCCCTTTCGAGATGATGACACTGCGCCCCAATCTGTATGAAAAGTCTTTAGTTCTAAGATTATAACTTTAAGATCTAAGATCATGACTTTTGAGACGCTTGGTCATAGCTTTAAGATCTAAGATTCATTATGAGATGCTTTAAGATTCAGATTAGATGACTTTGAGACGCTTTTTAGAATCTAAGATGATGACTTTTGAAATGAAGACTCCAGAATTCTGCGATAGGTTTAAGATTTCGTAAGATTTGAGATTGAGATAAGATTTGATAATAAGATTGGCGATTCGAATAAGATTTGAGACTGAGCTAAGATTTAAGATTCAGATTGAGACTGAGACTTGAGATTGAGACTTGGTGTGAAATTGAATTACTCAATTTGAATTATTCATGAAGTTGAATTATTCAATTTGAATTATTCACGAAATTGAATTATTCAATTTGAATTATTCAGAAAATTGAATTATTCGTGAGTCTTGCGATGAAATTGTAGATATGACTATCAATTTGTCATGATGCATAACAGCAATTGGTACGAGTGCGATACTCTTGCACTGCATAGTGGAAGTGGTGCTGCAAAATCTACGGGACAAACTGCAGGTTAAGCGACGGTCAAGCTCGCAGCAACAACAGGGAAACAACTCGTCACAGTAGGGGGACGACGCGCGGATGATGTTCTTGGTGTCGTGATTTCGTCAAGTTTATTTCTCAGATGTTACATACTCCTTGACAAGAACTACTCCCGGTGCTGTGAAAAAGTAAAAGACACGACATCGACAGTGATATATGGAAAAGCGAAAGAACTCGAAAATGCTATGTACAAATGTCTATACCTACGATAGATTTGTTGTCCCTACAACTAAGGAGGTGGAGCGAGAAGATAGTTTTACCTCTGTGCATCAAGAAAGCAATACACTTCTGGGCTTCATCTTGAGGAGATCATTTTTTTACCCGACGAGGACAACTCCACCTAGTAGAAGATCAGCTTTTCTCCTTTTTCAGGCACAGCAGCATGAAAAGTGCTAGACCCCCAGCGAGATAGTGGTGTCCTAGTCTTCAAGGAGAACCAAAAATAGTAGTGCCGCAGTGGCTGTGGTGCTGCTTCTGCACAAAATGTTGACTCGGATAGCATCTATTTCGTCGGAGGTAGTTGTACCGTAGTACTACTAAGGTGTTATTGGTCATTTGATTTTCCACAACGAACAGAGCCGTATGATCTAGACCCTGCTGTTGATTGGGTAGTTGCTTGTCGTCGTTCCACCCCCGGCGTCCCCGGCCACAAAAAAACACAGTACAGAGTTGTCGCAGTCATGCTTTTACTTCATTTCTACCTCCTTGCAGTACTATCCTAATATCTCCTCCTTAAATATAGTCTGTCAATGAAATATTGTGTTTAATTTATCATGAAAGTACGAAAATGTATTGCAGCGAGCACGCGGCCGTCGCGTGCTTTGTTTATTATGTTTCCGAAATGAAATCACAATCACAAGCAGAAAGCACGAGCAGAACCTAACCTTTCGTAGGAGGGATTATATTCACGTAATAAAAAAAAATGCTCGCACAAAAAAATCATCCACTGTATAATTCTGTTGTGAATCTAGACCGCAGCCTGTAGTTGAAGCTTGTACATAAATTCGACTGAAGAGAACAACTTCTATAAGCGTGAGTATCAACTTGTTATGGTGCTGTACAGAGAAATAGAAGAAAAGCTTAAGCTAGTGCTTGACGAAGACGACGGAGCCGCCCAGGCGTCGTATCGGCTTGTAAGCACGCCGACGCCACGACGAAGCAGTGCTGGCTTTGTTGCGTTGGCCGTGTTCTGGAGGAGCAACCAGATGGAAAATCGTTGCAAGACCTACTTTCGGTTGCAGTGCCGCATCGGCATCCTCTCTGCGATGTCCTTGCAGAAGAAGTTACTGCTTCATAAAAGGCGTATAATTTTTCATCGGTTTCGTCCTCACACCTTGGCTCCTCGTCCTCCTGCTGCTGTCATCAGGCGACAGGCGATTTTTACTCGTACACACAGCAGAGGTTCAGAAACTACTGCTAGTACCTCAATACCTCGGTTTTCGTCCTACTTCCCGTGCCCCAGAACAAAGACTCGTCGTACTCCCCTCGTCTCTGTGAACTTGTCGTTTTATGAGGCTCATGCTGTTTGTAATGACGGCTCATGGACAGAGTTTTCTCTGTCGTCGTCATGGACCCCAAAGCCTCTGTATGAGGCTCATGCTGTTTATGCAAGACAAATTTCAGATTCTATTGTAACGTTTGGGATTGCAACATCTGAGCAAGCCATATCGTGCATTTGCACCGGGACCCCGGACCCGTTATTCTCGACGGAGATTCTCCCGGTATTCGTGTCCATCTCAACTCTGATTTCGTCGCAGGTGCTGTCGCGCTGCATGTGGTCCGCGGCGTTTACCAGGATCTCGTCGAAGATTTTGTACAGGGCGGGACAGTACCTGATAGCAAAAGTATAGAGCTTCATCGTCTTCATGCATTACACGCCTTTGCCTCAGGCCGCGAGTTTTGCATCACAAATAATTGTTCTCGCCATGCAGTACAACAACTTCCTTATACCTGAGAACCCTCTCCTCAAATTTCTCCCCCGCTGCGTTCAGCACGAACATCTTCTCTTTCCTCTCCTGCCGGGTCCCCACGTACGTATCTGGCCGGGCTAGAATGTGCTCGTGGTGCGTCATTTTGGAATATTGCTGTTCCTCCTTATTTGATGCACCAGCACCACCGCTCTCTTTGGAGCTGCCGGTGGCTATCCTGAGTAAAAACGTCCCCGCCCTAGCTTTGTGATGCAGATTT